TCCGAACCGCAAAATGCTTTTCCCCACCCAAACTCTATAGCAAAAAAGATTAAAACAAACTCAATCAATTTAATTGCAACATACCAAAGCACTATAATACGCCCAAAACAGCACGGATTTTTTCGACAAACATAAAAAGCGAAGGTAAAATGACTGCCCATTAATTTGCAAATAAATTATAGTTATTGCTTTGTTTTTTTTTGGTGGTGTTAATTGACTTTGAAATGAGAGCCCCTTTTTTGCGGTTCGGATTTTTTTTTTTCAGTTGGTGGCTGGGCCACCGGTGCTGGCTGGGTCGGGTTCCTGCATCAACTAAATGCAGGCCCTGCTGGGCCCACTTGCTGGCTGCAGCTGCCTGCATCCAATCCAGCCAAGTCAGCTCCTGTCAGCCCATAACGGCGGGGGTCGATGTTTTATTGGATCAACAACAACCCAATCGGGCACTCAGATGAAGGCCCACGAATCCATGGGTCGCCTTGACGTCGTCTCCATTGTCCAACAGACACAATGAACTTCCTGATTTGCCACCTCGCCTCGGTCACGGGTGACTGTGAGCTTGCTTCTGGACTCCCAGAGAACAAGGTACGCCGAGCTTCCATGTCAGCAGAAGATTTAATGTCTTGCATGCAGCGCCAAGAACCCGCCGCCTTTGGTCTAGCAGCTTCGGTGCTGATCCCTCCCAGGGTTAGATTTGCTGAAGAATGGCCAAGACTGGCGGAAGACGAAGGACGCCGTCACAGTAAACAGCAGTAAACCCCCAAGAACCTGGATCTTTGGTGCGGCAGAGTAGTCGCTATTCAACAACAAGGATAAACATAGATTTCAAACAGACTTTTAGTAGCCTTGATACAGCGGGGATAACGGGCAAACGTTCAAGCTTACTTTCCTCCACGGGAAAATGTCACTCTGTACAGATACACACAATTCACATCCCTGGAAGGGTGCAAAGTGACTCGCTCACGCCCTAGGCTGACTTACTCCTCACGTTGCAGATATACCTGCCACCTCAAATGCGAGCCCGGAATGTGACGGCTAACTAGGCTATGGTCGCCGTCCCCGAGTGCTTCTCTCGGCCAAACGGGTCTCTGAGTCCGATCAGAGTTGTGTCACGGTATGCCGTTACAATATCTGGGTGTCATAACCACCGACTAAAATTAAAGCCAACTTTCTACGCTCATAACACAAACCCTTCTGGTACCAAAACGCCTGCTCGGGATGTGATCAAATAGGCAAGAAACAAAGGATGCCTATTCACACGAAACAGGTCGGCATGCGCCTAACAAAATAGCGGTTGACAAAGTATCCAAGAATAAAGAGATACCTCCTGCAACTTCATGATAACTGCCACCCCATTGCGTATAAACTGGGCAGGGGGCGCCCCTCCCTCGGTTAAATAACCCTACTGGTCCAACCACGAACCGGCAGAAACGACCGCCATCCTAGACGCTCAAATCATGGAAAGCAACTTTTGGATGGCCATATGGAAACGTGGATGAGTGAGTGATAGTACATAGTTTTTTGAGGGTCGCCTGCCCGCCTCACGCCATCTGGGGCGGCGCCTGCTGTGCCGGGTTTGCCAGGTTTGTGATGGGGGGTGTGCTATGGGGAGCCGGCGTCGGGCTCGCCTGGTTCGAGCCTCTCTGCGGTGTGCGCTGTTGGTTTTGCATGTTTTGGGCATGGCCCATTTGCGCGCCGTGTCCTGCCACCCCCATTCCCATCTGGCCGGCGTGGCCATGGCCCTGAAATTGCGCTTGGCCATGTGGCTGAGCTTGGCCCGGGCCTGGCCGCTGGGCTTGGGATTCCTTTTTTATCGGGTAGATCGGTTCCTTTGTGTGGTCGACACCTGGGTACAGTGGCTGCAGTCGAGTGTAGAGCGTCTTCAGCGTCTTGTATCTCTCCTCTCTTTCGGTGTGTGGATCCCCATCTGTGGGCTTCTGCATCGGCACGTTCCGTAGTTTTATCGAAGAGTTGATTGATGGCGCGGTCAGAAACGCCGGGCAGGGGTAATGATTCTTGTTGTTATCTTGAGCCAGACTCATCAGATAAGCTAGGTTATTCCGCAGCCGCATGTCGACCCTAAAGAGAGGGCAATCGGTTAGTTGCAGATACGGCCACCAGACAAGAAACTCAAGGGGCTTACTGGGAGTAGTCGTAGTGCAACGGTTTTTCCTCCGGCGTTAGCTCTCTTTCCATAGTCTCCCCAGTGGCCCCGCTTATGACATCCTTCTCCTTTTTATGCTCCAAAATTGTGTTTTGGAGCACGAGCGCCTCGTACATAAGCTCGGTGTTGATCTCAAGCAGCAAGCTGAACCTTTCCGACTCTCGCGCTTGGCTTTTGGGGCTAAGAGGTGTCCGCGCAGCCGCTCCGTCTGGGGCATTTAGACCGTGGCTCATGTGTGGGAACGTCGGGGTCTGCGGCGTCGTCACTGTGGGGTTGGCATTGGCCTGGTGCGTATTGCTCGGGTGTTGGTTTTGGGCGATTCCCTGGGCAGTCTGTTGGTGTTGGTGTTGGAGCTGACTGGGATGAGGCTGCATCGCGGCGTTATGTTGACCCTGACCTTGGGCTTGGGCCTGGGTCTGGGCCTGAGCCTGTGTCTGGGCCTGTGCTTGCGCCTGAGCCTGAGCCTGAGCTTGTGCTTGCGCCTGGGCTTGCGCTTGCGCCTGGGCTTGCGCCTGAGCCTGGGCTTGCGCCTGTGCCTGGGCTTGTGCCTGCGTCTGCATTTGTGGCGGACTGAATTGTCTCTGGGGAGCCCCATGTGCCATAGCATGACCATGTTGTTGTCGTTGCTGCTGCTGTTGTTGTCCCGGGTGCATTCGTGGCATCATCTGTTGTTGCTGCTGCGGCGACATGGCTTGCGGGCTCATGCCGTATCCTGGCATCGTACCGGGCATCTGGCCATAGTTGGCCGTCATCTGTGCTTGTGGGCCGGCGGGTGAGGGGATCGCAGCGCCGTAGGCGGAGCTGGTGTAGGGCGTCTGATATGCCACTGTATCAAGGAGGGGCGCAAGCATTAGCGCTGTGTCATACAATAAAGCGATTCGCAAAAATAGGCCCCTGCCATGCGCGCGTACATCACCAGCGCGTGGTGGGCATGGCGATAGGTGACAGCGCAACCTAGCCGCGATTCGCAAGAGCTAGGCTTCACAACATGACATGAAGTGCGCGAAAGCAAACCGGGCGGGCGCAGGCTGGCCGTGGATTTCTTGTGAGGAAGGCGCCCTATGCGCCTGCCGACGCGTCTAGGGCAAGTGACGACACTAAACATGTACTGCGACACAAACGCAGATCGGATGGGCATGTGGACGCGTCGGGGTGGCACTGGCGCAACGACGGACAGCACCGGCAAGGGTTTAGAGCCGGGATAAGAGGCCCACGAAGCAAGGACAAAGGCAGACAGCAACTCACTCTGTCCATTGACGGCAGCGGCCGCCATGTGCGGCGGCATGGCGGGATTCTGCATCATGCCGCCAGGACCAGCAGTGGGCATCATGCCGGGCCCGCCGGGGAAGTGGCCCTGGGAGGCGGCGGCCATTGCGTACTGCTGCTGCTGGTTGTACATCATGTGCTGCTGTTGTTGCTGCGGCTGCTGTGGGTGGTGTTGATGTTGTTGCGACGGTGGTTGCTGGCCCGGGGTAGGGCCAGGCTGCTGCTGTAGGTGAAGGTTCTGCTGCGGTGGGGCACCATTGAAGGCCGCAGGACCCGGGCCGTTGTTGGAGAAGCCATAGGGCGTCTGGTACATGACTGACGGGGCGCCTCCTCAAGCGAACGGCAAGGGGCGGGAGGGCCGAGGAGAGGAAACAAAGAGAACAAGGGGGGCCGGGTGCGGCCACAACGGAGGTGGCGCGGTGCGTGCCGGCAGGTGTTGCGCGCGCGCAGATGGAATCAAGGAATGCTCAGAGCTCGGCGCCGCTGGGCAGGCTCAGCAGGGAAGTGCGGCTGTTCCGCTGGGTGTGGGGGGAAGACCAGATATGCAACTAGCCAATGGCTGGGCTGGCTGGGATGGAAGGGATGGTTGGACGGACGGGGGTGGCACGCCAGCACACGCGCGCCGGCTGTGGACACGGGATTTAGGGGTGACCTGTGGATGGCGACCCGAGGATGGTGGTTCCTTGCCTATTTGCCTCGGAGGAGGTATCAGTCTGTCTGTAGGTCGCGCCGCGCACCACCAAGGCGCGTCCAGTCTTCTATAGTTTCCATCTTGAGGTACAGGAGAACGGTAGACTCGTCGGTCCCAAGGGAAAGTACATACAGCTGTGTGGTCTAGTCACGCTGGTCTCGGGGCAGACAGACACAGCAGCCCGGAGGAGCTCTCACGAAGTTGAAAGGGAGCACGGAGGCAGGGAGCACGGGTGTGCTGAGCCCCAGAAGTCGGGGAAACAGACACGGGGCCAGGGATGCTCGGGATCTTCCTTTTTGGCAACCGCGTCGCTGGCCGGCGGGCGACTGGCTCGGACACGCAAGCTGGTGGTCAAGCAAGGGGCTTGGCGGTTTGGCACCCAAAATTGAGCGGGCCGCAGCCACACTGCTACCACAAACACGGTGGCGCCAGGGTGTGTGGGTGAGGCGGATGTCCAGAAGCAGATGAGACGCGAAGGGGGGGGGTGTGCAATACAAAGCGACGGGACAAGAGGATGTCTGTCTTCCCAGATTGCTGCTGCTGCTGCTGCTGGGCCGGCTGGCGGGCTGCTTGTCGAAGTGAGAGTGGATGGACTGGACAAAACCTTCGTTGGGGCAACACGAAAATCAGGCAGGTGCAGGGGACTGGGTGGAAAAGCGGGTCGGCGTGCGTGCGAGTGCGTTTTGGCTGGCCATTGAGCGCCTACGCTTGGGCGTTTGACAGGGATGGACATCCGCCCCATCAGCTTACAGTAGCACGCATCGCAACCACCATCCACCCTCGGCAATACATTTTACCAAATCCGCCCTCAGGTTCAAGACAAACATGCAGATTCCATACAGGGGTGCATGGGCTGAGGCTAGCAAGCTTCTCCCCAGTTGGACTTATAGAGGAAAGACTGCAAGATCGGCGACCGAATTTTTTAAGTTGGTACACTCGGACAGCACGCGTCTCCCACCCATCGATGCCACTTCCCCACGCACCTGCCCAGGACGTTATGTGTAACGGGGTTGCCTGGAGCGTTGGCTACAGGGGCTTCGGGGCTTGATATACTGTGGTGCCAGAGGGTTCAATCACGAAGTGATTGAACTGTTGGATCTTTTGGTCTATGTAGTGGAGCGGTACTCTGGCACGTCCCCCTTACATTATGCCCTTTGTGCTTCAATGGTAGTCAGTACCGTAGGTGGAGTTTCCCGCTATCACATCCAGAAAGTGCTCGGCAACAACTTTCTCTGTAAGAGGGCGGTTGACCGTCAGCTATGATTCTTATATGTGATCACGTGGTCCGCATCGAGTATGGGTTCCTTACCAGCTCTCTCAGATGGATGAAGATCGTCAAACCTAGGAGGAAATTGAGGCGTTGTTTTAGCCCTCAAACAGGCAGAGACACATCCCCATGATACCAAAAGGAGCGAGCTTGTGGTGTTTGTCAGCTCGACAACTTTGAAAGACTCGACTCACCACATGAAGCTGGACAGAGGCTCTGTAGAGTCGGCGCATTTCTCTGTTTTCGGGTCGCAGTGGCGGTAGAAGCCCGTCGAGTTGGCCGGGGCGTCGAAATACCGAGTCGGGTTCAGCGACATGTCGGTCATGAGGCTGTGCACATCAAAGATGGAGAACTTGGCCCCGGGCCACCTTCGCTTGACGATCAGGTTGAATGGCGCCCCGTAATCAAAGACAGTATTAACCGTAGTCGTGTACTGAAGGATCTTCTGCTGATAGGCTGTCTCGTTGTACTTCGTCTTGGTAGGCCAAAAAGTAGAATCGCCAATACCGCCGTTCGCCGAGGGCACGTAAAGGGGTGCCAAATGGAGGGGTGCTTCGTTCAGGAGCACAAATCGCCGGCCACCAGTCGAGTAGATCTCATCGAATACATTCCTGATAATGGTTAGCCTTCTGCCTTCCCAGCTCAAGCGAGGACACACAACGTACCACACGCAGTCGGTAAAGTTGGTGAGAGTGGCCCCAGGGGCGTATTCTTCAACGAGGAAGGCGTTCCCGGCCCCGAGGTCGTTGGTTCCAATCCACATGGCGTAGACCGTGTTGTCCGCTGTTCTGCCGCCCCCGTATAGTGTATCGGCACCCGCGTCGACGTCCTTCTTGAAGGATGGGATCTGGTCCTCCAGGACTGAGGGGAATTCCCTGCCGAGGGACATCAAGAACCGCGAGACGATGTTATTTGAGCACGTAGCACCCCCGATTGCATAGTCAAGGTATCTCGCACCAGTGGCTCTCGCAGCCATCTGGCCCCAGGCGAGCCCGCCACTGGCCGTGACATTGGCCTCGGGATGCATGGTTCCAGGCGGAGGGGCTTTCCCTCCGCTCGCGAAGTAGGAGCTCAGGCGACCATTGTCCGTATAGCTATCTCCAAAGGTAACGAGATTTTCGAAGGGTTTAGAACGGCATTTCAACGAAGATGCCGTGCCAGCTGTGGTGAGGTACAGGAACAAGAGAGAACGCATGACGGATAGAGGCAGACGGCTGAAGCAGGGCGAAGCGTGGAGGAATATAGGGGTCAAGAGACGGCCCAGACAGGATTTAGAGGGGCATTACTTCCTAGAAGTAATGAGGAACATATAAGAAGCTGCTCCTCCGAAATGACATGTGTGGTAGGTCCGGTCACTGGGAAGTGGAGATACATTCATACCCCAAGGCTTCCATCGCGGGGTCTGCAGCGGGCAGGCACTGCAGGCTATATTGGAGTGTAACCCAGTTTCGGCCGGCTTGATAATCCCGGGAGGGGGTGTATGGGGCCATTCTTCTCCCGGAATGGTGGGAAATCGACGAGGCAGATCCAGCCCGTTCAACCGGCCATCTATTGAGCCTGCGACATCCATGGCTAAGCTTGGCCAGCCGCTGTGTACGTGTGGGCAGGTGGTTGAGGTGTCCCATTCCACGGCACACCCCAATAGCGAGAGAAGGCAAGACTACCACCCAGAGCGGCGAGAGAAGTGGCAGTCCCGTCGCTATTCTTCAGTGCCCACTGTCGCCGAGCCCGGAACTTGGTCGCGCCCGACGAGCTGGGCTTGGTTTTGAGGCTCATAAACACGACTCGACGACAAGCCGCGTTCTTGGAGATCCGAGAGTGGTGTCGGCAGGATGGCAGTGATGTTTCGTTGGTTGGGATGGAATCTTTCTCTGGCCGTGTGGGTGGCTGCCAAAGTGCCAAAGTGGCTTGCGGCTTTATCGAATCGGGCTGACGTGCACTGGGGAGAGTTGGTTGGTGGGGAGCGATAGCGGAGAGAGGGTGCTAAAAGGAACGTCGTTGCGGGCTCAGGCGGCGCCGCTTTCGCTCATCTCAGGACCAGCAGATGGAATCAATTGAATCGAGGACGAGGAAATTCCGTGCACGCCTTGTTGAGTCACCTCGATTCTAGTGGCAAGATGTGATGACTCTTCCAGAATCCAGGCTTTTGGTACGCAAAGTTGGGTCGATTTTCGGACAGACTCAAGCAACTCACTGAAGCTTCGCAGCAGGAAAACGTGAGAGGACGTGGTCCAAAAAGGAGCTGCTCACCATGTCTCCCTTCAACCTCCAAACGTGTGCCAGGCCAAACATCCTCGAGCTTCAGCCGTATCGCTGTGCCAGGGAGTGAGTCTAGCCCACCCGATTGGATATCTTGCGCCATGGACGGCTCGCTCTGACTATCGCCTCGCCCGTCGCCAACCCCTGAAAACAGCGACTACAAGGACGATGGGACCAACATCCTTCTCGATGCCAACGAAAACGCCTACGGGCCGTCCATATCGGTGGCCGATGCCAAGGCCCTGGGCGGTAGCACCGGCGCTGGCGGCCCAGAGCTGGACCTGCTGGGTCTACACAGGTACCCGGACCCTCACCAGGTGGAACTGAAGCAGCTCCTGTGTGGCCTGCGGAACACCAAGACGCACACGGCCGGGACGCTCACCCCCGCCAACCTCTTCGTCGGCGTCGGCAGCGACGAGGCCATCGACGCGCTGCTGCGCTGCTTTTGCGTGCCTGGCCGCGACCGCATCCTGGTCTGCCCCCCGACCTACGGCATGTACTCGGTCTCGGCCCAGGTCAACGACGTCGGCCTGGTCAAGGTGCCGCTGCTGCCCGCCCCGGGTTTCGGCGTCGACGTCGACGCCGTCCTCGCGGCGCTGACGGCGTCGGCGGGCAACCCGGAGGCGCCGCAGGTCAAGCTGGTGTACCTCTGCTCGCCCGGGAACCCCACGGGCGCGGCGCTGGCCAAGGCCGACGTCGAGCGCGTGCTGCGGCACCAGGCCTGGAACGGCATCGTGGTGCTCGACGAGGCTTACGTTGACTTCCAGCCCGACGGCGCCTCGCTCGCCGAGTGGGTGCTCGAGTGGCCCAACCTCGTGGTGATGCAGACCATGTCCAAGGCCTTCGGCATGGCCGGCATCCGCCTGGGCGCTGCCTTCGCCCCGGAGCCCGTCGCCCGCCTGCTCAACAGCATGAAGGCTCCGTACAACATCCCCAGCCCCACGAGCGCCCTGGCCGTGCACGCCGTCTCGCCCGCCGGCCTGGCCACGATGCGCGGGAACCGCGACGCCATCGTGCGCCAGCGCGACCGCCTCGTGCGCGAGCTGCCCCTGGTCGACGGCGTCGGCCGCCTGCGGGGCGGCGTCGAGAGTAACTTTCTGCTGTACGAGATGCTCAACGCCCGTGGCGAGCCCGACAACGTCGTCGCCCTGGCCGTGTACGAGAGGCTGGCCGAGGCGAAGGGGGTCGTGGTCCGCTTCCGCGGCAAGGAGCACGGCTGCCTCGGGTGCCTCAGGATCACTGTGGGCACCGAGGAGGAGGTCACCAGGTTCCTAGATGCTCTTACAAGAACGCTTACCGAGGTCAGGAGTACCGTCACGGCGGCCGCTGACGAGGCTAAAAAGGAAGAGGCCGCCAGCAGTGTCGTTTCGTAGAGTAAACTGGTGCTTGTGTCTTTTTGTGGCTATCACTAGATGCATACAAAATGGGTAGTCATAACGAGTTTACTTGATTTGATTTATGTGCATGAGCCCCTGAATACCCTGAGGAGCCAGTGGAATCCTAGCTTTGCTTTCAATTTTTCCTGCGTACAAAGCAATCTGTTTGTGGTTGAGAGTACTGTGCTGTCATCGGATGCTTTGTCGATCTGGAATAGGAGTAAGTAAAATGCAATGAATTGGGGATGTGATTCTAAACACAGGTTTGCGTCAGTGTGCTATTGGTCATGAACTCAGGACACCAAATGAACAAAAGCTTGACAGTCACACAATCAAGGAAAAACGGTACCATAAGCTTCCACTATAAGATCTCATGGAAAATGCGATTTCAAGTGTACTAACGACATCATAGAATGCTTTACAGAGAAGTGCCGCGTCGATTGGCGGTGCCAGGTCGCCGCCCACCGCAGCTCCGGGCCTTTTCTTCCACAGGCATCCGGCAGATAGACTACACACATGCAGTATGAAGAGTAATCCCATGAAACACAATAGAAAGAAAAAGCCACATTGCTAACTCCAGCCACCAGGTCATCGGCGGCGGCGTCGTCGGCCTCGCCGTCGGCCGCTCCCTGGCCGCGCGCGCCGGCACCTCGACGCTGCTCCTGGAGCGGCACGGCGCCGTGGGCACCGAGACGTCGTCGCGCAACAGCGAGGTGATCCACGCGGGGCTGTACTACGGCGCCGGCACGCTCAAGACGGCGCTGTGCGTGCGCGGGCGGGGCCTGCTGTACGACCTCTGCGCCGAGCGCGGGGTGCCGCACCGCCGGACGGGGAAATGGGTGGTGGCGCAGACCCGGGGCCAGCTCGAGGCCCTGCAGCGCATTCACGACCACTGCGCGCGCCTGGGGCGGGACGAGGGGCTGCAGGTGCCGCTCCGCTGGGTCGGGCGCGATGAGGCGCGCCGCCGCGAGCCCGACGTGCGCGCCGACGCCGGCGTGCTCGAGAGCCCCGAGACGGGCATCGTCGATAGCCACGCGCTCATGCTGGCGCTGCTGGGCGAGCTCGAGGGGACCGGGCGCGCCGACGTGGCGCTGCTGTCGTGCGTCGTGGGCGTCGAGCCGCTCGCGGGCGGCGCCGGGTGGGCGCTGCGGGTGCGGAGCAGCACTAGAAACCAAGAAGGGGAAGGGGAAGAGGAGGAGACGACGGTCACGGCCGAGACGGTCGTCAACGCTGCGGGCCACGGCGCCGTGGACCTGCACAACATGGCGATAGTGCACAGCAGCGAGCAGCAGCAGCAGCAGCAGCAGCCGCTGCGCGCGTTCTATGCAAAGGGCAACTACTTCTCGTACGGCGCGGGCCGGCCGCGCGTCGGCACCCTCGTGTACCCGGCGCCCGAGCCCGGGGCCGGGGGGCTGGGCACGCACCTGACGCTCGACATGGCCGGCCGCATCCGCTTCGGCCCGGACGTCGAGTGGGTCTACTCGCCCGACGACCTGGCCGTCAATCCGGCCCGTCTTCCTGACGCCGTGCGCGAGATCAAAAAGTACCTCCTGGGCGTCGACGAGGCCGCCCTGGCGCCCGACTACGCCGGCGTCAGGCCAAAGCTGGGCCGCAAGGGCGCCGTCGCGTCCGGCAGCGGATTCGTCGACTTTGTCGTCCGCAAGGAGGACGGCCTGCAGGGCTGGGTCAACCTGCTCGGCATCGAGAGCCCGGGTCTGACGAGCTGCCTCGCCATCGGCGAGATGGTTGAGCAGCTACTGTACAAGTAAGCCCAGGTGTAGGTACACATACAGGCTACCTAAGTACTTCATTGTTCACCCTTTCTTAGGCCATTTCGTCACATTTCAGGTGGCCCGTAAACCAAATTTGATAATGCAGACACATAAAGGGGCTACTGCTTGATATCGCTAAACGTGCCCCAAGAGCAAAACAAATCAAAAATAAATAGGCCATCGGCAATGCGCATGCTTCATACATCCATCCATCTGTACATTTTCTTCCCTCCCCACAAATACAGTTGTATTAACCGCGCTAAGGTCCAGCAATCCTCATCGCAGTGTTATGCTAGGCAACAGCTTTCGCGACGCAATGTTCACTCGGAACTCGTAGATGCCATTCTCGGCTCCGACATATCTGGAAGCGAAAGATGTGAGTTGAGATCGAACGAGGAGGACGGAATAACCAAAACAGATCAGGCAGGGGCAGCATGTCACCACACTCACAATAAGGACCCATCTTCACTCCAGGAAAGGCCGGCGGTCTCGTCAGGCGAGGCCAGCTCGTTGGTCCTATAGTCCTGGTCGCGCCCATCCGTCCGCATTGCCACCTGGGTCAGTAATGACTCCCAAGCCATGGGACCTCTGCCGCCAGTCCTGTCCGCGACCGCCGTCGAAGGCCCATCGACCCCGTCGGTTCCGCCCGAGGAAATTCCGTAGAGGACACCCGGCTCGGTCCAGTCCCTGTACCCGGCTGACGGTACGTTGTATGGGCCCATAATCTGAGACCTGCTCAGCCGCGGCAGGGACAGACCGGCACGTGTCGAGGCGGCCCCGCTGTCGGGAACGACCGAGCTGCTGCCGCTACCGCTGCTGCCAGCACCATCGGCTGGGGCCCCATCAGCCACTCCGGCGCCCTCGCCGGCCGCCGCTGCGCGGATGGTGGCACGCACGGTCGCGCTGGCGAGAATACCAGCATTAGTCGAGGTGGAACCGTGACCGACGCCAGACAGAATATCGTCGTCGGTTTCTCGCGCGAAGCGATCGAGCAGCTCTCTGTACAGGTGCCTATATCCTGGCATCCCGGCCTCCCTTCGGCTGTCCTCCCGTGGTCTCGGTGACTCTTGGCGCCGGAAGGCGTCAGAGAAGCCGGCGACACTTGACATATTCTCGATCAGTTGCTCAATGTGGTCACGCGACGCCCGGGCCCAGTCCGCACCTCTCCCCTCCGTAGAGCCTCGGTCCCCTGTCCGGTCGCGAGGTCGCGGGACTGCCGTCGGCGCAGCTGCTGTGCTCGAGCCGGGAGCTGTGCCTGTGGTGCCAGCCGCCGTCCGAGCGCCTAGCCGGGAAAGCGAAGAGGACAGCTGGCTACGTGAGCTCAAGAGAAGCTCACGGGCAGCTGCCGCTCTCTGTTCCCTGCGTCTGCGATGTTCCTGCAGCGCTTCGAGAACCTGGGTCTCGTCGCCCGTCAGTGGGTAGTGGTATCGTTCTACCCCTGATTGCAGGCGGCGGTTAAGGCTACGCCTGGCCTCTGAGAGGTCGAGCCTGTTCTCAAAACTCGATGCGAGGGCATCGCTGCGGTCGGCCGTGGACTCCAGAAGGCTAGGGTCGATGGCGTTCCTGACGGTCAGATCCAACTGCTGGAAAGTGTCTTGGGCATCGAGGTACAGGATCTGCCTGGCTACAAAGCCGCCCCGCACGTCGGCGATGCCAGCCCGTCCACGATCCTCCGACCACGCAAGTAGATCGTAAGGCCCGGGTGAGAAGGACATCTCCCGGACAGCCCCAGGGCAGGTGGTGGCGGGGGCGCCTCGCGAAGGGCGTTGATTCGGGCTGGTGGGTCTCGAGGAGGGAAAAAAGGCTAGGAGCGGATCCTGGCTGGTGTCCAGCAAGGCGCTCGTGTTGAATATGGAGATGATGCCATACTGCGTGCCCACCGCGAGATAAGTGCCCGTGTTCGAGAAGCAGGCCGCGAAGCTGCCGCGCTGGTCTGTCCTGTCGTCCTTGTGCTGGCTCTTGAGGTGCACCCGCCGAGTTTCCTTCCAAAAGTAGTGCCTTGGGCGTCCCGTCGAGGGGGTTCTCGAGCCAAATGCGCTCGTCCTCTCAGTCCGCTCATGGACGTAGAGGTATGGGTCGTCCCCGACGGCTACCAGGGTGCGGCCGTCGGGTGACAGGACAGCGCGGTTCATCGGTTCGGGGTACTCGAGTTCGTCCAGAGCGTCGAGGGTTTCAAGATCGATCAGGGTGACATGCTTGTCGTTGTTCGCTAGGACCGCCACCGGAGACCGGTAAGGGCCTCGGCGTTGGCCGGCGCTCTGATGTGGGAACCATAGTGTGATGCAGTTCACACGCTCCCTACCGAACTTCTTGTTTGGTTGGCTAATGGAGTTGCGTGACCTCCTCAAGAGGGCCAGCAATGAATCGTCGGGTCGGGAGGTGGTGTCCAGTGGAAGGCGAGCGTCAACATCAAGCTCGAATTCCGGTGTGGTCGAAGGATCTCTGCGAGTATCTGGGCTAGAGGGCCCCAGGTTGAGGGCGGTGAACTCGCCCGTCTCGCCTCCGCAGCACACCCACCCATTCTTGGCTACAAGACAGCGAGGGGAGAAGGTGAGGACGCTGAGGGTCTCGGTCTCTAGCGTTTTGGTGTCGAGTTTCTGCAGATGGATGTTATTGATGCCAGTGGGGAAGTACACAACACCATCGGGCCCAGCGCCGATCAGGGACCTTAGTTGCCAGTGGCTGGAGGATGTGAAGAACGGACGGTAAGCCTGTGTGCGTGGTAGGAGCAAGACAGGAGGTAACTGAGACCCGGGGGTCGGGTCTGGTCTGAAAGGATGGAGGACATACAGTGGGGAAACGGTTGTCCGAAAGTGGCGTCGCGGTTGCTTTGAAATCAGGTTCTCGGACGGATAGAAACTGTAGCAGCTCCTGGGCGTGTGAGCGAGTGACCAGTGACGGTGATGGCGCCACGTCGACGGCAGAAAAAAAGGCAGGGTGGCACGGCGGCAGTTCCACAGCAGCAAGGGGGGACGCACAGGTTCTCGTCCGTCACGGCCATAATCACTGGCGCGCCGGTTTCGTATCCCGGGGGAGAGGTGCGGGAGATCCCGCGCCGGGAGTTGGTCGGGAGGTCTCGCAGGCGCGCACCAGACGCAGGCTGTAATGATTCGACTCGTTTGTGGGTGCGAAGTTGGGGCTGCGAGGTCGAGGCTGGCAATGTTCGGCTTCGAGGCTGCGGTACTGGTGGGTGGAAATGGCGATTTGGTTGGTGACGCAGAGGAAACCAAGAAACCTACGCGGTCGAGAACAATGGGGTCTTGATTGGGCGCGGTTCGCCCTGAGGCTGTGCTCAATGCCCGTGCACGCTGGTACCTTCGGTACCGCCTTCCTGGGTCGTGGTTGTGGGCGTGGTTTTGTTTTTGGCTGGTAGATCATTAGAAGTGCCTTGAGCTCACTTTGCCTTGGTGGTATAAACGCGGATAGAACACACACGAATGCATGCACGATAATTTGAAGTGACTGGTTTGGCTCGAGTTGGGCAGGCGGGCCTCACGCTTGAGTGGTTTGCCATCCAAGCCAAGTTGCGCCTCAGCTTCCAGATGAGTCCCGCAGGGCTCTAATCTTACCCAGAACACACCAGACTTCAGCCCAGTACCTGAGCCACTATCGAGAAATTGGGCTGATATTGGTATCTAAGTTCCGAGAATGAAAATACGAAATGGAATATTAACGGCAGAAGGTACCCGCCAGCTGAGGCAGACGATTCCGGCTGATGGCACACGGGCAGAAAGGATTAGGCGGACCAGATATGGGAAATGATGTGGTGTGATACAAAGAAAGTGTCACAAGTAGGATGCTTCGAATGATGTTTGTCCACAGATTTCCCGGCTTACTTGATACACCTGGGTTGGGTAACCTGTCTGATTTCCTCCTTCTCAAAACAAAAAGCGGTACTCCGAATGAAGGAGGTACTAAGGTATCCATGTAGTTACCTGGCAGGAAAAATAACGATGGTTGAAAAAATCGTAGAGGAAGTAGAAATATATAAGGAGCAGGGTATATATATATGTATATATAGTTGGCAATAGGAGTTGGTTCGACCTAGCCGCCCTCGCCGCTGCTTCACCTTTGAATGGCACAGGACGACACAGTGATGCTTGCTTTGTGCCGCATTCGGAACCTCGCGGCTTCGGGGATCACACGGACGGCGGGGAGAACCGAGATCCAGACACGGAGAAAAAATGCCCAGAACATTCAAAGTGCGCGGTGACCGGGGCATTATATATTACATTATCTAGGTACCTGCCTCGGCTAACCACCTGGACTACGAAGAAACCGCTTTGCACACAAAATATGGTCATCAAGGTCGCCAACTAGTCGCTGACGATAACTCTCTCAGTCACCAAGTGAGATGGACATACTGGAAAAACCTTGAACCAATGGCGTCGTCTTTCCTGCCCCACACCAAACCCCACCCATCAAGGCCTCGGGGCGGCTGGGCTCGTCATTGCTGGCGGGGATCCTTGTCCGGATCCACCGCTAAATTCCCTGGGATTCCATAGGACCGAAGCTGCTCGTGCTTTCAAGCAGAGATTTTTTACGTCCCGAAATATTTCCATACTGCCGCGGCGCATTCGCATTCCTTTTTTCTTGTTCCGCAACAACCTCAACCTCAACACCGCCGCCACACCCACACCCTCTCCCTCTTTGTAAAGCACTGCCGTTTTGAGCAGTGCCGTCACCTGGTCTCTGGTTTTGTTTCGTAATATTGCGTACTCACCTACCCACAATGTTCGCCTCGCGACTGTCTCGGGCTGTAAGTGCTCCAGCCCGCGCCGCTGTCGGCATCGTGAAGCTTTTCTGGGAAGACCAGCAGATACTGATACTTTCCAGCTCCCCCGGGCCACCCCCAGGTCCGCGGCTTTGCTCAGGGCAAGGCCTATGACCCCGGCCTTTGCCAGGTTCGAGTCCACCTCGTCAGATGACAAGGTCAAGGGCGCCGTGATCGGTATCGATCTGGGCACGACGAACTCTGCTGTTGCCATCATGGAGGGCAAAACCCCCAAGATTGTTGAGAACGCAGAAGGTATGAATAAAAGCCATATGCCTGTGCCTCGTCCTGGACCATGCCCTTAGGCACGTAGCTAACTCCGCCTCCTCTTTCCAGGTGCCCGCACAACCCCCTCAGTCGTTGCCTTCACGGCCGACGGCGAGAGGTTAGTGGGTGTTGCGGCGAAGCGCCAGGCCGTCGTCAACCCGGAGAACACTCTGTTCGCTACCAAGCGCCTGATCGGCCGCAAATTCACCGATGCCGAGGTTCAGCGTGACATCAAGGAGGTTCCTTACAAGATCGTCCAGCACACCAACGGCGACGCCTGGGTTGAGGCCCGCGGCCAAAAGTACTCGCCTTCCCAGGTCGGCGGCTTCGTGCTGAACAAGATGAAGGAGACTGCCGAGGCCTATCTGGGCAAGAACGTCAAGAATGCAGTTGTCACCGTGCCTGCCTACTTTAACGATTCGCAGCGGCAGGCCACCAAGGACGCCGGTCAGATCGCTGGTCTCAACGTCCTCCGTGTCGTCAACGAGCCCACTGCCGCTGCCCTGGCCTACGGTCTGGAGAAAGAGGCCGACCGCGTTGTTGCCGTGTACGATCTTGGTGGTGGCACTTTCGATATCTCCATCCTCGAGATCCAGAGCGGTGTTTTCGAGGTCAAGTCCACCAACGGTGACACCCACCTTGGTGGCGAGGACTTCGATATCCACCTCGTCCGCCATATCGCCCAGCAGTTCAAGAAGGAGTCGGGGATTGACCTGTCCAACGATCGTATGGCCATCCAGCGCATCCGTGAGGCTGCCGAGAAGGCCAAGATTGAGCTGTCGTCTTCGCTTGCCACCGACATTAACCTGCCCTTCATCACCGCCGACGCATCCGGCCCGAAGCACATCAACATCAAGATGACCAGGGCTCAGCTGGAGAAGATGATGGAGCCCCTCATCACCCGCACCATCGAGCCTGTCCGCAAGGCCCTCAAGGACGCCAGCCTCCAGGCCAAGGACATCCAAGAGGTTATCCTGGTTGGTGGCATGACCCGCATGCCCAAGGTTGGCGAGTCTGTCAAGAGCATCTTCGGTCGTGATCCTGCCAAGTCGGTTAACCCCGATGAGGCTGTTGCCGTTGGTGCTGCCATCCAGGGTGCTGTCCTTTCGGGCGAGGTCAAGGACCTGCTCCTCCTCGACGTCACCCCTCTTTCGCTCGGTATCGAGACCCTCGGCGGTGTCTTCACTCGCCTGATCAACCGCAACACGACCATCCCCACCAAAAAGTCGCAAGTCTTCTCCACCGCCGCCGACTTCCAGACTGCTGTCGAGATCAAGGTCTACCAGGGCGAGCGTGAGCTCGTCAAGGACAACAAGCTTCTTGGCAACTTCCAGCTGGTCGGCATCCCGCCCGCTCACCGTGGTGTCCCCCAGGTCGAGGTCACCTTCGATATCGACGCCGACTCCATTGTTCACGTCCACGCCAAGGACAAATCCACCAACAAGGACCAGTCCATCACTATTGCCTCGGGCTCGGGTCTGTCGGATAACGAGATCCAGCAGATGGTTGAAGACTCAGAGAAGTACGCCGAGCAGGACAAGGAGCGCAAGGCCACTATCGAGGCCGCCAACAAGGCCGACAGCGTCCTCAACGACACCGAGAAGGCTCTGACTGAGCACGCCGACAAGCTTGACAAGGCCGAAGCCGACTCTCTGCGCGAGAAGATCGCTAGCCTGCGCGAGTTTGTTAGCAAGAACCAGTCTGGCGAGGGCACCGCCACGGCTGCCGAGATGAAGGAGAAGACCGACGAGCTCCAGAACGCCAGCCTTAACCTCTTCGACAAAATGCACAAGGCCCGCGAGGCTGATGCCAACAAGGCCAACGACTCGAACCCTTCCGACGGCGAGAAGAAGGACGGGTCTAAGCCTTAAAAGGCCACCGCCTTCAAGTTAATTATTCGCACGGGCTCCACGAATCATCCTCTCTCCCTCTGCATATACCCCCCCTCCCACTCGTGGTTTCTCAAAGCAACATGCCTGAGTATCGGCTGGCGTCTCGACACACGCGAAACTAGATCCCATTTATCCTGTAGTTACTTGTACTTATATCTTCTTGCCTTATTTCGCGGTCTCGCCGGCGGCTCGGGTGGTCATCAGCGAGCCGCCTGGTCGACTTGTCACAACATTTGTGTTAGCTACATTTGGGGAGCTGGTGGCGGCGTTCTCGAGAATTAAAAATCGGTGTTTCGTTTTTTGCTGGCTGTGTATTTCCAAAAAGCCAAAGCAGGACTGTGGTCACAGGCTGCGTGTATATAGCGAGCGGGTTTTCATCGGGACATAAGATGATAATGAAGACATTCTCCCCTCCATGATCGTCCGTTTGGCTTTTTTTTTTTTTTGTCTCATTGAGAGAATTTCCCAGCCCTACTTAGGAGTCACTGCTGACTTGTTCTGCTAAAACTGGTCGAAGTTTTGTGCTGGGGTCGACAGTGTATGACGTATGCTTGATGCTTCCGTTTAAATTGGCGAGTTGGGTCACCATCTTTTCTCGAGTGCCAGGCTGGTTATTATAAGCATACGTAAAGTGGGTTGTCTAAACCTTGCGGTGACCTCAACATCCATGAGTTATGAGTCAAAAGGGCGAGGGGAAGCGGAAGACAGACGAGGACGAGAAGCTGAGCTTGTTTAAGGGGTTACTAAAGGGGTATATGGAGTGTGTTGGGTGTGTATGATGGAGAGGGAGCGTGAGTCTTTGCTCCATCTCCGATTCCATCACGCTACCTATCCTTATCGGCTTCTTCGAAAACATGTCCGTAGCCACCAATATCGGGTATCCTTCCCCTCCCGGCCCCTTCCGAAGTCGACACGCGCAATAAAAAAAACAAGTCCAGTAGGTAAGAAAGCCTATCCATTTCCTGAAGCACGCCCTATCGCCAAGCCAGGGGGGTCCCATATCTGTCTCGCAATATCGGTGCGGCCGGTAAACAGGCCAGGGGAATGGAATCGGTTGCAGGAGCACAACATCATGGTGTCTTCCCCTCAAAACAGAGTCGCAGAAATTAAGTACCAAGTATCGATAGCAAAGCCCATCAAAGAAAGGCCGAAAGTCAGCTTTCGTTTTTGCTTTTTCCTTCCACCCTTTCGTCCCCCATTCAATCGTTCCATAGACAAACATTGCTTATTGGCCAAGCTCCTCGTCCTTCCCTAACAATTGCACCATAGCCTTGCCTTGTTAGGTGAGCTACTAGGTGAGCTACATGGTGGAGTTAGGGCATGTCAAAACTCCTCCATGCCGGTCCGGGGCGACATCGGGAAAGACAGAGGGAAAAGGAAGAAAAAAAAAGGCCATTGTCCTCTGCTGCAGGAGGCTCGGCAGTTTGTACACAAAAACCCGCAGTGATGAGGTGGACCAAGTAGGCCTCCTTATACGACGGAAGCCTGGGGTCCACCACATAGAGGTTCTTCGAAGAAATTTAGGTTATTCGACAGGCAAGCATGACTGATCGGATGCTTGCAAATAGATGCGTTGCAGCTGCGGGGATTCCTGACTAGACTTGATCTCAAAGGTCGAATGCTTGACGATGAAGCTGCTGAGAAACAAGAGTGAGAGACATCCTCAACAACGGCCAGAGTCCAGTGTGGGCAAGGATCTCTAGATGTGACTGAGTTTACGTCTGAACAGGGGTGGGCGCTCGTCGGCCCCAGTCAGCAGACCGGCGGAATCCTCCTCTTCCCCGGCCAGTTGGCGTCGCGTGGGCTCCGTGACCTGACGAGGAGGGCGGAATTGATCCGCCATCGGTGGTATATGAGGTCATTGAGGCGTCGCGGGGCCTGGGGCCGTTGCCTCCAGCGCCGCCGCCGACGCCGCCAGGTCCGCCACGGCTGACGCCAGAGTTCTGACGCGGTCCCGGGTTGCGTGGTCCACGGCTGGGACGAACGGGGTTGCTGTATGACCGCATCGAGTTGGGGAGGTTCACTCGCTTCGATTTAGGCCATCCCGGCATCATGACGAACGCAAAGTTGGGCTGGGGATCTTCGGTCGCCTCGACAGTTGTGGCGTTGATCTTCCTGGGATAGTTCCTGCCTGGGGCCACTGCCGGGTGCCAAGCCGCGTCTGGCGCCGATGCCGGCAACCGAACTGGTGGGAGAGAGCCCATCTCCTGCTCTTCGAAGCACTCCTCGGCCATGTCTTTGGAGGTGGGAGAGCCCCGATCGACTGCGACCGATCCAGAGAAGCCAGGCAAAGACACAGTAGCCTGGTTGTGGGAGGCTGACGAATCCATAGCGCCACGGCTAGTGGAGTCGACTGCTGTACGGGCCGGAGAGGACTTGGTGTCATGGAGTAAATCATGGATCTTTGTTTGCCAGCTCGACGTGGGGCGCTGAACCGATGATGTTGGGTTGCCTCGCGCGTGGGTCGGCGAAGCAAGGTTCTCCTGAAACGGCTTCGGCGTCGCCCAGCTGAATGGCGGACCCGAGTTCGCGTTTGGCGGAGCGGCCGATGGAGGAGGGACCGCAGACGCCGCGGAGCGGTGGGCTGCCGTAGACGGCGGCAGCCGGACAACGGGACGAGATGGTGGGAGAGCAACATGCGGGTTGGTGGCGTCTCCGTCAAACGCCGGGTGGCCGTCCATGTCTGGAGGTGGCGGGGAGGGAGAGCCACGTTGGGCCGTTTCGGCATTTGTAGTTCCATCAGCTCGGCTGTCCTTGCTCGGGAAGAACCTCGATCCGCGAGTCTGTAGAGATGTGGCAGCTGAGATAGCCTTGCCCGACGATGGCGGGACTGGGCCGGTCGAGGCCTTGGCGTCGGGGCGATCCTCCGCCGGCGGGGGCCTCCAGGTGGAGCCGTGGACGACTGAGACGCGGTCCTTGGACTCGACGCGCCTGCCATCATTGTCCAACTGGACAGGCTTCCACTGATCGCGGAATGTGGGACGAGCGTCCTCGATCTTGACACCGCGGGCGTCGAGGTCCGATTTCTGCTGCGCAAACCGGTCGCGAGCCTCGCTTGTCATCTTTTCATCTGTGGCCATGGCCGCCTTGACCCACTGAGACCTCACATCATCATCAGATGCGGCTGAGCGACGGTCGGTCGGGAGAGAAGCGACCTTGGGAGGCGCAATCGGCTTGGGATGCAGCGGCAGCTGTTGCTTGACAGGACCTGGAGGGCCGATGGGACCAGGTCCCGGAGCGGTGGCGATAGGCATCTGGTGTAGATGTGGAGGGAGTGTTTCGGGCACGCGACCCAGGTCAGACACAAATGTGCCGTTGCCCAAAGTGCGGTTGCTGTTGGAGGTAGCCCAAGGATTGCGGGTGGATGTCTGTCCTGGTGGTGGTCCCCAGGAAAATCGAGGCTCGGTCTGGCGAGATTCGTGTTGTGTTGTGGACGAGCTCTGCCACGAAGGCTGCTTGCCGTCCTGGGTGGTAGATGGTCGGCCGTCGCCACTCGCCAGAGGGTGGGCACTGCGCGGGTTTTCGTTGGCTGGCAGCCTTCGAGGCCCGTTGCTGGGTGGATCCGCGCTGGCGTTTGCACCGTCGTCCGATCCAGTTGGACGCGTTGAGATCACCTTGCTCTCAGCGGGTTTGCCGTCCTGCAAGGTTGCCTGTGCTGGGTCCTGGCCTGGTGCTTGGGAAGGCGGGTTTTGAGACGAGGAAGGCGCGGGTGGGGCTGCCGTAGTCGAAGCCGCCACCTCTCGCGCAGCCGCTTGCTTTGCGCTCCTGCTCTCGGGAGCGGGCCCCAATGCCGCCAGCCTGGCCGCAATTCTCTTTTGTTTTTCTGCCTCTGCCTTGGCCTCCTCCTCAGCCTTGCGCTGCCGGGCAAGCTGCAGCTTCTCCGCCATGAGCTTCTTCTGAAGCTCGAACTCGTCCTCGAGCGGGCGCTGAGGTAGCTGATTTGGAGGCGGGAGCATAGCAGGATCATGCGGTCCAGGGCCAGGATGCGGCACCGCGTTCGAGATGTGGGGGGATGTGCGGGCATGCCACGATGCCCCATGAGGCCCATATCGCGGCCCGGACGGCGAGAAGTTGCGAGGAGAAACAGGGCTATCACTGGCGAGAGAGCCCCGTCGGACATTGGCCAGGTCCGGCGGAGGCATCATCTGGTCGTGGGGTTTGTTCAGTCGTTGCATGTAGGTGCCGCTACCACCGCTCACATTAGACGACCCGCGCCGCCGGCCATATGGAGGCTCTGGCGGACCTGGCCTATTGGTCTGAAAGGCCGCGGACGGCTCTGCAGGCCCTTCAACATGGGAGGGGCGCTGCAGAACGCTGGCAGGGTGTCTCTGATAGACATCGTTTCTTGGTACGCCGCGCCGCTCAGCAACAGGCTCGTAACGGCCCGACCGCGAATCGAATAGCTCCCTATTGTGGCTGACGGGACCGCCAGACCTGCTGAAGTCGTCGGCAGCAATCTCCTTGGCGGGGGGAGGCGTCATGCTCTTCATCGGCGGTCCGTCTCGGACTGGCGGGCGGCCAAGGCCGTGAGGTGGGGCATTATCGAGGGGCGCTTTCTCCACAGGCGGGAGGGTGGCCCACGGTGACTTGATCGGGGCAGGCGGAGGCGGTGGCCTCGCAACCAACGTCGGCTTCTCTGGGGCGCCTTTGAGAACTAGTCCCTTGCCAGACCCGAGAACTCCGATGGCCGGTTTGGTGGATGGTGATGCGCTGGGCGCAGGGGATTTCGGTTTATCCAATACCACCTTGTCTTTCAGGGGTGCCGTCATCGTCATCGTGGGGGTCGGCGCTGGGATCGCTGGTGCTGGCTTCGGGCTCTCCTGCGGCTCGTCCACCTGCGGAATAGTCACTTTGGTGCCGTCGTTCCACTGAATCTCACCAGGAACCCAGTCCTCATCGTCGTCATCGATATCAGCCCAGTTATTTTGCCCTGCAGCATCGTTGCCAGGAGCCAGCCGATCCGTCATGTGAATCCCGTACTTCTTCAGCTCCTCATCCGTGAACTTCTTAGGCTCAGGCGGGGGCGGAGCTTGGACACATAGTGTTAGCTTGCGACGTACGGGCGCCAAATCAAAATTGGATAATTATAAGCCAAATACTCACGTCGGTTCTTGTTCCAGACAGCACTGGCATCTGGCGCCCCAGCAGCCTTCCCAACGCCTCCAGGTCCTTTGCTCCCATCACGCGATACGCCGAGTTTCGCAACTAGCCGAGGTCGAGCCACCGAAGAGGCGCCACTGGCCGACTGTTGGGCCGAGAGCGAGGATGTTGAGGAAGGCTTGTCCAGGGGCTTGGAAATAGAGCCAGCGGCTGTGGGGGTTTTGCTGCCAAGGAAGGTCCTGTTGACGGACACGGATTTGAACGTGGCGGGCTTCTTGATGGCGGACGAGGTCCTGCTGTACGCCTTGTCGCCATCTTTGGAGGTTGTGCCGTCGGGCTTGGACGCCTCGGTGTCGGAGCCTCCACTAACGCTAACCTCGGCCGAGTTCACCAAGTCATCAACAATGTCGGAGAGGTGCTTGCCCCCAATTTCGTCCGAGGAAGCGGCGCCGTTCACGCGAGGCTGCGACGAGTCGACATCTTGGGAGTCGGCGCTGATGGTGATGATCTTTTGGGCGCATTTTTGGTTAGCAGTGTGGTCAGCAGGCAGCAACGCTCCCCCTCTGCGGCGCGACGGCCGCGGCAGCCCGCGGCAGCCCGCGCCTGGCCACACGCAGCACAGCGACCAAGGAGCAGGCCAGGCGGCGGCAGGCAGGCAGGCAGCCGGGAGGCAGGCGACGGCGACGACGTACAGGCTCGGTAGAAGTGGTGGCAGCATCGACGGGATTCGACAGACTGGCCTCAGCAGCCATCATCCGTGACGGAAGACTGTGGCCCGGGTGGTGGGGAGCGATGACCTCTACAGCCGCGGCTCGAGTCGCTCTGTTTGCGTGGCGATTGAGGCGTGCGATATCGTGCGTCGTGGCCTCGAAATTTTGCGATGGTTGCGGCACAAGCTCGAGCAGGCCAATGATGTTGGGCGCCAACGACTAGGCTCTAAGATGGTAATGCGGGGGGGGGGGACGGGGGGGAAGGAGCTGCACCGAGTGTCGGGCGCAGGCCGATGCCGAGTATCTGGAGAAAAGGTAGTCGTTCCCTTCCGTCGGGGCGCTGGCCGGAATGGGAGGAAGGGAGGGGATGGGGAAAATGCTCTCAAGACTGCTGCAGTGGTGTCGAGTCCCGTCGCCCGGATTAGACTGACGGTCAAAGTGGGAAATTTAGAGCGTGTTCACCAGCCCCATGTCACATTGGGTTTAGCGCCCCATCTAGCGCCCCTGCTGTTTCTGTTTGCTGTGCCCTCCTTGAAGCCCATTGAGCCGGCAAGAAACAGCCGGAAGCTTCATCATCCAACAGCACCAACACGCTAGAGCTTGATGGAAGAGGAGGAGAAACGGCCTACCAAATTAGATTTGATTCCTTGTGAGAATCCCATATGCCGCCAACCTGGTGGACGAGTACACCCATCCCATCCTGATGCCCTTACACCCTGCCCGGGGCTCGCCCCTCACTACCGACCTCAGGAGAGCGCCAACTTTGCCAACATGTTCATGTGCTCCTGGTGCGGGTCTCACTCAAGAATGACTGGTAGCTCACCACCTATCTGCCTCCCTGCCCCCGCGACATCCCACAGTTGGCTCATCATAAGCACCATGTGGTCATAACACCATATGGCCATAACGAGGCTTCTGTTCAATCTAGCATATCCTGGTGGGGTAGGGCCGAGGACGTAACAGCAAGCTGCACGCAACAGGTTCCAGAAACGTGAGATGTGTACGCACAGTTTCGCACAGGCAACATGCTCCAGGTCCCCGAAAGCGAGGGCAAACAACCCAAGTTGCATTTTCTGTTTTCCCGATCAAAGCCTGTCTCAGCATGGGTACAATGCCCACCGCAACACCCGTTTACATGAGAACAGCACAGCAGAGCACAGCATATGATGAGCATGCAAACAAGCCGGCCGTAGCTTATAGCAACCGCAATATATCGCCCGGGCTGGTAGTAATATCACAGGCACAGATGAACCAGTGGCATGTGCTCGGAATACTGCTCACAGTTCATTCGCACGGGAACCCGGTCTCCTCTAGGGACAAAGGCAAGTCTGGTATAGACCAGAGTACCAGCTTATGCTAGATGCCTTCACCTCGCTCTCATATCCATGTTATGTACAAATGGCAACCTTGGCTACAAATTCACCAAGGCTTGGAACAAGCTTAGTGAGGGTTGTTCTTGTGGTGGCCTGGTTGTAGAACCACATTAGTGTCGAAATCGCATTGCCACAGCAGTGGGGGGGCTGAAAGGGGAACTCACGCAGGTGGAAGTAGTAGTTCTGCGCATAACCAATGCCGACCAGGAAAACGATGGCATGGATGATGGCTGCGGGATACATAGGTCAGTCTCCCCAGCTCTCGGCCTATAATGACAATGAGGAATCAAGGCCAGAAGGTCAGGGGACGCATACGCTTCGCAGACGGGTTCTTCCCGAAGTGCTTGTGCTGGTACTTTCCAAGGATGCCCGTAGGCTTGACCTCAGGGGCGGGGCCCCGGGGCAGCTTCTCGTAGAACTTTACGACGCGCTGCATGCGCAGGGCGTCGGGGGCAGCGCCGATGGCCTGGACGGTTTGTGATCCCGCGCGTTAGCCCTCAATCCGAGATGTAGGGTCCGGCAGTGGCCGCCACACGCGGCTTTTACGATGCGCAGCCGGGTTTGCCGTTATCCCGGTGCCCGTCCGGCGCGCCAATGCCTGCCAACAGCGCTGCAGCTTCTCAGGATGGCCGTGCCGCGCCTCCCTGCCGCCGTCGTTTTGCCCCCCACCGAGACCGGAATCAGTGATGTGTGCGTGGTTGGACTTACGCTCGGAGAAGCGACCTGTTGACCCGACGAGAACTTGACTGTTAGCATTATTCGTCGTTACCACGGCGGGCACTTCGGACCAACGGAGGCAAACGTGCCTTGGGCGGGATGAGCGTTGAGAGCGCCCGGCGAGTGACGTAGCTCATCTTGGGCGAGCGGGCGACCGGGTTCAATGGGCGAGGAGGTGCAGCAGTCGTGGGTGCGAGCTCGATCGGCCGGGTTGCTGCGATCGAACGGTCAATTGCGTTGCTGTCGTCGTTGATTGAAAAACGGGGGTTTTGCGAGGGATTCCAAGACCGTGAGGCCTAAACTCGGGCGGCAGAGCTTTGCTGCGATTCTTTCCGCCGAGCGGCCAATCATGTGACGCTGCCTCGTCGCGGTGGAGCCCGCCCCGATTTTCAGCCAACGTCGGCCCAGCCTTGAATTGAAGCTTCCCATCGCAAAGAAGAAACCGCCAAAACAGGGGGGGCACGCAGCGAACCCCAGCTTTCACTTGAACCGGAAACTCGCCCACGTCGAGAGCTGCATCCGATCAGTCATGGCTTCCCTCAGGTCGTCGTCGGCTGCAGCCGCCCGCGCGCTCAGGAGCGCGTCCCAGGCGCGGCCCGCCCTCTCCTCCGTCATGACCACCGGCCGCCGCAGCGAGGGCACCATCGCCCCCGTCAAGCAAACCGCCGCCCCCGCCGTCGTGAGGCCGAACCAGCCCGACTACGCGGCTCAATTCGACAAGGCTACCTCGTGAGGGAACCCCCCCTCCGGCTCTTGCCGGATCTGTGCGCCCACCTGCTGGGGGAACACGACATTGACCAGATGGAATGCACGCGAGCAGCACCTTCACCCCCGTTCCTAGGCAAGTCCAGGACGGCAGCGAGCAGACCGACGTCCTCCCCGCTTCGGTCATGTCCGGTGCTCCAATGGAGCTGCAGGCCCGGACGGCTCGGTAAGGCGATCATGTCCCAATGGAGGCTATCGACCCCGCGGGCTAACAGTGCGCAACCGAAAACAGCATCTACAAGCCTTCGAAGCCGGCGACGCAGTCCGGAAGACACGGCCTGCGCCAATGGCGAATGGACTGGGACGTGCTAGAAAAGGGCCACCGCTGGGAGAACCCCCTGATGGGTTGGCAATCCTCGGCAGACTTTATGCAGGGAACACACATGTACTTCAAGTCCAAGGAGGATGCCATTGCCTTCGCCGAGAAGCAGGGCTACGAGTACTTTGTTCAGGAGCCCAACGTGCGGAAGATCACACCCAAGGCCTATGCCAACAACTTCCTGTACACAGACAAGAAGCTGAAGCATATCCGCACGAAATAAGTAAGGGAGTGGACAATGGACTTGCAGGGGGGCATGGCCGCGCAGAGAAAACGGCAAACAGGATGGCGTTGGTCAGCAAGACGCTGGATCAGCGAAGGCAATCGCTGTGCTGTTGTGTATATAGCGGGTACATTTATACGCGTGCAATTGGCTTCCCTGGCCCTAACCTACCTTCCGTCACATCACCAGGCCTTTATGCCCCCGAACATAAACAGTCATGCTTAAAACATATGGTGGTGGGGAATAAATGAGTTCAGGAAGTATTGCTATTCATAAACATTGCTCATTCCCATCATCAATACCTCTCACCCACTTGCCCAACGGAGCACTCCTTCTACAAACTCCAGGAACCACTCGAAACGCCGGCGCACTCGGCCAGACCCGAGCATGACTATTTGAAAGCAACGCACAGCACGCAACCAACAGTGCTATACACTATCAAGACAAAATTGAATGAGACCACACTTGCAGCCCTGCTTGTGTATTTGTTCGTTTATCCCCCCTTGAAGCCGAGAAAGAAACAAGCCTTGTTCGCCGTCAAAAGGGGGTGCTGCTCTGTTACGCCGCCTGGATTAAAACGAGGATAAAAAGAAACGGAAAACCCACAAAGCTGCGACGCTCGGGTCTCCATATGAATGTGAATAACGGAGCACACCACGATAGACAAGCCTAGTCACAATCACTCGATTGCGCGAGACGCCTCCTCATGCGACACGTAGACCAGGAGTTGAGACTAGGTTTCGACAGCCGCGGCGGTCATGTCGTCACCATTGGCTCGTGTCCGTTCTCATGCAGCCGATCATCAGCCATGTCGCCGTCGTCGCAGTTGAGGCCAAGGTCTAGGCGGCTGGGCAGTTCGATCTTGCGAAGCCTGGCGGTGTTCTCAGTCCAGGCTCGCAGCTTAAGAAGCTCGCTTATTGCAGTCATGCATCGCTGACTCTGCTGGGCCAAGATTGCCTTGTTGACACTGTCGGCGACTTCTCTCCGAAGATCCGGATGCAGAAGACGCCGCACCCCAGGTGGAACATTATCGCGTGAGAAAAAGAGCAGGGACATGGTCAGCTCGAGATCCTCAGTGAACTCTTTGCTTGCCGGTGCCCGCGGCCCCAGTTGCTCCTGAGCAAATGTGACCGCATCAGCAATGTCATCGCCGTTGGAGGACCGAATGAGTTCGACAAGCTGAAGGCGAAGAAGAGCAAAGTGCAACGGGGGGTTTTTGCCCAGGATCTGAACCTCTCCAGTTAGCATTGTTCGTGAACAGAAAAATGTTGCCAAACATAGGTTAAGGTAGAGGGTGGTTGCTCAGGATTTTCAGTGTGGTGTTATTCATCACTGGCACATAGGCCATATGCGTGGTGCATGATAAAGTTTTTTAATCATCGCAAAGTGAGAAGAGGGTCATGAGATAGGAGCGCATCTGCATACCTCAGGGTCAAGGTCGTTCAGGCCCTCTATGGCGGCCTTGATGCTGCCTTTGTGAATGTGGTTCTGGATCTCGTGCCTCGCCATGATAGAAGCATCGTCCTGCTGGGCAGGAATGTTTGCTTCCTTGGCAAAATTTGCAGCAGCCATGGGGTAGCCCTCCAAGGTCAGGTAGTCAAGAATCACGGCATTGATATCGCTAGATGAAAACAGTTAGCTACTGCCTTCCACTCGGGGCCGACGGCTTTGATGCAAATGGCAAATGAAGTTGCAATATCAGAACGCTTGGACACGATGTGTCAATCCGCATGATGCTTCTCAGAGAGATTCCCATTTTTTTGATCATCATATTGCGAGGTGGAAAGGTGGAAGAGGGGAAGGCGAGTGACGGGTAGGGTTGAGTGAGGATGGGGACAGTGAGCCAAACAAGACATACCTTTTGGGAAAGCGAACGGCGGCAACCCTGGCATCAAATGAATGCTTCACCGGTGTAGCGGTGGAAGTAGTTGATGTCTGTATTGTGAAGGGAGCGATGTAAGCTCGAGCCAGCTCGCGACGGCGCGACAGGACCGCTTGGACATTGCTGGACTGGGGTAAGTGCGTACCATTTTGGTTGGCTGCTGGGTGCTCCGCGCACCACGGGCGGGCAAGTCAGGCACTTCCTCGCCCTCCTGCAGAGACGGATATGGCAGGCCAAGGCGGCGCAAGGCTGCCCTCTGACGGAAGTAGCTCGTGATGTAGTTCAGCAGCGCCGGGTCGGTGTCCGCGATGGAGTTGAGCTCACCCCAAGGCAGCGGCCTTGACATGAAGCGCGCGCCACGGCCTCGAGCTCACAATTGTATGGGGAAACAAAAGGAAACAAAGAGCCGCGGCGCCTCCAGAGGTGGGCAGGTTAGGGTATCTTGAAAAGAATGGCTTGCTGGTTCGCGACGGTGCTAAGCCACTAGTTGAAAGGTGAAGAAAAAAAATGAAGAACGGAGAGGAAGAAAGAAGTATGAGGATGCGAAGAAATTTAGCTTTGAAGTCCTCGGTCGGCCTTTTTCCCCCCATCGCCCCACTCTGGATACGCACCGGCCACACCGCGATGGAGCTTTGTTCAAGGGCTGCTAGTGGCGGTGGTGGCTATGCTAAACTCCAACCTACAGACCCACAGTCTTCAGAGGACCTAGCCTGAGACGACGGGATGACGTGTGCGCCGGGCAGTATTTCCTCCAAGTCGACAAGGTGACAAGAAAGCGAAATGGCTACGTGTGCAATACTTACTATCAGTACTAGCGAACCTACCAGGTTGAGGGGCTAATGTGGAAACATTGGTACTTTTCGAGTTTGTCACTGGGAAAGTCCCTTTGCACTCTCTGTCGCTGGGATTCTGTCTTTGTGAAGCTAAAGGATAGATAAGTAGTGGGGACAACTTCTTGTGGCACCCCGAATCGGTGTGTAAACTGCTCCGTGATTTGATATCGTAGGATAAGTCGGAAACATACTAAATACACTGTCTAAGCATAGCCCTGAGGGTTGCTAACTCATCTCTTGTGATCTGTACCTGCTCGTGGAGCAGTGGCGGGGTGGGTGGACTGAAATATGTGGTGGGATATGCCCCACGCTCAACTCGTCCAAACCACCCAACATGCAGGCACGTGAGCCACGACCTGAAGCTGAGGAGTGTAAACTCAAGGCGGCCGTCACCAACGCTGACGGGAGGACGTGTCCGCAGGTGATAAGCGGTCTTGGTCTGAAAGGTCCTACATGGACACGATTGCGAACCCGGCGGCCTGTTGATGGTTAGACCACCGAGCATTCCTTGGAGCATTTGGGGTACGAGACAGCCACGCTGAAGCGGGCACTTTTGGCTCATGCTGCGGGCTGTCCGACACTTTTCTCCCCCACCTCCACAGCCAGCGCTCACCTTGTCCCTCGTGCCGCGTGCCAAGTCGCTCAGCCTTCGCATAACCTACCTACCTACCTATCTATCTGAATTGCATATCCTCTCGTCGCTTCTTCATCGCCGTATGTGCTCTGACTCTGTCCTGAATTATTCGTCCCGTCCTCCTCCTTGCTCTGGACACGACCGACCCCCGCTAGGACACCCAGCGCCGGCCCGCCGTCGCCCAACATGGAGGACACCGCGGCGACCAATTCCACCATCAAGACTCGGCACCACTACGCGCCGCCATGGGCCGACGTGAGCATTATCGGGATTGCGGGCAGCTCGGGCTCGGGCAAGTCGAGCGTGTCGGATGCGATTGTCAAGAAGCTGAACCTGCCCTGGGTTGTGATCCTGTCCATGGTAAAGCGGCCTCTTCTCGTGTGCCCGCGTCGAGATACCGCTCCGAGGCATTGATTGGTTCCGTCTTGGGCAGCCTTGCCGTCCGCATCCTCGGCTTACACAAGCCCGTGTCACGCCAAACGCAGGATTCCTACTACAAGACGCCGAGCGAAGAGGCCCTGAAGAAGGCGTTCGCAAACGAGTACGACTTTGACGCTCCCGATGCAAGTCAATTCCTCCTCCTTTTACTTCGTTTTTGCCGAGACTTTTGTTGCTGGGCCATGCCGGCATTCTGCTGCTCGCCTTCTAAGTCAAGGTCCCCGATATGGCGGGCTAACGTATGTGAACTGCCCGCCACAGGCGATTGATTTCGATGCTCTTGTCCACTCTCTACGTGATCTCAAGGCCGGGTAGGTACCTCACACAGCTCGTGACAATCACCAGGTCTCATGATACAGCTCGCCTCACCGGCTGGCTTCAACAGACTCTGCGGTAGCTAATATGTCCTGGCCAATAGTAAACGGGCAGAAATACCCGTCTACTCCTTCCAGCAACACCGGCGACTCGAACAGACCACGCCGATATACTCCCCTCATGTTCTGATCTTGGAAGGCATCTTCGCACTGTACGACCCCAGGGTTCTGGAGCTGATGGATATGAAGGTTAGTTCCAGCAAAAGGCTCGACCTTCAATAGGCTCCCTCAGCTAAGACGTGATGCTCATTGACGCAAAGGTATTCTGCGAGGAAGACGCAGATGTTTGCCTCAGTCGACGAGGTGAGTTTGTCACTTGGCGGACGTGCATATTTGTGACAGCTTGCTCACATCAAATGCGCCAGTTATCCGGGACGTCAGGGATCGAGGCAGAGATGTCGAGGGAATTCTCAAGCAGTGGCTGAGCTTCGTGAAGCCCAACTTTGAGAAGGTGAGTGATTGGCGCGATAAAGTCCACGTTGAGGATGTGGTCTAACAAAGGGACCCTGACGTCTGCAGTTTGTCGATCCGCAACGTAAAGTGGCAGGTGAGGCTAAAGACAAACGCTACGCCTCCTTGGTAGAGTCTTGCTGACCTTTCCAAACAAAAAAAAAACAGACATCATTCTTCCAAGAGGCATCGAGAACACAGTCGCCATCAGTCAGTCAAGGAAACCCTGTGATACGATTTGTCCTTCGAGCTACTCATCCCTAACATACATATCTTCTCGAAATAATAGCCGTGGTGGTCCAGTATGTCGAGCAGAAGCTCTTGGAGAAATCCAAGCAGCACCGCGCTGCCCTGACTAGACTCGAGCTCGAGTCCCAAGCGTCACCACTCTCAGACAGAGTTGTGTTTCTCGAACAGACTCCGCAGATGCGTGGCATGGACACCATCCTGCACGACATCGATACACCGAGCGAGGAGTTCATCTTCTACTTTGACCGCATATCGACTCTGCTGATCGAGCGGTGAGTTCTTGGAAGGGATGCGTGACTACGCCGGTTACTCATCGGCCAGTCCACTGACGACAAAGGAAACCCACCTCCCACGCTAGCGCCCTCGAAAACGTCATGTTCCAAGAGGCCAGCGTCACCACGCCGCAGGGCCACACGTACCGGGGCCTCCGGGCGCGGGGCGACGTGAGCGCCATCGTGCTGGAGCGCGGCGGCGCGGCGCTCGAGACGGGCCTGAAGCGCGTCATCCCGGACTGCCGGATGGGCCACGTCGTCATCGAGTCCAACGTGCGCACGGGGGAGCCCGAGCTCAAGTACCAGAAGCTGCCGCGCGACATCGACTCGCGCTGCAGCAACGTGCTGCTGCTCGACGCCCACATGTCGTCGGGCGGCTCCGCCCTCATGGCCGTCCAGGTCCTGCTCGACCACGGCGTGCCCCAGGACCGCATCGTGCTCGCCACCTACTCGGCCGGCCGCATGGGCCTGCACCGCCTGACGACCGTGTTCCCCGACATCACCGTGGTCGTGTGCAAGCTAGTGAATGACATTGAGGAGAGGTGGATCGAGAAGAGGTATTTCAGGTGCTGAAGGGCAGCTGTGGAAACTTCCGGGGGCAAATGCGTAGCCAATGGTATTTCTAAGAATGACCTCTCATGAGCAAGGGGCACAGGACGCGAAATTGCAACGCTCGGGGGACCAGAAAGTGATGGTAAAAGTACAGGTAGGACTCTGGCTCTAGCATACGGATAGCACAGGTCTCTTTCTAGGTTCCTGAGTCTCCGATCTTAGTCATTCCACCATCTCGAAAAGCTTCTCTGAGCGGCTTGGATGGCGGCCATCCACGTTCTCATGATATGTGTAACATTAGTAGGCCATCAGGTCTGTTTGATTGGTTAGCCAATGCTCTCGAAGCACGCATTTCGTAAAGACTGATTCTGCGGCACTCAGAAAACTTACCACGGCCAAACAGGCCACGCTTGAGCCAGTCCATGGCCAAGAGCAGTCGGGTCCGGAAACTGACACTTTGGGAAAAGTATATACTGCGCCACGCGTACATAGCCCAGACCCCGCCCGCGAGGCTCCAACCGTCGCCCAAATCAAAGACGGCCGAGTTTCCAATGTAAGCAAGGCTGCCGAGGTGCTTGTACTCGAAGGCTTTATACACTGCCGCATCGATATCGGCGTCCCTGATATCGTTAGCTTGCAGGCCCGGCGCGGCCCTTGCGAGCTTGTTCAGCTTGTGCGCGAGGTACTGGCCTTGTTGATGCGCGCGCTGGGCCGTGGCTGGCAGAGACGTGAGCTTGGAATCGATCTGTCGCATGAGCTCCCTAAGCTCGCCAAAATCGAGAGTCCCGCTCTGGTCTCTGTCAAACTCGGCAAAGAGCTTGTCGAGCCGCTTTAAGTGGGTGGCGGCCTGCGGGAAGCGCCTCTTGACATCTGCCGCAACGTTGCGCCAGTCGCTGAACTGCAGCTCCAGAGTCTCGGGATCGCGGCCATGCTTCCAGGCATATCCACGGAGAAACTTTACTATGTGGTCGGCCACATTGTTTTGCACGGTGCTGCAGTCACCGATGGCATACACGTCACCCAGTGGTGTCCCGTTCACGCGCAAGTGGCTGTCTGTTTCCAGCGCGTGCCTGTTTTGCTGGCTCTCGCCCAGCCGGGCCGACACTGTCTTGGAAAACTCAGTCTGTGACACACCTGTTGACCACAGACAGAAGCCCATGGGTAGCTCTTTGGTGATGAGCTCGCCGCCTGGACCCTTTTGCGTGAAAATGATGCTGTCTGGCTTGACCTCGCTGACCCTGGAGTTGGTCAAGACCTTGATCTGGTCCCTGGCGAAGCGCTCCTCGGCGTACTTGGAGATTTTCTCGTCATATGTGTTGAGCACGTGAGACCTCGACTGAATGAGATGCACCGAGATCTGATTACGGAGGAGCTTGGGAAAGTGTAGTGTTAGGTCCTCGTTCAGCAGGTCACATAGTTCGGCGGCGAACTCCACGCCTGTTGGCCCTCCTCCGCTGATGACGAAACTCAAAAGGCGCCGGCGCTCCTCATCTGACGTGGTGGGAAGACTAGCCAATTCCAGGTTGTGCACAACTTGGTTCCGGATCTTGCGCGCGTCACGGATGTCCTTGAGAAAATAACAATTCTCAAGCCCCTTGACGCCATGTGGATTGGTGCTGGACCCGACCCCGATCACTAGCTTGTCGTAGGGCACGTAGAATCTGACCTCCCTACCAGAGGCATCCTTTTGAGAGACCTCGACCAGCTTGTGAGAGAAGTCGACATCCTCGGCGTTGGCTCTGAGGAAATGGCCCCGCACCCTGTGAAGGATTCTCCTGATGGGCTCGACGAGCGATTTCAGCTCAAGTGTGCCCACCGTCGCGGATGGGAGCATCGGGGTGAAGAGGAAGTAATTGGTGGGGGAGATGAGCGTGACATTGTAATCATCCGGATTCAGTTCCTTGAGGATCGCGACGCTCCCCCATCCACCACCTAGAATCACCAGCTTGGGTTTGCCCAAGTGGCTTTTGGTGGCTTCGCTCTCATGGTCGTCTAGATAGGCGTCGAGGATTGGCAGATTTTTGGGCCCTCCGCGTCGAGGGTTAAGAGCAGATTGCGGGACACAGATCTCGGCGTTGTTGGCCGCCTCCTTGTAGGTCGAGGCGTCATAGACGAAGAAGCCAACGACGCCGAGACCGACGAATGCGATGGAGCTTCCGAGCCAGGCCGCCGCGCGGTATGTAAAGTTGAGGACTTTCGATTTTGTCTGCGGTAGCGGGCTGCCAGACAGGTGTCGGATGAATGGACGGTTGGCGATCAGCGCAAAGCGCCTGGGCGAGCGGGGAGCACTGTCGCCGGTCGCCTTGGGCTCGGTTGTCTTCTGCGATGCAGCCCTCGGCGAGCCAGCGGGGGATCGCGGGTGAGCAAGATAGGCTCTGGGAAGCGCGCAGTGGCGTGGGATCGGAGCTGGCCTGGCCCAGGCTCGCAGTGCCTGGGTCTGGACTCTGGCTGGAAGCATCGCAGGCGCGTTCAAGGCTCAGATCACGACAGGTTGGCCGATGAAGAGCGAAAGGGGCATCGCGGTGGCTAATTCACGGGCGGGTGTGCCCATGGAAGGTCGGGAATGCCACAGAAGCACAGAATTGATCTTTGCTTGCTGAGTTATTTGTTGGTACGAAGAGCTGTCGCGACGCACATTCAAGTTGGCGGCGCCGCCCTCGCCGAAGTGCTGTGCTGCGTCATTGTGGGTCTAGTGCGGGAACGATGGAGACGACCCAGGGGAGCGGCCAACGGGGGTGCAGCTGACACTGATCCAAGTTGGCGCCGTAAATCGAGTGGCCAGATAGGTGGGTGGTGTTTTGTTCTAGGCTAGGCTAATGCCCGTAGGGCCGGGTCCTACGAAATGTGCTTGGTGGCCAAATTGGCCCGTGCTCAATCGAGACTCATCTCTTCCTCCACAGAGGCCGGTTAGCTTGCCGATATTGCAAACATATTGACGCCCGCATCAAATGTCATTCGATCTTCATCATGACCCGGGTGCTTTTAATATTGGTACACACGGGCAAGTGTCAGCTTGGTGAGTGGGTGCTGATTGGGATACCTTTGAGACACCCGTTAACCTTGCTCCATTAACCCCTGATCCAAATACATTTTTATTTCCCTGCGGCCCTGACGACAGGCAGTCCTCTCAGATCACCTCGAATCACTTCTTTGGCGTAACATATGCGGGGCGCTGCAGTTTATGTCGTTGTCGAGGCGCTGGATCCTCGTAGCATATGTCAGCACATGAAATTCCGGCCACACTCGGTGGGCGTAAGCGTCGGTGATCCACGCGTCGGAATTCGACGCTTGGGCAAGGGTTCCGGAATCTCGGAGTCAAAATGTCACGCCGCAACTCCGAATGTTGTAGGGGTCGCCCACTTCGACTTACACTGCGGACAGATGGGATGCTCTGCACTACTCTCTCGATATTCCGTAACTTGACAGATACTACTCCTCAACAAGCTCGAGACTTTGATTCCACTTTGAGCATTTGTAAACTTCAGCAACACTGATCGTCAACTCGACATTATCCCAGTTGGATTTCGCTCGCAGAGCTCAATCAGCCCTGGGGGCCCCAGAAGACCTGCCCGCTAGACTTCAGCCCAACCCGGATGGACACTTCCGTTTTTGAAACCCCGGCCTCCGAAGCCAGCAGACTCCGGACCGGGACCTTGCGTCGTTCGTGTGAGGCCTGCCGGGCTTTGAAAGCGCGCTGCATCCTCGATACGTCGGCTCCACAGCGCCCAAGCTGCTGTCAAAGGTTGGTTTGTCCACTTGACCCCGAGCCTGCGGACTGTCTGATTTTATTTTGGCTGACCTTGAGCTGCTTGCTTGGGCGTGTCCAGATGCTCTAGTCATGGGCTGGACTGTGTCTTTGAAGAGGCCCTCGCTCGCCCCAAGCGCGCCAGACACGCAACGTAGGCTGTCCTCGTCCCGATACATTTATATCATTTATATTGTGAAAGTGCACATGTATACCTGTGCATGCTAACCAGTTATCAACGCTCCTCAGTCGCACCCGGGTCAAGGATGTTGAGGACAAGATCGACAACTTGATCGCCCTCATCGCTGCCCGGAACGCAGCGGCAGAGATACCCAAGTCGGTGGTGGATGTGCTACCCCTGAACCCACCTATCTGCGAGGATGTGGCCGTGCCCCCGCTCCCTGAGCATCTGCCAGTCAATATGATCTTCCCGGATTCCGACTTCAGCTCCTCGCAGGCCACGTCTGTGGAGCCTGTGTCATCGACGCACGACGTATTCAGCAAAGGCATCATCTCGCTTGCGGTGGGCGAGAGTCTCTTGGCTGCCTTCAAGGACCGCGACCTGGCTATGCCCTTCGTTGTGCTGGCCCCGCACATGTCGTTCGAATATCTTCGGCGCGAGCGGCCGTGCATGCTGCTCGCCATCATGGCCGTCACCGAGGTCGACGATCCTCTGCAGGAGAGGCTGATTGACGAGTTTCGGCAGTTCGTCGCGCAGAACGTCATCGTGGCTGGTCATAAAAGCATCGACATCATCCAGGGGATAACCATGTTCTGCGTGTGGTGAGAATCGCCCGCCAGCATCCTTTAAAGTCTGGTCGCTGGACTTATGTGACTGACATGTTTGCACTCTCCTAGGCATCATCACGCCTCCCGTCCTCACATTCATCAAATGTACCAGATGTCACAAGTCGCTGCGACCATGGCGCTTGAATTGGGTCTCCCAGCACTGTCCCAGATCCACGAAATGAACTCGCAGCAAAGGAGCGGGCGCGAAAGTAACCCTCAGTTCTGGGACGATCTGGAGCGGATACGAGCGTATCTCCACTGTTACCTCATCTCCAACTGGTACGTTGGTGGCCGGCTCACGGATACCTTATTTTCTGACAACACTTCTGACTCTAGTCCTTTCCTGTAGCATCTCGAGAGCGATGAAAAAACCACACCCGCTCAAGCACAGCAAACGGATCGACGAAGCCAGCAAGCTTGTCGCTAGTCTCGAGAAGTCTCCTTCCGATGATGTCCTCTTGCATTTCATTCGACTGCAGCAATTCATTGAGGAAGTGGAGACTGTTTTCCGGTACTGCGATCCTGATGGTATGGATCAAATGGATGGCTGGAAAATCCACTCCATGTCGAAGGTCTTTGAACAAAAACTGTCGCTCCTCAAGGACTCCACGCCACCAGAGCTATTGGACAACCGTGAGTTTCTTCTACTTTTTGTCCTTCAACAAAAACCCTTGCCCAACTATGTGGATCTGGGTCTTAATAGTGCGACCTTGCTAACCGCACACATGTTGGGTTGCGCACAGCCTTCGTCAAGATGAGCTTCCTCTACATGCCCATCTACATCACCGAAATCAGCTTGAATACGCCACCGGGGCACGACCGTAAGGGAGTGGCTTGTTGCGACTGGTGCGTTTCTACTTACCGGGCAGAACTCATCGTCTCCTGTGTCCGCGCCTGCCACGTCTTCCTGAACGAGTTCATGGCGTTTCCGGATCATATCATCAAGATGCTCAACCTTGGAGATGGTAGGTTATCCAAAAAAAAAAAAAAAAGAACTCCTTTTGTCGATTTTAATGCAATATCAGTTTTCTTTCATGGCGTCCAGAGCTGATTTTGGACCACGCAGTCGGGCGACATCTCTACGCCATCATGATCCTCGGCCGTGTCAACACGCTCCAAGGGATGGGCAGCTTAGACTTGGCCTTCCGCGGCGAGCTCACCAACATTGGGCCCTATCTGATCGCGTCGGAGAACAAAATGGCGTCTCTGCTTACGTACCTGCCGGACGGGTCGGTCAAGCAGGATTCGTTCTGGCAGCTGCGCGGACTGTTTGCCAGCGCATCCTCGGTGAGTCTCGCCCATGGTGAACGACCATCCGCTGTGGACGAAGCCGCGGAGTAGTTGCTCCAAACACGTTGGCTAATGCACGTTGGCTGGGCACGCAAAGATGCTGGCCACATGGAAGGCGGAGCCTGCTGCGTTCCAACCCTCTGAGAAGGAGTGCGAGTTCTCGCTCAGGCTCGACATGCTCATGGATCCGGTGCGGGCCGAGGAAGGTTGCGAGTTTTCGCGGCAGGCCCAACAGCAGGTTCCGGGGCAGAACCCCATAACACCGGAATCGCTGTCGAACTGGGGTGGGGATCATGATTTGATTCTGGCCAACCTCAGCTCCATGTCGCCTCCAACGAATTGGTTCTGAAGAGGCGCGGTACTAGTGGGACTTTTGCTTCAATATCGAGCGTTTTCTTTTGTCTAGGAAGGGATGGGCTCGGATAGCCGGTTATCAAGGAGTGTCAGATAGGTGGTTCAGGAATTCTCGAGATCGGGAATCTCTTCTCAGGACGCTACGGCGGTAAACCGAAAGGCAGATTTATACAGGGAGACATCAAAGCTACACGTGCAGGTGTTGAAAGAATGAGCCATGTCGACTTTTATTATCGCGCAACAGTGAAAACAGCAAGCCGGACTCTCACTCTAAGTGGAAGTCCTTGTGGGACCACTTCTCGGTCAACTTGCTCTTGCCCTGCTTGTGGAATGGTATCCTCCTCCTGGCTTCCACTCTTCCGCGGACCACCAAGCTGCGGTATCTGTCCTTGAGCAAGTTACCCTCGGGTTTGAGCAGCCTTAGCGAGTCTTGCAGCTCGTCGGGTAGAACAAGCTCGAGGTCCTTTTCGGGCAGCCTGAACTTGCCCAGCTGGCGCCTCCTGAGCTCGCTGTCGTCGCCCTCTTCGCTATCGTCGCTCATCTCGATCCTGGCCAGAGCGGCCGCCTCCTCGCGCTCCGCCACCTCTGTTGCAAGCTCCTTGATCTGCGCCTGCTGTATGTTCTTGAGCTTCTGTGCCGCCTTCTCCTTAAGCCGACGCTCCTCTTCCTTGCGCCGCTTTATCCTGTTGCGCTGCGCCTGCGTCTTGCGCTCGGCGCGCTTCTTGGCCTTGGGCGCCGCGTCCTCCCCGCCGCTCGTGAACCCTTCCCACGCTGACTCGTCCTCCTCCCACTCGGACATGTCGGCACGCGCCTCGGCGGCCTCGGCCTCGGCAGCGGACCGCGCGACAGCCTCCGCCTTGGCCTGCTCTGCCGCCTCCGCCTCGAGCCGCTGCTTCTCCGCCTCGACCGCCTTGGCGCCTTCCTCGTTGTAGCGATCGACGTAGTCGGTGAAGAGCGGGTTATAGCTGTATCCACCCTGGGGTTTTGGCACCGCGGGCACCGGCTTGCCGTTGGCGGCCAGCGACAGGGGCTGGCGCCTCAGCGTCTCGGGGGCCTTGGCCTTTTGCGGCTTGGGCACGAACTCGAGTTCCTGCTCTTCGCTCTTCTTCGCGGCCACGATCGGGCCAGTGGTAGGCGCCTCAGCGACAGCCCAGGGGTCATATAGGGCATCAGCGACGACGATGGTCGATTCGTGGTGGCCGTTGGCGACATTGCGCAGGCGGTGCAGCTCCTTCTGCGACACATAGTCCTTACGGGCGCGCTTAACCGGCAACACGCCGTCCGTAACCTTGCTGTCTAACGGCCGCTTTCGAGACGAGACGGCAGGGACGGCGGACCGAGCAGCGATGATCTCGTCGGCCTTCAGCGTCTTCTTTATGGCCTTGGGGAACTTCTTGGGGATGGAGGCGTCCCCGACAGTGTCTACGGTGAAGAGAGCCTCCGATGGTCGCTCTTTGTAGACGCCTCCATGAATGATCTCCTCGTTCCGCTTCTCAAGTCCCTTCTCGACCTCGGAAACGTCGACGTGCTTCCTCCATGCCTTTTTGCCCTTTCGCGACGGCTGTTTGTACTGTTGCGGTGCTGCTGCGGCGGCTGAGACGGGCCCGATTGCGGGCATTGTTGCAAGCTGCTCTCGGAGCCAACGTGTTCGTGGTAGGCAAAGTGCGGTGGCGCAGCAGTCAGGGTAGTGCTGCGTTGATGATGTCCCGTGAGGACGAATCGAGGTTGGCGATACTGTCAAGTTTGGCTTTGGTCCCTGCCGGCGGTCGCCGGCGGAGTCTCCAAAAAAACTTTTGGCGGGGAAGACAAAAATTCTACCCCTGTCGCTCCAATGGCGATAAGGCAAGATTATGGAGGTTTCAGCGCCTTATCTTTATCCACGCTGCCCCACCTTCCCGAGCTCTCTCCTCAAAGTCCCTTGATGACTCTCACTTTAAGGTCTGCGGTGTTTTCGGTGGTGGGCGAGCCGTGATATAAGGATCAAACATGAGTAGTGCAAGTTCTTCTGGTTTCCTTCTGCCCAACTACCTCGAAAAGGACAGGCAGACAGGTCCTTGGAAATATCTCTGCTGACCTGCCAAGCCGGCACCCCTCCTTTTACAATACCAATCATCCAGAGGTCATGACGTTTATCACAGTAGCAGCGGCCACCCTGCCGAGTGTACCCCTGGATTTCGTGGGAAACCGCGATCGCATCCTCGAGTCCATCAAGATTGCCAAGGAGAAGGGAGCCACGCTGCGTACAGGCCCTGAGCTCGAGATCCCGGGCTATGGCTGTCTCGACCACCACCTTGAGAGCGACACGGAGCTGCACAGTTGGGAGGTCCTGGCCGAGATCATCGCCAACCCGGTCTGCAAGGACATCCTCGTCGACCTAGGAATGGGCGTGAGGAACAGAAACGTACAGTACAACTGCCGCATCCTCTGCACCTACCGCAAGGTCTACGCTATCCGGGCCAAACAGTCGCTTGCCGGCGACGGCCTGTACCGCGAGCCCCGCCACTTCACCGCATGGGTCAAGGAGCGCCAGGTCGAGACGCACAAGCTCCACCAAGTGATCAAGGACGTCACGGGTCAGAGCACCGTACCTATCGGCGACTTCATCCTCGAGACCCCAGACACGTCCGTCTCGTGCGAAACGTGCGAGGAGCTCTTTGTCCCCCGAAACCCCTCGACCTTCACCGGGCTTAACGGCGCCGAGATCATACTGAACTCGAGCGCCTCCCATGCTGAGCTGCGTAAGCTCGGCAGGCGCCTCAACCTCATCTCCAACTCCACCAGGAGCAATGGTGGCCTTTACATCTACGCAAACGCCTCGGGCATCGACGGCGAAGCCCGCATGCTATTCGATGGCAGCAGCATGATCATCCAAAATGGCGAGGTCCTGGCCCAGAGCTCCCAATTCTCCCTCCTGCCCGTCGAGGTTACCGTCGCCACTGTCGACCTCGAAAGGGTCCGCAGCTACCGCACCAGCGCTAGCCGCAATATCCAAGCTGCCCGCCAGCCCGAGTACCCACGCGTAGAGTGTGATATCCTCTTGACCCGCCCCAGCGAGGACGTCTTCGTGTCGGACAACAAGGTCATCGCCACCGAAGTCCCCATCAAGCTCCTAGATCCCATGGAGGAGATCTGGATGGCCACGTCGGTCTACCTGTGGCAGTACCTCGTCCGCAGCTCAGGCGCCGGCTTCTTCCTCGCCCTGTCTGGGGGCCTCGACAGCTCCTCCGTGGCCCTGTTCGTCTACGGCATGGCGAAGTTGGTGCTCTTGTCCATCGGGAAGGGAGAGGATAACACGCTGCAAGACCTGCGCAAGGTAGTGGGCATCAGCGACTACAATCCCGAGAGTCCCGAGGAGATCGTCTCGAGGCTCCTGCACACCTGCTACATGGGCACTGTCAACAGCTCCGATGAGACCAGATCGAGGGCTAAGCGGCTGGCCGAGCGTCTTGGAGCGTATCATACCGACATCGACATGGACGAAGTCGTGGATGCGCACGAGAACATCATCCAAAAGGCTCTCAACGGCTTCAAGCCCAAGTACCAGGTCGAGGGTGGGTCGACCAGCGAGAATCTGGCCAAGCAAAATATTCAAGCCAGGAACAGGCTCGTGGTCTCGTACGAGCTCGCCCAACTGTCGACCCAGGCCAGGGGCCTGCCTAGAGCTGGAGCGTCGCTGCTGGTGCTGGGGTCCGGCAATGTCGACGAGAACCTGAGGGGCTACTACACAAAGTATGACGCGAGCTCTGCGGATCTTGCGCCCCTAGGCTCCATCTCCAAGAACGATGCCAAATCCTTCCAGCGCTGGGCTCGGGACAACTGGGGTCTGCCCATCATGGATGAGTTCATCGAGGCCATCCCCTCTGCCGAACTTCTCCCCCTCTCGGCAGGCGTTCAGGCGGACGAGGAGGAGATGGGGTTGACTTACTCGGAGCTCTCCGACTTTGGGATCCTGCGCAAGGTTGATAAGCTGGGTCCCTGGTCTGCCTATCTCCGCCTGCTAAGCCAGTGGAAGGAGCGTCCGGGCTTCGGCCCTTGCGAGATTGCCGAGAAAGTCTTCCTCTTCTACCGCTTTTATGCCATCAACCGCCATAAGGCCACCATCATAACTCCCAGCGTGCATCTCTCGGCATACAACCCGGACGATAACAGGCACGACCTGCGACCCTTTTTGTACGTCGTAAACTGGCCATGGCAGTTCAACAAGATTAGGAGGCACGTGGAGGAGATGAGGGGGAGCGGGAAGAAGGCGGGGCATGTAACGGAACATTAGCGACCTGGGGTCTTCAGTTGAGCGAGACGGAAGTGGTGACCATAGACAGCAAATTCAAAGACATTTGCTTCAACAGCGACGCTGCTTGCGCTTTCAGCCGGGCTGGTTTGGGTGCAGTGATGTGTGGAGGAATGCACTTTCCTGACAAAATTTCCCGATTCCTCTCGGATCCAAGGTTTTTACCGACTTTGGCCTTTGGGGCTGCGTGATTGGTCGGATTGACGGATGAACCCAGAGTGGTGATTATGTGATTGCGCACAGCCACTCAAGCGGTCGACGCCTTATTTTTGACTGGAGTGGACGAGGGAAAGAAGTCGAGCGCGTCTGATTTTGAGGGGGTGGAAGAATCGGAGCTGCCACTTTTCTTGGTACTGTCCCAAATCACTTCATAGCCAGCCACATCGTGTATCCTTCATAGACCTCTATCCAGACTTCCACTGTCGCTCTAGTTCCAGCCCAGCCGCTCTCCATCCTCAACAAAGCACAAGTTGGACCCTGTCAATTGTTTGGCCTCTTTCGGGCTTGGCTCCATCGCTGGTCTTCTGAGTGGTTCCCTCAGGGCCCCTTGTCCCCAGTCGCATACTGGACCGCTGTTCACCCCTGAATAGAAGAAACCTAGACCGCATCCGGCGCCGACCCTTCTCTCAACTCGTCCTTTACTCCACGTTCCCGCGCTGCCCCCGATCTTGCTTGTGCCGATTCAACAGTCCAGATACCCTCCTGATCACACCGCGACAATCCTCAGCCAGGTTAACCAACGACAAACGACAAGATGGCTCAAGCAGGAGCCGCCGGCTACAACAACCCCTTGAAGAAATTCAAGTAAATACCCTCCGCCCCATCTCCCGGAACCCCGCCTCGACCTCCGTCGAGGAAGTGGCGGAGAGCGGCATCGCTGACGTCTCGGTTTGTGTACAGGCTGGTGTTCTTGGGCGAGCAGAGCGGTACGCACACCGATGTTTCCCCCGCTCCCGGGCGACGGCGCACGCCGCGACGGGTGCCCGCCGCACCCGACCGACCGAGTTACTGACAAGAAGAAATGTGTATCTGCAGTCGGCAAGACATCCCTGATCACGCGCTTCATGTACGACTCTTTCGACAACATGTACCAAGCCACCATCGGCATCGACTTCCTGTCAAAGGCAAGCAACCACCTTCGAACAGCGACCAGGACACCGCTCCCTCGTCTCCTTCAGCATCGCGCCCGCTAACACCCGCCCTCACGGTGATGTAGACGATGTACCTGGAGGACCGAACTGTGCGACTACAGCTGTGGGACACAGCTGGTCAGGAGCGATTCAGGAGTCTGATCCCCTCATACATTCGGGATTCCAGTGTGGCCGTGGTGGTCTACGACATATCAAGTAAGTGGGAAGCGACATATCCTCTGCAGGTGGGAATCTGCCCTCCCCACCGGCCGAGAACGCCGCAGCAGCGGAGTGCGATATTTAAACGGGCAGGCTGACCAGGTCGGCTACGCCTGTCCATCACAGACGCGAAATCATTCCAAAACACGAGGAAATGGATAGAAGATGTCCGGGCGGAAAGGGGAAACGACGTCATCATCGTCTTGGTGGGCAACAAGACGGATCTGAACGACAAGCGCCAGGTCACGACGCAGCAGGGCGAGGACGAGGCCAAGAAGTTCAACCTGATGTTCGTCGAGACCAGCGCCAAGGTCGGACATAACGTCAAGAATCTGTTCAAGAGGATAGCGCTTGCTCTGCCCGGCATGGAGGGGACAGAGGCAGCCCAGCAGGCCACCAGCCAAAGTATGTTTCGGTCTTTTCTTTGCCCTCTACTTTGAATCTGCGGCATGCTGACATGGCTGCAGTAATCGACATCAAATCGAACAACACGCAGGCCGCGAATGAGCCTTGTGCTTGCTGAGCGATGGGGACGCACAAGTCTTGCGCACCTGTGCGCACCACATCCTTGTCTTCACCTGCTCGTCGGCTTTTCGGTCGCGCAGACAAGACGTGGACAAGACGTGGACAACACAGTTCCTAACCTTGTCAGTTGCCCAACAATTTGGCGGCCTCTCTCGCTCAGTCCCTGCAGGAGGAGGTGGCTCATATCGAACAGCCAGCAGGATATCATGAGCATAGCGATTTGTCCAACGGGAGCCCGATTACCAGCATTAGCGTTGTATAATAAAAGAATGAAATGATGGGGCCACGACTGACGAACAGGGGAGGGTTTCATTCTCTGTTTTTAACTCTCGTTTTCATTACAGTGGGCATTTTGTTCAATATAGTATTTAATAACCGCTTCTTTTCTTCTCGTTTTATGCATCTGTGGGCGCTGGTTGATCTGCCGTATCCTCGTTTGATATCGTCTACATCGTGGTCTTGACTTCAAAATTGCCCATCATCTCGGGCTGCCACCCCGCTCGCTCTACTCGGCCTCCTTGGTTGTGATAGTAACGGGCGGTGCACCCTGGTTCTGGACCTGAACGCTCCCGTCGGCCATGCCAAAGTAGGCCGCCACAGGCTTCTGTGCGCCGCCCTGGCCGGGCTTATCCAGACCACTGTACCCATAGAACAGGCCTATCTCGCACACCCCGTCAATGTCCTTGAGCGCGCGCGCGAGCTTCTCGACGCTCCAGATGCCATCCGTGCCATCGCCCGCGGCGTTGGCGTCGTGGGAGGGCAGGACGAGCGGGATGAAGGGGGCGTCGATGATGTTCATGTGGTTGTCGGTCACGAGCGGGGCGGGCCTGCCCATGGGGTCGAGAGGCGCGGCCGGGTCCGGGCGGACGACGGGGTCCCTGGAGCCGAGCCTCGCGAGCGCGGCCAGGACCCGGCCAACGCGCATGGGGTGAACCTCGATGGGGATGCCCTGCTTCCAGGCAGTGCCCAGGCGCGAGCCGAGCTTGCGGTAGTCGGCGACGCACACAAAGGTGCGCGAAGCCAGGGCCACGATCTTCTCCTGCCACAGGCAGGCGCCGCCGCCCTTGATGAGGTTCAGGTCCTCGTCCACCTCGTCGGCGCCGTCAAAGTAGACGTCGAGCAGCGCGGTCGCGGGCAGCGCCGCCAGGCTGCCAACGTGCAGGCCGTGGCGCTCCACCAGCGCGCGCGACCCGGCGCCCGTGGTGTAGAAGGTCATGCGCGCCGAGGCCTCCGGGTGCAGCTCCTTGATGGCCTCGACAACGTAGACGACAGTCGAGCCCGAGCCGATGCCGACGTGCTCGAAGCGCGGGTCGAAGTGATCCTTGACGGCCGTGTAGGCGGCCGCCTTCTTGGCCATCTCGATGAGCAGGGCCTGCTCCGAAGTCGCCATTTTAGGGGCTGGTGGTGGTGTCGTCGTTGCGATGTGGCGTTGCGGCAATATTCGCCGGGGCGCAGGCCAGAGCTGCTGTGGTGTTTCCCAGCGTGTATGAGAATTCCAACTAACGAGCTGTCAGACAATTCCGCAATTCATGATGAGAGGCAGAGGCAGGTTGAAATATTCTTCCCTTCCTCTTAACTCTTCCACCACCAGAAACTTACCTCAGGCCGACGCCGCCTACTTCGGAGGTTATGACTCCAAGTCCTTGAAACCTCGAAGACCTTAGGACGGAGTGTCGCCAACAAGACGCGAGCATGAATATTCGAGATCTTGGTTCTGAATTGTAGATGAGGTAAAACACTCCGGGCAATTTCTGAGCTTCCGCTTTATATTTTGTCCTACAAAACCTCACGCAACTCATGAGCGTGATATCGCACCCGATGAACATGCCACTTCAATTGGCGCTTGGCCGCCTAGGCCTGTCGTCAAGAAGCAGGCTGAGTCAGCGACTGACAAGTCCCTGAGGCTCAGTCTCTAATCACCATCCAGTGCTGATGATTTTATCATGACCAGCCTGTCAAGGGAGACTGCTGAATACCTCTTTGTTTGAGATGTATCTAGGCTCCATGGCACTACAGCACGTGGCACCCCCATGGACGCTCCAGCACGGGAACCCCCGCCTTGACTGGTGGGCGTTGCTCAGGCATGCGACGGCCGCCATTTGGCCGAGAGCCGCCCCGAGCCGCCCCTGAATAGAACGTAATAATGAGGCGGAATGGAAGCTTGCTGCCACGCCCGCGGAATGGACAAATCCCGGACTTGAAAGGGAAAGATACAGAATATGTTACGAATAGCTGCCTTTACCCCAGTGTGGCGTGGACTAGACATCAGTAGCTCAAAATCAACACCTCAAGCAGGGGGCTGGTTGGACGAATTTCGGGAGGTTGTCTGGCAACAAATATTTTCTTCACACCCAACAACAAAAAAGTACGCCACTCAACTCCTGGGGCAAGGCCTGTGGATTCTCGGAGTAGCGGCCGTTCAGCCGGCTGCTTTGCGGAGGTGCCACCGAACGATAAACGGAAGAAACCGAGTTGGCCGAGGCTCCTGAGCCGGAAGATGGGAAAAGGGGTCCAGATGACGGATGGCGTGAACCTGCATTCGGGGTTTGAAGGCTGGCTCTTGGGGCGACAGGATGCCGAACGCCGCCCGCGCATCAGGACCGTCATCTGGAATTGGCATTTGCCAATTGGCTGACAATTACACGCATGACGGGCTGGGGACCGTGGCAGCAACGCCGGCGGTTTTTTTACCTCTGGGTGTGGTGGAAGTGGGCGCTAGGCGATCACGCAATTGACGGGTGCAATCGACGCATGGTTCTGCCGTCGAAAATGTCGCCCCTCGACGGCGGTCTCCCCAGACTTGGTTTGAGAGCCCACCACGCAGCTCCGCAGTACGCAGGGCACGACGCTCCGCCAGCCGCCGGGCAGACTATAATAAAAACTTGTATGGGGGCCGTCTCCTTCGGCTGCGGTCGCGAGGCGGGAAGATGTCCTTTCTCTTCAGACAGCAGCAAGTTTCGGACGACATGGCGTCGTCCCCAGCATCCATTCGCTCGCCCGAGGAGGCCGGTACGTGCGCGCCTGTTGCTTCCAATCCCCCCCAGCGCCGCCAAGGACGCTGTTCTTGGTGCCTGTCCTCCCGCCAGAGAACCCCGCCAAACAGCGCCCGCCCGCCATTGCACAGGCCACCCATTCTCCAATCACAGTCCGCACATCACCAAGCATCGCCCGAGCCGGCGCGCCAGACAAAGAACTTCGAGCTAACAGCGCCCGCCCGCCCGTCTTAGTTGCGAGGATCGCATACCTCTCCAGCGATGTTGTCGTCTCGGTCCAGCCCTCGCTGGCCGCCGACACGGAATTCTCGAGGCACCTGAAGGCTTCTGCCGCCCACAAGGAGCCGAGCGTGGTCGCCAAGACCCCTGACAACATCCCTCAGGTGAGCCGTTGACCTTTACCAGCCCGCACATTTTAGTCCAGCACTGGTAGCTCACACTCCTTCGCCGGGCTAGATATTGAGCGTCAGGCACAATGCCGACCCTCTCCTCTCCGTCTTCACCCCGATCCGTGATGGCCGCCTCGTCTCGGTCACCACCAGCTCCGTCATCCTCGTCCCGTCCATCGCCCATCTTTACAAGCTGGCCAACTACCCCGTGGTTATCCACGTCGCACTTCAACCCGAGCGCTTCCCCGATTTCTCTGCCATCACCGCCATAAGGAATTCAGGATGGACCTTCCTGCAGTCCGAGTCCATCCAGGAGGCCCAGGACATGGCCCTGACCGCCCACGCCCTGGCCATCCGCTCCGGCAGGGGTGTCATCCACTTCTTCAGCCCCTGGATCCTCGCCAACGACGAGGCGGTTGAGCGCGAGGGCGCCGCCGTTATCCGTGATATTCTAGACATCGAGAGCGTGCGCCGCTTCCAGGCTGCCCCGCTTTCAGGGGCTGGCATCTACGCCGACCACGGCCGCCAGAACCTGGCTACTGACCAGCCGGAACCGGTCCCACAGGCCGGGGCTCCCATTCAGATCAATGGACTGGCGCCCCCGGGCTCGGAGGCTGCGTCCAAGGTCAACTCCTCGCAGACATCTGTAAAGTCGAGCGAGACGAGCGTCGCAACGACTCCCCACAGCGCCGCCACAACGATAGAGGCCGCGCCCGCCCACGTCACCTCGGAGGATATTTACAACTATGCCACCAGCATCTGGGCGCAAATCGAGAGCTCGTCTGGGCGGCGGTATACTCCCTTCGAGTGGTCTGGCCCGCCAAATGCGGAGACGGCACTCTTCATCTTTGGCGCCGACACGGGTCTCTTTGGCAGCACAATCGATAGGGCCAAGTCTACCGATATCTACGCCAAGGTCGGCATTCTCACCCCCAGGCTCTACCGCCCATGGCTTGGCGCGAAGATGCTGGATTCCATTCCCAAGACCCTCAAGAGGATCGCGGTTCTGGAGCAGATTAGCCGCAAGACGACCAAGTGGGGCCCAATCCTGCTCGACGTCCTGACCACTGTCAAGAGCGGCCCTGGGGGCGTCCAACACATCGTCGGCTACCAGGTTGGCTATATCACCCAAGATACTGCGAGCCAGGCGCTGCGTGGTATCTGCCAGAACCTGGCCCTTGACAAGCCCGTCCAGAACCTCGAGGTCGGATCCCAGGAGGGCCCAAAGGAGGTGTCCAAGTACGGCCTGGAGAAGCCCAAGCTGGAGACTGCCTACACTAAGATCTTGGACCAACTCTTCGGCACCAGGCTATACCAGGCCAACGCACTAGGGTCAGAAAACGCCGGTATATCCGAGACCATTGCGGCCAGCCCCGAGTTCGGGTTTGGCTCCCTGCTAGCGCGCAAGGAGAAGCGACTCCGCTTCAAATCGCAAGTCAGGGAGGCGGCTAAACTGGGAACATTTCTGACCGAGACGCCGAAGCGGCTGCTTACGGACTGGGCTATTCACTCGGATGATCCATCAAAGGTCGACGCAGTGGCGGAGGATGTTATATCCCAGCTGACGCTGGAGAACTCTAGCACTTCACGCAAACTGCTCCAGGACAAGGACTTCTTCAGGAGGCAATCCTTGTGGCTTGTCGGCTCGGACGCATGGGCTTACGACCTCGGCAACTCTGGTGTTCACCACGTGCTTGCCTCGGGCGAGAATGTCAACATGCTCATCATCGACTCTCAGCCCTACTCGGAGCACGCTGCTGCCGATGCAAACAGGAGGAAGAAGGATATCGGCCTCTACGCAATGAACTTTGGGAACGCCTACGTAGCCTCGGTTGCCGTCTACAGTTCCTACACGCAGGTCTTGCAGGCTATGGATGAGGCTGACAAGTTTGACGGCCCATCCGTCGTGCTGGCTTACCTCCCTTATAACGGAGAGCACGAGTCGCCACTTACGGTGCTTCAGGAGACTAAAAAGGCTGTCGACGTTGGTTACTGGCCGCTCTACAGGTGGAACCCAAGCAATGAGAAGAATGGAGAGCCCACATTCTCCCTGGACTCTGAGCGGATAAAGAAGGAGCTCAAGGCCTTCCTCGACAGGGACAACCAGCTCACCCAGCTCGTAAAGAAGGAGCCAAGCTTCGGGGCAAACATCGCCCAGGACTTCGGCTCCGAGGTTCGCGCACAGCAGAAGAGGAAGGCTAGGGACGCGTACAACCAGCTTCTGGAGGGGCTTCTTGGCGCGCCCCTAACGATTCTCTTTGCCTCGGACAACGGAAACGCGCAGTCCCTGGCGAAGCGTCTCGGGAACAGGGGCCGTGCACGAGGCCTGAAGACCACAGTCATGGCCATGGAGGACTACCCTGTGGAGGACCTTCCGGCGGAGGAGAACATTGTGTTTTTGACCTCAACCGCAGGTCAGGGAGAATTTCCTCAAAATGGCCTGCCGTTCTGGGACGCCATCAAGAACAGCACCGAGCTCGACCTCGCAGCTGTCAACTTCTCCGTCTTCGGGCTGGGAGATAGCCACTACTGGCCCAGGAAAGAGGACAAGATCTACTACAACAAGCCTGGCAAGGACCTCGACAGAGTTCTGACCAACTTCGGTGCCAAGAGGCTGGCTGATATAGGCCTGGGAGACGACCAGGACCCGGACGGATACCAGACCGGCTACTCGGAATGGGAGCCAAAGATCTGGGAAGCCCTGGGTGTGGCAAATATTGAGGGCCTGCCGGAGGAGCCGCCGCCGATCACGAATGAGGACATCAAGTTGGCCTCCAACTACCTCCGCGGCACCATCGTTGAGGGGCTCAACGACACTACCACCGGTGCCATCTCTGCGGCGGACTCGCAGTTGACCAAGTTCCACGGCACATACATGCAGGACGATCGCGACGTCAGGGATGAGCGCAAGGCCCAGGGCCTGGAGCCGGCGTACTCGTTCATGATCCGCTGTCGACTGCCAGGGGGTGTGGCGACGCCGAAGCAATGGGTCCAGATGGACGAGATTGCCACCCAGCTAGGCAATGAGACCATGAAGCTCACGACCCGGCAAACGTTCCAGTTCCACGGCGTTGTCAAGGGCAAGCTCAAGCCGGCCATGCAGGCCATCAACCGGGCGCTCATGACGACTATCGCGGCATGCGGCGATGTCAACAGGAACGTCATGTGCAGCTCGCTCCCCACGCAGTCAGCCTACCACAAGGATGTTCTTGAATCTTCCAAGAAGATCAGCGACCATCTACTGCCTTCGACCACGGCGTATCACGAGATCTGGCTCACCGACGATAACGACAAGAAGACGATGGTGGCTGGCGACGCTATCCAGGACTTTGAGCCCCTCTACGGGCCGACCTACCTGCCCAGGAAGTTCAAGATCACGATTGCCGTCCCACCACACAACGACACAGATGTGTACGCCCATGATATTGGTCTCATTGCCATCAAGGGAAAGGACGGTAGCCTCGAGGGCTTCAACCTTCTCGCTGGAGGCGGCATGGGCGCCACGCACAACAACAAGAAGACTTACCCCCAGACGGGTCGCTCGTTTGGCTTCGTCTCCAAGGACCAGGTGCACACTGCGTGCGAGAAGGTCATGCTGGTGCAGCGCGATCACGGCGACCGCAAGAACCGCAAGCACGCGCGTCTCAAGTACACAATTGACGACATGGGTGTCGAGGTGTTCAAAGGCAAGGTCGAGGAGCTCTGGGGCCGCAAGTTCGAGGAGGCGAGGCCATTCCAGTTCGAGTCCAACATTGACACATTCGGCTGGCTCAAGGACGAGATGGGCATGAACCACTTCACGCTCTTCATCGAGAACGGGCGTATCGAGGACACGGCCGAGTTCCAGATGAAGACTGGCATGAGTGAGATTGCCAAGGTGCACAAGGGCGAGTTTAGGCTGACGGGCAACCAGCACGTCATCCTAAGCAACGTCGCGGACGCGGACCTGGACGAGATGAAGGCGCTGCTCAAGAAGTACAAGCTCGACAATGTCAACTTCTCGGGGCTGCGGCTGAGCTCGTCGGCCTGCGTGGCGTTCCCGACGTGCGGGCTGGCCATGGCCGAGTCGGAGCGGTACCTCCCTGAGCTGATTAGCAAGCTCGAGGGGTGCATCGAGGAGGCAGGGCTGCGGCAGGACTCGATCGTGATGCGCATGACGGGCTGCCCCAACGGCTGCGCGCGGCCGTGGCTGGCCGAGGTGGCGTTTGTGGGCAAGGCCTACGGCGCCTACAACATGTACCTGGGCGGCGGCTACCACGGCCAGCGGCTCAACAAGCTGTACCGGGCCTCGATAAAGGAGGACGAGATCCTAGCCATCATGAAGGCGCTGATCAAGCGGTACGCCGCCGAACGCGACGAGGGCGAGCGGTTCGGCGACTTTTGCATCCGGGCCGGCGTCATCAAGGCCACAACGGACGGGACGAACTTCCATGATGACGTAAGTGATTCTGCTCCTTTGCCTTGTGTGCTGAGCTGAGGGCCGAAGAAGTTGTTTTGACCGCCTGTGCTAACATGTCTTTTGCTTCTAGGTCGCGGAGGAAGAGTCTGACGAGGAATAGACAAATGACGAGACAGCTGCTTGGGTCTGTTGACGTTTCTTCTGGAAATGTAGGAATTTGCATAGTCTTGGATATAGGCAGTTTTGGGCGCTATTCTTTATTTGGGTACAAAAGCTACTCGGATAAACCATGTTCTCCAAAGTAGAAGCGAGACTGTGTTTGCTCTGGTGCCCGGTTGTGTAGCTTTGACTGGAGGTAAAATGTTGAATTCAAGGAACCTGGCACGGGGACAAGGTCAATACAACATGACGAAGAATAAATCGATCGTTGCCTAGGGAAGGCCTCTTTTGTTTCCCTTGTTCTATCTGTCTAACAAGTTTGAGTTGCCCACTTGGTGGGTTCGCCTCGGTTGTCTGCCAACCCAACACGACGCTTCTCTCGCACGCACTCGCGAGTCCCGGTGCATAACAATGAAAACAATAAACCAGATTAATCCACCCAAGCCCCCATTCATCAGATATATTCCCGTTTGATCATTCCCAAATCCCCCGTCAGTGGCACACCACTTTGTCAGGGGGTTGCGATTAGCTTGGACAAGAAAAAAAAGCCGTGGTATCGAATACATTTCCCGCGCTGAACGCCAACCTGACGCCATTAAAAGTGAAAAAAAAACAGGGTGAAAAACAAAACAAGGCATAAAACCTACATGACATGACGTGAGACGCAAACAGATGTGACCGAAAACTAGGGGCAAAAATCAGAGGCCAGACGCTATCATGCTCATAAAAGAGGACTTTTGTTGCTTTGACAAGCCCGGCTTCACCGGCGCAGCTTTTTCCACTTGTCGCTGATCCAAGTCTTGCCGGTGCTGATGCCGCTGCTGACGGCGCTGCCGCCGCCCAGGACGCTGCTGGCGCCGATGCGGCTGCCGGAGCCGCGGGAGCCGCCGAGCCAGGGCGGCAGCTTGAGGCTCAGGCGGACGCGGCCCTCGACGGCCATGTTGACGACGTTGATGATGGCAAAGGTGGTGCTGCCGAGGGCGCGGAAGAGGGCGAGGGCGGCGACGCTCCAGAGGATGAAGCGCAGGTAGTAGTTGTCGCCGATGGCCTTTGCGCTGTACGTCTCGCTCACGGCCATGGCCAGGATGCCGTTGGCGATCATCCACGACACCACCATGTAGGTGCGCACCGACTTGTAGTAGTCCTCCTGCATCTGCGCCTCCGACGGCGGCGAGGGCGGCACCTCGATGCGGTCGCGGAGGTTGCGGAGCGCCTCGTCGTAGCCGCTGTCGATGTCGAGCTGCTCCGACGGCATCTCGAGCTCGACCGTCGAGCCCTTGCCGACGGCGCCGCCGAGGTCCGTCTTGATGACGTTGTCGCCCTTGGTTCCCCATGTGACGTCGTGCGTGTTGCAGAAGGCGTAGACCTGGAGCGTGCAGAGGTAGAAGGGGAGCAGCAGGAAGTACTGGGCCGTCGACGTGAACATGTGCCATGGATCCAGGTACATGAAGGACATGAGGAAATAGAGGCCGATGGTCGAGGCCATGGACACGATCAGGTTGGTGAAGACGTTGTTACCCATCCTCAGGTCGTCCTTGTTGTCCGGGTCCGTGAGCTGCTTGACCACAATGTAGAAGGTGGCAAAAGTAGTGTAAACCATGACGATGCTAAGAATGATCAAGGAGGCCATGTAGGGCCTCTTGGCGCCCTGCGGTCTGTTGCCCAGCGAGAGGATGAACTGGGAGCAGATGAGAAGAACCAGGGTGTAGCGCAGTATGGTAAAGATGTAGAGGCCGATGTGGTTGCCGAAGGGGTCGATCCGATCATCAGCTAGACCACCGGCGACGAAGTAGAAAGTCAGGTAGAAGTTGGCGAGCGAGAAGTAAGTAAACAGGACGTTGAGGAGCTGGTAGATGAACTCGATATGAAGCAGAACCTTGCGAGCTATCGTGTGGTCTGTGGCCCAAATCTGGCGAAAGTGGACGAGCGAGTAGATGGCAGCGAAGAAGGCGCCGTTGAGCCAACGACGTCGCTGCGAGATGAATTCAGGGACAGTGTCTGCGAGGATATTGGCGTTAGCAGCTGTGTGCGAACAGGAGGAGTGTCCGCTCGGCACAAATATGTATATATGACTTACCTGGCACATCAGTCTCTCCGGTGCAGCCCTTGACATATTTCAAAACCCATCTCTCGTCCCGCTTGGCCACTAGCTCCCAGCAGAGGATACGATCCTCGGCCAGGTACATGTTGGCTGTAAAGACATCCGCGTGTTGACCATGCAGTGTCTCACCCTTAAAGTACTGGCTGAGAGGGCCGTGACCGGTCGAGTCGTTCTGTAGAGCGTGGTAGCGGTACGCACTCAGCGCTCCGGGGAGCACCGTGATGTAGCCAAAGACGGACTCGAGGGGCTTGTCCAGGATGTTTGACATTTTGTACTCGAAGTTTTGCGACGCCACCAGCGGGTTGAGCAGGTTAACTCCCCATTTTCCTTTCATTGCAGTAATCTCGCCGCAAGCGCCCGCCACGTTGGAGTCGGTATCGAAGGCCTTCCACAGGTGGTATAGCGAGTTGCTGCCGGGGCGGGTGCCGACATCGAGCAGGATGCAAACGTTGGGGTTCAGAGCCTTGCCAAATGCGTTGAAGAACCAGCGGTGCGAGTTGAGCTTGCGCTGGTTGCGCTCCTTGAGACAAAAGATCATCTGGCACGGCACGATACCCTTCTCGGCGCCCTTGAACTTGAGGTCCGAGTCGAGAGAGACCTGGGTAGTGTATTCGTAAACGTGCGCCGTGCAGTTATGAACCACGGTGCGATCTGCAAGCTGGAAGAGCTCTCCCGAGACCTCGATGAGACGGAACTCGCCATCGCCGGCGTCCTCGACGTCAAAGGGCCGCACGTCCCTGTTCTTAAACGTGTTGAACGGGATCTTCATGCGCTTTCGATGGAGGATGAGGTGAGGCTGGAACTTCTCCACCCCTCTGCCCATGTAAAAGAACCAGCCAGGCTCAGGGCGGTCCTTAGAATTCGCCCGTTCGATAATAGGGTTACACTGGATCCCACAGGAGAGGGCCAGCTTGCGGGCGTCCTCGACAAGCTTCTTGTGCTCGTAGGTGTACTGGACAAAGCCATAACAGTTGAGGCCGTGAGAAAGCCATCCGTCGGATTCGATGAGGCCTGCGAGAACAGCCAGGCGCGTATTCTCGTCCGCGTTCATGTAGCAGTCGGGGATGCCACCGCTCTTGTCTCCCAGCAGGCCGAGTTCTTTGAGGCCATCGTGAACAGGGTTCCAGTGTGTCTTGCCAAGGTTGTTTGCAGTGCTCATAACACGCAAACGATGAGCGACCTTGGTTGACTTGACTTCTTCTCCCTTGTAGACGTGTTTTGTGCCGATGTCGATCTTGTACTTGGAGACTTTGAGAGGCGCTTTTCCAGGAGGTTTGCTATCACGGTTCAGGCGGTCGACCAGTGCCTGCGTGTAGACCTCGACCTCCGGATCCGTGCTGGTGATCTCAGCGCTGTTCTTAGTGCCATCACCAAGCCAGAAACCAAACCAAAAGGGGTCGATTGGGACAGGTGACACTGGACCCTGATACGGCTGGAACCTCAGGGGTGACCGATATAGTCTCAGCTTGCTCATATGCTGCGTCATCGGAGCCGTGCAGGTTGCCTGATACTCCTCCAGCGTCATCGTGAACACCTCCATGTCCCGGACGGCGCAGGGGTCAACCACACGGTAGTGATCTCCTGATAGCAGCTGAAGAGCGAGGTCGGCTTGCTCTGGGGTTTCGAAGAGAGCCGACACCCTCCGAAGACCCTTGCAGGACAGATTCTGACACTTGGACCTCGGATCGCGCACTGCGAGCTTGGCCCGGACAGAGGCGAACATCTCCCTGTGGTCGTCCTCAGAGAGTACAGACGCGTACGTCGACACGGTCGACTGTGAGGCCTCGTTTTGAGGCTCCTGTCGGGCCCTAACAGGAAACGACCTGATAGAAGGAGACTGGCGGAAAGTCTTGGCCGAGGTGCGGGAAGACAGCGTGCTGATAGTGACAATCTTTCTCTTCCGGTTGGCATCAAGATCGATGATCAAGTCGTCGTCCTCCTCCTCAGGGATATCCTCTGGCTCAGGTATCATGTGCTCAAGATAGTCCTCCATGTGCTGCTGTAGCAGCATCAACACTACCGATTCATCCTCATCGTCGACGCTCACATCCATAGCTTTGAGCTTGGCCAGCAGCTTGATGAGAACAGGACTCTGATTTGTCTTCGTAACCCTCTGGGGGTCATCAGAGACATCATCTTCGGAATCGGGGATGACCTTCGTGGACGTGATGGCCTTCAGGTACTCGCGGACCTCACCATCAGTTGGAAGGCGTCCAAGCTGCTCGCGGTACTCGGTATACAGATCATGCATGGCTGCATCCCACTTGATCTCAACCGCATCGACCTCAAGCTCGGTTCGATCGCAACGAGTCCACCACGTAACTCGTTTGCCGTTCGATGGCCTGGACGCGGTGCTCGAATGCTTGAAGGGCTTGACACCATAAGCCACCAGGGTCATGATGTGGTCCGGCGTACAGGTAAAGGACGACTTGCTGACGCTGTTGTACCCGGTGTAGGTAATCTTCATCATGCGGGAGGTCTGAATAGCCTTAGCAGCTAGGCACTGGACAGGTCGGTCCTCGTGGTCGAAGAGCTGGTCTCCTACGACGATGTCTCGGATGGCCTTGTCACCATTGGTGGTGCGGACCATCGTGTCTGGAGAGAGACACGTCTTTTGGTTGACGTAGTTCTTGGCGATGCCGTGCTGGTAGACGCCCATGGCGGCGAGGGCATCGAGTGTGCGTGGGTGGATCTTCTCGCGACCGTCCGACACGACGCAGACGACGATCTTCTGCCAACCGTTCTCGCCCCAGGTGCGCGACTTGGAGCGCTTGCAGAAGTGGGTGATGTTCTTCATGACGGCGTGCATGGTGCGCGTAAAGTCGTACTCGTTCTCGTTGTACATGGTGATGCACACAAACAGCTCCGTCTCGCGCGTGGTGCGCCCGATGCTCTGGCGTAGCTTGTACCCGCGCTCCACGAAGTCGTCGGGGTCGCAGGTCACGGCCGTGTAGCGCATATGTGTGAACTCGATCTCGTCGCGCCGCGGCAGGAAGCTGTACAGGATGGTCGGGATCTTGCACTCCAGCACCAGCTCGCCGTTGATGAGCTGTACCTCCTTGCGGCTCGTCTGCACATCGCGCACGCCACGGCGCTCCTGCTTGCCCTCGGGCGCCGGCCCGTAGTGCTTCTCGCTGAACTGGCCGTCGTGGCCACCGCCGCGCATCCCGTCGCCGCCCATTCCACTGCCGCTGACCGTGCTGAAGCCTTCGCGCACGTGTTCGTCGTCCAGGCTATCGCCGTCGTTGAGCGTGACCTGCGAATGCCCAGCGTACGACCCGCGATGATCCTGGTAGTATTGCGTGCGCGCGTCGCTGACGTCCGACTCGCCAGGCCCGAACACGTCATCTACGTCAGACAGCGGGATGGAAACGGTGGCGTCGTCAACGAAAGCTGACGACCGCATGCCGTTTGAGAACAGCGGTGCTGGTGGCAGCGGCCGCCTAGGGCTTCCGCCGTACAGCGATGAAGGCGTGCCTGGGCGAGGGCTGCCGTTGAGGTCCGCCGGCTCGTACTGTGGCGCTCTGTCCGCCGGGCGCCGATAGTCGTCCGGGGCGTAGGCGCTGCTGACGTGGGAGGGTGTCCATGGCCTGGTCGGGCTTGCCCCGCTCCCGTATGAGATATACGACCCTGAGACGTACGACCTAGTGTCTGGTGGTGCCATGTTGGGCGGGTTAAGAATCGAGGATCGTCGCGAGTGCGATGAGCTGACTGAGGGCTGGTAGGAGCGTCCTCTCGACCGGGTACTATTACTGTTAGGAGCTGCTGCAGAGCTTGACTGTATGGGAGCTGGGATGCGAGATACGCTTGGCGGGGAGGCCACGCTTGGAGCAACAGGGCGGGGAGTAGAAGCTTGCGCTTGCGCTTGAACCTGGGCTACTGGTCCCTGTTGGCGCCCATGGTCGCTGGTACCAGACCGGACCGGCTCGCTCGTCGACTTCTTGAGCAAGCGCGAGTCCATCCGGGGGGAGCGGCCCTCTGGGATGGTCGGGAGGCAAGACGCTATCTGGCCATCCGCATCCTTCTTGCTCAGGCTCTTCTTCTGCAGCTTCACGGTCCGCGCCCGCTGTGGGAGCCCACTGGTGCTGGCCCTGCGCTGCGGGCCCGGCGTGGCGTCGCCCGCGGCATCGACGACAGGCTCCTTGAACCTGACAGCCGCGGGCATGGCCGGTGTCTGGGGCGTCTTGGCCTCTTCCTGCCTCTTCAGGGCCGCGACGAACTCCGGAGTCGACACTTGCTGCGACAACGGGGACTTTGCGGCCGGCGCCACCTGTGTTTTGACCGCCGCTAGAGGCTTGACGACATGTAGCGGTGAGGGCGAGAGCTCTTTCCTGAGGCGACTCGATGCTGTAGTTGGAAGCGCCGGGGTTACATACTGTCTGTTATCTAATATGGGGTCGTCGACCGAGGTCAACAGTCGGACAGCGGCGCCGTTGCCACTTAGTGCGGAGAGGTCATCGTCGTAGCCGGGGAGGCTGTAGTCGGGAGGAGCTCCCCTCCCGGGAGTGTGTGGTCCGTCCATCGGGACGACCGGCTGGTTTTGAGGGCAGGCAGTTGGCGATGGGTCTGCGGAATGCTGGACACTCAGACACGCGAGTCGCCCTGAGACACGGCGTGGCACCTGTACGCAGTTGTCGGTCCGTGGTTGCGTGGTTGCGTGGTTGACGCCGACGGTTGCTGCTTATTTCTGCTTAGGACTGCTTTGTGCGCGCAGCGGAGAGAGCAAGTGCGCACGTTGTGACGCTGATGGGCGGTTTAAAATGGCAAAAACAACAGGATCTCGAGATGGAGCTTCGGGTGGAGGAGAGGCTGCCGTCCTACGTCGTCAGGACTGCATTGAGTTAGGGTTGGACAAGGCGGGCGCAGTGGCTAGGCGAGGTTACCGCCCCACGCAACCGCATTTTTGTTGTGTGAATGCCTTGCTGCCCCTGGTTGGCTGAGCAACGGCAGCCGCCAGTACCCCCGATTTGGCAAATTGCATCGCTCAACGTCAAGCCGCCCACAACACGCAATCACGCCCCGCCCCACTCTAGCTCTCTAGCTCTAGCTCCGGACAAAAAAAGAACTGCCCAGTGCCCTGAACGGATCCACGACCCACAGACGCTGGAGCCCTGGTGCCTGACGAGACCTTGTCTGATGCCACGCAGCCTGACAAAAGGACAAGACAGCTGCAGACAAATAAACAAAACAAGAAATTCCAACCAATCCCACGAGCTAATCTCTAAACGTCCAGAATTTGGAGTGGCCTTGTTGCTACGAGATGTGGTCCAATCCCGCCGAGTCGTCGCCGGCTTCCGGCTTCGCGACTCCCCAGATCTCATCCCATCGCCTCGAATCTGTCCGCAGGGGTCCGTCCAGCCTGCCGAACCTCGCAGGCCGGCCAGACTCGGCCTTGGGCAGGCAGAGCCACTCACGGACCAGGGGCGGCACCTCCTCCTTGACGTGACTGATGCAAATGAGAGCCTGCCGTTGAGAGAGCCCCGTGACCTTGACCAAGCCAGCCTTTTTGATCTGGCTCTCAACCACCTCCGGGGCTGCTGCCCACGACGCAGAAGAGGTCGATGTCGATCCAACCAGGGCCTTGGCGAGCTCCTTCTCCTCCCCGCACGAGATGAACAGCATACACTTGTCCCTGACACCCTCGTCCATGCCGCTGAAGGCTTCATCGAGCACCACCATGTCCGGGTTTTTGATGATTGCCCGGAGCAGCAGCAGCACGCGCTGCGCGCTGAAGGACAGACCGCCGAACAGATATTCGGTCGCCCACGCCACGTCTGCGCTGACACGATCCTGGTACCCAGGATTAAGTTCTCTCTCAAACCAGCGCAGCGTCGCGTCGACCTTGGCCGTCGCCACCTCGTCAAGCTGCGCCTTGCTCTGGAACGTGTGTGCCCACGCGCTTTCGAGCACCCGGCGTGTCGTCAGCCACCGTGGCATATGTTGATGGATCTCGGGGCTCGAATGGCCCACACGCGACTGTATGTCCCAGAACGTGAGCGGGAGCTCTCCCGACCCAGGCTCAGGAAGCCGACTGCGACCGAATAGTCGGATTGGTAGCGAGTAGGTTTGTGGGTGATCTGAGCAAAGTAGCGAAAAGAGCGTCGTTTTGCCAGACCCGTTTGGTCCGAATACGCCCCAACGCTCGCCTCGGCGCACTGTCCAAACCAGGCCTTTTTTGCCGCCGTCGGGGTTCATCCAGTTGCCCAGCACGACCTTGCTGCCGTACTGAACTTGACAGCCGTCCATCTCCACTATTGGCTCACCAGTGGGAATATTCGCGGTAAAGCTATCATCATCCTTTGGCGTCCGATCTCGTACTGTTGGAACCTTGACGCTCACCCCTGTCCAACCCAACTCCTCCGCGAACCCAACGCCCTCAATGCCTTTCTCGGTCAGCGTGCGGCCCATCTCACTCAATGTCGAGACGGGGAGCGCCGGGTCCTCGACTGGCGGTCCCATAAGATTGTTAGGCCGAGTGGCACATGGGTTCGAGCCCGCTTCCTCCAGATGCTGCAACATCTGGGCGCGCGACACGAACACACGGCGGCACTTGGGGCAGGCCAGGCGCTCGAGCTCCTCTCTCTTGCCTTTGGTGAGCGCGTGGTAGTACCTCCTGAGGGTGTTGACCACCCTCTCGCGCACGCCATCGATGGCGACGCTGCAGTCGGCGCGCAGATACACGACGTGCGTGATCCACTCGGGCAGCGGGTCCTGCGGGCGTGCCGTCAGGATGAGCCTCGGCTCCTCGCGCTCGGCCAGCCCGTGCAGCACGGGGCTCAGCGAGACGACGGTGGGCGGGTCGAGTCCCATGAATGGCTCGTCCAGCAGCAAGAGCTCGGGGGTCCGGAGGAGCGCCCTCGCGATGCGCGCGCGCCGCCCTTGGCCGTTTGATAGGAATGTGACGGGGAGATCCAGGAGCGGTTCCAGCCGGAGATCCCGCGTGACCCGGTCAAACAGGAGCGCCGCCTTGTCGGAGCCGTCCAAGTTCTCGTCGCCCAGGATGCTCTCGTGGGCCGAGTTTAGTTCTGTGTTTCCGAGCAGGTAGTCTCTTAGCGAAAAGTCCGTCTCTTCCCGTCGAGACTCGTACCGGGCCGACATGTACGTCGAGGTTACCGGGCCCAGGCCGCCGCCAGAGCTGCCCGTGTCGAAGCCAACATACTGAATGGCTCGAGACGGCGTTCTCAGATGATGAGGCACGTCATCGGTAGACAGATAGGGGTACGATCTGGCCGAGGGCGGAACACACAGGTGCTGTCCGGCCAAGACTTGAAGGAACGTTGTCTTTCCCGAAAGCGAGGGGCCTACAACGCACCAGTGCGGGCGCTTGTCCTTGTTTCTGTGCAAAGGAAAGTTGAAAAGTGACCATTTTAGGTTAGGGAAAAGGGGAGGGTTTGGGTGCGGCGTCTGAGAGGAAGGGTGGTGGCGGTAGAAGGTGCCATTGTCGATGCGGACCAGAGCGGCGCGCACCCGCAGCGGCGCGTAGGTAGACATCCTCTCATGAGGTCTGTAGAAAAAGCACGATGGCTTGCATGAGATCGGAACATGGAAGCCAGCGACGGTATTAAGCTTCCGTGGCTCATTTCCATGTGCATCTTTCACGGCTTTATTTCATGACTCCGGCGCAACTCTGCTGAGCTCAGGGGGTCCATACTATTGAGACGAATACGGGTGTTGGTGGGGGTTAAAACGTTCCCCACAATGAATGGGCTTCATGTGAAGTTATGAGCGAAAGATGGAAGCGACCTTGGACGGAAGTTTGGGGTTTCTAAATCGCTGTCCTTCATCACCATGATTATATAACTATTCTGCCAATTGATGGGGTACCAATTGCGAGATGGATGAGTTTCAATATATTCCCTCATCTCAATCTCAACACGTGCTATCCACGTGATCATATCGCATGGCCCCGCCGTCCCACCCCAGGCGGGCTGACGAACGCGAAGCTGCCTTTGGAGCGGCGGTGCCTGTCGGAGCTCCAGCAAGCAGGCACCCAAAATCGTCACTTCACCGATTTGGCCTCGCGCACGACAACCAACGATCCACGCTCTAGCCAGCAAGAAACAGCACCGACCGACCCTCTCACCTGCTATACAAATCGAGCGTCGCATCCCCCCGCCTAGCCCGGCCGACCTTCCCTCCCGCTTCCGTGCTTCGTTTGTCGATAATAACCAGGGGAGCTTCTCGCCCGCTGTTCAAGATGGTAATACCCGACCCTTCCCCTCTCCAGCTCCGCTCTATCAGGACATAGCATCACCAGCCTGCACTGCCGTGACGATCCTCCCCAACTCAGTCTTCTCGGACATCTCATAACCACACAAAACGCTAACCCCCCTCCCCCCCTCCCCAGTCCCTCCGCATCGTCCCCGCCGACGCGCACAGCAGCACCTTCAGCCACATCGGCGAGCGTAGCAAGGGCGCGCCCTCCGCCCCGGGCCTGCACGACACGCTGCGCGCGGGCGTCGGCCCGTCCGCCTTTTCGGCCCTCCCCTCCACCTCCTCCGCCGTCCCGCAGACCACGAGCGCCCACCCGCTCGAGGCGCGCCTCAAGGCCTGGGAGGCCACGCAGCACCGGCTGCGCATGGAGACGCTGCGCCGCACCTTTGGCATGGCCGAGCCCATCCGCCGCGAGATGGAGCTCAAGATCGCGCGCGACGGCGAGTGGAGGCCGCTCGCCCTCGGCGGCGCCCAGCCGGGCCTGCACGAGGACATACTCAGGGGCCGCGACGCCACCGTCGACTGGGACGACGTCTTCACCAACGAGGCGAGCCTGCCCGTGGCCGGCATCCACGACGAGATGGAGAGGAAGTTGAAGATCTGAGCTGGCAAGTGACCCGGGGAGGGGAGGATCAAAGGTGCTTGGTCTGGGTGGGCGGTGCATGTTTCTGCCTGGAGAGTTGTCGGTAATGGAACACGGCGAAAGAGGTCAGGTCCAGTCGTTGCTCTGCGATGAAGGGTAGGGTCAGCTACTGGTGATAGCAATGAGGGGTCGGTATCTCGCCGTGACAGCCGACATGCGAATTACATGAGAAGCCCCCTGAATTGCATTACATCCCAATGGGGCCGGTCATCACCGGAGGAAGGGGCCCAGGCTGTCAGCCACACTATCGAACAACATGCGCCTCTTTAAGACACATTCCAAAAATTAAGGACATTCTACCCGGCCATGGACGATATCTACTTTGTCCATGTCCTCTCGCTAATCGGGTGGTGAACTGTTGTGGAACGGTGTTGGTAGCTATGGGGATACAGGCAGCATGAGTGCGAACCGCATCAGTACAAAGGGGGGCAGAGAAGAAACAGGCAGTCAGATGTGCGCCGGTACACCAAAAAAGACATAAAATCCCATCATAGACAGTGCTCAAAGCTAAGTGTGGAAAGTGAAGTCTGTCCCGCAAAGAACGGGACCGGGATGGAGGAAGAAGTTGTAGCTGCCACAGAACCGCCTCGAAATGAAAGCTCGTTGTGAAGCGATATGCAATAAACCAAACAAATTTGGAAGCCATGGTGACTGACAAAGGAAAAGAAAAGAAGAGGAATATATGTAGAAAAGTAAGTAGCCAGGGAGCCCATCTCTGAACTCTCCTGGCCGCTGGGTGTTTGAACTGGACTGGGTGTTGCAATCTCCCCCCACTCCAAACCATTCACTAGCCGCTCTTTACTATGCTTTCATAACAAATAACATTTAGGCGTTGCGTATTTTTTGGGCAACGGGCGGGCACACGCAATATTCCAGCGGTCGATCCATCGGGGGTGTCGGTTGTTCGTGTTTCGGTGAGAGGCGGCAGAGAGAAGAGGAGAATAAGATGTGCTGTGCGGTTGAGTCGGGGCGAACAGGAGTTGGGCGTTGTTCGCGCTTGCATCGCCCAGACCTGAAAGAAGCGATGGTAAGAAGGCGTTATCCTGCGGTGGGACTCATAGAATGACACAGCAATTGCCGCTCCCTTGTGTTCTGCCGCCCGAGCCAGACGTCTTGCCCTTGGCGCCTTCTTCTTCTTCCATCATCTCGGCCGGGCGGACGGACATGTGGATAACATTTGGCGCCTCGGAGCTGAATTGGTACTCTGTTGCAAGAAGTAGTTGAGTCAGTAACACATACAACCGCAAGATGCTATCCACGCTTGAGGTGGCGACCGGCAAAGGAGCAAATCAACAGGACAAAGGCTTACTTTTCAGCTGCTCCTTGTCATCTAATAGCTTGCCGAAGTGGATAAGGCGTATGCTGGTCGGACTGGCCGGCTTTCCTTCCCACTCCTCGCGCCATTCGAGAAGTATCAGCTCCTTGAGCTTATAGACACTGATGCTGAACGGGTCCGCCTTGCCGTCCTCGGTCAGCTCGGGGATCTCGACGTTGCGCTTGGACAGGTACCGCTCGTCGATTTTGTAGGGATGCCTCGCGCCCGTGGGGAGCAGGAGCGTGATGTTGCACGTGGGATTCGCCGGCGTCGAAGAGGCGCCGGCATCGTCGGGCCTGTCTATCGAAAGCGAGTCCCTCTTCCCGGCATCTGCCGTCTCCTTGCCCTTTCCCTTGGACGCCGCGGATGGTGACTCGGGCGACTTGTTGTTTCCGTCATCGTCCGCCGTAGCCGCTGCAGGAACCGAGGGCACTGAGGCGTTGCCGGCGACACCTATGATGGGTGGTCGTGATTCGGCAGCGGCGTCGGATGCTTCGGGCACTGGATTCGGGTCGACGGCCGTCGGTTTCGTCGTTGCCTGCTCAGCCATGATGTCGGAGAGGAGCAAAAGTCTCAACTGGAACCCTCACGGGACGAGGTTGTGTCGAGTGCGGTCCTGCCAGAGCCTTCTTTCCTGTCCTCCCTAGAAATCGAGTGGCTGCGGTGGGAGGCTAGAGAGGATTGATGCGGCTATCGGGGTTGGGACAGGACAGCGTCGAGGCCTGGCAGACTCCGTGCGTGACCAGCGAGCTGAGCTGGGAGTTGGCGGCAAGATTTCAGACGACCCTCGGGATCCCCTTGAAGTGTTTCGATCTTTTGTGTTGTTTGGAAAACGCCCCTTTTCCCGCGTTTGTGGCCGCGCCGCCCCCGATTGAGTGATGGATTCGGACGGTGTATTGGTCGATGGTGTACAGGCAATATGCAGGATGCCGGGGGTTTGACAAGAGGAAGAAGCAGCGAAAAAAAAAAGAAAAGCGAATGATAATTAAAAGAGAGACAGGCACCCAGGGGTTGTCCGATGTGGGGAGTGGATGAGGGGGACGTAGAGTTAGGTAGTCAAAGAGTCGCCGCAGGGACCCAGGGTCTTGGCTTGGAGAGAGGCGAAGCGATAGTATTTGATTTCCTGTTCCTCCAAAAGGGCCGGGTGTTGGTGATGGATGGATGATGATGACCGCACGGCCAGCGAGTTGGTTGGAACTGGCTGGGGGCTGCTGCTTACCGACCTCTACCGGGACCTACCAGAGCGACAGGGCAGGCAGGCATTAGGCACGGATCGGATCCAATTCAGTGGGCAAGTGCAGCAGCGCTGGGTGCCGCCAGACGTGCAGTGCAGGACTAGGTCTTGTGATCTGTGGCAGACTGGACAAGCTGAACAGGCTGGACGAGCGGAAACTTGGACAGACAGGCTGGTGGCAGGCGTTGGGCCGGCTCATCGCTTGCCCAAGTCGTAGCCCTGGCAGCGGCGACAGCAGCAGCGCGAGGTTTACGGGATGGGGGATGTGCTCATTAATTTGGCCGCCCAAGAATGCAGGGATGAGCCCGGCAACCCCCCGGCGGGAAGCCGCCACGAGCCCACCGAGCCCGCCTCGCGAGCTCGCCTCCAGCTGTGGTGCAGAGCTGGCGGGGACGCGGGCATTTTGCAGCACGATGCATTTGATTCCCACCTGCGCCTCCCTCCGGCCGCGCCTCCCCGTGATGCCCACGCGCGCTTTCCCCAGCGGTCGCGGTGGGTGGGGTTCCAGTTGGGCTGGGGAAAGATTGAACAGACCGCCATCCCGGACAGGGGCCAGTGGGGAACTACTGTACGCTAGGGGGACTGCTCTTTCTTTCTTTTTTCTTTTTTCCCTTTTCTTCTGGCTGCGTTCTCTTCCGGTAGTTGTGTTGTCTTCCCTCCGTCTTCCACGTGCTGCGCCAGACATGTGCGTGCGCGCGATGGGCGAGGGGAACGATCGACGACAACTCTTAGCTGCGCCAAAAACTCAAGTCGAGGCGGCAGAAAATAGCCCGGCGAACGCGCGGCGCATGCGGCCATTTGGTGTGAACCGCAGGGGAACAGCACATGCGGTTTCGGTGACGCCATGGATCGAGCTACTAGAGACACCGCCCTAGGGAAAATACTGGAATTGGCCAAAGACGATCAAACCCATCCGCGTCCGCCTGTCACTGGCAGGAGCCAAGACGGCAAAAGCTGGGGTATCCCAAGCAGGGTGCAGCCTGTGCTGCGTGCCAGCACAACACACAGCCTTCAAGCCGCTAGCTTCTACGTCTAGACTAGCCGCGATAGAGCCCGCAGCTAGATGCAAACAAAACAATGACAGCCGTCCGTTAGCCGGTGTGGAGGAAAAGATAAGCCGTCGACATGAACCGGGCTGCCCCTCTCGATCTGATAATTCCTCTTTCCTTTTCCCCATCTCTCTTGTCTACCCTCTGTTTCCTTGTTTGCTCTTGCTTTCCCCTGTCTTTGTGCAAGCAACCTCTCCGACTTCAACCTCTGATCCATCCCCCGCGCCTTGGCCTGAACTCCGCCTCGGTGTGAGGGGAGAGGTGGAGCGAACACCTGGGGCCCCACACTCCACGACGCTTATCGCCGCCGGCGTTGCGTGTTTGCACGCCGAGGGATTTTACCTCTTTTTGGCCCTTGGGTGGGCACCCTTCCCATTGACCTCCTTGACGGAGCCTCTTCCCCACAGGCCGATATCCGTCGTGGTTCGTGCTGGTCGGATGGCGACAACTTGATTTGGTTGCTAGTGAGGCTGCACCACTAACTCAGACCGCTTCTTTATAGTTGCGCACCCCTTTTCACGCTGGACCCTCCCAGATGTAGAGTTTTGTTTGTGATTGGAGTCAACGTGGCAGCTCGACACTCCTTGACTTGACGCACATATGACGAGGCGCGTCATTCTGCATCTCTTTTGTTGCCTGCCCCTTGTATTTCTCAATCACTCCAAGTAATAGTTAGGTTTGTACCGGTGCCCAGGTTACTCGACTAAACTTACCTTTTAACATCGTCTGTCCAAACGCCAGTTGAGTCTGTTTAATTGTGCGCTGCCTCTTGCTGGCCGCACTAACGGAAGTCATGAGGTGGCTAGACGGTGGCTAGACTTCACGCAAGGCGGTGTGCCATGAAGTCGGGTTGGATCTCTAGACTAACATAGCCTTCGCTTATTGGTGCTTGCCAACGTCTCAGCATAGTCTTCCCTATGACAATGGGCAACGACGCGATGCTAAGGGGGCTCCCTCAAGCTACGCGGTGCTTAGGACCGTTAAGAACTACAATCAGTCACCGCCTGACACCTGAGCATATCTGCCCTACGCATCCCTTATGGGTAACCCTCACCGGGAGGTGAGTGATGGAGAAGCGCCGACCAGTTTCCGCACGCCTTTTCCCGGACCTCTCATGCCTCGTTCGGTGGCTGCTTCCCGGGCTCCGCGTAGCCAGCCAGTCGTTGGCTCTGGGGAGTGATTGCGGCGCACATGAGGTTGTATCTAGGGATACAGTACCACTCAGTTTACTCGGCAAGCAAGGTGTCATGGCCACCAGCCTCCGTTCTTGGACGGCGACATGGCACCTTGGGCGGTACACGTCTTACCAGCTTTGCCGCAGGCCGTGCACGCTGCCCACGGCTGGTCGCCACCGCTGAGAGAAGATGGCATGCCACAGACTTTGCGGGGGTTCCAATATAGATCCGTATTTTAATAAAGCTGCCCGCGCCTCTCGCGCAACCCTCGGCCTTGCAAACATGCGGCGGCCAAACTCCGACGGCTCCTTTGCCCGACCCAGTCTCTTCCGAAGAAGAAAGAAAAACGCCCTAGCCTCCCCCCGAGATGAAGACCCCAAGTCTACGAACGGCGTTGCATGCCCTGCTGATCGCATGGGCCCCGGCCACGGCGGCGCTCGCCGAATCGTCGCCGCCTGACCGCGCCGTGCTGGACGCCGCGGCCGCGGCCGGGCCCGGCAAGCTGACCACCACCGCGAGCAACACAAAGGACGGCAAGCTGTCGGTCCTGCAGGAGGCGCTACGCAGCGTAGTGCCCCACGCCAGCCGCACCGGCGGCGGGGGCGGCATCCCCGGCGCGGCGGACGAGGACGTTGCTGCTGCTGCTGCTGCTGCCGCCAGACAGAAACGTGAACAACAGGGAGAAGAAGGCGGCGGCGACGGGGAGGCCATCGCCGGCATCCCGGCGGCCGCCACGGTCACTCCCACCACCGCTATAGCAGCGCCGCACGGGAGGGCGGAGGCCGCGTCCGACAGCCCCGGCCACCGCGCGGATGAGCTGGCTGTGTGAATTGAACGACGATATGGTATTGGATTGCAATTGGTGAGAGCAGATATCACGGGAAGCGCGATTGGGCTTTGCTGGAACAGGGCGGCATTGAATAGGGGATATCTGGTAACGTTCAAGATCTTGCCAGCAAGCATTCCTGGCCGATTTGGAGTCCAGATCCATCACAGGGGCAGGGTGAGCCAAGGAATAGAAGACAAATGCTGCAAAAAAAAAAAAACGTACGGAATCCTACCACCGCCATGCCAATGCCGAGACATGCTTGTCATACAGCGCGCCTTCATTGTAGCACATTGGGCGACACGACTGCTCATGCCGTACAGCCTAGCACCAGGGCTCCGGCGGACTCGGGCCAACATAGACCGAACTCGATTTGGGACAGTTGCCTATAGCAATTTCCAGGCCAAAAAGGACTAGATTGCATTACCACTGCAACCGGACTAGATATATGTAAAATTAACATGGATGTGAAGGATTACCTCGCGATCACAGTATATAATCGAACAAGCAGGCTCTGGAGTCATCCAAGCAGTGCACCACGGAATGTGAATCAGAGAAGTACACAAGGTTGCCCTCGTCAGAGCATGAGCAGATCCCCGTTCTGGCCCCCTTGTTCGGGCTGCAGCGCCGTCTGCGGTGCGTACTGGTTGACCACGTATCCGCCCTCGACACCAGCCGCACCACCAAACGAGTCCTGCTCCATAACCTGCAAGTTCGCCATGGCCTGCGCTCCAACCCCAGCAAAGTACGCATCGGCGTCGTTGACGGCTTGTGCGAGGTTGCCGGCCGCTGGAGCTGCTGCTGCCCCGGTTGCTCGTTGTCGGGGGTCAACGTCGGACGGCTGCCCGCCCAGCCCCAACATGCTGAGGCTCTTATTGGTCTCGTAAACGGCTGGGGGAGCCAGGGGACCAGAGCCGGCAGGCAGGAGGTGTCGCTGCAGCGCCGGCGAGTCTGCCAGGCGCCGAGACCTAGCAGAGCGGAACACGGTCTGTACTGGCTTCAGATAGACAGTTGCAAGCGTCCCGACGTTGAGGCACATCTCCTCCAGGGTGGCCGGGTCGAGCCGCTCTGACTCGGCTGTGATGGCGGGCTTATCGCCCATGACGATGCGCTTGGCCATGGCCATGTCCGTTGATAGGAGTCGCCAATACATGTAGGCGCGGTCACGCAGGTCCGGATTGTCCGTCTCCTCAGTCGCCCACTTTAGCACCTTGGGCACAAGCTCTTGGCCCTTGGTCGGCCGCTGGATAAAAAGCTTGACCGTCGCCGTGAGGAGCGCGAGCTGAACCTCGACCGGCTCATCTGCGAACGAGTATAGAAAGTCTTCCAGTAATGCGTCGCTGTTCTCGATGCGCGACGCGTACTGTCCGATGACCCATACCATGGCCGCCTTTGCCTCGGGCTCGTCGAGCGAGTCGAGGTGTTCGCACAGCGTGCCGATGATGGATTCGTACTGGTTGGGGTACTTGCGGAAGATGTTGCGGATCACCACCGTGGCCTCCTGCACGATGTATGTCACCTTCGTCGCCACCAGCTCGAGTAGCAGGTCGATGCACCGCGGAGCTGCGGGCTCGATCTTGATAGCCAACTTTCCGATGGCGCGTACAGCCTTACGCACAAAGTGCACATCGATCTCGGTGGCGTACTCGCGCAGCTCCGTCAATACCTCGCCAATGTTTCTCTCATTGGCAAGCATGAAGATGAGCTCCAACTTGGTGACCTTGACGTAGATGGGGTCGTTGTACTTGCAGAAGAATACCCTGATGTCGTTCCTGAGCACCTCAGGCCGTCGTTGCAGGATCAGTAGCGCGTTTCTCAGCGCCAGGTACTGCACCTCGGGTCCCTTGGCAAGAAGGGTGACCAGAGGCGGCGACAGCTTTCGGCACAGGGCCGAGATCTGCTTCTGATCGGCGATGTAGTTCATCAGATAGAGTACCACGCGTATGCACGTGAGCACGACCGCCGAGTTCGAATGCGACAGACGCGGCGCGATCCTCTCGGCAAGAAGGAGTGCCTCTCCCGAGTCCTCAGGCACATAAGACATGAGTGCTTCGAGGATATAAGTCTGTCCCCATCTGATAACAGCCGAATATGCCGGTTAGCAGAAGTTCGGATCAAGTGACCGAGATGTCATGGCAAAAAGAAAGCAGACCAAAAACATACTCTGAACAGTCCGGGAGGATAGCGACCATTTTAGACGCATTGCCGTAGTCTATAGTCAGCTTGATCGCGTCGCTTCGTTCCCAAATGTCCATAAGTCCAGCCAGCGCACTCGCAACGACTGTCGGGTTGTCGTCTCGCAATAACAAGTTCAGCTTGTCGATGAGGTCCGACTGCTCCACCATTTGCCTATCATGATCGTAAAGCTTGGCGACACAGTAGGCCGCTGTCTTCCGAACATATGGATCGGGGTCTTTCAGGAGTCTCTTCACGAGCGGGACCGTCGCCTCGACAAACTCGCGGACGTGGATGTAGGACATGGTCCGTAGCGCAAGTGCGCGCACCAATGGATTAGAGTCGACCATGTCCTAGTCCCTCGAAGATCTTGTCAGTCGCAAAGTATGGTGGTGTCGACCTCGGAGTCGACGGGTCTCTGGGCAGGAATAGGGGCAGGGGCGACCGGGCTCACGCACATGCTCTAGTACTGGTATCGCCTTGATCGCAATTTCCGGGCGCATGCGGGCATAGTTGACCAGGAAGAGAAAGCACCTATTGATACCATCCAGGCGGCCGTCAGCACCTCCTCATCAATCATATGTATAGACCCTGGTCGGCTCTTACATCTTCTTTATCTCAAGGCTCTCGATGTGCATGCAACCAATTATATCTGGGAACAAGGCCACCATGTCGTTATTGCTCATCGTCATATTGGCGACGATTTTCTTGAGCGCAATCTTCTTGGTGGCGAAGTTCTTGTCCTTTTTTCCGCCGCTGTTCAGCTCGAGGCGAAGCTCGGCTACTTTGCCCTGTGGAGTTACGTAGTGTGAGCCCAGAGTGCCCGGGGGCGGTAGATATGCCATGAACATCATGGTAGGTAAGATGCGCATATAGTATGTATGATCCGTGGGGCCTTGCGGGTATGAACGAATAACTCGACGGGGGGTGCCAGTCGGGAGGTCGACCGCTGCCTGTATGCTGGGCGCAGAGTATCGCGAGAGGGTCGATGGTAGCGCGAGGTGACGTGACTGCTGAACGCCTGGCAACACGGAAGGGGAGTGACAGTAGTGTCCAGAGGGGCAACCCGATCGGCGCACCCAGCGATACAGGCACGCAAAAGTGCAACGTCGAGCAAGCGACGGCAACAGCGAGGGTGGAATGGGGAAGGACAGAGATACGCTAATCTGGAACAATGGCACAAGGGAGATGGACACAGGGATGGAAGCTGGGGATACTTACTCGAGCGAACAGCTTGGAATCACCCCCTCCCTGAGGACCCGACATGGCGTCGTGTGCGCCTCCGCAGGCAAGGTGATGGAGGAATCAGCGACGTGGAGGTGTGGTATGCCGGCCCAGCTCTCGGGGTGGGAACCAAGGCCAGAATCGGATCAGAGCCGAGGGGTGTCGTGCGTGGTGCGACGGCGTCCGCAGGAGGCAGACGTGAATGGGTCCTCTCTGCAGGTCACCTGCTAGCTCCCACTAGAAGGGAGGAGGGCAGCGCCCGGGACGCGAGAGAAAGGAATGGCGGCACGCGGAAGCTACAGCAGCCCTGGGGGGCTTGTCTCGGTGGATCGGGCTGTCCCCAACTGTAGGCCGGATTTCCAGCTGCGAAGCTCAAGTCGACGTCGGGGTTGAGACCTGCACTCAACCAGAAGCAGCCAGTCAAAGATGCTTGGCCGGGCGGGTGGCTCGTCACATGCACCCTCCTCTACCCCCAATCAAGGAAACAGCCGGCTGTGACGAGAGGCGATCCAATGAAATCCGACCTTGTTCGAGATTCAAGCCGCGGCGCCTGGGGTGGCTTCGGTCGGTAGCATCAATCGGATAGCGAGCGGGGGGAGCAGCTTCGTGTGAGGTGTGATGGCGGCAGGGCCGGCTGGATGGAGCTATGCGAGGTCTACTCGCTCGCTTGCTTCGTGGCCTGCGGTCGTGCAGCTTGGGGTCTGTCGAGCTCGAGCTCGTGTCGTCGAAGGCCAAAAGCTTCGCGGCGGTGTCGTTCCATGCAACTTGTAATTGATGTCCTTGCGCGTCCTTGGGCCTTCCAGGGGTTGACTAAGCTGCAGGCAGTCAAGGGGTCCCTCCGCATGTGAAACTCTCCGCTGTGGCGCCCAACAAGCCTGTGGGCACGACCCATGGAGGGCAGCCAGGCAGATAAGCTAACGCGATAATGGATGCACGGCCCCTAAGATCCATCCGCCACGCTTGCCTTCCCACGAAGATGACGACAGAGCCAGCGGCCTCTTCAACGACTCCCCTCCATCGCCAACCTCTGTAGACACTGCAAAGACGACACGCGCTTGTTGAGAATCGCCCGACTCACCATGGTATCAGACACCACCCCACGATGGGTTGCTGAGCTGCAATCACCTGTTCCAGTCAGGGCGAAAAGCGGAAACATCGCCGATCCACCAGGATTCCCTTCACAACTCCAGGGAAGCTCGAAGGTGTGCCATCCCGCCTCGTGACGATGGATACAGTCAAGTGCGAAGTCCGTGGCCACACTCTAACTCGGCTTTTTCTGCAGAAGCGCGACGCAAACAAGGACGGCCGGGCGCAGACCAAAACAGCCCCGACTCCCGAGGAGATGGACACCCTCAAGGTCAAAAAAGCATGGGAGGTTGCACTTGCGCCCATAAAAGGCCTACCCATGACCGCCATCATGATGTATATGTCAGGCAACTCGCTGCAGATATTCACCATCATGACCGTCTTTATGGCGTTCAAGAACCCCGTCGCCGGCATCATCGGCACCGCCCAGGCTTTCGAGCGTTTCGAGACCGAGACAAACAAGGACAAGATGCTGCAGGTCAAGATCGCCTACGTTCTGATGCAGTTTGCTGCTCTAGGGCTGGCCGTCTGGAAGGTTAATGCGATGGGTCTTTTACCGTGGGTTCCCCTTTGATCCATGCTACGTTTGTTTGGATCCTTGCTGACATTCTATTCTGTATGAAGGACAACAAGATCAGACTGGTTGGCTTGGGAAGTCCAGAGAGAGCCATTGGAGTACGCCGTGCCTGCATTATAGAGACAAGAGTCGATCAATATATGGCCCGCACCCCGTGCAGCCAAAACTCAGCCTAGAAATCACGGCTAACATGTCTTGTACATGTCAACCATGGATAACAATCCCATCTTGGTTTACAGGGCCGATATCTGTATGAACAGTCGTAGGTGCAAAGCAAGCTTGGTTATGCAGAAGCCTCTCAACTAGGTACCTGAAATGGGTGGTTAGACAAATAGGTTTGTTTCCACCTATCTCGTGCCACGTTTTTCTCCGGGATGGTCAAGATATCAGCCCAGGTTAAGACGGCAAATATCGCAGTCGATCAACAGTGTGATCGCCGCGTGGTTTTGTGGCAAAAAAGAGAACTGGGAGTGAAAATTCTCCAATAAATGTAGGGAATAAAGGCGAAATCACACAGCTCGGCGAAGACATAGGTAAGGAAACGTGTATGAGAATTACTAATGCTAAATCCATCTAAACAGCACGTCCATCTTCTATATTATGGGCTTGCTTCATGTTACAGGGTTCTGTTTTCGTTACCCATTCTGTGGGTTTCTAATGCTAAAATAATCAATCTGGTTGAGCAAACGGGGAGCAAGGTTTCGACAAGGCTCGTAAAAGAAAGCATTAATGGAGGTTTAGGATCTAGCGAGAGAGTGTGAACACCGAGTCCTGGGTGCCAGTTCGCTCGAGAAGTCTCGTTATTTCTCACCCTGCTGCGCTGCCTTCTCCTTCTCCTCCTCCTTCTGCTTTTTCATGCGCAGCCTCCGCTCCTCTCTCCAGCCGGGGCCCCAGCGAAGGAGGGCCAAGAGCGAGGGCGAGAAGGCGGCACAGAAGAGGCTGAGGAACGTGAAGCACCATCCACGCCCAAGAGCGCTGAGCATTTTCTCAATGAGGGACATGACGACGGCGCCCACGGAGCAGCGTATCAGGTTGTTGGCCGCGATGGCCGTAGCCGGTGCGTGAGGGTATCCGTCCACGAGGAGTGTGTTGAAGAGGGAGAAGGCGCCGTTGATGCAGATGCCGACAAAGAATATGAGCACCAGCGGCACGGCGATCATGACCTCCCTGTCCAGCGCCCAGCCGTAGCCGATGGTGCCGGCGAGGCCGAGGACCAGGAACGGTACGATGGGCTGGATGCGCGCGCGCTCGATTGGGAACTTGGACAGGTCGTCCCCGCGCTTCCGGTCGATGGTAAAGCCGATCTTACGCGCGATCCGCCGGTAGTTCCAGTCGAGCACGTAGCCCTGCGCGATGGCGGCCGCGAAGCAGCCCACGCCGTACGGCAGGTAGCAGAGCCCGATCTGCAGGTCCGAGAGCTTGTAGATGCGCGCGAACTCGGTCGAGAGGGTGGCGATGACCGACATGAAGAGGATGTAGAGTAACGAGTTGAACATTAAAATTAGGCCCAGGTCCTTCTCCAGCACGACCTTGAGCGTCTTGAAAGGGTTGGGCAGGTACAGCTTGCGTTTCTGCACGGTGTTCTCCTCGGCCGTGGGGTGCCTCCGCTGTCGCATGTACTCCACGAGCGTCAGGTTCCACCCTTGGGCAGGGATGGAGCCGTTCCCGACGACCTTGCGAGACGTCTCTGGGATGAACAGGGTATAGGGGATCAGCCAGACGAAGGCAAAGATGCCGCAGAACCAAAAGATTGCTCGCCAGCTGAGGTACTGCGAAAGGACACCGCCCAGCACTGGGCTGAGTGCGGGTCCGAGCTGGATACCGGCACTGACAAAGCCCATGTACTTCCCCCTCTCGGAGCTGACGGCGACGTCAGCGACCACGGCGAACCCCAGGGCGAGCGTGCCGCTGCTCCCTGCGCTCTGCAGGCACCTCAGGGCCATGAGGGCGGCGTAGTTATCCTGGAGGGCGAGGCCGATATTGGCGGCCACGTAGATGGAGAAGGCGATGATGAAGGCCGGCCTCCTGCCGGCCATGTCGCCAAAGTCGCCAAAGATGGTGGGCGACAGCCCCTGGAAGATCATGTAAGTCGTGAGCGTGAGGTTGATAAGCCCGACCGAGACGCCCAGGTCGTGTGATATGGCGTTCAGGGCGGGGAAGTAGATGTTGGCCGTCATGGGCGATATGCAGCTCGAGATGGAGACCATGACGATGATCCACGTCTTTGTGGACTTGCTGAAGACGGTGTACGCGGGACCACTTGGCACCCGGGCCAGCGCCTCCGGGTCCGGGGCCGAGTCCGGCTGCTCCCGGGACCCAGCAGAGCTGATGGAGTTTGCTCTCGACGGGGTCGCCCCGCCTAGGACGCCGGCGGAGCCTTCATGGTCTAGCCCCGAGTCTAGATCCGATTTCGCTGGGGGCGTTTCGGGTGTTGCCGAGGCAAGGGGAGGATTTGGAGGATTTGGAAAGTCTTGGTCACACTTCATGTTCAACTTTTCTTTAGAGCAGTGATGGATGGATGATATCGAATAGGTTTTGTTCCAAACCCACGTGTGTCTAACCGCCAAGACGAGAGGATAATATGTTAGGGACGGTGATTCTTAATCGGCTCAGCGATGGAGGCAAATTTTCACATTTCTCCACAATCATGTCCTTTCGCCCTGATGCATCCCCGCCCAGGTGCCGGCCAAAGCGAACGGAGGTGCCGAGGGAATGTATGGCCACGAGCGCCCACAGAGCCCTGTACCTGTCTACAGTATCTGTTGACCGCATTTGCCGCATCAGAGACACCGGCCTTTGATCGGAGTTAGGTCATATTTCCCACATATGTGGAGATGCCGGGTTGTTATTCCCGGTGCCGGAGCTCTCGAACGGGCCATGACGGCAACGGCCCCATCTTTTCTGTCTTGGCATTGATAGGGCCTGCCCCGAAGTAGGCTTCCCCTTGGCACGGGCCCGGGAGGCGTGCCTATTTTGCCGCTGGTGCCTGCCTAGAATCGGCGTTTTAATCTCGTTTCGCCGAGGGTAGCGTCGGCGGTCGTGGTCCGCCACCGAAATGAGCCTCATCATCATGCATCTCGAGGTGATTTGGAGTACGAGACCTGCGAAGAATGCAACCCACGAGGTTATCGTGAACGCCCGACGAGCAAGATCGGCGTGAAAATATTGGATATTGTCAGGGCATATCAAAGTTGCGCCTCATTGACTTTCCATACGAAATGAGGAAATTAGGCGCTATCGCTCAGAGACGGGGCCATGACTCAGCAATGAGTGGCGCATCGAGGTAGTGTGGCTGAGCAGAACCCACAAGCCACCACGAGAGCATCAATCAAGCCACGAATGACAACACCACAAGCTGATGTTGGCAGGGGTCTGATTTCAGGATGGTTTAAGGCGCCGAAACAGGGCGGGCATGTGAAATCGCCTTTGCTGTCGTCGTCGGCGGTCTCTTCCGGGGCTCGCCTGAGCTATCCCTAGCCTAACAATAACGATGACAGCTCTTACTGCTTCGTTTAATGAGCTACTGAAGCAGAGGGAGGCGCCTCCTGCGAAAACCAGCTTCAGCTTAGAGGAGCTCGACGAGTTCCTAAAGGAGGCATACCGGATCGTGGGTCATAACTCAAAGAACACTTTGGCTGGGCTGTGCTCCTTCATCACGACTAGCAATACCCTGGTGCTTGGACCAAAATCTAACAGTCAACACACATTGGTGTCCAGAACTCCCATATCGCCTCCCTCCATTCCAGACTCAAGGATGTCCGCCAGGCCTACCTCTCGACGGCGCCACAGCGCAAGTCGCACCTCCGGCAGCTGTCTCAATATCAACGCCAGCAAATACTCACGGACCACGAGCGTGAGGAGGTCGATGCAAACGCAAAGAAGATGCTGCGCGAGCTCAACGCCTCCATCCGGACCCTCGCCGACGCCGAGCAGCTGCGCCACGAGACGGAGCTCGTCGTGATCCGCAAGAAGTACGTCCGCGGGCTGGGCGCGCTGGGCGCGTGGGCGGCCGGCGACGTCGGAGGGGTGGGCGGCCGGCTCGGCGGGCTGGGGCGCAAGAGCAAGAGCAAGGAGCACCTGGAGGCCGAGGGCAGGGCGGCGCAGCTGGCCGGCCACCGCGAGGGCGTGCTCTGGTTCCTCCGCCAGCGGCTCCAGCGGTGCGTCGAGACGCAGCAGCACATGATGGAGACGCGCCTCACGCGCGAGGTGGAGAAGAGCCGCAGCGTGCTCGCTAAGGCGCGCCCCGGCCAGCACGTACGCTCCGCCTCCGGCCTGCCCGCGGAGCTGGCCACCCACCCCGGGTTCCAGGGCTTCCACGAGCCGGCGTCCGGGAACGCCTTTGGCGGTGGCAAGGGGTCTCCCCTTGCACACCTCGAAGAAGAAGAAAAGAAGCGACGTCAAGAGCCGGCCGACTTGACCGCCGATGAATTGCAAATGTTTGAAAAGGGAAGCCAGGATATGCTCAAATACTACGAAAGCACCCTGGACAAAGTCATGTATGTTCCCCACTGCGGTTTACCATTGTTAATATCATCGGCTGACGTATTCATCTTTCTACCCCTTTTCGTAGGTCTGCGGAGAAGTCTCTCTTGGAGATCTCGGAGTTGCAGACAGTCCTGGTCAACAGTCTAGCCACGCAGTCAGCTCATGTCGAACAGCTGGTCGCAGACTCTCTCAGTACGGAGGAGAATGTCGGCGGAGGAAATAAGGAGTTGAAGAAGGCGTCGGAAAAATGGCGCCCGGCCAAGCTTACCTTCTTTGGCGCTGTTGGGCTGTGTTCTGTGCTGGTGCTCTGGGACCTGGTGATATAAGCTTCTTGTACTCATGATAGTTGACGTATTGAAGAAAGTGAAGACATGGCTGCTTGCGGGGGGTAATGGACTTCCTGATGCGGTACAGGCGGGGAAGCGGCACCTTGAGCACTTTGAAGAAGACCAAATTAAACTGCTGATAATCCATGGTGACGGTTTATCTGGGTATTTGGGAAGCCTCGATATCTGGATGGAAATATCTGCTTCGCCTTAGTCTTATATCTCGAACCTCCCGGCCCGTGTACCGCCTCTTTTTACTCCTGCACCGTATCTCTCCTGGGCCGAGCTAGTCAACTTTTCCGCTCGAGTACTCTTTTTGGGCACCAACAGTAGAAGCAAAGCAACGCATTTCTGTACTTTTAAATGCGGCAACTTTCCGGATAATCTCAAGTACAGAAAATGCCAGCTGGGTGCGGAATTTGGAACGGTACGTCTTTATGCATTGTTGCTGGGGAGAGGGCTATTCCCATCAGCAATGGAATGGCGCTTGGTCGATAGAAGGATGCTTGCCATGTTGCCCTGAGTGGCCTGGGTTTCTGACCAATGGTGACTTTCAAATTAATATCTGAGGAACCGACCAACCAGGCTGGGTTGATTGGAGCGCCAAAGATGGAACAAGGGGGGTGGATTTTGCGCAGGTCAGATGTTCGCCCGCCTGGGCCCTACAGCAAGCTTGCAAGCACAACACCCCTGCGCCCCAGTCACTCCGGGCCTCGGGATTCGGTAACACAAGCGCTGGTAGAGGAACATTGAATACGGCTAACGCGACACGGTACCGTGCCGCGACTTCGGAACTTTGCCCATCTTCACATGCACTCGACTTTCGGGCGGCACGGAACCAAGATCAGCACGGCCCGCATAAAAAGCCCTAGGAGGGAGCCTCTGCTGTTGTGGCCGGAGCTGGAAATCTGTAACTATCTCGACCCAGAGAACCGAAGGGACCACACCGACCTCAAACGGATTCTGGCGATAGTCTCCTGACAACCCACTCCTTGTTGTTCCCCAAAAACTATCAAATCGCTCACCCCATCGAACCACTTTATGACACATCAAGTGGCGTGCATCCCTGATTTGAGCGGGAAATAGGTAGATTTTGTCGTATCTCGGTGACTAAATCGAGTCCACCAAAGCGGCAGTCGCAGCCGTGCGGCCGACAGGAGGAGCCTTCGCGCCGCGTGTTGGGATAGGCGCGCACGCACAGGGCCTGGTGCAACTGTTTAGGGGACCGACTGCATTAAGAGGCCTGGACGGTTCCTGGCGGCAGCTGCCCGTCCGTTCCGTTAAAAGGTGTCCCCAAAGATGCCATCCAACAACCGCACCACTTCCCCACAAACCTCCCCTTCTTCCTCGAACACGGCCGTCTCCCGAATACGCAACATTGCAAACCACATGATGGCGGCCCCTTCAACGAGCAGCTTCACGGCCGAGCTGGTCCCCCAGGCCCCAGAGGACCCCCTCTTCGGCTTGATGAGGGCCTACAGGGCCGACCAGAGCCCGAACAAAGTCGACTTGGTGGGGCAACCCTCTCCAGCACTGCGCGCCTGCTTTCCGGCTCTTTCCTTTGCTCCCCACGTCTGGGACGACCCAGAGAGCTAATTCTTCCGTGTCTTTCCGATCGCAGGGAATTGGCGCCTACAGGGACGACAATGCGAAGCCGTGGGTGCTTCCCGTCGTGAAGAAGGTACGACCTGGCCGATCTCATTTGGTTGTTTTTTTCCCGTGTGGCAGAGCTAGAGACGGTTTCCGGGCTCAATGCCACCAAAACAAAAAACTACCCCGCCAGCCGTGCTTGGAGCTCTCTTGCTTTACGCCCCTGCCGAGCATACCATTAGCCAAGGCTATGGAATCTTCCTTACTAACCACGGATACGCGGCAACGGCGCACAGGCGGACGACATCATCCGTAACGACCCCGAGCTCAACCATGAGTACCTCCCGATCGCCGGCCTGGCCTCGTTCACGAGCAAGGCTGCCGAGCTGATGCTGGGCGCCGACACGCCGGCCAAGGGTCGCGTCACGTCAGTCCAGACCATCTCGGGCACTGGCGCCGTCCACCTGGGCGCGCTGTTCCTGCAGAAGTTCTACCGCAAGGCCCACCCAACCTCCGTCTACCTGTCCAACCCGACCTGGGCGAACCACAACCAGATCTTCGGAAACGTCGGCGTCCCCACCGCCACCTACCCCTACTTCGACAAGTCGACCAAGGGCCTCGACTTTGAGGGCATGAAGGCTGCCCTGCAGCAGGCAGAGGACCACTCCGTCATCCTGTTGCACGCCTGCGCGCACAATCCAACGGGCGTCGACCCGACCCAAGATCAGTGGCGTGAGATTGCGGGCATCATGCGCGAGAAGAACCACTTCCCCTTCTTCGACTGTGCTTACCAGGGATTCGCTTCGGGCGACCTCGACCGCGACGCCTGGGCCGTGAGGTATTTTGTCGAGCAGGGATTCGAGCTTGTCATTGCCCAGTCGTTTGCCAAGAACTTTGGTTTGTACGGTGAGCGGGCCGGATGCCTCCACGTCGTTGGCGCGCCGGTGGCAGATGCGACCGAAACCATCGGGCGCGTGGCATCGCAGCTCGCGATCCTGCAGCGGTCTGAAATTTCCAACCCGCCCATCTACGGCGCGCGCGTGGCCAGCACCGTGCTCAACGATGCGGCGCTATTTGCCGAGTGGAAGGAGAACTTGCAGACCATGTCTGGGCGCATCATCAGCATGCGGACGGCGCTTCGGTCCAAGCTCGAGGAGCTGGGCACGCCAGGAACCTGGAATCACATCACGGACCAGATCGGCATGTTCAGTTTCACGGGCCTGTCGGAAGAGCAAGTGCTCAAGCTGCGCAGCGAGTTCCACGTCTACATGACCAAGAACGGACGCATCAGCATGGCTGGCCTCAACACGCGCAACGTCGACTACTTTGCCAAGGCTGTTGACAAGATTGTGAGGGAGTCGCAGTAGAGGGCGTTTGGTTCCAGGGGATGAGGATGATTAGACTAGCTGGGCTGGCGCTTGCGGCAAGCTTCGATTTACACAGGGTCGCTTTTGAATGGCACTGTAGTTTGAGCAGAGGCCCGTGCCATGCATGACCTTGACAAAAATGATAAACCCCGTCAAACCTTGATGGGCCATTGTAGCTGATTGAGCTCGTGAAGGAGAGTGAAGAAGCAGTCGCTGGAATGTACGTCATCCGTATCTGCTCCGCGGCCAGGCCCTAAAAAGTGCAGGAAGCAAGCAAAGGCATAGGTTTGATTACATAATACGACACAACACACCTGCCCGCGCCTCCATGCCGCCATGTGGGTCTTCTCAGGAAGGGACGCCCGAAGCGGTTCATCTATGGAGGGACACCACCACGCTGCTCTGTTGGGGGACTAGACCTGAGCTTGGGCTTGCACAGCGCGTAATAAATCACAGAGGCTCGCGCGATTGTCGACCAGTCATCGCCGTGCCGTCGCAACTCGCCCGCATCACCACGCCCTCGCTAGGAGCTATGCTAGCCGTAGCACCGACGCAACCATGGTGTGCAATGTCTGCTTCGACCTGCGCCCCGAAAGGGCAGAAGCGGCCAAGAGCTGGGAGTCGTCGCAGTGGGCTCGGCTGAAGATCAGCTTCGTGGCTCTCCTGAGGAGCAAGGGGCGGGGCTGCCAGATCTGCTACGCCATCTTCCGCGGCCTCGAGATCTTCACCGAGAACCTCCGCCTCGGCCTGCCGATGAACACGTTCCTGCGAAACCTCAGCCCGGAGCGCTCCCATCTGTTCATGACCATGGTCGACGGCGGCCCCCTCGAGTTCGCCGCCCTGATCCGGCTGCCGTCGATGATGCGGGACTGGACTAGGAAGCGCAGAAGCCGCTTCGCTATTTGCTTTGAGCTGTTCACCGACCAAAGCCCCTGTTAGTAACCGCGACATGGGCATGCGTGCCCCGCGCCTTTGCCTCTGTTTACACTGGCTTCTCTCTGGCTACCTGCCTACCTAGACACTCGGGCGCTGACCTCTCATGCGGTCTCACAGCCTCGCCGATACCCATCAAGGGGATTGGACCGGGCAGAAGGGTTGCGGTAAAGCCCAGCACGGACCGCCGAGTAAAGTTGATCAAGGAGTGGGTCAAGGACTGCCAGGAGAACCATGCCTTTTGTCGCGAATGGCGAGCTTCGTCGGACAGCCCCGGCCCGAGGAGGATGCTGGATCTGAGCGGCAACCCGCGGTCGCGAGTCAGGCTGGTCGACCCGTTCGACCGCGCCGTCGACGGGGACTACATTACGTTCATCCATCCGTGTCCCAATCGCGGCGCCGACGGTGGCGCCGACGCGGCCGTCTACAGGTTGACGACCAGCAACTACGCCTCACTCAAACGCGGCATCCGCTGGGCCGACCTCCCGGCCTCATACAAGGATGCCGTGGCTGTGGCCTCGGAGCAGGGGGTGCGTTATCTTTGGATCGATGCCCTTTGCGTCATTCAAGACGATGACACAGATTTCCACTGGCACATTGAGAACCTCGGGGAGATATACAAGGCCTCCCTCTTCACCATTTCCCCAACCAGGCTGCGGGATGCCGGAGCCTCCTTTTTGGGTCCCAGGAGACTCGTCCCCACTGCCTGGGCTGCGAGCATGGCGGATGAGATTGGGGTCGGAGAAGAGTCGATGAGGACGCATGAGGTGGTGCTGAGACGCGGCAAGCACACGTTTTCCGTTTATATACGACGGCGACTCTGCGCCAGCCACCATCACCTCTGCTGTGATAAAGTCGGTCGTTGTGGGCACACTTTGATCAACCTATACTGGAACTTCCTCACCCCTCACTGGATGCCGCTGCTGGGCCCGATGCTTTCATCGGCCTGGTCGTTCATGCAGCGACTGACCTCGACGCGGACGGTGCATTTCCATGGTTCCGAGATGGTCTGGGAGTGCCAGACCGGGCACAAGTGCGAGTGCAACGTCTCACTTAAGAACAGTCTGCCTGACCCGCGCCTCCCGTCTTCCTTGGCGACTGTGCCTTCGAAGCAAGGTCATGACGATGATCGCTTCGCGGCATCCTTCTATAGCGATCGCTGGGGTGCCCTGATAAGGCTCTTTACCCGTCTGAGCATGCCGGACAACAGACATCGTCTTCATGCTCTCGCCGGTTACATGTCGATATATGGAAAAAAGAAAGCGGGCTACTTCGCCGGGCTAATTGCAAACACACCAGAGGAGTTGGCCAGGTCCCTCCTCTGGTGGGTGAGTAAAGTGGAGGAGGGGCCTGCAAGAAAGAGCTTCAGGTTCGACTGTCGGCCCGCGGTGCCATCGTGGTCTTGGGCGTCTGTCGGCACCGAGGCCCCGGACTCTGTCGTCCTCCTGGATTTCACGCTCAATCGACGCCGCATGATGTTTGTGCCCGACCCCGGCTTTGAGGTCGAGTCGATCGACCATCGCTCACTGGCGGGAGATGCAGAGTACGGCGCCCTGAGTGGTGATTCGTGGGCGATTTCTCTGCGCGGGCACATTATGCTGGCCAAGATCAGCCCAAGATTTAGATGGCACAAGGGCCATCCCTTTGTACCCTCGAGTAGCCCATTGCTAGACTTTTTCCTCCCTTCTCCGTTCAACCTACCACCGCGGCCTCCACTGATGCGCACAACTGGACCTGGCCCTCATCCCCCAACCCTGGCGCCCCCGGACATTCCAACCAATCTGCCTGAGGCGCAACAAAACGCGCACTGGGCCCAGTTCAGGCAACTTCAAAGCTGGTTCCGGGATGCGCCTCCGCCCATGGAGTTTGACGCCCTCTTTATATCGCACGCCGTGTTCAAGTGGGATTGCGACTACTGGGCCGAGCGGGCGCACTCTCAAAAGGAGCCCATCTACGCTTACTTTTTGCTTCTCGGGCGTGTCGCTCCCGACGATGGGAACGTCCTCGACACCCACGTCCTCGGGCCCAACGCGGCATACCCCGCCGGTAGCTACCACGGCGAAGCAACCTCGCATGAGCAACCCGAGCGCGAGACCTGGGACATTGGGTTGGTACTCCAGAGACCTGGGTCCGGTGGTGCCTTGGGGGACAAGGATCAAGGCGGCGGGTCGGGTCAGAGCGGGCTCTTGTCGCTTCAGCGAGTCGGCATCTTTACGGTCCCGCGTGTGAGAAATTTCTTTGGCAATTCGCAGGTCCAGGAGGTTCTTTTGGTGTAAAGCGACGTGGGAGAGTCGGTTGAGACCAGTCGCTGGCAGGTGGTCAAGGCCCAACTAGGTCTAGTCGTTAGGTGCGGCTACATACGGCTTGCATTCAACCCTGCTAGACCCATCCAGCTGGGTGGGCCATACCGGGTATGATACTGGACTCGGCTGGATGGCTAAGCTTTACGCCAAGGAACGGGATCGACTCGAAAGCCGGCTCGGCAGCGGGCCGCGTTTTCTGAAAAACACCCTTATCGGAGACGAGGGCAGACAGAGACATCTTTTCCTCTTTTTTATTTTCTTTCTTTTTGTTAGCATCACCTCTTCTAATACCCCCAGGCGCTGGAACAAGGCCAAAGCACCGGAAGGACTGGTTAATGGCACTAGCTCAGAGGTCACTGTGGGATGATGTATCACTGAGCGGGATGGGTTCATTAGGCAAGAGCTTTGATCTTTTGGCAACGACAAGGTGTGTCGGTGACGGCTCCGGTCGTACGGAACGCGCAGAGGCCAGGACAGAACAGCTCGGCTATTGTATAGCGTACCTAGTTTAACTTACATACAGCACAGTGTAGGGCCTCGACGTCAGACGCCACAAACGAAAAACAGAAATTTCACAGTTCAACATAAACAAAGCACTAGCGCGTGCTGGCCTCCTGTTGCCGCCGACAACGGGGCTGATGGATGTTTCTCATATTTTGGACATCCACGCTGAGGTGACTCTTCAGCGCGAACATGCCGAATTCCGAGCTTTGAGTGGCCGGACCGGGCCACCCTTGGCCGCAGAAGGGCCAGAGAGCCCCACTGGCGGCATGCAATACATGCCCGGCGGTTCCTGCCGGGTTGCCACCACTCCTTTTCTTTTTGCTCTTTTGTTATGGACAGAGCCGTAGCTGATTTCGCTTACTAGTACGTGACCGTTGTGGCACAAAGGAGAAAGAAAGCTTGACGCGAAGCTGCCCGACATTGTCAACAAATAGGGCTGGCCCTGGCCCGTCCAATCCCCGGCAGGAGGGCAGAGAACGGTATCCTTGAGGTCCATTTGGGCCTAGAAAAGTCCCGAGAACGGATGAGGATAATGGCCAGGGCGGGCGCAGTCCGTGTTATTCCCGCTAGCGTTGCGACGCCGGTACAGTATTTCGTACCCATGATGGATTTATCAAGTCAAGCTCGGTGGGTCCCAATGCTTGTCATAGCTTCGTGTTGATGTATAATGTTGACTTGGTCGGCAGGGCTATCAGGGGTTTGAAGGGTTTGGCTGGAGTATATAAGTAAACGATCACCTCGAGGGCTGGTGGAGGAAATCATGGAATACAGCGTCCATCTTTGCTTGGGGTGAACGCCCCTTATTTTTTGCCCCCTTGAATCTGGCAGTATTTCCATCCCTTTCTAATTGCCAGCCTGTTTATTCTATCTCTCCTTTCCTCATCCCACGATGGAAGGCGTCGTATCTACACCAGGCACCGTCGGTGTCGTGGCAAGTAAGGAAGCCGGTCAACCGCCAGAATATGCCCCAGACGAACACGATCCACGGCGGTCGGCCGTAGAAGGCGGAAGCGGCCAGGAAGATGCCCAGTACCAGTCCATCGTCCCCCGGCCCAAGGACGCAATACCACCGCCCGGCAAAGTGGGGACATCGCCCCCATCGCCTTCGTCACCACGGAGGGCGTCGAGAGAACGCCACCACCGCGACAGCGCCGGCAGCGACCTGATCGAGCGCCGGCGGTCGAGGTCGTCGACGACCAGCAGCGCCGCGGCGCACAAGGAGCGGCGCGCGGACCCTCGGCTGGACGTGAACCTGCCGTACCGGACGCTGACGGCCGACGCCAACTTTGACGAGTTCACGACCGAGAACCCGGCCGGCAAGATCCCCGGTCCCGAGTCGCGCCGGGGCCCCGACGGCCGCCCCTACAGGCTCGTGACGTTCGTGCCGGGCGACCCCGAGAACCCCAAGAACTGGTCCCGGGCCTACAAGTGGTACGCCACCATGATCGTGGCCGCCACCTGCTTCGTCGTCGCGTTCGCGTCGAGCGTCATCACGGCCGACATCGCCGGCATGGCCGAGGAGTTTGGTGTTGGCCAGGAGGTGGCGCTGGTCAGCATTACCGTCTTTGTCGTCGGTTTTGGTGTTGGTGCGTTGTCTCTTGTCTGGGCGTTGGATCGCTAGGTCGTCGTGGGTTGGAAAAAGGCTGACTTTTCGCTTTCCTTAGGTCCCATGATCTTTGCGCCGCTGTCTGAGATTTACGGTAGACGCATCATCTAGTACGCACCCTCGATGAATGACCTGTACTGTGGCTTTACTGACACTGGCCTGCCTCCCCTCGCAGCGGCTCGACCCTCCTCGTGGCCGTCATCTTCATCATCCCGTGCGCACTCGCGACCAACATCGAGACGCTGCTGGTCTGCCGCGCCATCGACGGCATCGCCTTCTCGGCGCCCATGACGCTCGTGGGCGGCACGCTCGCCGATTTATGGCCCAACTCGGAGCGCGGCGTGCCCATGGCCGCCTTCAGCGCCGCGCCCTTCATCGGCCCGGCCGTCGGGCCCCTCGTCGGCGGCTACCTGGCCGACGCGACGAGCTGGCGGTGGCTGTACTGGATCCAGCTCGTCCTCGCGGGGGTCGTGTGGGTTCTGATCACCTTCACCGTGCCCGAGACGTACGCGCCCACGATCCTGGCGCGCCGCGCGGGCAGGCTAAGGCGCGAGACGGGCGAGCGCGGCCACGTCACGGAGCAGGACCTGGACATGCGGCCGGCGGGCGAGCGGCTGGGCGTCTTCCTCGTCAGGCCGTTCCAGCTGCTGTTTGGCGAGCTGATTGTGTTTTTGATCTCGCTGTACATGAGCGTCTTGTACGGCCTGTTGTACATGTAAGTTGGCTCTCCGAGATGCACGGTCAGGAGTTATGAGTGGAATGCTGACCTAGGCGGGAACTCGTTTCGAACAGGTTCTTTATTGCGTTTCCGATCATATACCAAAAGGGCAAAGGCTTCACAGCTGGACAGACGGGTCTCATGTTCATCCCGTGCGCCATAGGCGTGAGTTTAAAAGATTCTCGGCACTGTTTCTCTGATGCGCTGGCTGACACAACAACCCCACAGGTCCTCATCTCTGCCTTCTGCGCGCCGTTCGTCAACAACCACTACCTCAAGCTGGTGCGCAGGCACAGCGGCAAGCCGCCGGCCGAGGCGCGGCTGATCCCCATGATGTGCAGCTGCTGGTTCATCCCGGCGGGGCTCTTCATCTTCGCCTGGAGCTCGTACCCGCAGCTCTCGTGGGCGGGACCGGCCATGGGCGGATTCTGCGTGGGGTTCGGGTTCATCTTCCTGTACAACTCGGCCAACAACTACCTGGTGGACTCGTACCAGCACCAGGCCGCGTCGGCGCTGGCCGCCAAGACCTTCATCCGCAGCTTCTGGGGCGCCGCCGTCGTGCTCTTCACCGAGCAGATGTACGACCGCCTGGGCGACCAGTGGGCCTCGACGCTCATTGCCCTCATCAGTGTCGCCTGCTGCGCCATCCCGTTCCTGTTCTGGCGCTACGGCGCCGCCATCCGCCGTCGGAGCAAGTTTGCCTACGGCGGTGATGACGATGAGGTCGAGGAGGGGCACATGTCGTCGTCGTCGGACGCGGATGTGGAGAAGGGCAAGACCGCGGCCGCGCAGGAGCCGGCTAGGGACATGGAGGATCTGAGGAGGGCGCAGAGCTATGTCAGTAACCCTTGAGCAGCTCGAGGGGCTGGCTGGACGGCGATGGACGCGTAAAGGATGGGGTTTCGGCGATTATGTCAGTCTCCTTTCAGGTGGGGGTAGAGGTAAAAGAGGGGAGGAGAGCTCGATATTAATTAATAGACGATAGATTTTTTGCGAGGATACGGAGGAAAATATAAAGTAGAACCGATCACTTGTCGGAGCTAAAGCAACATGAGGGTTATTGCGCAAACGTAGCCCCTGAATCGCACAGTGTTTGGTGTGCAGGCTTGCGCACGGTTTCCGGGCTCCTTTCTCATCACCGGCCAGACGGCTCTGTGGATGTCTATGGTCAAATAACATGGAAGGTATCTGCAGTGCGCAGCTGTTTGTATCGGAAGCAGCAAGCTATAGAGTCCCGACAAATCCATGTATTCCCGGTCCATTTCAGATCACATTGCCAGAACCCTAGCCCCCATCTCGTTCATGCTCCCTGCTCTGAAGCCAGCCCCCTATCCCGAGTCATCTCTCATCGACGGCGATTGAGGCAACTCAACGTCAACAGCCGCCTCCTCGGGTAGACCTAGCTGGAGCGTCTCAGGCCCGGGGAACCGCTTCTTGGTTTTCTTCCCCCTCCCGCCCTTTGCCCCGCCGGCGACCCTGTCCCTCCTGAGCAGCTTGATATACCGGGTCGCCATCTCCACCACGTCCGCCTTGGACGACAGCGCGTTCAGCTGGCCCGCCTCGTCCAGCAGCCCGTCCTGTCCGGGGCTGTACCCGACCGTGAGCTGCGCCTCAAGGTCCCGGATCGCGCCTGTCAGGCGGTCCCGTCGGGCCTTTTCCGAGACGCGGTGGGCCTTGCGCTTCGACACCGACTCGACTGCAACTGGTGGTGGTGGTGCCGCTCCTGGCTCCAGGGCCCAGGCTTGGTCGGTGATAAAGCCCCTTTCTGGGAGAGCTGGGAGCTGCGCAGGGGGTCTCGGCTCGTCAAAGTCTCGGTCGGCAAAGGCTAGAGGGCTGGCCGTTTCGGGCTCGACGGAGTCGTCCGCTGACTGCGGGGTTGGGATGCCATGGGGGCTCCAGGAATAGTATTGCAGTCCGTGGTCGGGTACGTTATTCTGAGTAGAGTTAGGCAAATAATGGATAATCACAGCCGTGTCTGCTCGGCTCCATGTAATCAGAGAAGACAGTCGACGAACGCTTTGGTAATCGGCATATGGCAGTTGATGATGTTCAGAAGGCCCTGGCAAATATATGGCGGCAGCAGGAGCTTCGCTGGCCAGTGGACTTAACTCGCTGGCGTGTTGTATAAATGCGAGCAGTTGGTGGATTGAAGGATCAATCTCGAGCATCATCCCCCGAGTTCCAGTGGCTGACGTGGGATGTCTTGGTTATTGTGGAGTGCCGCCTGATCATGAGCTGCGAAGAGACTTCGTATTACACTGTGCCGGGGTGAATAGATTGCGGCGATGGGTGCTCTCACAAAAGATCTATGATAGGAATTGCTTGGTTCTAGTTTGATGCTACCTCACAAGTTGCGCCAACTAAAGCCAGGCGCTGCATTCTCCGGGCTGAGCCCTTTGACGAGACCTCCGGAACCTCGACCAAAATCCACCTGCCTCGCCCTCAAAGCAACGTTCAACCGGTGCTGCAAAAAGGAAAACTAACCCCACGGAGTGTGGGATGATGGGCATATGGGCGTAGCGGTGCAGCGGCTCCCTGCCATGTCACAGTCCCTCGGCCGTAGAACGGGCTGCGCCGCCCACGGCCAGCCAAGGGACAACCACGACGTAGCGCCAGCTTCTTGCGTCCAGATGGATGACTTCCCTGCATGACCCAGATCCTCGGGAATGCCGCTTGGGGGTGAGCTAGTCGTGTTTCTAGACAAGTTAAGCGAAGAAGAGGGGCCCAGATCGTATTCAGCTGTCGACACAACCACCACGGCGTCACAAACAGCCCCAAGAAGCAAAAAGAGACCAGGGAATGTGGCAAGGAGGGATGGAAGCTGCACGGGGTGATATGTGTTGGGGCCTATCCATGTCGCTTTAGGGGGTTTGCTACTGGACAGCAGGCCCGTCTCCGCGGCACAGGCGGTTCACTAGCCACAGGAATATTATCAATAGTTTTGACCACAACCCCAGCTGCCCTGAGGGCGGGTTACGACGGCAGTCCGTGGCTGGATCACGCAATTGCCCCTGACACTGATTTCTGCGTGAAGGATCCAGCAACTCTAAGCCTTGTGGGGAAAGGTGGCATGAGCCTGGAGGCCTTCCGGGCGGCTGGGACTGAGAAATTGTCCCCTAGGCGTGGCAGGCAGTTAGGTTCGGTTATTTTGACCAAGCTTAGTCGCAGGGTGTCGCCCGTGGGGTTCACTTCCATGGGGAATGTAGTTGCCCGCTGGAAGCGTACGACTTCCCCGTTAGCATAGCAGCCGCGCCCAGGGGGAAAGGATTAAGAAGGCGGTAGGAGAGCACGAGAGATGATTCCCACCACGGCAAGACGGCCAGCCTTTTTGAGCCAGCGTAGCTTCCAGGAAGGCGCGGACAAAAAAAAAAAAAACCTCAAGAATCAACGCAGGACACTAGGATAGGCAAGGGCGGGCTGAAGTCGGATATCGGATTGGGTCGACGACGAGGATGGAAGACAACTTACACGTGGGCGAGCAGGTGTAACGGAAATATCACAACACAATCTCCATCTTCAATGCTTCGGTGGCTGTTTAGTCCTAGTCCAATTCAGAAACAATAATTTTGAGTAGAATAGCCAAACACGTGCTGTCGCTCGAGTGAGGTGGCGCTCGACGTTCCCTTTCGAGCTCCAAGACCTCAAGCGTGGGGGTCTATCTGCCTGGTACGTCTTCTTTACTAGGCCGTGCGCCTAAACGACGCGCCCATGCACGTTGAGCTTGGCCGGCGGACTTCCCGCTATCGACCGTTGGTTGGTTCGCGAGGCGGCGCCGTGGGGCCAAGTCGATGTCGCCATTTGCGCCGAGGATGAGGTTAGACGCTAGCCACCCAATCAAGGGCATCCCTCCACACTAACAGATTGTGGACAAGACCTCGCGACGACATCCCTGTCTATGGTGCAGCTGGACCCAGACTCGATGGCTGTAGGTTTCGTCTAGAGAGGCGCAAATTACGTTTTTCGTCAAGGTTCAAAGACGTGATGGACAGCTAGCGATATCGACGGCGTGGCTGAAAACGTGGGCGTATCATTCGTTTTTAGAAGGGCCATAGCTCAAGCCCAACCCGAGGTCTTGCCCGTTAGTTGGGATATTGAGGATACCCTGCTCATCAGCTCATCAGGGTAGCTACCCATGCCCATTGGCACCTTCCGCACTTGCCCTCCGCATGGAGCTTCCCGCATACTAGCACGGTAGACATGCAGGAGGGTGAGCCCCACTCTCCACCCCCGGACGTCATCTGCATGGTAAGCCTCGTCTGTCAATGGGTTCTTCTACATGCCGTGCTTGGGTCCAGAGCAAAACGCCGCTTGCCCTCCTGACAGCAGCAGAGGTACCCAATACTTGCGGGCTGGCCTGAATCGGGGGACGGCGTGGAAGTACCTTCTGTGCGTATCATTGACCTCTAACTTTCCCATCTATGCTTTCTTTTCCTGCCCATCTGGCCAGAGAGGGCAGATCCGCCGGCCAGCATGCAGTTTGGGTACCTACCTATCCATCTTTTGCCCCAGAATAGTTGAGCTCCGCGTTCCAGCAAGCTGAGGCCTAGTTTTCGCGCCTCCGCTTCTCCGCCCCTTGCTGTGCGCAAGTGAACGAAGGCCCAGCCACGAGACATAAAACCCTAGACACCCGCGCAGCGTTTGAGATATCACCCCTCGGTCCTCGCGCGAGGAGCAACCTACCCGCCACCCTACCGGCTCGAGGCAGACAAGCAAACCACCCGGAACACCCTCGCGCACGCCACTGTCCTTGGCCTCGACACGACAGGGCAAACCGGTCATCTTGGCCCTGAAGCCTCCTGCAGCTTGGCACAGCACCCTTCGCTTGCGCCTGGAGTTCTTGTCCACACTAGGAGCCCAGGACAAAGGAGAGCTCTGCTTGGCATGGCGCACGGCCGCATCGCCGCCCGCCTCGTCGGGATCGACACCAACTTGTACAGCAAGGAGAGGCGTGCTGCCATCCCCCGCGATCACATTGGCGTCTCCCGCTACGTCGAGACGGAGCCCACCGCCAAGGATGCGCTGCTGCGGCTCGTGCCGACGAGGCAGGATGTCAGCTCCTACGTGCGCTCTCTGTTCCCCTTTATCGACTGGATCTTCCATTACAACCTGACATGGCTGGTCGGGGATTTGATTGCGGGTAGGGACAGCTGCAGGCATATACACGATGTACACGATGAACCATGCATGCTGACACGAAGCAGGAATTACCGTGGGCTTCGTGGTTGTGCCACAAGGCATGGCCTACGCCGGCCTGGCGCAGCTGCCGCCCGAGTTTGGGCTTTACACCTCATTCGTCGGTTTCCTCCTCTACTGGGCATTCGCCACAAGCAAGGACATAACGATCGGTACGGTGGCCGTCATGTCCACCATTGTGGGAAACATCGTGATCCGAATCCACAAGGAAGACCCGGACCTCCCTGCCGAGCAGATCGCCCGCTGCCTGGCCCTCCTTTCGGGTGTGGTGCTGCTTGGCCTGGGTCTGCTCCGTCTTGGCTTTATCGTCGAGTTCATCTCCCTCACGGCCATTGCGTCCTTCATGACGGGCGCTGCAATCAGCATAGCCTGCGGACAGGTTCCAACCATGATGGGTCTCAGCGGCGTCAACACCCGCGACGCAACCTATATGGTCATCGTCAACACCCTCAGGGCTCTGCCACAGACCAAACTGGATGCGGCCATGGGGCTCTCGGCCCTCGCAATGCTTTACCTGATTCGCGGCTTTTGCGCTTTCATGGCCAAACGACAGCCGAGGAAGCAGAAGATGTGGTTCTTTATTGCTACCCTCCGCATGGCATTCGTCATCCTGCTGTACATCCTGATTAGTTTTCTGGTCAACCGCAACGTCACCGATGCCAAAAAGGCAAAGTTCAAGATTCTCGGACCGGTCCCTGGTGGTAAGTTCATTATCCCTGCTGCCCCTTGGCTGTATTTTGCGCAATCTACAGGAACCCTCAGACACCGAGACATGTAGAGGGCGGGATGCTAAGCGGACATCATTCCTGCAACAGGATTCCAGCATACCGGAGCTCCCGTGATGAACCAGAGGGTCCTCAACGCTGTTTTACCAGACTTGCCTCTCACCATTATCGTGCTTATCATTGAGCATATTGCCATTTCGAAATCGTTTGGCCGCATCAACAACTACATCATCAACCCGTCACAGGAACTCGTCGCTATCGGCTTCAGCAACGTGTTCGGCCCGTTTCTTGGCGGCTACCCTGCCACAGGATCCTTCTCCCGGACGGCCATCAAAGCCAAGGCTGGCGTTCGCACGCCCTTGGCTGGCATTTTTACCGCCGCCATCGTCCTTCTAGCGCTCTATGCCCTAACCTCTGTCTTCTTCTACATCCCTTCGGCGAGCCTGGCGGCCATGATCATCCACGCCGTTGGGGATCTCATCACCCCGCCGCGTACCGTCTATCAGTTCTGGATGACGTCGCCCATCGAGGTGATTGTGTTTTTCGCCGGCGTGTTTCTGACCATGTTCACCAACATCGAGAATGGCATCTATCTCAACATGGCCGCCTCTCTCGCACTCCTTCTCTTCAGGACGGCCCGGTCACCCGGGCGCTTCCTGGGCCAGGCGCAGATTTACACAACCACCAGCACCGCGGGCGCCACACCTGAGGAGCTAGCTGCGTCAAACAGCGGCCGGGACGCCTATCTCGACGAGCAACGCCAAGACAATTCGAACCCCGACCTGCCGATTCAACAGGTCCACCCCGGGGTCTTTGTATACAGATTTCCTGACGGCTTCAACTACACAAACTCGGCTGCGCACCTCGACTTTCTCACCATTTACATCTACAGCAAGACGCGCCGCACGGTGCTCGACAATTTTGCCAAAATTGGAGTTCGTATTTTCCCCGATTACAGCTTGGCTCAAACCAGACAGGAACGCTCGGGATTTGGCTGACACCAGATACAGGACCGTCCATGGAACGACCCAGGGCCGCGCCGAGGCCAGAAATTGTCGGAAGACATGGCATCTCGGCCGGTGCTGCGCGCCGTGATCCTTGACTTCAGCGGGGTGAACCATGTGGACGTGACGTCGGTACAAGCACTCATCGATCTCAAGAACCAGTTCGCGAAGCATGCAGCACCGTCCCCAGTTGAGTGGCACTTTGCTGGGATCGGCAACCGGTGGACCAAGCGCGCGCTCGTGGCCGCTGGCTTTGGCTTTGAGGACTCTAGTGCTGCCAGCGAAACATCTCCTGGGGCATCCGAAATCGACAGCAAGGACCGAGAGGGCGACTCGGACGGCGGTCCCAAGACGGGCCAAACCACGCCCTCGTGGACGCCGCTATTTAGCGTGTCGATCATGGAGAGACCCGAGGGTGTGCCCGTGTCGGTGCGCGGCGACGACCCCGAGGACCCGGAGAAGAGTGCTGTCAGCTCAACTCGGGGAACCTCCACTAGAGGCAGGCTGGTGCCCGTGTACGGGCTTAACAGGCCCTTCTTCCACGTGGACGTTGCCGAAGCTGTTGAGAGCGCCGTCCAAAGCATTCAGAGCCACACGGGGCCATAGTGGTCTTGCATTGGTGGTGCATTGGCTTACTCAACATTCTTTTTTTCTCCTGTAGTGTTTGACAGCATGGGACAGCCGCAGGCGTGCACCTGCGGGGGCCTGAATTGGTTGCGTTTTGGATACCTCTGTTCCTCCTTTGAACCCTATTCTCTTGGCGGAACATGCATGCCATCAACACGTAGAATTTTGTTAGGGGTTCGTCTACAATGAATAATCAGAGCATGACATATCTAGCAGATGACATGCAAGGTCGGACGCGTCTGATCATAAAGGGTCTGCCAAGGCCGACGTCCAGCGGGGTCTGTTGGTTGTTTGAGTCGGCGAAGGTCGGCAGGGTGCAGATTTGTCACTCGTGAGCAGCAGTGACGAGATGGCCCGACTGCCGGCAGCACGTCTTCAGCTCGGGTCCCCACCTGGAGCTCGAGCTGTCGTGCTGCCCGCTCGCGTCATCGGTGTTGGGGGAGGGGCAATGGGACCGTTGGGCTAACATGGGATCAGTGGCGCCAAGATTGAATGCTTCAGTTTTCGTTCACGTCTTGGGGACATGGCTATCTTTCGAGAATGAGAATACTCCCAGCCTCTACTAAATATCAAATCTCTGTTTTCCAGTAGCCTTTCCCCCTATGGATAGTTACTGTATTGAGGATAATCCCACGGTTGACTGTGAATCTGTTAGTGACCTAGGTTGCGTGATTTGTCACGATGGAATTGGAACCGCCGCAGCAAATTCAGCCCTAGTAGGACCTTGATGGAATCCCGCTGCACCGCATCGAGCTGATGCAAGCGCCCGGTTCGCCCCTCGATTTCCAATCGCGAGGGAGAGAGAGGAGGGGACCTGCCCGCGAGTTCCAGTCCCATCCATCCCGTCCTCGTGCCACGCCCTCGCCTTGCACAGATTGCCCTGTACTAGCTCCGGTAGGTAGTGTTAGGACCTTGCGGATATAAAAACAACCCCGCCCCACGTCACCCTCCCGACCCGGGAGGAAAAAAAAAAAAAATGTCCAGGCTGTTCATCAAGTCAATCCTCCCCACCACAATCTTCGCCCGACCTTTGGTCACTGCATCATCCACACAAAGACTCGCCTCGGCCGCCGCTAGGAGAACACCATCAGCACCAGTCCCCTTCCTAGCCTGCACGCCGACGACGACGACTCGGATCCCCGCCCGAGGCTTTCGCAGCACCCCCGCAAACATGACTGTCCACGAGGTCACGACGGGCGACGAGTTCAAGGCCGCGCTGGCCGGCAACAAGGTCGTACTCGTCGACTTTTACGCCACCTGGTGCGGCCCGTGCCGCATGATCTCGCCCAAGGTGTCCGAGTGCGTTTTTGTCTCCTGTTTCATCCCCCCTTGGTGTTTTTTTTTTTCCCCCCTCGAGCGCTGCCGTAAACTAACCAACTCCCGCACCTAAACAAAAACAGGTGGTCCGAGAAGTTCCCCAACATCCACTACGTCAAGGTCGACGTCGACACCGTGCCCGATGTCTCGCAGGAGTACGGCATCCGCGCCATGCCCACCTTCCTGCTCTTCAAGGACGGTGAGAAGGCCGACGAGGTCGTCGGCGCCAACCCTCCCAAGCTGGAGGCCCTCATCACCGCGGCGCACGCAGAGGTTTGAGTCGGCGTGTCTGCATGGTAGCATCAAACTCATCGTCGGCATTTACGGCATGGGCGCAGGATGGAAAAGATGCTCGAATATATAAATAAGCTCCCAAAAAAAATACACCACTGTCATCAGTTCCTATGAGGACAAAGATGCTATAACACATGGTATCATTAAACGTGTGCGAGTTACAGACTGCTGCAGACTGTGTATGCCTTGTTAAAGCAGCGCTGAGCAGGAGGGGAAGAAAGACCCGATAAAACACCCAAGACAGGGAACGTCATCACCGAGTTTGGAAACTCCGCGGGTGAGATCGAAAAAAAATAAGCAGAAAAACAAAACAAGAACAAATGGGGAACGGTAAGCAATCTCCAAAAAAGCCGAAAACCATCACCTCTCTCAGTCCAGTTCGCCCGTGATGTACCCAACTTGCCTGCGCCCCGTGACGCCGGCGTTGCCCAGGGACGCGGCTAGGGCGGCCTGCGAGTCGACGAGGGCGCGCTGCTGGGCGATGCGGGCGCGGGCGCGGCCGTCGGACCGCTCCTCGTGGTGGGCGAGCTCGTCGCGCTCGGCGGCGCGGACGGCCGACAGGTTGCGCTCGGCCGCCACCTGCTCCTCGCCTAGGGCCTTGCGGTACTCGATCTGGCGCCGCTGCTTGCGCGCCTCGGCATCGACCTCGGTGTCGGCCAGCAGCCGCGCCTTCTCGAGCTCCGACTCGGCCGCGAGCCGGGCGTGGTCGAGCGCGGCCTCGCGCTCGGCCCGCTGCGCCGCCACCCGCCGCGCGAATGCCTCCTCCTCGGCCGCCGTCCACTCGCGCATGGCCTCGAGCTTGTCGGCCCGCCGCCGCCGGTCGCGCGCGTCCTCGACCGCCGCCTTCTCTTCGGCGATGCGGTTCTGCAGCGCCGCCATCTCATCGGTCCGCACCAGGACGCCCTGGTGGTCCTCGCGCTCGAGCCGCTGCCGCTCCGCAAGCGCCCGCCGCTCCCGCTCCGCCCGCAGCAGCTCGTCCGGCAGGCCCTGAGCACCCTCGGGCTGCGGCCCATCGTTGGCGTAGAAGACACTCGCCGCCCGGTTGGCCTTGAGCAACGCCAGCAGCTGCTCCCGATTCGCCTCGCCGCCCAGCCGCGCGCTCGTCATGACGCGCGCCACGTACTCGGTTGGCGAGTACGTGAATCGCCCGTCCGTATAGTTGTTGAAGGGCTTGTTGATGTGCTTCCACATGCCCACCTTGAGTAGCGCCCTGGCCGTCGTCACGGGCTCCTGCGACTCGAGCGCCAGGAGCAGCACCGACTTTTCCTCCAGCCGGATGGATGGGTCTGTGCCCTGCTCCATCAGGAACGCCATGGCCTTCTCCATGGCCTTTTCGCGCGCCGGCGTGAGGGGAATGTCGGCCGCGTGTAGGCAGATCTCGCCGAGGGCGCTGCGGCCGCCGTGCAAGGGGCTGGGGAAGTCGATGTCGTGCCCGAATTCGGCGAGCACCTGCATCGCGCGCACGTCCAGCTCGCGCGCCGCATTGTGCAGAGACCCGTCGTCCTTTGATGGCTCCGCCGCCAGGATGGACGTCATCATGGTTGTCCCCACCTCGCCACCTATTTGGGTTGCCAGCGTGAGCGCAGTGTTGCCCGTAGTGTCTGTTATGTTGACCACCTCCGGGTCCGCTAGGATTAGTGCCCGAACGAGGTCGAGCCGCTTGTTCCTGACAGCCACCATGAGCGGCGTCGTCTTGGTCTCCGACGTCTCAAAGTCCACTTTGGCGCCGTTTTCAATGAGCTGCAGGATGACGGCGCTGCTGATCCTCTTTTGAGGCTGCAGCAGAGCCCAGAGCAGTAGGCTGACTTGCTCTTCCTCGGCGTCGTCGGCGACACGCGCCGTCGTCATTCTGTCGAAATAATAACCGGCGTCCAGCAAAGTCTGCACCATCTTGGTGGACCTAGGGTACCGATCCAGCGCCTTGAATACCACGGGCTCCGAATCTGGCTGGACTGTCACAACATCTAGTCCCACCTCCCCGTCCCTGAATTGGGCAAAGAGAGAGACGAGCTCTAGAGCCTTGTCCTCGGGGAGCTGCAGGTCGAATACGTGCGGTAATGCCATGGAAACCGCCTGGGGAGTTGGCTTCTGCTCCAGCAGCTGCTGGATAAGCTCGACATCGCCGGCTCTCGCCGCCATCTGGAGCGCCTGCCCGGAATCAAAGCTCACGTCGGCACCCGAGGCGAGAAGGAGCTCGGCGAACTGCCGGGCGATGCCGTCCCTCTCAGACCCATATGCGTCGATTGCAGAGGCAAGGGCAGAAGAGATGCCATCACCCCGCGCACCCTTGCCCAGGAAGCACTTGGCGACTTCGAGTCCGTCCTCGGAGAGCCAGATATGCGTGCTGGCGGGACTGAAGGCTTGCGCAAAGGTCCACGACAGATCCTCGGGAGAGATCTCGCGCTCGAGGAAGAGGTCAACGACGGGACGCAACAGCTTCTGCGTCGCGTCGCACAGCGCTCGACACGCGTTGGTAGTCGGCGAGGCGCCCTTCTCAAGCAGCAGCCGTACCAGCTTCAGGTCGACATGCTCCTCGTCGTTGACAGCCTTGGTAAGCCCGACCTCGACATCCTCACCCACGGGCAGCCCGGCCTCGAAAAGCATTTCGATGACCTCGTAACGGAGGCCCGCGGCGAGCCGCCAGCTAGCCTTGAGGGACTGGATCATGGTCGTGTGGGACGGGCGCTTCTGCTTTCCGCCGACGTCCCCTAGCCCGAGCATGATGCGCAGGCTTCCGAGGAAGGCGCTGCGTGTTGCCGTCCAGATGGCCTCGCCTCTGTTGTGATCCAGGCTGCAACCCCACTTCAGGAGGAGCCGAACGAGATTGATGCCCTTGTCGCCGTATTTCACCGCCGACACCAGCTCGGCGTCAACCACTTCGCCCGTGACCCCCTTCTCGAGCAGCAGACGGAAAACAGCGCAGCGCTTTTGCAGGTCGGCAATCGACGTCGAAGCCTGGAAGCCCCTGAGCAGCGTCTGCTTCTCGATTGTTGCGGGTGATGAGAGAAGGATCTTGAGAACCTCGTGCGAGCCCGACCGACAGGCCTCGACAACCGCCTGTCCTTCCTTGTGCTCAATACTCGCCCCGGCGTAGACGAGGGTGCTGACAAGCATGACGTCTCCAGTAGAGGCTGCAACGAGGAGGGCTTCCGACGCCGCCAGGCCTGATGCCCCTGCGTGTAGGAGCATCTGGCAGACGCCCTTTCTCATATCCAGGTTCTTCATTTGCATGGCCTCAGTCAGCAAATCGTTGAGCACCGCGACGTCGTACTTCGTTGGCGTCTTGATGAGTACAAGCTCGACAATATCAGGCCTCTCCCTCTTGATCGCCAGCGTCAGCGCCTCACCGTCCGTACTGTCCGCCTTGCCAGCCAGCAGGTTGATCAGGGGCAAGTCATCGGTCCTGTCCTTAACAGCGTGTACGAGCGCCCGATTCGCCTCTTTCGCCGGCGCCCCAGCCTCCAAAAGCTTCTGCGTGAAAGCCAGCCGGTCCATCGGGTCGGTGATGTTGACGGCACAGGGCATGGCGGTAGCCATAGACTCGGGGCTAGGCCGCGCGGCGAAGATTATATCGACGAGCTGAGTGTCTCTACCCTTAATAGCGACACACAGGCAGCGTCCTTTTTGAAAGTTGACGTCGGCTCCGGCCTTTAGCAGAGCCTTGACACCCGAGAAGGCGCGCTGTTCTGGCGGCGTGTTCACGACTGCCGTGACTTCAGCCACGAGGAGGCCGGTGGCCGAGCCCTTCTTTTCCATCCGTGCCAGAATGGCCTCCATCTTGCGGGCCTTGTCCGGTGTCGAGGGCAGGCCGGCGGATTTGTGAAGTCCGCGTTCAAGTGTCTCCTGCGTTGGCTTCCCAACACGCAACATGAGGTCCACCACCTCAAATTCTGGTTGCCGGACAGCTGTGCAGCGCCAAAGCGATGATGCGTCAGCCACGTAAACCATGCAGTGATAGTGACAAGGTTTGAGATTGGAGTTGCAGCAGAAGTCTCGCTGTGTCAGAACGTCACGACATCGGACGACAACTTACCAAGTATGAATGGCGCGCTCGAGTTGAAATTGATATTGGCGCAGCCTTGCTTTATCAGCACTTCCACCAGCTCCTTGTCTACTGGGTTTTCCTGCAGAGCAATGATCAACGCCTCTGCAGTCTCATTACTCAACAGGATTGGAGTGTAGTTTGCAAGGAGGGCTGATATCATCTTGAAGCGGGTGTCGACGTCGGCAGATAGCATAGCTTTAGAGACGGCGGTCACTGTTGTTTGCGGCGAGGGTTGGCTTTGAAGGAGAGTCTTGAGCAGAGGCACATCCTCGTGGGCTACGGCCGAGATGATGCCGGCGCCACTGTTGAAGTTCACGTCGGCATCATGTTGCAGCAGGAGGGAGATAAATCGCTCGTCTCGCTTGGGCGGATGCTCCTCGATGGCGCCCTGCAGCGCCTGGGAAACACATGAGCCCCTGACCCCGGCAGACAGGAATAGCTTTGCAATCTGGTAGCGGTCGATTGGCGGCAGCGTCATCACCGTAGGGAACACGGCTGTCAGCGTTTCTGCGAGTGGCCTGGCGGATAGGATCAGCTTCACGACCGCCACGCTCCTGGTCATGACAGCAAGCCGCAGGGCCTGTCCGGCTTTGTGATCGACCGACGCCACGTCGTGCTTGTCGCGGATAAGGCCGCGAGAACCTCGTCTGACGTCGTGCTCTGGCTCGAGGCGTCCCGGGTCGCCGGGGAAGTACGGTGAAAGGAGAAGCTTGACGGATTCGGCATCGACGTCTTCGGCGGCGGCAATGAGGGCTTCGCTGAGAGGCGGCCCTCCTGCTCCCTTGCGAAGCAGTGCTGAGAGAAGCGTACAGCGCTCCTCCGAGGTGATTCGCCTGGGGATTTTTAGCACGCACTCTGAGGCGCATGCTGGGCTGAGTGTTGTGGTGTCATTGAGTAGTAATGGCACCAAACTAGCCCTTCCGTGTGCTATCGCCGTGCGCAAGACTTTTGCATATTCATACTCAACCGAGGCTCCGTATTCTATCAGCAGCTGGACCATGTCGAAGAACTCGGTAGCGGCGGCCTGGATCAGCGCCTCCGAGACCGCATCGCCTTCGGTGCCGGCGCAGAGAAGCATCTCGGCAAGCGCCAGCTTCTCGTTGGGGATGATGGTTGGGTGAGAAAACAGCTGCGTGAAGGCCTCGCTCAAGCAGGGGCCGGCGGGAGGCTTGGCGCCCGTCAGAATAGCCAGGCAAATGTCGCCGCGGCATTGAGCAATGGCCGTTTTGAGGGCAGCACCGCCGTCGTAGTTCCCGTCCGCCGTGGAGCGGCTTAGCTGGAGGACGGTGTCGAGGCAGCCCTTCTGGGTGGCAGCCACCATGGCCCGGGAGACCGTGACTGGTGGTGGTCGGCCGTTGGACGCCAAGAGCCGCGCCGCCATGTCGGCCTGTCCACCAGCAGCGCTCAGCTGGTGGAAAATCTCGAGGCCCTCGGAGCTCTGTGATATGCTTGCGCCATGGGCCAGCAGTGACTGGATGATGGCCTGGTTGCCGCTGCGGATGGCCATTGGCAGGGCAGCGTCGAGCGTCAAGGGGTCTGCGTACTGGACGAGCACGGCCACCATGTCGGCCTGCTGGTTCTGTACGGCCCTCTGAAGGACGCGGCTGCGCTCACTACTGCCGAGACTCTTTCTCCTATTCAAAAGGGTGGTCTTGCCCTTGGGAACAGAAACGTTGACGTTGCCGCCGCCGGCCTGCAGCTTCTTGATGAGCGCGTGGGCGACGGCCGGCGGCCCGGCAGCGGAGACATGGGCGTCAAGAGTCTCAGAGATTTCCGAGAGATCCCAGCTTTTCTTTTTGCTACTGCCCATGAATGATAGTCGACGACCGCCCTGTGGGGATTGGGCCGGGTCAGTAGCGAGCCTGTGGCGCTTCAGGAGCTCCTCAGCCATAAAATCGTCGTTGGGACCCGGCGGCTCCGGCCATGGCGGTGGCTCCGGTGGTCGGGCCGCCGACGGCAGGGCGCCCGTCGGGATCTTCCATTCCTTGGCGAGGCTGAGCAGGCGCCAGCGGCGGTCTTCTTGGTTCGGCAGTCCGTTCATGGCGATGCAGCGCCAGCCAGGGACGGCGATGACATCCAAAGGATCAGAGGGCGGGTTAGCCGCCCAGATGGGGAGAGATGCGGCGGCTTTGAATGGGGTGGCTGGTGGCACGAGCCTGGCCGTGGGCAACGGTAGTAACCTAGGCACGGATGGAGCCTTTTCTGTGAGTGCTTCTAGGGGGTAGCGCAGAGCGGTCTGGCATGGGCAGCGGCAATGGAGCCGGCGGATTCGGTCGATTGAAGCGCGTTAGCGATTTGGCAGTGGATCCAGCTCGACGTCGTGGCTGGGGCTGGGCTGGACTGGACAAGAACGAAAAGTGACAAGACGAGACAAACTGCCTTGTGCTCCGAGCTTTCTGCTCCGGGCTCCAGTCCAGCTTGCGCCAACGCTTTATTCTCGTGGCCACTGCGGGTGTTGGTGCATGATCGGGCAGCACAAAATATAAACGGCTATGTATAGCACGGCACGGCTGCTTGCGTTTCGGTGCCCAGCCAAGTTCCTCGTGGCCAGGACGCAGCAGAAGGGTGCAGGCAACGAATCAAACGACCCACTTGGACTGCGGTGCTTGCTGTCGTTTGTGGAGCGAAGAACGGGGGAGTGTGCGTGGGCGCCCTCGAATGGCTCTTCTGTGCCGGCCCGCTGCAGATGGGAGGAGACTCGACAGGATGGCAGACGAGATCTCGGGTCTTGGGGCAAAAAGCCACGCTTTTGTGATGGCGATGATGGAATGCGCCCAGCGTCGAGAAAAAAAAGATGGGATGGCTGGGAGAGTTCGGGAACGTCTGCAACTGACAGGGGCTTCGTGAAACCGACACCAAGGATCACCGCCAAGGACATGGGGGTTTGGCCTGAACGGTAAACCTAGCGCACAGCCCCAGCGGTCGCTGTTCCGAGCCCAGAACACGCACAGTGGGCACAGTGAGCACAGTGGCTGGGGATGAAGGCGAGCCGAGTGGCTGAAATGTCCATTTGGGTTTGTCGGTGGGGCAGCGGCTTCCAACCGCGTCAGGCTGCTCAGCCAGGAAACGCTAGGCAAGCTCTCTGAAGCCAAGATCTGCCGCGTGGCTTTTGACGACAGCCTCAAGACTGTCTTCGCCCAGTAGGGTATAATCTCTTAGGATTACGATGAAGGGCGAGAGACAACCGTCAACCTCGAACTTTGAACTGGTCGGCACGCGTGGGACGGCAATACGCACAAAGTGGCAGTCACCTGCCCTCCAACCAGCCCGTCGTTGCGACCTTGCTGCAACATCAGATGGCAGGAAAAGGCAGCACAAAAGACCGCAACAGCCAACACAAGCACTGACTTTTCTCCCGTCCAAATACCACACGAGGCTAGGCTGCGGGTATGAATGGCCAGCAATGGACCACGAACCAGACTGGACCGATAAGAAAGCGGGTGGCGTTGTCCGAGGTTTAGGCTCCACAGCTGCAGCTTGTTGCGTGCCACAGCGCAGCCAGTCGACAAAGGGCTCAGCCTCAAGCACGACGTGTCCCGGCACCCATTCCGCCAATACCATCAGGCCTGCCTCGACAGACTTTGCGGAGAAGCACAGAAACTTGAAAAAGTCCCGCGTGTGTCCATGCAATTCAGCCAGTATTTTCTGGAACGGACACCTCTGTCGAATGATTGGTCTATTTACAGCCGACCTTGCGACCTCGTCTCGAACTGCCAGGATCCAGGAACTCGGCTATGATGAATATCTATCATAACCTATCTGCTTCCCCGCAGACGGACATCCCTATCACAAATTACTGGCTCGTAGCAGTTTGTTTAAGCCAGCAAAGCTACCTATATCATTGTAATCCATCATGACTGCGTTTGGAACATGTTTGGTGATGATCGCTCCTCCTGTGCGCTGTAGAGTGAGAACATGCTGTGGCTTTGGTTGTTTAGGACATGTTGGTCTAATATAACTGCGCTGTTCCTCAAGCAGTTGTGTTTCCTAGCAGAGACAAGATATCTTTAGGACCTATGGGCCGCCATTTAGGGCAATATTTACCGCTCTGTTACTGTTCTCTTTTCCTTCTCTCGGTTCTTATCACTTTCCTGCAGACTACAGAATCAAGGCGGTTTAGATAATGCCTTAGGCGCAGTCCTTTTTGGAAGGCGCTACCCACGTTCTGCAACCCAGCTATTATAAAATCTCGCGATAGGTACCTACCTAGACATCTGGGGATATCACAGGTTCTGCCCACAACAAAAAAACCCCCAACAAAGCACCGGAGCACCACCAAAAGGGCAACTCCAGTGCTAGCTGGCCGCTTTCCTCTCGCTAAGCTTGACGGAAAACCCATCAAGTATCTGCTTGTCTCGAGCGGGCAAGTGATTGCGGCCTCTCTCTTACCCGTACACACACACCTCTTCCACCTGTTCACCTTTGGCTCACACTTTCCTCCCTCTCTCACCTGCACATACAAGAACGGCGCTTTTTGCCGAGGTCATCATCTGGTCTTGGACCGTAAACCTGATCAAGTAACGCACCTCTAGGCGCGCTTGATTTCAGCCTACTTCCTGACCTCGAGAGCCTCATTTCCGTAAACAGCTGCCTCCACCGGTCAGATCAGAATAACCTCTGAGGAATAGTCTGCCGAGCACACTGCACAAATCCTCCCTCTATTCTTCTTCTTCTTGAGGATTTAGGCTGTCCTACACTCAGCACGCTTTTGCTCGCGACTCCCATTACCCTCCACTACTCCTCCGAGGGCCAAACCTTCCTGGAGAGTTGACGGTCTCCCACCAGTACTCGTCTCAATCAGCTCTAGGTGTTTCCCACATCACCACTCCTACCAACCTCCAGTGGGATCCTCCTCAGCTTCCAACACGGTGTCTACCTACCCGCTTACCTCGTCATCTTATCACATCTCACAAAAGCCTTCTAGGCGGTTGCTTGCGATCTTCCACCCACCGCAGCCTCTTTGATCGCACCACTTGTGGGCGTGTGGATATGCAAGGCGGAATCTGAGACCGCTCTGACTGCTGCCTCAAACCCACCACCACTGCTGTGAGTCTCTCTCCAACAATCCTCCGGTGTCTACATCAGCTAACCCCAGCACTTGGCCTTGAGGCTTTGATCTAATCAGTATCACGAGAAGCGTAAGCCGGAGACAGCGCTCCATGTCTTGAGGGCGCTCCGCCAACTTTACTATTCCTCTTGGGTCATCTTATGATCCTTGCTGGCTACAAGATTCATCTTCTTATTCTATCCTTTGTCTTTCGGATCTCTCGCACAGCCCGGCCGGAAACTGGTGAGTTTATATTTTCTTTTTATATACTGCTTCATTTCGCCCATTGCTCTCTCAACTATAACTTGGGCTGTCCTGGGTGCACACACTAACATCAACATCTTGTTGCAGGATTTGGTGGATCATGGAAGGCACTTCGGAGGATGATAGTGGCCAGAGGCAGAGGGACAATAGCCTGGGCCCGGCGCTTCCATCAACGCCTTGCCTATCTTCGGAGCCTCCTACTGACCTTGCCGACCGTCAATCTCACATCGGTCTCAACAGCCCTCCCCGCAGCTCACCTCTCCCAGCTACCAAACAGAACTCAAGCGGCTCCATGGAGTTGACACCTACTGTCATGGTGGCAGGGCCGCCTACTGCGGATCCCGCATCCGAGGGCCTAGATGCGCTGACGCCGGTCGGGGACCCTGTCGAAAGTGAAGAGGATGAGTCTATGTTCGTACTAGACTACATTGACCTGGCCGGCGAGAACGAGGAGGACGAACCCATGTCTGTGGATGACCAAAACGACGGAAACGCCGACGAGAACGAGCACAACGACAAGACCGTGGTCGTGAACGACGCCAAAGCTACGTCTCAACAACCCCAGGACTCTGGATCGGAAGCGGAAGACCCATACGAACTAATATTTATCCTGGAGGAGGAGGTACCCGAGGGGGCCCGGAAGCGAATGCAGGAAAACGCCAAAACGAGAAAGCAGGGGGACGGTCAACGCGTAAAGCGCGAGCGGGAGGATGATGAAGAAGACGAAGACGGCAGCGACGATATCCAGATCATCGAGAAGAGTGAGCTTTCAGCCGAAGCTTTGAGGCGAATCAAGGAGCCCCGACTTCCGAGCCTGAAAAAAGAGGGCCAGACGAACCAGACATGGCATCAGCAACACGACAGAACGCCGGCAGCCATCGTAATTGACGACGATGAGCTGCAATGGGTCAAGACGTTGCCTCGGACAAGCATCCCTAGCACGATCATCGAGATCAAAGAGGAGGATGGTGGCCGCCAGGAATCGATGATCAAAGCGGAAGAAGGCACTAGCTCGTCCGGAGGCAAGGGAAAAGCCAAGGCAGATGGTACATTTACCCCGGTCGATGGTGTTGAGCAGGCGTTAGCCGCAAACTGGGGCGGGAGCAGCGCCAAGACCGTGATGATGAGGTACCTCCGCCAGACCAGCAAACTCCTGGAGCTGGATGCTCGGGAGAAAGAATCGGGTGCAGTGGAGGTGGAGACGTTCGAGACTCGCGCCAACCTTCGCAAGAAAGTCGCCGAGACTGAAATCGAGGTCAACCGACTCCTGGCCAATCGGCAAGAGAATCCGGATGATGAGGGTGAGGATGATGGTTCGGACACTGAGAACCCCGACGATCCTGACTACGTGGATCAACCCGCCGGGTCCGCGCCAGCTCCCAGAAGGCCACGAGGCAGAGCAAATGAGGGAAGGCCAGCAACCAGGAAGCCGCAGTTTGTGGCAAGGTCGGCCAAGGAGTGGTGGGCCCGACGGTACGCCAGGTCCGAGGAGAAGGGAAGGAAGGAGACGGATGTGGTTCCGGATCTCTTCCACGCGGGCAGCCGCGAGAGCGCAAACGGAGGCAAAAAGGGCAAGCGTGCAGCCGAGCCCACGGATGCCAGGGACAGGCAGATGCTGGACATGCTGAGAGACCAGGACCCAGTCGCGGCCCGCGCCGCACTCGGCGACATCCCCATGCCCGGCGCCATAACCACGACCAAGAAGAACGAGCTCTTCGATGCCATGAGGGAGGAGGCGGCCAACAACGCCAAGCCGAAGACGGTCGAGGAGGAGATGAAGATCCTGAGGAGGGCCTCGGCATCCTTTGGGCGCGAGAGGTGCAAGGCAGCGGCCGGCCTCTGGGAGCTCAGGTGGATGAAGAGCCGCCTCTACCACCACCAGCTCGTGGGGGTGCACTGGATGCTCGGCAGGGAGTTCTCCCCCTCGGGCCCCCACGGCGGCATTCTCGCCGACCAGATGGGCCTGGGCAAGACGGTCGAGATGCTGGCCGTCATCACGCACAACCCGGGCAAGCCCACGCTAATCGTCGTGCCCGCGGCGGCGGTCTCGCAGTGGCAGGAGGAGATCAGGAAGCACGTCGAAGCGATGCCCGTGTTTGACGAGCGCAACAACAGAACCAACAGCAAGCCGCTCAGGGTGTTCCAGTACAAGGCGAGGGGGCCCAACAACGACATCAACCAGTGGAGCGACGCGGACATCGTCCTCGTCAGCTACCAGGAGGTGGCCAGAGCGTACCCGTCTGAGGAGGCCCTGCGGCGCATCTCGGGCATGGGCCTGGAGGGAGACGAATGGCGCAGGGAGATGGACAAGCAGCTCGGCCAGCTGTACAAGGTGCAGTTCCACAGGATCGTGCTGGACGAGGCCCACGCCATCAAGAACATCAACTCCCGAACCTCCAAGGCCTGCATCCATCTCCCCGGCAAGTATCGATGGGCTCTCAGCGGCACGCCCATCCACAACAGCATCGAAGGTACGTTCAAACTCGCCAGGAAACTGCGTCCGACATGCAACTGACCGTTTGGGTTTTTAGAGCTGCTTCCTTACTTCAAGTTCCTCGGCGCCGACTGGGCTCTCAGGGATATGGAAAAGTTCTCCAAGAAGTACGGTCGCAGTCCCAACGAGATTGCTTCCATGAAGGTTTGTTTAATTTCGGCCCTATCCAGAATATGCCAGGTTCCTTTTCGGCATCAGCAGTCGGGGCAAAAGCTAATCAGCGAGAACCATGGCAGGACAATCTCAACGCTCGTCTTGTTGCCATCGTCCCCACGCTGATGATCCGCCGGCGCGTCGACGACAAGTTCGTGGGGCAGGATCTGCTTCGGATCCCAAAGACGAACCAGCCCGTCATCATCAAGGTGGACCTTTCCGTGGAGGAGCGCATCATATACAAGCGGGTGGAGCATCGGTTCCGGGACAATATCAGCAATAGCATGAAGACGGATGCCGAAGACGGCCAGGGCCATGGGCAGAAGAAGATGAGGACTTACTTTGCGTACCTGACCCGGCTCCGCCAGCTGGTTGGCCACCCGTTCCAGATCGAGACGACTATGCGCGTCGACTTCACCCTCGAGGACATCAGGCACGTCCGCATGGAGCTGGCCCAGCTCGGCGGCCAGACGCCCCTGTACATGCAGATCCGACGCTGGATGGACACGGAGGAGGACCGCAAGCGCAGGGAGCAGGAGGAAGAAGTCGGCTTCGGCAGCGGCGGCTTCGGCGGGCTGTTCAACATGGACAGGCAGCTGTCTCGCATCGAGAGCGAGAAGCAGCTGGCCGACGTCATCTGCCGCATCTGCTACGAGCTGCACGATGAGGAGACGAGGATCACCGAGTGCGGCCACGCCTTCTGCTTCGAGTGCATCCAGAACCTGGTCGAGGACGCCGGGCGCCGGGGCAGGCAGGCAAAGTGCCCCGCCTGCTCGGCCATCATCACGAGCCACGTGGTCCTGGGCAAGGAAATGTCCGGGGCGGGCCTGGGCGGCGAGATCAACGAGCCGGCGGGCCGCGACGGCGGGCGACGGGGAGACGGCAAGCCGCCGGCCAAGAAGGCGCGCAAGGAAAATGGACTTCCCGGAAAGGGCTCCGACTTTTACGGCGTCGAGCTGCGGAATACGACCACCAAGAGCGCCACCTTCCTGAGGATCGCCGAGATGAATGAGAATGCCGTCCTGCCGGCCAGTGCCAAGACTACGGCGGTCAAGCGCAAGATCATCGAGTGGCTGAAACACTACCCCAACGACAAGATCATCGGTATGAACGGAACCCTTCCTTTGCCACTAACTGTGATAGCTCTTGAGGTGACATGAGAAACTAACAAGCACAACCCGAAATTCGACAAGTCTTCACACACTGGGTCAACCTGGCGCAGGTCATCGGCCACATGCTCAACTCGGAGCGCATCGGCTTCCTCTACTACTTCGGCGCGCAGTCCATCTTCGCGCGGCGCAACGCCGTGGCCGAGTTCAGCAAGGACGACACGCCCGTGCGGGTGCTGCTGGCGTCGACAAAGTGCGGCGGCCAGGCCCTCAACCTCACGGCCGCCAACCGCGTCATCCTCGTGGACCTGTGGTGGAACAGCGCCGTCGAGCAGCAGGCCTTTGGCCGCGTCCACCGCATCGGCCAGACAAAGGAGACGCACTTCGTCAAGGTGGTGGCCCGCAACACCATCGACGAGCGCCTGCTCGACATGCAGAACGAGAAGGACGTCATCATCGGCCGCACCATGCGCGACGGCCAGTCGCTGACCGAGACGGAGATCCTGCGCCTGTTTGGCGCCGAGGACGACAATGTCGAGGGCCAGGAGGAGGGGGGCGAGGGTGACGACGAGGCCGGCGGAAGCAGCAGCAACAAGGTAAAGGGAAAAGCAAAGGCCAAGGCCGGGGCAAAGGCCAGGGCGAGAGGGCGGCTGCGGGACGTCTGCGACGACGACATCGACAGGGGCGAGATCCTGGCCGATTCGGACACGGAGCCCGACACCGAGGCCAGGCAGAGGAAGCCGGGCAAGGCAGCACCGAGATTCCAGCCCTACGGCGAGCGCGACAGTGGCGAGGGCTCCAGCGGGGCCGCGGTCATGCATGGTGGCGGCAGCGATGCCGGCGACGAGGTCGTGGCCGACGCGGTCTGGGACGAGCACGCCGACATCGATGACGAGACCATGCAGAACCTGCTGCTGCAGGCGCAGCTCGCGGGCGACGCGTCCTCGGTGACCGATCACGGGGAGAATGAGCCGCTCGAGGAGGATGATGATGAGGAGGACGAGGACGATGACGATGACATGGACGTCGCCCACGGGGAAGAGGCCCGGGGCGCCGCGGCGGGCTCGACGCCTCATCCCGCCGACGATACGGCTGCCCCCGCGCCTGCCTGGGTGGATGCCGACGTGGCCATGCAGGACCAAGAGTTGCGCCAGCCCGTCGCGATGGGAGAGGAAGAGGGCGAGAACGCGGCCGAGGACGTTGACATGGAGCAGGATTCTGGCCACCAGGTCGATGGGCACTACGACGAGCAGCAGTACGGCGAGGACGAAAATTAGAACGTCTACTAACCCGGTCGTCGACTGCTACCTCGTTCAGCATGTTTGGTTTGTATGGCGCGTTCCAGCGTCGACTTCTCTTTTATCTTCACATCTCGATTCACAAGACCACCACACTCCACTACTATCCCTTACTCTTTACACCCCATTTCAACCGATATTGCGCATGAGCCTACAAGATTTACCAAAGATTTCCCCAGTTTCTGTTTCGTTTGCGAGAACCAGTAAAGGCAAGAAAGAGGAGAATCGTCGCCCATGGAAAGAGTCCAAAAAAGGAACTCGGGAAAAGCATCGAGCAAAAGAGCATGTCAAAAACCAAAAGAGGAGCAGGAAGCAGGAAGCAGGAAGAAATGCGGATATCCCACATGGATTCTTCTCAATTAGGTAGATAAGCTATCATAGGTAGTCCTACAAACCGCGGAGGAACTCATCAAGCGTGATGGGCTTGCGCACTGCGTTGTTCAATCCTTCGTTGAACGTGACCCAGACCATGCTGTCCTTCTTCGCCGCCGCCCCACCCCGCCCCTTCGCGTTGCCGTCGGCGTCCTGCAGGGGCCGCGGCGCCTGTGCGATTATCCTGCCAAAGAAGTCGCGCTTGACGGCCACAGGGGCTTCGGGGGCGACAACGACGTCGACGCCCCTCTTCGCCGTCGCAGCCGGGTTCTCCTTGCCCGGGTTGACGGGCAGCGGCTCGGCGCCCTCGTGGTGGTGGTCGCCGCCCCCTCCTCTGAACCTCGCTTGCCTTGCCGCCGTGTCTCGTGCGGCGCGCGTCTTGTGCAGCTCCTGGTCTAGAACCTGTCGGACCGCGTAGCGCGTTGGCGCCTGAGTGGAAAGGACGTGGGCGCCCATGGTATCGAACGTCGAAAGAGCATCGATGTCCCTGGAGTGGCCGAGCGATGTCAGTATACAGTTTCACCAAGTTGGACATAAAAGGTAAGAAAGAAAAAGGAAACTCACGGCTCTAGCCTGTAAACCCACTGCGGCCGGGCAAAGGCTGAAGGGTTCGCCTCCTCAATCTTGCCCTTGACCAGATCAATGTTGAGCTCGGCCAGGACCTCGGCGGCGCGCCGCACCATGGTCTTTTCCGACTCTCGCCGGACGCTGGCGATGGAACTGACGCCCTTGTCACCGCCCCCGCTGCCCCCGACCACGACGGGCTTCACGTTGGGCGACACGAGCCGGAGCAGGTAGGGGAGCAGGTCGGTGGCCACGTGCTCCGGGCTGCGGAACGAGCGGGCCAGGGCCGGCGACAGGTTCGCCTGGATGGCCTGCAGCGCCGCGCGGTTGTGCTTCTCGGCCTCGCGCGCCTCGTAGTCGGCCCGCGGGCCCGAGAAGGGAACCGGGGCCGCGCCGCCGTCGGCGCCGTCGTCGTTGCCGCCGCCGCCGCCCCAGTTCCTGTCGTACCCGGCGTTGGGCACGTGCCGGCGCGGCGAGGCGAAGAGGCTGTGGCAGGCCAGGACGGGCTGCGAGAGGTACGGGGCCAGCTCCCACTCCTGGCCCGTGAAGAGGCGGGTGGAGCACATGTCGTGGAAGTTCATCCACTCGTACGCCGTGTTGGGCTTGCTCAGGTAGCAGTCGTCGTTGAATTCGCGCCCCGGGAACTCGGCAAAGATCTCCGTCATGATGCGGTCGACCTCGCCGCTGGCGTCCACCATCTCCCCGAGCCGCGCCATGGCGTGCTTCTTGTCGTGCTCGGCGAACCCGAGCTGCGCCTGCGGCTGCTCGCGGCGCGTGGTCCTGTCCGCAAGCCCCTGATCGCCCCGTTGCTGCTGCTTGGGGAAGCCCGCGCCTTCCTGGAACACGCGCGCGACCACGTCCTTGGTCCCGCCCCTGCCCAGGCCCCTGGCGCCGCCGCCGCCGTGTGCCAGCTCGCCGACAACGTTGAGGTCAACCCACTGCCTCGTCAGCCGAGGCGCAGAGCCGTCAGCATGGGTCGACGTGGCCCTCAGGCGCCCGGCGACCCATTCGCCAACGACCATGACGCCACGAAGGTCACCCTCTACCGTGCTCTCAGCGCCGCGCCGCGCGTTGATGCCGCTGGTCATGCCCCAGGCGGCTTCACACAACTTGCGCGCCGCATCCTTCTCGCAAGGGATGCCCTCTTTCTCGAAGACGTTCTTGAGACGCGTCACCACCGAGTCTATGGTCGGCTTGCCTACGTGGATAATTTCGGCGAGGCCGGACTGCCGGAGCGGCCTTAACGAGACGTGGTAGACATCGTTGCAGATGAGAATCAATGGTCTCATCTGCCTGAAATCGTCGCCTTTCTTCTTTCGCCGGGAGCCGTCAGACGTCAATCCAGCTGCTGCACTGTTCTTCTGATCCGTTGTGACGAGGTCGATGAGGGCCTTGACAAAGCCACCCTCGCCCGACCCGCCCGAGCCGGACACGACACCATCTACCTCATCAACGACAACACAGACTGGCCTGGCAATCTTTGGAGGCGGCTGGCCCGGCTTTCCGTCTTTTGGCTTGTGCTGCTCGACCGTCTTGACGTTCTCCGTTCCGAGACTGGTCCGGATGCGACCCTTGACCACATCCCGACTTCGGTCGTCACTAGCGTTGATCTCCAAAACCTCGTATCCTGCCTGCTTCGCGCAAACATGTGCCAGGGTCGTCTTCCCCAGACCCGGCGGCCCCGTGAGCATCAGGATTTTGCGGTGCGGCTTCTCGTCTTCTTGGCCCTGCTGCTGCTGAGGAGCTTTTGCCCCGATGCGGCGAGAGGCTGCCTTGGACTTGGCGGCCTGGGGAAACACCACGGGATCCCAGCGCTTGAGCCAACGGAGGACCTGGCGGTTCGTAAGATCGTCACCAACGAGATCCATGAACTTGCGGGCGCGGTACTTTTCTGTCCACAACAGCGTCTTCTTCGGGCGCTTTCCTATCTCGGCGGGCACAGTCTCGACAGATTGAACGGGGCGTTCAACAGCCGGGACAGAGCGGCGCTGAGCCGCGGCTTCAGCAATAGCAGCCTCTGCCAGGATCTTTTCCTTCTCCTCCTGCTCGGCGGCGTCCATGAGCGCATGTATTTCTATGCCATAATAACTTCGTTTTGCGCGCCCTTCCTTGTGTCTTGATCTTGCCGCCACAATATTCTCATAAGATGTGAGCTGGGTTGGTTTTCTCTCTCTAATCGAGAGAGACTTGCCGGAACATGTTTGTAGCGTGAGGGGCCGTGTGGTGCTATCGTCTGGGATCGTGTAGTTGGCCTCTTGCGTCGGGGCAGGGCGGTCGAACAACGCTCGATAGCGTTCCTCCTCATCGGCCTCTTCTGCCGGCTCGCTTCTCCGCGTGCCAGGGTTTGTGGCCGCGGCCTCAGGTTCCTCCTCCGCTAGTATGTCAAGCGCCCCATGCAGACTTCGTTTTGTGTTGATGGTGTGATCAACGAGGATTCGCTTCGGGGCGGGCTCCGAGGCTAGCTCCTGCAATTCGCTCTCATCGTCGTCCGAGTCGTCGTCCAACATGAAGCCAGCCCGTGTCCGGGCCTTTGGCTTTTGCGGGGGGCCATTGCCGCGTGTCGGAGAGGCCAACGGACGCTTCCGGGGCGGGGACGATGTTTGCGGGTAGGATATAGGAGATGATGCTAGCATGGTGGGTTCGGGGCGGTTGGGTGAGGGCGCTGGGTTGCTCGTGAGATCGACTGTCTAGGTAGGGGTCGCGTGCTGTTTCGTTCTCGTTCTCGTTCTCGTTCTCGATTTAGTTCTCACAGCGTGGTTGCTGCCCCTCGTTGTTGGCGTGGTTTGGCAGCCAGGAGGGCTCAAGGTTGCCTCGCATCTAAATTGATACGCGAGAAAGCGCGTGTGGAGGCGCGTCACATCCATTACTTTGGATTGATTGACATGGGGTAGCCGATCGCCCCCTGCTGACGTAATGACACATGATGTGCCCAATTGCCATGCACCCCAGGCGATGATGGCGCAACACCAAACTGCACAAAGTACGCCATCACCATGATCTCCTGGGAGTGCTGGCCTCGTTCTTGTTCTAAGCACATAAAATATTCAAAATAAATCGAATGGAAGCATCTTGATCCCATCGGCCAACCGCCAAGAAATCTCGGGCTCGATAAAGGTCTGACTTCTGACTGAGTAAGCGCCACCAGTGCCGGGTCACTGGGTGCAGGGCCAATTGATTTGAAGCTTGACTGCTCCTTCCACTTGCCTGGATTTGACGCTGCGCCTCGCCAGCAAGGGGCCTGGCTCAAGACCTTGCAGCACAGAGCCGCAGCGAGTCGCCCCCACTATCGGCTGCCAAAATTGATGCCTCTTACCTCTCGCTGTGATCCTCCATAGCTGGTCTTACTAACTCGACCACCTTACTGTTCGCGTCAACTGCCCAAACAAGCGATATAAAGTTCTCGCTGGCGCAGCACACAGCCGCCGTGTGGGAGTAACAGCCCATTCTTCACCTTCTTTCCCAAGCAATCGCCTTGGGAGTCTACGTATTTTCCCGATGACAGATTTGACACTCGACGCACTCTCTCGACCCCCTGCTATCCCCTTGACTTTGCGCTTGGCACAGAGATCTGCAGTGGTTGGCCACAACTTCCACTGCCGAAATGTTGAAGCCAAGAATCATCGCCCCCAGATCATAACTCCCGCCGACACCACGGAGCCAGGCTCCCCCAAACTTCAGAGTCGGCAACGGGCCAACCCCATCGATCAGTCGAGATGGATGCACTCCCCGAATGCTGAACCCAAGCAAGATGCTGACCCTCGCTCTTTTTCTCTCCACTCTAGAAGACGCAGGGCAGAGGCTGGATACGGCGCCAAGATGCCCAAGTCACCGCCTCCCTCACACCAGTTTCCGACTAGAAAAAATAACCGGTTGGTACACCTCACCCTCTCGATCGAAAAGAAGCGGGACATAGATCCGAACCCGAGAAAGTGGGAAATGCCCCAGGGTCTGCCATACACCGGCCCACCGCCACCTCCCCTAAAGCTCAACGGAGATGCAGAGATTCCGGATGTTCCCAACATAAAGAAGGATCCTCGGTCACGTCAGTGGGGCTCTCAGGCTCCAGCATTTGTTCAGAGGATCGTCCGGACTGCGCCGGCAAGCCCAACTCCGCCTCGGGCTAAGCAGCAGCATCTGATCGATAGTCAAATCTCGTCAGGAATGGGTGGCACTGTGAACAGCAAGGGATCCGAAGCTACGTGCCCTCCCGGCGAGCAGGCCAGTCCTATGAAAGCAAGCGACGATACTACAGGCTTCGTGAGAGGCACCGACTGGGCGGCGTGGTTCAAGACCACCACGAACTGGGACAAGAACAAGGTAAAGTTGAGACATGCTAACACAGACGAACATCAGTGGCTCGAGAAGAGACCAGAAGGAACCAACAACGGAGGACCAACGCTCCGTATCCAGGAGGCAGCAGAGGGAAACATGACAGGAGGTGGTAGAACATAACGGGTGGATTACATGAGAGGGTATAGTAGATCAGCGTGTATGGCGCTTCTGTGCAAATTGATATCTTGTTTGACCCATTTTCATGTTTGCCGTGGTTTGTCGTCCGGGGCCACACCATATTTGCCTCGTTCTCAGCCACAGCAGATTTGCTTTCCTTTTCCTGTAGGCAATCCTGGCCCTTAGAGGTTCCTCAAGGGTGCCCAGAAAGTACAGCACCCAAGTAGCCAACTTTCTACTGCTGACATGTCAATAGGGTCTACCACTCATCTTGCATGTGGAGCCTCCCCGCGGAAGATTTCATCCAATGACAGATTCAACCCACACCAAAAACGGCAAGTGTCCACCACCCCAACCCTTTCTACGATAAACAGCGAAAAACACCGACAAGCCATGTAGCCGGGTCCAACCCGTCAGAGTGGGTGCCTGTCCTGCTCCCAAAGAGAGGTCTTGCACACTCGGACCCTTTCGTTCAATAGCTTAGATGAATTGCTCACCGGTCATCCATTCCATCGCGACTATGTTGACAGATCATGGAACCAGATTGCAGCAGTGATGAGACTAGATCGTGGAGTGGATCTGGCCCTCCTCAACCTCGAGAGGAATCACCCGCATAAGGCACTGCCGTCAACGTTTTGATCCGAATCAACTAATCCACGTGGAGAAGTACCCCATGCCCCCGCGGCTGGTCCCACAGCCCACATGGCATGTTGAGGACGTTGGTCTCCTGCTATTGTGGCCGTACCCTCAATAACGTCTGAACTGCCATTCCTCACCGACAATAAGGACAATAGCCCGCCCCCCCTTCGCCCAATCAGAGCTTGCTTTGGCCAACAAATTCTGTGTCCTCCACCAGAGTCTGGATGCCGTCTGCCATCAGACTCACCCTTCCCTCGAGGTGATTCTCGTGAAGTAGGTTATGCAACCTGGGCAGATCCGTCATCAAGGGGGCAGCTAGAGGTATTTAAGCAAAGTTCTCCACTGAGTAGGGAAGACTCAGTTCCTTTCCCTGGAACACCCAAGCCAACCCAGTCAACTTCCAGAGCATTCCAGATCATCACCATCACCAACTTCACCGCTGTGAACGAACTACCGCGGAACCAATCACCAACCTGTACGGGCCCTTATCCCCAGAAGTGGAGGCCTGGAGCCCGCCTCCACGCCGTATGCTCACCCATACCTGTGCTTGCCTAGATGTTGACAATATCTCATAGACATCACTTCAGACCGTTTCGGATCCCAGCAAGGCCCTGCGCCAGATCTAGAGCTGTGCTCGTCTCAGCCAGCCAACCTACAAGCCATGCCGAACAATAGCAGCGGCGGTAGCATCTCGAATAGCATAAACACAGCCCACGCCGGGGACGGCAGCCAGGCCCCGATGATTTTCGCTGGGAACGAGAGCAGGCTCTCACCAACGTCTGTATCGCCACCCCTACACACACAGAATGCAGAAATGAAGCAAACCTCAATGGGCAACGTAGACAAGATGCCGAGTCCGAAGTTTGGCCTTGTCCCAGCGGGAGGCGAGGGCAGCTTCAGTACGTCGTGGCTCGATCCATTCATGCCCCAAGACCCGGCCAGCCTCGGCTTCGCGAATCACCCCCTGCCTCTTGCCCTGCTCGGCTCGCCGTTCGACCCTCATCGCCAGCAGCCGTCGGGCATTCCCGGTGACGTAACCCATCTGATGATGCCAAACCCGGCGCCCGCCGTGTGGCCGACATGCGTGTCGCCCTCGCAGGCTTTCTACTCCTCTGATCAACAAACCACGACAACACCCACGACGTCGCATCTTTATGACAGCCACGAATGCTTCTCTCCCGATACCGCCCCGACCACGATCGAGCATGCGAACCTCGGCAGGGACTGGGACGGAATGCCGATCTACAGCGACGATACGCAATTCCTGCTCCCCGAGCTTGGACAGGACTTCAACGCGCAGCGTCGGTACTCGGTAGACTCTGAAGTGCCGACGCTCTACTCTGCGGACAGCCCACCCATGGACCCCGAGGCTGGGGTAGACCAGAAGCCCCTGACCAGCCACGACATGCAGCGGAGCTACTCGGACCCGGCCGCCGTCACCTCAACTGTGGCCCGCGAGGCGACCCTCTCCTCATCACTGTCGCCGCCGCGGCGGTCCCTCCGTAAGCTCCCCACGCGATTCCGCCACTCCAAGGCAACCTCCCCCTCCTCCTCCTCCTCCGTCGCCGCCAACGCCATCGTCGCGCCGGCGGCGACCCTCCCGGCCGGCAGCGTCCCCGTCCCGTCGGCGCTGCAGGAGCGGACGTGGCAGAACTGGGCGCCCTGGATCAACTCCCTGCCCGACGACGACCTCAAGGCGCTCGAGACGCGGCAGCTGCACCCGCTCCGCTACTCGCCCGGCATGACGCAGGAGCAGCGCAACCTGACGGACCTGGCCAACGAGCGCATGATGGCGGCCAAGAACTTCAAGCGCCGCCAGATCAACAACGCCGCCGCCGCCCGCTCCCGCGCCCGCAAGAACGAGGCCCTCGACGCCGCACGCCGCGACGCCGACGACCAGGCCCGCCGCTGCGACGAGGCCGTCGCCGAGGCTGAGGGCCTGCGGGGCCGCCTGGCCGGCGCCGAGGCGGCGCTCGAGGTCGCCAGGGCCGAGAACGAGGCCCTGAGGGCGAAGCTGGCTAAGGTGGACGGCTCCGAGATGTAGAAGCCTCAGGTCTTTGGGGGTCTCGAGTTGTTTTTCGCCTCTATGAGTTGTGAGCCTTCGCGTTGGCCCTGTTCGTCCTTTTTTCTTCTTTGACATGTCCCCCCTCACTTCTTCCCCGTTAGGTAAACATGGCAGCATGCGGTCGAGCAAGATGCTTGACACGACACACAGAGTTAGACTTGTTGAAAGCTAATCGGGTTTGGCGACAGTTTCTTGTTAGTTCTGGGTATTTCCGGCTCGTTGGTGAGCCGGCGCACACTGGTGGAGGAGCATTTGGCTTTCTTTTCTCTCTGTTTTCTTTGTTGCTATTCTCTTGCGCTTTCTGTTTCCTTTTGCTACTTTCTGTGATACCACCCCCTTGATCCCCCCTTCCCTCTATCGGATTCCCCCGTCCTATTCTCACAACCGCTAGCACATTTCGACCCTACCATGCGCTGTTTTCCAACCACGCCATCTTTTGGGGGGAGGCGGACTGCTTATCACGCGTTTTAGACTAGAGGGTTCATGTGTTTCACGGTCATTTTGGCGCAACACGGAACACTGGACAATTCTATCAGAGCTTTGACTTTATTGAAACCGATGTCTTCCCATTATATCCCCCTGTTTCTAGACACACTCTCGCCTTCAAGATGGTCATAGTGAGCCCCACTATACCTGGTGATGTCGCCGAGGTAAATCCCGGAATCGGCTGCAGAGTCGAAGACACTGATGTACCACATCACCACGTCAGGAACGCAATCCAATTTCGCATGGCGTCACCGTAGTTGCTGCCAGAGTATTCCGGATTTTTCCCATATCACCCAGTACAGTTTCAGAAGAGTGCTCGCGGGTGTAGCCGCGACCAATATCTTCACATTATGCTGGGGGCGCCCTGAGTTGCGAGTAGTTGAGACGCACTCGCGCGCCCGCGACGGGCCGGTCGAGAAGGCGGAGCGGGCTGTCAAGAACAGCTTCACGTCGTCAAACTCGGGTCTCGGCATCGGCATCGGCATCCTGGGCGCCATCGTCGCCGGAGCGGGCTGTCAAGAACAGCTTCACGTCATCAAACTCGGGCCGGCGGTTGCTGTTGAGCCGGCACTTTCAAGCAGTACTCGCCGGATTTCGAACAGGGAGATAGCCGAACTATTCAACCTGTATGTAGTGGCTGGTGAAACCGGCGCTTTCGAGCAGTGCCCAATGAGGACCGTAATCAGAAGATGGCAGAGATGTTCAAGCTGTTGGCCCTGCTTGTGAAACCGGCACTTCCAAGAAGTACTCGATGAGGACCATAACCCGAGGAGGTGAAGGCTTCCTTTATCAAGAGCGCCGCAGCTCCCGAAACAAATATTCAACCTGCTGCTTGCCAAGCTATGGCTTTGGCGGTGATTCTGAGTCTCTCCTTTTTGATGGGGGACAACGGCAACACAATCGAGGTTTCTAGCGGAGGACCTGGTGTGACGGTTGAGTATTTCGGCACAATCACGTCCTCGGGGACGGTAAGAGTCCCGCATGGCGGCGTTCCTCATCCTCGCCATCCTATGGAGGACCTGGAGTGGCAGCTGGCGTTCTTGGCATGGGCCAAGGCTGGATCGACAAGGAGTGCGAGCGCCGGGCCTCGGAAGAGTTCAAGCGGTCCCACATGCTGGTGATGAACTGGGAGATTGAGCACATGCCAGTTTAAGCAAATTGCACACCAGCTTCACCGGCCATACCGGGCGCATTGTCTCGACGGCCCTGGCTGGAAAGTCCGTTGCGAGAGCTCCAGAGAGTTCATCGATGCAACACCCCCTTCGGCCCAAGGTATCCCGACTAGGTAGGTAGAGCAGAACCTAAAAGGGGAGAGTTTGTGGCGACTGGGCAGCAGGCGCACGGGCGTTCACACGGGGTCGAGGAAAAAGGAATACAGGGGTAGACAGTTCCAGGGAAAGCGGCGGCGATATCAGGTCCTCGGCTGCGGTGACTCGATGTGGCAAAAGCGGACGACGAGGGCTTGCGGTCGCTATTGGGGTAGGATGGCGGTGGGTATCTGCCGACGGGCTGCTGTCTGCACCGTCCGAGGTTGAGGCCGGGTACATGGCCTGAAACTCAAAGTCGAATTCGCCGGCCTCTTTGCTGAATCGGGCATTTCCGGGCTTGATGGGCCTCTTTGTGGGTGCCGTTGGCACGAAGACTCCTTCCAGCCCATCTTCCCCATCTGGCAAGACAAGCAAACCACTGGCCCGGAGGCGATGACCGCTCTCGAAACGGCGGATAGGCCGCACCCAGTGGAGATGCATCACCTGTAAGGCTATTTATAGGTCTGGCTCCCGTCGTCCGAGGCCACCTAAGCCCTGAGTCCTGTCCTCGAGACCTCGAGGTGGTGATGGCTGACTGCTTTGGGTCAAGGGCGACGGCGGCACCTTTTTTACCCAGCCTGTCGACTTCGGGGCTGGTGCTGCCATCTCTTCTGCCTATTCGATAACGATGAGCAGCATCCAATGTAGCGCGATGGACGAGGAGACGGCGGTCGAAGCCCGGATGATGTGAATCCGGACCGTGGGGGCCCGCCCCATGGGGTAATCGGGGCGACCCCGGCCAGTACCCTCCCAGGGACGGTGGCTATACCCGGCATCCAACTATTGTTTCCCGAATAGCCCACATGAATACCCAAGGTAACCGCACCATGACCGCCAGGATCCGTATGGATCCCCCAGAGGAAACCTGGACAGGATGACCCAGCATACCAATCGCCAGGGGGACCCTGGGCAAGACACTCCTGCAGGATACCAGCCACTAGAGGGACCGTACATGGTGCGTGATGGAGATGGCATGCCTGAGATGGGTAAGCCGCTTTTGACGCAATGGCGCGGGCGGTTGCCGGAGCGGGCCGCTCTCGAAAGTGACCAAGGTGACCTGGAAGCGCTATTACGCACAACAGCGGGACCACAGGTACCGCCGGGCGCCAGAGCAGTATGGCGGGCGCGGTCACCGCTGTCATAGCAATCCAGGCTCCAGAGAGAGCGGAAGGCTGGCTGCGGCAGAACATCATCGCACCGATGGGAGACCCCTCCTGGGCTCAGGAAATATGGTCGTCGATATTGAAAGCCATGGACAGCGGCCATATAGCAGTACTACCAGCAGAACCAGCAGCCCGTCGTTGAACGAATCCCTTGGGCCGGGGGGGCGTAAAGGCTCGGGCCGGCGCACGGATATTGGTGGAAGAAGCTTGCCAAGCCGCAAGCAATCCTTTGGCCGACGGGCAGCAAGAGCGATTGAACCCAAACCAAGGCCTCGGTCATTGACAAGAATCCAGCTCATATGCGACGGCATAGCGAGCGCGTGTCTGCCCAGGCCTAGATCAAGGATGGCAGGCCATGTGGAGTCCCTCGAAGATGTGGCAACAACGGGATAACAACCAGAACAGATGCATGGTGTGCTTTCCGGTCGACGAGATGGGCGTCGATGTAGTCCGGTGTACGTCCGCCTGCTTTTTTTCCCTTGCTCTGCTTGAATTTCGACATGGCCCTTTCCGCGACGGAGAGCGGCGTGGACGGGGAATGCCGGGCAGAAGGGGACGGCGACCGTATTCGAAAGCCACGTCACTAATGACCAAGCACTACCAATCGACAACCGAAGGAAACGACGGCAACCCCCGCAGGACAGACACAGTGGACGCGCACTCCAGCGAGACGCCCTTCGCGTGGCTACCAGGGGGCTGCCGGCCGGCGGCATCCGTGAGCACAACGGCGGAACGAACAGCTCAATGACTTCATTGTCATCCAGCAGACCTCAACAACCCCGAGGACGACCCCACGGCTCGCCAGTGACTCCGGCGACACTCAAGATCGGGGTCGGCCAGGTTCTCTTGGGCGGGGTGCAGATAACCAGTCCCTTTGGGCGGTGTATATCGAGAGCGTCCGTCCTGATAGGCTGATAGGCGAGGCGTGCCGGGCCAGGATATGGGCTCGCAGCTCAAGTCTCGCCGCTGACAACGGGCGACTTGAAGTTGGGCACGTCCTCCGGTCAGCGCAGCTACCCGCAGCGAGCGTCGCCGGCCGAGGAAGCGTGTGCCGCGGGGTCTTGACTGCCTCACTGTGAGCGCCATCCAGGAGCCCCCGGTCCCGAAGATGGGACTTCATCTTGGTGATGCGCAAAACCAGCAGGCAAACCGCCTATTGCTGCTACCGACATGGTCTGCTCCGTTGTAGAGTGAAAGCGCCGCTCTTGCAGCCGCCCGCGGTTGCGGATCACGCCGTCACAGCCACCCCCACGGCAGGGCCGACTAACGGCCAAAGGGCTGACGGGGCGCAGTAGTCAGGGTGAACATGTACCATTTCCAGACACAAGGGTTTGTGCTAGGCGATTACACCATTCAAGTGATCGACTCGACTTGGAACCTTGCTGCGCCAGACCTCGATATATGCAGATCCATGAACGGTGCACGGAACGCATGCAGGTGTCGCCACAAATACTGCCCGCTGCCGGTATCGTGCTGCCCGCGAGGATGGATTCCCATGGCCCTGTTCCGCTCGATATTCCCAAGAGCTCGACGCCAAGGCGGCGCCGTGGAGTCCGCCAGCGGTCATGCACACCGCCGACCGAAACAACAAAGGAAGAGGCGAGTGTTGGTTGTCGCTCATGTCGGCTCGTGGTTTAGCCTTGCCGAGTAGCTCTATTTTATATGTTTTCAACTTTTTTTTTTCGTCGCTGCCCCGGTCGATCCTGAAGTGCACATGTTTCTTTGCTGGCACTCATCACCTCCAAGCCTAAGTTCCACCATGTCGGAAGAAATCAGAAGCAGCACAAGCCCCCAGCCGGGGCGTGGACCTGGCTTTGCTGGCAGTTTATCTCCCGGCGATCTGGGGGGTTGGTGGGGGTGGCAGGATGTACCCTGGTAATTGTGCGGCTGGTGGTCCCATGGTGATATCGCCCACCCACGTCAACTTGAACTGATCGATGGCGAGGGGCGCCACATGGTGGTGCGTCTCAGTGGTTACCGAGATCCTTACGCAGCCTCTCCGTGGACCGACTTTTGATGCGATGCCGACGGCGCGGGCATGTTCTCGCCTTCGACGGCCGGTGGTGATCAAGTCCCGTTTTGCACGGCACCCAACAGCGCTCGATCTCCTGGACCGGGCGTGATGCCAGAAAACACAATGTTCAACCTTGGAGATGCGGAAAGCAGCCGAGATCGAGGTGGTGTGCTTTTCCGCTGGAAAGGCGCGTGCCACGGAAGAACTTCTCTCAGTCGGAGTTTGACAGCGCCGTGGGGCGGGATTCCCCCACGGGCAGGTCGCCCCTGATCACATCCTCCTTGCCACGCCCCAATCTCAGGCGAGTCTTTGTGGGCTCCCGCTGCTGGGAACTGCGGACCGAAGATAGAGTGGGCGCCAGAGACATCTCGCGGCAGAGCTTTGCACAGCTCAAGGGCCTCCAATATACTTGAGGGAACATGGCGGTGATCTTCGGGCTGCCCCGGCAGGTGTGGGGGATGTGCCTGGCGAGAGTCGAGGTGATGGTGCTGTGCCGATCTATTGTCGCTGGAGATGCTCGTTGGTGCTCTGGTGGAAGTCGGCCCGAAAGGTCCTGTATCTCGGCAGCCTTGTTTTTTCCAAGTGGGATGCCGCTTCCATGACCGCTATCGTGCTGTCCGCGATGCTCGTTGATGCTCTGGTGGAAGATCGTTTGGAGAACAGTGTAGGCGAAACATTCCTCCTCCAGCCGCGACATCCCCGCGCCTGCCGAGCGACCGATTTTTCTTTATTTTTGTCGTCATCATATCGTACACGGACGGAGAGGCCTGTAGTCCAAGAAAAACAGTGGAGTAAAATCCACAAGAAAAGGGTAGGCCTCAACGCCTAGGTGTTGGGGAAGAAGCATGGGTTAGTCTTGCATCCACAGTCATGATATGAAGGGGCTGTCAACGCCGCCGCCTGTACTTACCACTTGTAGGTTTTACAATACACGGCCCGGTCTGGAGCTACCCAGAGGCCCACGGAGAAGAGCCACCAGCGGAAACAACAACCATGTTCCTTTTCACCTTGGGGCGGTGAGGCGGTTGTTGTTGGCGGCTCCCCCTCCGAGGAGCCCCTGGGTGTCGAGCAAGAGCATCGCTCCTCACGTAGACTTGCTCAACCCTAGGGGTACATGATGCAGTGTGTTGTTTTTGGTCTTTTTGGCGTTTCGAGAGAATTTCGAGAGAACAAAGGGAATGGCGCGTGAAAGCAGATTTTTTGTCATGGTTGATGATTTTTCCTGTTTTTTTGGGCCCCCCTCTATCCGAGGATACTCTATCGATGGTGACAGGAATGACACCGGAGCCCCAGAAGGGACCCCGGGGCGCTCCCTGTAAGAGTAGTGAGAGCTGAGCAGGGGATATTGGAGTGTCGAGGTAAGAGATGCTGATGGAGATGGAGGGTTGAGGGAGATTTGGGGGGAAGGTGAGACCCCTTTTATACCCGAATCCCGGCTGCGATCACCTCGACTAGAACGTACGATTCACGCCGAGCACAGAGAATGATGGTGATGCAAGAGAATTGAACTGACCAAAAAGCGGAAGTGATGGCTGGCCACGTATGTATTCAACTCCTCCCCAAAGGTGATACGGAACGAAGCCATCCACCAGTAAGAGCGTGTTGATTCTTCACCTTGGTTTAGAGACCAGCCGAGCACTCGCAGTGTCAGGCCGTTGGACGATTTTGGGATGGTCCATGAAGCGCTGCCCGCCAAAGTATTGAGTGTCCTTGTCCGGGACTTGCATTCGCTCTCCCTCACTGATGCGGATTGAATTTGTAACTCAGGTGAATACGGCCGCATCTAGATCCTCTTCACCTAACATCACCTTTCGTTAACGTTTCTGAGTACCGTAGTGACTGTCCGAGTTACCTTGAAGCAGAAATCCCATCTCAGAGAGGTCGGAACACCGCTCTGCCCTGACGACGGCCAATGGATGTGGCGCTGCGGCTAAATTGGTGGCGAATAGGTAACTTGGAAAACATTCTATGAGAGGAGGGCAGAGAAGGCCTCGGTCGGCTGCGCTTGTCGAATCCTTATTCTTTGATGCGCTGATGATTGCCCAGACAATGCGGTGTTCGTTTGCAAGAAACGAATGCTCACGGCACTCACTGTCAGCAAAAAGGTCCAGTACTATGACAAATACTGATCTCACGAGCCCGTGTGTATTCACTTGATATTAATCACGGAGACCTTGGAGCTGCCCTTCATCGCACACTGGCAGCACAGACGCCATGGTATCTCTGGTATCGTTTAATAAATAGCTTTCCAAGATAGTGACAATGGGCCCTGCCAACCGACAGGTCTCGGCAGTTCCCCCCCTCCCCTCCCGTCCAGTCTCAAGCAACAATGAAATTGAATCCCCAAGTCACAGCCACTCTACTGAGTGGCATACGGCTGCTGATGAACTGGCGCAGGCTGCGCGTAAACCGGTGCAGGTTGGCCGTAGACGGGCGCGGGCTGGCCATAGACCGGGGCGGGCTGGCCGTAAGGCGACTGTCCCGGCTGCGGCTGCTGGTACTCGCCCTGCTGGTACGGGCCCTGCTGGTAGACGCCCTGCTGCGGGACGGCGGGGCCCTGGGCCTCCTGCGCCTTGTACGGGACCTGGCCGAGCTCGGCCTGGTTGGTGTTGGCACCCTCGCTCTCGGGGTCGTTCAGGCAGGCCTTGATGAAGAAGGCGACGTTGACGATGGACAGGACCCTGTGGTGGAGAGAGGTTTTCGTTGTCAGCCAGGAAGGCACGTTTGTAAAACATCTCCCTCTCTCGCTCCGTCTCGGACAAGGACTTACCAAGCAATGGCGCCAATGGCAGCGCAACCGGCCAAGGCACCTCCCTCCTGCCGGAGCTTGTTGGGCAGGGCTCCATAGATGCGGTTGGAGTAGGTGTTGGCCAGCGAGAAGTAGACGCCCGACATGCTGGCCGCCCAGCCCCACGAGGCCAGCCAGAAGATGATGCCGAGGAGATAGGCAATGAGGGCGGCGATGCGGAAAAACATGCGCGGGGCCCACACTTGGATCGCAGTAACGGCACCGTACACGATGAGGGTTTTAACGGCCTATGTAATGGAGCGGCAGATTCCCCGGGTTAGCATTTCTCTAACGCGCTTGTGTGGTCATGCGAGGCAGGCGATACGTACAACAAAGATCAAAAGACCAGGGACTCCTGAGCCAGTAAAGTAGTAGTCATCGTTGGCGGCGCTGCTGAATATGGAGATGGCATATGCTGCGAGGGCGAGGACGAGGAGGGCCAGAACAAGGATGACGATCTTGACGTAAAGAAGCCATTTCGGGAGCGTGGTGGGAACGCCACGGGCAATGAGACCGCGCACCGCCATTGCAAAGGTGGTGTTGGAAAGACCGAGGGAAAGGCTTGTCTTTCTTATTTGGACGTTTGGCAGCGCCTGCGAGTGGCGAGAGAGGGCGAACCGGGGCGGAGACGAGAGCACGGTGGAAGACAGAGCACCAAAAATGGTCAACCAAAACAAAAGAGAGGCTGCCAGCCTCGCTTTATCTTTACTCGGGAACGGTTAGGCCACCCGTCCCTGTTCCTCCAGTGTTCAGCTCCCTCATTTCCCCATGCCAAAAATCCCCTGGCCCACGGGCGAATGCGATGCCGAGCAGACGAGGAGGCACCCGCAAGGATGCTGTGCCACCGCCACCATGTTCCGAAACGGAAAACCGCGCTACTGCCAGGGAGACATGTGCGGATCTCGCAAACAGGCGTCTTGCTAGCTGCTAGGGACAAGCCACAAACGCGGGTCTTTGGGCTGCTGCGGATTGGGTTGGAATACGCAAGCGTGAAGTTGTTCGGTATGAGCCTGGGCATCCACAGCGGGTCAAGAGCACGCCCCCTGCAGCCCTAGCCTCTTGGGGCTGAAAAGATGGCGAGCCGGGCTGGTCCATGATTGGACCACGGCAGTGTTGGTCGAGATTCCCTGGGCCACGTTTGCCGAGCCGAATCAGCCCTCCAACCCCGGGACTGATCTGTCAAGGATGTGGGTTGACCATTTCGGTGCGTTGAAAAATCTCCCATTTCGACTGCGCCTGTTTTGAGTCACCTGTGGAGTTGGCTTTGTCCTCGACGGCGTTCTTCGCTGCCGATTCCTCCACGCGACGCTAGCAGTGGCAGCCTTGGCCTAACGCGCGAAACTTCTATCACTGTCGATCGGCATCTTCCCAAGGCAGAATCTAGGAGACACTTGTAAGGTTTAATTTAGCTCGAAAGATGGGACGATCGAAATCTTCCTTGTCTTGCGTGACCGTAGCTTGGCCATTGCCCATATCCTTTCGTGACATTTTTTGCAGTACTGGTAGTTCGACTGGGGGATGGCAAACTTGCTGAAGTATTCGAACAAGACGGAACAAGGTAGGGCAAATGTGGATAGCAGAAGCAAAGAAGGGAGAAAAAGCCCAAAGCGTGTGCTCAGACTATTCCCACCGCAACACAGGGTCTAGATAGAACGTGACAAGCAGCAAGGAGATTCCATCACTTCCTCTGGTGAACAAGCCTCCCACGCACCCACACCATCTTGGTATTGCGGTCGTCGCCGTTGAACAGCCACTTGGCCACCCGGTCCTCCCACGTCTCCCACCCAAACACGTCGACGTTTCCCCCCGCCTCGGCCTCGCCGCCCTCCTCGTCCTCCCCGTCGTCGCCCACGCCGCCGAGCCCGACCAGCTGCGCGTCCCAGTCGAACCCCACCTCGAAGGCGCCGACTCGCCCCTCGAGCCCCACGCACCGGGCGCCGCCCGCCGTGGCGAGGTGCAGCACCTCCTCGACCGACAACTTTGCCGCGTCGCCGCCACCCGTCATGGCCACGTGCCGGCTGACGAGCAGGGCCTGCCGGGCCGCCTCGAGCACCGAGGGCGAGTAGCCGCCGCTCATGTCGGTGCCCAGGCCGACCTCGACGCCGCGCGAGAGCAGCCACCGCACGCGCGCGGCCCCGGACGTGATGGAGCTGTTGCTGCACGGGCAGTGGCTCACCTTTGCGCCCCGGGCCGCGATCAGGTCCGCCTCGCCCTCGGACAGGTGCACCGCGTGCGCCAGGATCGTCTTGTCCGTCAGCAGCCCGTAGCGCTCGTACACCCCCGTGTACGTCGACCCGAGCACGTCCTCCTTCCCCTCCGCCTCCGCCGCGGCATCGCAGCGCTTGAACCCGCCGCAAAACAGCTCCTTGACCAGCTCAATCTCGGCCGCGTTCTCGCTCACGTGCGTCTGCACCGGCAGGCCCGTCTCGGCGTGCAGCTCCCCGAGGGCCTTCATCATCTCGGCCGAGCAGCTGGGCGCGAATCGGGGCGTGATGACGGGCCTCACCGTCGCGAAGCCCGGGTCGACGCGCTCGACGTGCCCAATACACTCCTTGGTGGCCCGCAGCCCGGCCTCCCAGCCCTCGTCGCGGTACCAGGACGGCTGCAGGTCCGAGTCCATGCAGACGCGCCCCACGAGCGCGCGCTGGCCCGCGGCCAGGCAGATGTCGGCCAGCAGGTTGGTCGACGCCACGTCCACGGTCGCGTAGTAGGCCGCGCACGTCGTGCCGTGGCTCAGCGTCTTGCGCACGCACCGCCCGTACACGCGCCGCGCCCGCGCCGGGTCCGCCAGCGACGCCTCCATCGGGAACGTGTACTTGTGCAGCCAGTCCAGGAGCGTCGATTTGCCAAAGATGCCCACGTTGGGGTACTGCGACGCGTGCAGGTGCGTATCTGTAGCGCGCCTTTGTCAGCATATCCGTGTCGTCATCGTCATTTCTCCCCTTACTCCCCCATTTCCATACATACCTATAAAGCCCGGGAAAAAAAACTGCCCGTCCTTGGCAGCAACGACGACGACATCGTCGAGGGCCCAACCTAGCCGCGGCAGCAGCTCCGCCTCGGCCCTCGAGCGGTCGCAGTCCTCCTCGACCGCAGCGATCTTGCCCTCGCGCGAGACGGCGACGGCGGCCCCGTGCCTGTACCGCAGCTCGCCCAGCGATTGGCTGTGGATGAAGGTTCCCAGGAGGAGCTTGTGCGCCCCTTCCTCGCGGCGTGCCGACGCCACCGTCGGCACCGCGTCGCTGCCGCTTCTGCCGAGGCCGTTTGTTTGGAGAGTCATAGGAATTGCCTTTTTAAGCTCCCGCTGTCCTTTTCTTTTTTTTTTTTCCTTTGCCCGTCAACACACACCACCGTCGCTCGAACGCCACGTCACAGTCTCCTCTCAGCGCGGGGCCAAAAAGTCAAAAAGTCGAGAATGGCGAGAAAAGGTGATGAAGATGGGCGCTGTCGCCAAACTCTATGTGCGACTGGCGTGTGTGGTTCTGGGTATTTCCCAGTTGCTAACGGACGGTGAGGCAGCTCGGCTATTCGCGGGCACCGTGTTTGGTGATGTCAGACCAAGCTATGCAACGATTGATTGCTTGCGGCGAGGTTTGGCACCAGAGATTGCCCACGAACACAAACAAAGTCAGAGAGTGACAAAACAGGAGAGAGATGGAACCAAAGAAATAAATAAATAAAATCAAGAGAGCACAGCCAGCACCGGAAACTTCACTCCCTAACAGTACATGGATCTTTGTTGAAACGTCAGCCATGCGCATGCATGAGTGGGTTTTGTATCCAACAACATGACTCTCCAGCGACCGAACGGAATCAACGATAGCAATCCTGCCCGAAGATACCTGGATATCCCCAGATTTAGATATAGATAGCTGTGGAGATAAGCCCCGGGTTAGCCTGTCATGATATGCTGCCGCGAGTGGTGCCTGTGTTAGCAACAAACAGCAGCGCCGCTCGGTGGCTTGCGTCACGCGCATCCCGCGCATTCCTAGCGTAGCGTCAAGCTCTCGGCCTTGGGTTGAACGCCGCCGCTTGCCCCACTCGACTCTCGCTCGTTAGCGTTCCATCTGTGTGCGAGCGAGACAGCAGTTCTGCTCACACCAGACCGCCACCTGTTTGTATCGGGTGCCCGCAGCCCTTCCGGTAATTAGGCGACGGCACTGCCCTTGTGCCACTCACATTTGTTTACCCATACCACAAACGCCTGTAAGCAAGCACAGCCGGGACAGGTCAATGCGTCTAATCTCATGCTCGGAATTCCATTATGTATCTAGCCGTTGTCCGCAACAGAGCAACATGACTGTGCGTCAAATCCCCGACTTTTCTACTAACCTCTAAAATGCAACCCGTACCACTCATAAGCCCGCATAAGCCACGTTAAATGTACAACACACCGTTTTTGCGCCATCCCCTCAGACAAAGCCCATGAAATTCTCCCATGCCCCGAAAAAAAGAACAAGAAAATCATGCTTCTGGACATGCCGTGATATGATATCCACGCACAGGCCCCTACCCCCTGATCTCATTACTTTGCAGCAGGAGCGCCCTCGTCGCCGTTGGATGCGCCGTTGGAGCCAATCGCCTCATTGCTGATAATGCTCGAGGGAACAGCGTTGTCATCCTGGTACTTCTCCCAGTTGGCCAGGATGGCGCTGATGCGGGGCGAGTTCGTCAGGCGGTAGACGTCCTCGAAGTACTCCTTTGTGAGCGCGAACGGCTTCGCCGTCACGTTCGGGATGTACTTGCCAAGAAGCTTGGATGGATCGATGGTGGTCTTGTTGATCTTCTTGAGGAGGAAAGACCGGAACGGCTTCACACCGCTGCGCAGGAAGGTCGAATGAAAGGGCACATCGATGCCGCGGAGAGGGATCGTGGCGAACCCCCTCTGCAGATCCAGCGGCTTGGGCTTGGCCTCTGTCTGCTGCGCACAACCTTGGATGATCTGCTGAAGGCTCTCCTTGACATCCTCCACCTTCATCGTCTTCTTCATCTCCTCAATGTCGAGTTTCTGCTGCTTCAGGAAGTTGAGTACTCCCGTGAGCGTGTCCAGAGCCCGAAGGTCGCCGGCACAGACGTACTGCATGTTGGCAATGTTGTAGTTGACAATCTCCAGAAGCCAGCCGGTCTCCTCGGCAATGTTGCCAACCACAAAGCGGAGCGCCTCCTCATTGAATGTCCTAGAGATACGGCTAGGGTTGACGGCGCACATCGAGTAGTTGGAGCGGCCGCTGGCGTCCCTCTCCACGGCGACCTGCATGGTCAGGCCGCGGTAGAAGACAACCGAGACCAGACTCTCGATCGGCATGACGTCGGCCAGGGCTGCTAGCGCCGAGTATTCACCTAGTGAGTGGCCAGCAAAGGTGCTGTCTCGCGGCACGAGACCCTTCGCCTTCATGTCTTCGAAGCTGGCCTTCTCCATCAGCGTCAGGGCAGGCTGGGTGAATTGGGTCGCTGAGAGCAGGCCTGTTGGAGAGCGGTAGGTGTAAGACGACGTGGCCTCGTTGATGTCCTTGAAGATGCGCTCAGACTTGATGGAGCCGTCGGCAGCGACCGTCTCGAAAGTCATAGCCATGTAGTTGGCCCGGATGGCCTTGCCACGAGGACCACCAAAGTGGATTGTGAGCTCCTTGGGGTTGTTCTTCACAATGTTGGTAATAGCAAAGCCTGTGTGCGCGTTTGGTTAGCAAGGGGTCGCTGACAACGAACACCAAGATGCTCCCAGAAACTTACCATATGTGTCCATCAGGTACTTGTCGGCGCGGTCCCAGACTTCCTTCGCCACAGGACTGCTGTCGTACAAGTCCATCCCCATGCCCTGCTCCTGCGAGCCCTGGCCAGTGAAGACATATGCCGTAGCTGGCTGCTCAACTTCGGCCTCTCCAAGTAAAACCTTCTCCTCGTTCTCCTTGTTGAGGACCTCAACCTTGATGATCTTTCGGCCGGCCACCATGCCCACGTGCTGAAGCTTGACCTGCAGACCATCATTGGGGAGGACCATGCCGACGAGCGAGGCGTGGAAGCTACGCACGCGACCGACGTTGTTCTCTGCCGCCCACGTCTCGACCAGGCTCCGGACGGCCGCGCTCGAATACATGCCGTGGGTGATGGTGCCGGGAAGATTGGCGTAGTTGGCAAAGATGCGAGAGACGTGGATAGGGTTGTAGTCCCCTGAGACGCGGGCATACGTCTCGTTGGACGCGGGAGCACGAAGCTCCAGGGGAGTCTTGCCGCTCAGGGGAATCGGGTTCGCGAAGTTGATTGGCTGCTCAATCGACGCGCCGTTCCTCTCCAGGTAGTCAATCACAGGGTTGCCGTGCGAGGTTCCTGCCTCATACTCAACGCTCGCGACCTGCAGAGTCTCCTTGGTGGGCAGCTCAACCAGGACCTCGCCGCGAGTCAGGACGCTGCTGAAGACCGTCTTGTTCTTGTAGCGCACCAGCGACTGCAGACGGAAAGTGAGCGTCTGTCCAAGAAGCTCCATGTCGACGCCATCATCCAGCACGAACCACTCCTTGGACTTGAGGATGGCGACATCCTTGGACGTGGCCAGGTGGATCTGCATGGGTGTCTCGACCTTGCGCTGGAACGTGTTCTCGAAGTCGGTGTAGACTCCGCGGTAGAGGAACTGCGAAGTCACCTCCATGACGGCATGCTTGTCGCGGCTGATAGTGCCGCAAACCTCAACCATCTTGCCCGAGTCCTGGATGACGACTGCGTTGACTCTAGAAACCGTTGAAACCTCGTCTCCCTTCTTGAGCGGCTCGGCACCAGGCATCATGCGGAATTGGTTGGACAGGTGGACAAGGTTGAGAAGATCGCCGTCAATCTTGCGAGGGAAAATTGGCTTAGTGATAGCCTTCCATCCAAGGACAATGGCGAAGTCCATGGGGGCGTACATGATCTTGCCGGGACGATCAACAAAGGCTTCGCCCTTGTTTCCAACGGCATGGACAAAGTCGTTGATATCCTCGCTGGTCACAACAGCCTTTCCGCCATCGAAAGTGCCGTCCACGGCGGCATCAAGGTCGAGATTCTCGTTGCCGAACCATGCCCGCCAGTAGAACTCCTTGATGCGGTCGTTCCGATCCTCCATCACCTCGTGGATCGGGGCGTAGCCAGCCTCGGGCTTGTAGATGAAGCGCAGAGGCAGCGAGACGGGCTTGCCGAGCGCAGTGGTCTCCTTGATCATCTTGACCACGATCTCGCTTTCGCTAACCATGCTGACAACAAGGACATCGACGTAGTGGTTATGGCGGGGCTGCTCCCTGACAATGATCTCCGTCTTGGCCGGGTTCTTGGGATTGCGGATCTCGACAAACAGGCCCCGGACGGGAGCAAATATGCGCCTCATGGGGTTGCTGTAGTACTTGGTGCCCTGGACAAACACCTCCGACATGAGCAAGGCATGACGCCAGCATCGAGTAGGCCCAGCAAGAAGCGATAGCCAAGCATCGGTGTTCGGCATAGGGCTGGTGGGAGAGTTGGAGATGCGGTAGATGTTCTTCGTCTCGTCATAAGAGACAGTCAGGCCGTCAACATCGGTGATGATCTCAGGTTCAACGAGCTTGCCGCCAAAGTACTCGACCGAGGGAACAGACGTGGAATTATACAGGTCCTTGGTAAGACCATTGATGTGTCCCTCGTGAATGCCGTCCAGGATGCTCTTGATAGGCTCGTCCACGACCGTGGAGTAGCGCACGGCAGTGGGGCCTTGCAAGATACAAGTGCGCTCGACGTCCTGGTCCATGACGGCCTCAAGGTCCTCGGACTGCCACAGAGAATCCTTCTTGAAGTAGAACTCGAAGTCATCATCGAAGGCCGGGACGAAGACCACAGGCTTCTGGATCGGCCTCATGCACAGCTGCAAGAAGTGCTGGACGTCCTGGGCGTTGATGAGCTGAGTCTCGGCCTCGGGATAGTGTGCAAGGATGCGCTCCACAGTGGGGAATGGGTCCTGAAGATCAGAGTAGCTCTGGAGGAGCGATGGCTGGCCGGGGCTCGGGACAAATCGCTCCTCGACGCGGTGGATGAAGTCTCCCGTCAAGCGCATGAAGGTGATGTCGATCCAGCGAGACTCATGCTTGACATACATCAGCTCAACCATGCGACGGACAACCTCGCCATAGGTCATGTCCTCCAAGTCGACCGCCTGGCCGGCCTTGTTCTTGCCGAACCAAACCTTCTGGAAGTCCTTGTTGAGGTGCTCAATGATGTAGTCGCGGTTCTTCTTCAGCTCAGCGACACGCTTCTCCTTGGGGAGAGCGAAAATTTTCTGGTCCATCTCAGCCCAGAACCTGACACCGCGAGTCGCGAGCTTGTGGATGGGCTCGCCCATCTCGGACCGGACGGTGGTGACGCCGCCGGCGATGCCCTTGTATGTCTTCTCCCACTCATCGTCAGCGACGCCGGGTGCGTCAACAATGGCTTTCTTGGCAGCAGGAGCAGTGTGGGCCTCCTTGGAGACCATCATCCGGCTACCAAACAGGCAACCGTCGAAAGGCATGGGAGGGTAGCCGAACTTCTTGGACCACTCACCCGTGATGTAGGGGTAAGTGTCCTCGGCTCCACCGAAACCGCTGCCGGCAACGAGGATGAGGTTGTCGCACTTGCGAAGGCGGGTGTACATCTGGAGGATGGGCTGGTGGAAGTCCTCAAAAGAGTGGTGACCGCCACCACGACCGCCAGTCCACTGAAGCATGACTGGGAACGTCGGGTTGGCCTTGGCAATGTTGACGACGGCTTGGATGGCATCGGTCGAGCCGGGCTTGAACGAAATGTGCTTAAGTCCAAGAGTCTGGATGTACTCATTGGCGACCTCGATGGAGGGGACGCCGGCACCGATGGTGAGGCCCTCAATCGGGACGCCCTCGGCCCTCAAACGACCGAGAAGAGGGATCTGCCACTGCATGGCGCGAGGGTTGACGTAGATCAAGTTGACGCTGATGCCACGTCCCGCGGGAATGGCCTTCTCAATTTTGAGGATGGCCTCCTGCATCATCCGGGGCTCAAAGTAGCCACCGCCAGCAAGCTCGATGTGGTAACCGGCGTTCATGGTTGCGGCCACGAAATCCCAGGGGACGGTGCAGGGCGTCATACCGGCGACCATGACAGGTGGGAGGCCGAGCATTCTGCTCATCTTGGTGTCGACATAGGTGCGGCCGCTAGAAGTCTTGACGAGCTTGGGGCCGTATTCTTTGACCCAGTCGACGGCAAACTTGACAGCATGCTCCTCATCGCGATCGAACAGCTCGGGCTTGTAGCCCACCTCGGTGATGGTGCCAGCAACCGACCCGGCGAGAATGACGCGGACACCTGTACCATCCTTGTTACGGCTGGTAAGAATGCCCAGGCCCGAGATACCTCCGGGTCCGAAGTCCAGGACGTGAGTGGCACCAGGGAAGACAGTCGCCTGCTCCCAGTTCACCGTGTCGCGCGTGATCAGGCGGACCAGGGTCGGAACGATGTTGCCCTTGACTTCCTCGCGGATGTCCTTTCCGGTATGCGTGTCAAAAACCGGAATACCCAGGTTCTTAACATCAAGGTGTGTGTACTGCAGATCCTCGTCGATCATAGCAGTAGCATCTGCGAGGTACTTGCTGTGGAACGGCGCTGTGATGGGCAGGAACCGGTTGACGAACCGAACTTTGCGCTCGGTGAAAGGAATCCTGTTCTGATCCAGGCCAGTGGGTGCCCTGACCTTCCTGAGCTGAAGGTTGAGACCATACAGCGAAATAGGGGGTCCCGTGACCACCATATTGCGCGGGCTGTTGATTAGGGAGATGGAAATGTGGCGATCGGCCGGGAGGTACTCGTTCGTCTTGTCGATGTGCTTCTGGACCTCGGCCTGCGGCAGGTCGCGGATACTGAGCATGGGGGTGGGCATGCCCTCGCCATTGTCGAGCGAGTCCTGCAGCATCGACGGAGTCATCGAGGTGCGGGGGAAGGTCTGTTGGCTACGAGCACCGATCCAGAAGAGAATCGTCAGGGACGACTTGACAATCTCTCCCCAGTTCTCCCACGAGCTCGCCGCGGCCGTCGCCGCAGCCAGGACGATACCTTGCGAGTGGCCAGTGGCACCGCTCAGCCGCTCGCGGAGCAGTCCAGGGTGGATGCCCAGAACCCTGCAAGTGACCTCGTAGTGGGCCAGCTGCACGAGACCGATCAGGGGAAAGCTGACCGGGGCTGAAATCAAGTAGTCGACGTCAGGCGTAGTGTCCGGGTGTTGCAGCCAAGTCATAACATCCAAGCCCTTGGAGAAAAGCTTCTCGGCGCTCGGATGGCTTGAGAGGTTGCGTAGCAGCTCCGCCGATGAGGTGATGAGCTCGCCAACAAAGACTGGGTAGGTGGTGTTGAGCTCCCGAAGCTCTTCGAAATACTCCTCGATGTTGCCTTGGCCACCGAAGATGGTGTAGAGCTTGGCAGTGCCGTCCGCAGACGCCCTGAACAGAGCCGATGGGTGAGGCTTGATGGCCCTGTTGAGCACGTACCGCGCCGCAAAGTAGCTGCGGATGACAACAAGCTTTTTGGCATCGATGCCGGGCAGCGTAGCCACCAGAGCGTGGACCTCGTTTCCACGGAGGTAGACGCGCTCGAATTCATTAAGAACGAGCTTCAACACCTCCTCGTAGGAGCCCTGTGCATCGTCCTCACCCTCCTCGACCTCGCGGGCAACAAAGCCCATGTACCTGGCAACCAGCTCGGGGACAGACGAAGGCTCGTCATCTTGGGCAAGCTCATCTGTCGGAGCGGGCAAGCTCGTGCTGAAGCGGTCTTTCAACTGCGATGCGTGGAAATGGAGGTTGGTGGGTATTAAGAAAGACGTCTCGAGAGAGCCGTGGGCGATGGTCAGAGGTCGCAGAGAAGACGAGGATCGCGGGGTGGTAGCCCCGGTCTGGGCACCCGTTCCCGTGCCGTACATGGTGGGCGGGCTTGAGCAGCGGAGGGTATCTAAAAGGGACTGCGGAGGTCGTGTCAGGGTCGAGTTGTTGACGGTGCCGGGGTGCACACAGAGTTAAATGCACTTGGGACAAGTTTGGACTGGAAACTTACTGGAAATGCAGTCCCAGTGGACTCAGTCAAGAGCAGGGACAAGTCGAATCTAGCGGTCTATGCGGTCTAGAAAGGCAACGGCGAAGGCGGTGTCGACAGCAGCGAAAAGAGTGTATCGCGGGGTGCCGTCAAGGGTGTGGTGTGGTGGGATTGGAGCGTGGTAATGTGGAGCGAGCGTCTTAGACCGGCGCCGCTGGACAGTGGTGACCCCTTAGTGACGGGAAGGGGGAGGGACTTGGATGGCAGCAAAAGGAAGGTGTCTCGTGGAAAGAAGAAGACGGGCTGGCTGGTGGTTTTCCTGTTTATCACCAAGCACTCGACCGAACCTTTGGCTCAAGAAATGCAGGGATTCAAGAGGTTGGTGGTTCCGCCGCCGTCCAATGTCTTCCCGCTCAACAGGAAATGGCTGCTGGCATCGGGCCGGCCGTCCAATGTCAATTGTTGCCTCTCGCCAAAAATTTTGTCTCTTTGTTGGGGAAGGCCTACGTAGCATCTCCCTGTCCCGACCCCTGCTCGCGCTGCACGACGCACAGCAAGGGCATCCGGCAAGTCCCTGGCCCCACCATGGCCCAGGAAACGAAAAGCCGGCCAAGCGTCAACGGGCCCGCCCTGGTGTCTCCACCAGAATGGTGGCGACAGGTGGGATGTTGGATTGGGCAGAGGTACCAGTACAAACGGTCTAGGCGCACAACAGCCTTGCGCCATCAAGTACGGCACGTTCGTGGGCGCAGGGAGAGAATCCCTGAAGCTTCGATCAGGAGTATTCTAGCGACCGATAAGGAATGTTGGGGTTCCCATCGCCGACAGGCCTTGGGTGTACGACATCCTTGATTTCGTCAGTCAACGGCGCGGCGGCGTTCTCTCAGCCCCTGTGCGGGCAGTCAAGATGTGACCAAGGCGGAAGGCGCCGGGATGGAGACTGTCCACCGTCCACGAGCTGCTCAGTCGACGCGGTCTGCGTACATGCACCTCGCACGCAAGCTGCTAGACTGGGCCAGGCAGGGACTTGGTCTCTTCCCTGCAGCGTCGACGGGCATGTATGCAAGAACCTGCCTGTCTAGATGACCCTCCTAGGTGGAAGGCTAGAGCAGGGGAAGCGACAACCAGACTTTAGTCAGCCACCATCACGCAGGGACGGAGGCACTTTCTAATAAGCCAAAGACGCGGCTCCTGGCAGCAGCATGGTCGAGAAAAGATGGCATATCCAGCCTGCCTCATAAGCACTCAAACCGGACCTACCTGAGGACATTACCACATGCCCACTAGGTAGCCCGTGGGTGGAAGCAAGTGGTCCCCTGGAGGAAATCAGATGGCAAGCATGTAATCATGGTTGTGAACATGGCTGCATCAGCATCAGAGGAAGAAGGCGCTTGACCGGGTAAGCTCTAACAGCCACAACATTGATATCTCGGATGGTAATGCACATGCACACACTGTTCTAGGGGTTCACTAAGAGCCACGCCCGGCCGAATGGATGGAAGGTATGACGGAATGCTGAGCTATAGCCGAGCCGATAATCTCTTGGGCCGTTCGGCCGAGGGTTGCTAACAAGATATCGCCGACGTAAAGACGGATATGGTTGCGGCCAAAACCAAGCTGTGACCCTATCACCAGTTTTGATATCCCAACGGATCGTCGCTCGATTTTTAGCCTCGACGAACGGGCCGTGCGTCTCTAGCTTGCCACGCTACGTGAGCTAATCTAGCGAGTCCAACCGAGTCTAAGCTCGAAGCCAATTGCTGCGTTTCTTCTTGACTCGCAGGCCAGCGCTCGATCCGTCATCCAGTCGTGTTTCCTCGTCTTGTTTCTCCAATTCGACTTTGCGGGGTACCAGTACCTGGACTGGTCGCGCCTAGCCTATTCCGGCTTAGCGCATTCTGTTTGGTTGAGGTGCGGCCCAGCTTGGGGCGTGCAGCCGGTGTCCCTTTGGGGCGTTGCTGCCGCCCAATTTCCAGTTCAACAAACAGATGGAGAAAAAAAAAGTGAGCGGCGATGCTGCCCCAAAATTCGCCGTCGCCAGTGCTGCTTCCCGCGAGAGTATAGAGATAGACGAGCTCTGCTGTCCTTTCCTGCCTTCATCTGCTCTGTTTAGAATCCCCGTGTTCCCGCCACGGTCCGTTGTAGTGGGACAACTTTCATCCATCTTCCGTCCATACAAACCATCAGGGTGACGCTGCTCCACACATCGCCATCCCCTCCATGCATTTCGTCCTCGTTCAGAGGTCCCCTCACTTCTAGACCCCTTTCCCCCACCGACAAAGACCAGACTCAGGTCAATCAACCCTCGCTCCTGTCACGACCAGACTGGGCTTTTGAATGCTAGAATCGAACAAATAGACGATACCCGGAGCGTCACTCCCGCTGGCTGCCCTCACCTCCTCCTCTCCCTCACCGCCCGCTCCTCGAGAGACCCTCTGCCCAAGATGCGTCCCGAAATCGAGCAGGAGCTTGCTCACACGCTGCTCGTCGAGCTGCTTGCCTACCAGTTCGCCTCTCCCGTGAGGTGGATTGAAACACAAGATGTCTTCCTCGCCGAGAAGACCGCAGAACGTATTGTCGAGATTGGACCGGCAGACACGCTAGGCGTTATGGCCAGGAGGACGCTCGCCTCCAAGTATGAGGTGTTCGACGCCGCCAAGTCGCTTCAGCGCCAGATTCTGTGCTACAACAAGGACGCCAAGGAGATTTACTACGATGTTGACCCCATCGAGGAGGAGCCCGAGCCCACTCCGGCAAGCTCCAGCAGCGCGGCCGCTCCCACTGCTGCCAGTTCCGCCGCCCCTGTTGCGGCCGCCGCTCCGGCTCCGAGCGCAGGTCCCGCTGCACAGGTCCCTGACGCACCTGTCCAGGCCGTCGAGATTGTCCGTGCCCTGATTGCACAGAAGCTGAAGAAGCCGTTCCTGGAGGTTCCCCTCAGTAAGGCCATCAAGGACCTTGTCGGTGGTAAGTCTGCAACACCTCAAATCTCTCCCATCTCTCGAGACTCTAGCATTGTCTCTAACTTGAATGTTTCGCACACAGGGAAATCCACCCTCCAGAACGAGATTCTTGGCGACCTAGGTAAAGAGTTCGGCACAACACCAGAGAAGCCCGAGGACACCCCGCTGGATGAGCTTGGTGCCGCGATGCAGGTTACTTTTGACGGCAACCTTGGCAAGCAGTCACAGGCTCTCATTGCCCGTTTGATATCTTCTAAGATGCCCGGTGGTTTCAACATCACGGCCGCCAGGAAATACCTGGAGACACGTTGGGGCCTGGCCTCGGGAAGACAAGATGGCGTTTTGCTTCTCGGAATCACGATGGAGCCTCCCGCTCGTCTCGGCTCCGAGGGCGACGCCAAGTCTTTCCTGGACGACGTTACTCAAAAGTACGCGTCCAACGCCGGCGTCAGTCTGTCCACAGCTGCTGCTGCTGGACCTGCGGCTGGCGGCGGCGGCGGCATGATGATGGACCCCGCCGCCATCGACGCCCTGACCAAGGACCAGAGGGCGCTGTTCAAACAGCAGCTTGAGCTTCTTGCCAGGTACCTGAAAATGGATCTGCGGGCCGGCGACAAGGCCTTCCAAGCCTCGCAAGAGTCCTCCAAGATTCTCCAGGGTCAGCTGGATCTTTGGATGGCAGAGCACGGCGACTTCTACGCCGCCGGCATCGAGCCCGTTTTCAGCCCCCTGAAGGCCCGCGTCTACGACTCCTACTGGAATTGGGTGCGTCAGGATGCCCTGAGCATGTACTATGACATCCTTTTCGGCAGGCTCAAGGCTGTTGATCGTGAGATCGTAAGCCGCTGTATCGCCATCATGAACCGGTCCAACCCCACGCTCCTGGAGTTCATGCAGTACCACATCGACAACTGCCCCACCGACCGCGGAGAAACTTACCAGCTTGCCAAGGAGCTTAGCACCATGCTGATCGACAACTGCAGGGACGTCCTGGATGTCTCGCCCGTGTACAAGGACGTGGCTGTACCTACTGGCCCGAAGACCACTGTCGACAGCCGCGGCAACCTTGTCTACGAGGAAGTCCCCCGAGCCAGCTGCCGCAAGCTCGAGCATTACGTCCAGCAGATGGCCGACGGCGGCAAGATTTCTGAGTACGGCAACCGCACCAAGGTCCAGAACGATCTGGGTCGCATCTACAAGCTCATCAAGCAACAGCACACATTGTCCAAGACGTCCCAACTTGAGATCAAGTCGCTGTACAGCGATGTCATTCGCTCTCTGGGGATGAATGAGAGCCAGATCATCCCCAAGGATGGCGGCAAGGGCCTGGGTGGCAAGCGGACTAGTGTGAAGCCTGGCCACAACAAGGGCAAGGTTGAGACAATCCCCTTCCTGCACCTGCGCCGCAAGACGATGCATGGGTGGGACTACAGCAAGAAGCTCACAGGCACGTACCTTGACTGCCTCGAGCAGGCTGCCAAGTCGGGGGTCACCTACGCTGGCAAGTACGCTCTCATGACTGGTGCTGGCGCCGGTTCCATTGGCGCTGAGGTCCTGCAGGGTCTCATCGCTGGTGGCGCCCATGTTGTTGTCACAACCAGCCGCTTCTCCCGTGAGGTCACGGAGTACTACCAAGCCATGTACGCTAGGTATGGCTCTCGCGGTTCACAGCTTGTAGTAGTGCCGTTCAACCAGGGCAGCAAGCAGGATGTCGAGGCTCTTGTTGATTACATCTACGACACAAAGAACGGTCTCGGCTGGGATCTGGACTTCGTTGTCCCTTTCGCAGCCATCTCCGAGACCGGCCGCCAGATCGACGGCATCGATTCCAAGTCTGAGCTGGCCCACCGCATCATGCTGACCAACCTCCTGCGGCTGCTTGGCTCTGTCAAGACCCAGAAGGCTACCCGCGGCTTCGAGACCCGTCCTGCCCAAGTCATCTTGCCTCTTTCCCCGAACCATGGCACCTTCGGCAGCGACGGCTTGTACTCTGAGTCCAAGCTCGCGCTCGAGACCCTCTTCAACCGCTGGCACGCCGAGGACTGGAGCAGCTACCTCACCATCTGCGGAGCCATCATCGGATGGACCCGTGGAACTGGTCTCATGTCTGGCAACAACGTCGTCGCAGAGGGTGTTGAAGCCTTCGGTGTGCGCACATTCTCACAGCAGGAGATGGCGTTCAACCTCCTCGGTCTCATGTCGCCAGATATCGTCGATCTGTGCCAGAGCGAGCCGGTGTTTGCCGACCTCAACGGCGGTCTTCAGTTCATTCCCGACCTGAACACCGTCATGACCAAGCTGCGCAAGGACGTTATGGAGACCAGTGAGATCCGCAAGGCTGTGACCAAGGAGACTGCCATTGAGGACAAGATCGTAAACGGCGCAAACTCGGAGAATCTTTACAAGAAGAAGGTTGTCGAGCCACGTGCCAACATCAAGTACGACTTTCCTCACATCCCCGAGTGGGAGAAGGAGGTTGCCCCTCTCAACGACAGGCTCAAGGGCATGGTGGACCTGGAGAAGGTGGTCGTCGTCACTGGCTTTGCTGAAGTCGGCCCCTGGGGTAACTCGCGCACTCGATGGGAGATGGAGGCTTACGGCGAGTTCTCCCTTGAGGGCTGCATCGAGATGGCCTGGATCATGGGCCTCATCAAGAATCACAACGGTTTCATCAAGGGCCGGCCGTACTCGGGCTGGGTCGACGGCAAGTCTGGTGAGCCTGTCGATGACAAGGACATCAAGTCCAAGTACGAGAAGTTCATCCTGGAGCACTCGGGCATCCGTCTCATCGAGCCCGAGCTGTTCGGTGGATACGATCCCAACAAGAAGCAACTGCTTCACGAGGTCGTCATCGAGGAAGACCTCGAGCCTTTCGAGGCATCCAAGGACACGGCCGAGGAGTTCAAGCGCGAGCATGGCGACAAGGTCGAGATTTTCGAGATCCCCGACTCGGACCAGTACACCGTCCGCCTCAAGAAGGGTGCCGGCCTTTGGATTCCCAAAGCACTCCGGTTCGACAGGTTGGTGGCCGGCCAAATCCCCACGGGCTGGGACGCCAAGCGGTATGGCGTGCCCGACGACATCATCTCCCAGGTCGACCCAGTGGCTCTCTTTGTTCTTGTCTCAACTGTCGAGGCCCTTCTCTCGGCAGGTATCACGGACCCGTACGAGTTCTACAAGTACGTCCACGTATCTGAGGTCGGCAACTGCGTCGGTTCTGGGATGGGTGGCGCTGCTGCTCTTCGGGGCATGCATCGTGACCGATTCTTGGACAAGCCTCTCCAGAACGACATTCTCCAGGAGTCTTTCATCAACACCATGGCCGCCTGGGTCAACATGCTTCTGCTCTCGTCCTCGGGCCCCATCAAGACCCCCGTGGGCGCTTGCGCGACCGCCGTCGAGTCGGTGGACATTGGCTACGAGACCATCATGGAGGGCAAGGCCCGTGTCTGCTTCGTCGGTGGTTTCGATGATTTTGGCGAGGAAGGCTCGTACGAGTTTGCCAACATGAAGGCCACAAGCAACGCGGTGGATGAGTTTGAACACGGCCGCACCCCCAAGGAGATGTCACGCCCGACGACGACGACCCGAAACGGCTTCATGGAGTCGCAGGGCTGTGGTGTTCAGGTCATCATGACTGCTAAGCTTGCCCTCGACATGGGCGTTCCGATCTACGGCATTCTGGCCCTCACTACGACGGCATCCGACAAGATTGGCCGCTCCGTGCCGGCCCCCGGCCAAGGCGTCCTGACCACTGCCAAGGAAAATGCCAGCAAGTTCCCTTCACCTCTGCTCGATATCAACTACCGTCGCCGGCAGATCCAGATCCGCAAGCGACAGGTCGCAAACTGGAAGGAGTCGGAGCTTGACTTCCTTTCAGAGGAGGTTGCAGCCATGCGGAGCACCGACCAGGCCTTCGACGAGAAGGAATATGTCTCGGAGCGCACGCATCACATTGAGAAGGAGGCTGCCAGGCAGGAGAAGGAGGTTCTGCGCAGCCTCGGAAACCACTTCTGGAAGAGTGATCCCAGCATTGCTCCTCTCCGCGGTGCCCTGGCAACATGGGGTCTGACGATTGATGACCTTGACGTCGCCTCGTTCCACGGCACGTCGACCAAGGCCAACGACAAGAACGAGTCGTCGGTCATTTGCCAGCAGCTTGCCCACCTCGGTCGCAAGAAGGGCAATGCGGTCCTCGGTATCTTCCAGAAGTACCTCACTGGTCACCCCAAGGGTGCTGCTGGTGCTTGGATGATGAACGGTTGTCTGCAGGTGCTCAACACCGGTCTGGTTCCTGGCAACCGCAACGCGGACAACGTGGACCAGGTGATGGAGCAGTTTGACTACATCGTCTATCCCAGCCGCAGCCTGCAGACGGACGGCATCAAGGCATTCTCGGTCACGTCTTTCGGTTTCGGCCAGAAGGGTGCTCAGGCGATCGGTGTGCACCCCAAGTACCTCTTCGCCACCCTGGACAAGGCCCAGTACGACGAATACCGCGTCAAGGTCGAGGCCAGGCAGAAGAAGGCCTACCGCTTCTTCCACAGCGGCATGATCAATCACTCTCTATTCGTGGCCAAGGACAAGTCTCCATACACGGACGAGCAGCTGAGCCAGGTGCTCCTCAATCCGGATGCCAGGGTCAAGGAGAACAAGAAGACGGGCCAGCTCACCTTCCCGAGCGACTTCATGAAGCAGACATCGGCTGAGAAGCCCCAGTCCAAGAGCACGATCGAGATGGTGGAGGCCCTCGCGGCGCAGGTCCAGAGCAAGACCAACAGGGTCGGAGTTGACTTTGAGGACATTGAGGGTATCAACATCGACAATGATACTTTTGTGGAACGCAACTTCACTGCTCAGGAGATCGAGTACTGCAGGCGCAGTGCGAACCCTCGGGCGGCATTCGCCGGACGGTGGTCTGCCAAGGAGGCCGTCTTCAAGTCGCTGGGGGTTGAAAGCAAGGGTGCAGGCGCTCCGCTCAAGGATATTGAGATTGTGAGGAACAGCTACGGTGCCCCCACTGTACTGGTGAGTTGATGACGCACACATCCCATTTTGCTTCTCGTTATCCCATTCTCTAGCAACAGTTGCTAACTACGCATGTTACAGCTTCACGGTGATGCTGCCAAGGCTGCTCAGAACGCCAAGGTTAAGGATGTCAGCGTCTCCATCTCGCACACTGATACCCAGGCTGTCGCCATTGCGGTGTCGTCTGTCGTCAGCGCCTAAGCTAGTGTCCTTTTTGCTGGTTCTCACGATTTTCAGCTGTAAAATTATTTGGTCTGTCACGCATGATTTAGGCGATAGGCCCTAAGCTAGAGTAGAAAAAGGCTCAGTTGGCGTTGCGGTGGTTGTCATGTTTACCTCGGCCTTTCGTAATGGGTTTAATTTGCTGGAGCATGCTACTTGCTGTTATTCATGTCCCACGACAGCATTTCCGGGGCGACTCATACCAAGGATGACAAGGAGGAGCATAGGAAGCAAGGACATGATTTATAGACTAATCGGAATAGAGACTTGGGAATGAAGTGAGGTAACATGGTACAAGATAGTGAGAACAAGAAAGAGCATGTTGTTGCTCCAGTGAGTCCTTTCATTCTCGCCCCATAGCTCAAGGCGCGAACGGAGAGAGCGTTTACCTTGGTGCTATGGTAGGACCCTCGTTTGTCGTCGGCGTTGAAGCCAGGATCATGAAGCCCCCACGCCCGCACTCGATAATCACGGAGAGGTTTTTCTTTGGTGGCATGGTTCATGTGGCAACCATGATACGAATACTATACGATGAGAGCAATGCGACACCTTCAAAAACGGCGCGGATCTAAAGTGCGCCCTTCTCACTCTCACCACCCACGCTTGGGCGATAGCTCGTGGCATGATGACTGCAGGCCGAGTCCAGGCCGAGACGGATCGAGATTGAACAAGACGCCGTCGAGGTTTCGTGTGGGCTGATTGCGGCCTACCCCTCAGATGGCTCGGGTAGAGGGGATGAAGATGGTTGGCTGATTGCGTCCAGTCTCGCCTTCCCTCCTCCTCCCCAAAAGCGGCAAAAAGCACCATTTTTGGACGGCATCCCACCACCACTGCTCCGGCGTCGAACCGTCCAATCCAATCCAATCCGACTGCGACATTTTCTTTTCCCTCTCCTGCAGAGGGAAACAAACCCGGCAATCCTGAAGTCGTGGGGAGGGGAGGGAGGGTAGGAGCAGAGGGGACGGGGACTGATTGGAGCGTTCTGCTGGAGACGTGGCTGACACCCTCCCACCCTCCATTTTCCACCCCTCGATTTCCCCATATTCTGGCCTGGCCCAACCAGCCAGGCCGGCCCACCAAGCCTGTCTGTCACCCACCACCCCATCAGCCGAGGAGGCGCACGAAAAAAAAAAATAGCACTTTTCTTCTTCTTCGTCCCTCGCCCGCCTTGATTATCGGGATGGGGTGTGTGTGTGGTACGGCTTTTTTTTCTTGTTGGAAAAGACGGCATCTAGAAGCCAGCCCAAGTGCAGGCCGTGGGAACGCCACTTGGAGATGAGCTCTTTGCTGCCGCCGACCCCGCCCACTAAAAATATGGCAGTCTTACTGGTCCTAGGGATGAGAATTGTAGTGCTATGAGGCTTTCTTCCTGTTTTCCTTGCTATCTTTTTGTCTTCTTATTCTTCTTCTCGCTTATCTTTCTATTTCTTTCCTGTTTTATTCCTTTCTTATTCTTGTTCCTATCCCAATTTCTGGAGGGGCTGGATCCTTCCTGCCACGTTAACAATTCTGATATTCTAGGACCTGCACTGGGCGCCTTTCTGTTCAGGTGGACCACCATCGTCTTTTTGTGGTGGGCGTGCCATCCATTGCTCGATTATTACCTGCCATGCATCGTACTATCCAATCAAAACGGCTGTTCTGGTGCAGTGCAACCACGCAGGCAGCCCAATCAGAATGCGATCGCATAACGGTTTGCATAGGTTTTTGTCTCCGTCTAGCGTATCGTCACGGTACCCCTCCCCTCGTCTCGACCTCTGCTAGCTTCTAGAGGTGATGGGGGGTATCAGCCCAATCGAGATAGGCCAGTCCCAAGCAGCGAGGACGGGAAGCACATCCATCGGGCATCCTTTTTTTTTCCTCTCTCTCCTCTTCTTCGCGTCTCCTCGACGTGGACTCAATGGGAGATGTCTCGGCATTTGATTGCGCTCGAGATGTGAATGGCTCACCCAAGACGAGGCGAGCAGCGTGACATTCTGGCTGGTCAATGGCCTCCTGTTTTTCCTCGTCTACCACCTCTACCCTACATGCTCTCGTCCTTTCTACCACACCACCCCCCACCAACCATCCTCCCCCTTTTCCTCAACGGTCCTTAGTGGGGGGAGAAGAGAGGCCGTGTATGGAACCAGCTGGTTAGGATGTGAGCGCGAGGGAAAAAAAAAAGTCCACACTAAAGGCAAGGTAGGTATGCCCAACGCGCCATGCTCCCGTCTTCCGCGGACCCTAGCAGCCAGCCGATCTCCCTTGCCGGGGTTCGCGGACTGGCTCCCATGCCGGGCTGTCTGTTATTCTCTCTCGTCATGCCCAGCTTCGCTGCTGCTGCTGCTGATGGTACTTCTGCACATTGCTTCGTGTCCGTTCCGCTGGGCCATGTCGAGACTGGGGGGGCAGATCCCCTCCCAACACCTAGATGGGGAAAGGACTCTCAGGGGTTGGACGTGACCAAAAAAAAGAAGGATCGTCGTCCCATTTTTTCAACCCTCTCGGCTCTCTGCTGACGCCATGTGTTTGTTGGCGGGCCCTCCCTCCCCCCAAGAAGCACAATTAGGTGTCCACGTTCCCCGGCCGAGAAGAGCCAGCTCACCTCGGCATGTGCGTACCTGCCCCGAACCCCTTTTGTGTGCTTTGCGAACCGGCGACGCGATTTGCTCCCTTGTCTGTTTGTGGAATTGGGCTCTATGCGAGTGAGAAACAAAAAAAAATCTTTCCGTTCCCATGACGTAGTCGAGTGAGTTGTCGGCTCCCTAGTTCCTGGTTTCTCGGGCTGATTTTCTCTGTGCTATCGATTGTCTTGACTTCCCCTTACACAAGCGCAACAGGGAGACGGGAGCTGCTACGTGGGCCGTCGGACAACCAGCAAAAAAAAAACAAAAAAAAACACGCAAAGCTTTCACAAGCCGCAGCCCGGGTCGGTCCCCCAAGAACAAGCCCGATGGGACTGCCGCCGATCGATCCCGGGTTTTGACGATCACGTCGTTCCCGTCCAGTCCAGGATCCCGCTCGTCTGGCTGGGTCCTACTCCCTTCCGGAGATGGGCCCGCCGCGGGAAGCTCTGACACGGAGAGGCACTTTCCCGCATATCTCCGGGAGACACGTCGGCCTGATGGCCCGAGGGGGTTTGGCGTTTGCTGTGGATGGACGGGGGGATAGATGCACTGCGACCTTGGAAGAGGGAGACGCACAAAGGTCCAGCCAGCACTGTGGTCCAGCCAGCACTGTGGTCCCTCGCCAATGCTTCCCCCAACCAGCCAGCACAGACACTACCGCATCTGATGGGACGAGCAAGCGGCAGCAGCAGTAGCTCCGGGCGTTGATTTGCGGCGGCTAGGCCCCTCCTGTCTGCAATGGCCCCAATGTTAGCCAAGACGCCCACATTGCTCCCCTTTCGTCTATCGGGCGGTACAGGTGAGAGGAACGACACCCGTGTCCTTCAATCAGAGTTGCACAGCGAGGCTCGTGGGGCAGCAACGCGTGGCAGTGGAAAAGCCGGGCCGGCAGGTATAGATTGGCCCCGCGGCGTTGTATGCGTGGGGGAGAAGAGATGGCAGGGACAATAACAGACAATCCCGGAAAGCATAATAGCATCTCCTGGGAGAGACATGCGCTACCACCCCGGCAGCGTCGGCGTCGGCGTCTATTCAACGCCGGATGCGCTGGCAGCGGGACATGAAGGAAGGGAGGAAGGGATGGCCCGCGGGGACAACGAGACAACAGCAGTGAAGCGAGGCCGGTGAGGTTAGTGGGTGGTATGCAGATAGTGGCACCGCGCTCAGCTTTTTTCTGCTGCCGAAGGGGTTTAGGCCCGGTGTCTCGTGGCATGCGGCCCTGTTTTGTTGGTTCATGGTAGCAGCAGCAAGCCCTAGATGGAGGGGACTGTTGTGAGCCAAGGCTGAGGAGGGAAATGATCGAGCGGACACATGAATGAGGTGGTCAACTCAAGCGAGCGAGCGTCTGTCATGGCCGCAAACAATGGCCGTCTCCGTTCTACCCCATTATTTGATGGGACCCGTCAGCTTCACATGGGGGGGGGGTTATCGCGAGCTCGGCTCGGGCCCATAGCCATGGAGAGGTCTTGATTCATGCTTGCTGCCCGAAAATATTGGTAGAGCAGAGAAGGGTGGTTGGTGGTGCATTTGTCGTACCGAGAGCCGCTCCATTGTCGGCCTTGTCCCACTAAGTGCTGATTGGGGGCATCGACGGGGGGGATATGCGTATGCGACGATGGTTGGGCTCTCAAAACGGCTTTCCGCGGATGGAACAGCGTTGTGTGGGACATGTAGGTGACTATGCGAGCACACAAACAGAAAATGTAATCGGACGACTTGGACGGAGCCCCAGGCAGGCGATAAGGGGCTCTTGCCGCATCGTCGTTCCGGCTGCTCCTAGCTCATGGCGGGCTGAGCCCGGGGATCGAGACCTGGAGGCAGTGAAGCGTGAGACTTTGAGGATCATTGCATTAGGTCAGTTGGGTTGTCTAAGCTAGCACTTTGGTGACACTGCATAGATTGAATAACGGCTGAGCGACTCCGCTGCTGCGTGGGGGAGCATGTCCTAGGTCTTGTGACCTGACAAGGGAACCCAGTAGTGACAGAATGTGTGCTACTGGGCATGGAACTGGGGAAGCACAGCGGCTGTCGTCCAGCGAACCAGGAGGTGCGGGAGGAGAAGGGTGGCTTGCAGGGCCGTATCAGACTTGCTTATTTTTTGTTTGTGCCTTGAGGAAGCGGTGCTACAGTGTGTGTGTGTATGTGTGTGTGTGTGCGTGTGTGCGTATGCTGGCCACCCTATGTAGGTACTTTGGGGAGAGTGCTAGGCTGTGAGACGCGTAGATGGCAGCACAGCTTGCGTGGGGAAGAGAGCCGATCTAGTTGCCTTCTTCACCCGTGATCTCGCCTGCCGGAACTTCCGGGCTGTGGTTCGCCCACCAAGGGCATTGTCACACCTTTGCTTCTCGACCGGGCAGGTCTCGTGGATGCCAGCCGTGCATCGCTGCCTCGCTCATAGGCTCTGGCAGGTCGTACAGACACTGGGAGAAGACGGGGAGGAACTGCACAAATGGCTTCGATGCGCCCAGTGATTGAGGGACGATGGATTTGTTGTTACGATGTCACCACCGTCTCTAATTTTTGCGCGGGCACCGTGCTTCAGGACGTCGACAGCCAATCACGGCCCGTCGCAACAGGACAGCCCCATTCTGGAGTGTTGAGACGGAGGGCGAAGGAGCAGAGGGGCAGAGGAACCAAACGGAATGCGCAGCCGAGAGAAGGCGCATGGAAGCAGAGCAGGGGACGTGGAACCCAACCAACAAGGAAGGTGCGGGCAGGCCAGTCAGTGGACGTCGCCGGCAGTGGCGTGCCAATCAGAGCTTGCCAACGCTGCAGAGTGCGTCCGATTTACGGCATGACTGGCCCCAGCCTGGCGTGCATTTTCTCCTTGAGGGCCTGCAGTTTTGAAGTGCATTACGCATCGGCCGCCCACGTTGTTCGGAGGGGTTCGGTTGCGGGAGGAGGGATACACAGGCCTGCGACTCACTGTATCACCTGTGATATAGGGGACGACGCGCATGCCACCCATGCGCCGGTAGCTTTGGTAGTGCGGGTCGCCATGCTTTGTGTGAGGGTTCTGGGTTCTGCTGTTACTTCAGCCCAGCCCTATCACCGTCGCCCGGCCACCACCTCTACTCAGAAGTGCTCCTACAGTACATGCCATCAATATCCCCCGCGCAGTGGCCCTTGTCAGGGCGGGTGAGTGAGTGACACAAATGACGCACCAGGTTTACGGTTAAAATGCCGAATCCATCTCTCCGTCACTCTCACTCACACCGCAGATTGTGTGTCCAAGTGCAGCACGCACGGGGTTGGGGATTTGTCTGATCCAAGAATTTCCAGTGATCGACGCTTGATTTTGACAGGCTTGGCGACCTCGACGACGTCAGGAATCGCAAAACGAAAATGGCGGTCGGCCGATGCGCGAGATCAAACCCCGATCCGGCCCGGGCGAGAGGGTCAAGAGGGGAGAGCGAGCCAGAGAGGAGCTAGAGAGGAGCCAGAGAGGAGCCAGAGAGGAGGCAGGAGAGGAGCCAGCGTAGGAGCCAAGATGGGGCCAGCGAGAGTGCGTGCGCCAATCCGGAGCGGGACGACTGCAGCGCTCGCCATGTCTCGGGATTGCCAGGAACGGAACGGGGGCCTTCCTTGACAACGGCTTTCTCGTCTCGGCGTTGTCGCCGTGGGGGAGACGCTTGCCGTGACGGGGCTAGGGAAGACACCGACACCGCGGACTACCCAGGTCGGGCAGCAATCCCTCGGCTTGGCCGTTGGAGCAGCATCCCAAGCGTAAACGATCCTCCCAGCAAGCAGCCCGCCAGGCCCGCCTTTGATCCTGCCTGCCGCTAGCCCTTGCGGAGGACGAGGGGACGAGGTCCAGGAACTAAGCCCAGTTTGGGTGGGCCGCTGGCTCATACCGCCAGAACAAGGAGGATAAATATGGAAAGAATTAAATAGAGCTGCCCGCCATCTGCCACGTCAACAGCGCCCGCTCACCAAAATAACCCCCAAGTGACCCTCGGAAAGGGAGCCAGCTCCACGGGTCGGTCAAGTGCCTATCCGCTTTTCGGATCCAAGGCCTGTCACCGGGGACCTGTTGGAGGAATGCCGCGCCCGTGATTGAGGCCACTGATTGGACGGGTTCGGCACCCCGAGGCATTCGAACCCAAGCAGGAAAAGTGTCTGATACCCAGAAAAGCCCCGTGACCGCCTCGTTGGCCGCTGTGCCAGGCGTGCCAGCAACGACTCGCCGCCGGCCCCGGAGCGAGCTCCATGGCCGGCTGCCTCTTGCGACAGGGCAAACCAAACGCCGCTAGGGCCTGTCGCAAAAAGGGCAGAAGCAAAAAAGCGAGGCGTTCGAGGGGGGCCATGTGGCTTGGCTCGAATTGGGAAACAGCCTGCGGTCTGACTGGCCTCCTGGGCAGACTTCCAAGAGCAGACACGAAGGCAAGTGAGCAATTGGGCAATTGATCAAATTCGTGTCTGTTCGTGTTTGCATGACGCGTGCCATGGCCCCGGAGAGACGGAACAGACGTCTTGATTGCTTGCGCGGTTTTTAGGCGCAGCAAACAAGCGAAGCGTGGGAAGCAGAGCCCGCAGCAGGGCCCTTGATTCCACTCGACGGCATGGCTGCCCCGGAGTTGAGACCAAATTTGGTGCTCGGCGAGGGCGGTGCAGACGCCTGGGGTTGCAGGCCAGCAGCATGTGCTCACATCGTGCTCGCATCGTGCTGTAGCATGACAAAAGCCGCCAACTGCCACATCACACAGAGGTTCCACTGACCGCATCGCAAGGCCGCCCGCGAAGCAGGCACGCCCACCACAAAAGAACCCCCGAGCGGTTGCTTCGGGGAATAGGAACAGGAATATGTATAAAAACAAGAACAAAGAAAGAATAAAAAAACACCAATAAAAACAGGAATAACAATAGGGATAACAACAGCAAAATAAAAATAAAAATAAAAATAAGAAAGCTGACGGCACTAACAATTCTGCTCAATCTTTAGGACCTGGCGTGGCAGGGAAGCAAAGTGCTGGGGCAATCGCCTGTAAACGATCACATAATCCATGACTCGAACCCCCACCGTTACATTATTGGCGCGCCATGCGTGCTCTCGACGCTTCCAGCTGGGGCTCGTGTGTTCGCGGCAGCGGCGGCGGGATTGTGCGCTGGGCCGCAGCGATGTGGTGTTACTCGCAGCTGCTGTGGCCTGTTGACGGCCCTGTGGGCGCACCACTCGCAGCGCTTTTTGGCGAACAGGCACAATTGGCACAGGCCACCAGCAGGCTCCGGGGACTCAATTGACTGCAGCCATCAGAAGCCAGAAGGCCATCTGATGACCACGGCCAGCGACCAAACGGCGTCTTCCGTTTGGCAGACGGGCGCTTGATCGGCTATTCTTGCGAAACCACACCGGATACAGGGAATTATTCATCAATTCCGGCGGCGGGCAAAACGATTGTCGCGCGCATCGCATCCCGCGCGCCGTTTTGGCCCCCCGCGAACCGATTGGGCAGCCGTGGCTTGTCTGCCAGGCCTCAGCCATGATCGGGACAAGGTCCATCGACGACCGAAACCGAAAGTTCCGAAGACGCGGGCGGTTGAAGATCTCAAAAGCGCACCCGCGGCAGTGCGGGACTGGCTCCTGCTGGGGTCCAGGATCTGCCTAGGGTGGGGCTGCCCGCCGACAAAGAGTCAAAGGTGGGCCAAGAGGATGCACGCTTATTGCTCCTCTGCTTGTTGAGTGAAGAAAAAAAAAAACTGCACGGTGACATGATGACTGGTGAACCTGTGACTTCGCCGCAGCGCGCTGGGCAGCCCGCTAGCAAAGTCACCGTCCCTTCCTGCGTCCCGCGTCCCACTTCCCATTCGTTCAGACGAGGCACCGTACCCCCTTGGATAGAACCACGCCCACCTGGCTCAACAGCGCGCCTTCACAGCCCACACTCGCTCGCACACGACCACATCCCTCTGCCATCCATTTCTCCCAACCTCACGGCCACCACGCTGGCCGGTCTGCGTCGCCCGCCGCCCACCGCCCTCCCTCCTCCCTCCCCGTTCTGTTCCCACACACCCCTCCTTCGACCACCCACCCACGCCCCCAAACGCTGTCCTTTCTCACCCGCGAGGGCCCGTGGGCGGGAGGTACTGCTTTCAAAGCCCAGGATGGAAAGCTCTAGCACATGTGGAGGCGCCCCATGGAGTGCAAACGTCGGTGGGTTTTTGAGCCCTTTGACAGGGGATGCCCGCCTGCCTAGGCATACCCCTGGGCGGCGGCGTGGTACCTCCACACGCCATGGATGTTCGTGGGTGTCACCCAACTTCTGGTCCGTCGTTAGCTGACCGTCATGTACTTCACTGTGAATCCTCCCAGTTTCTTCCTCCTCCTTCTTCTCCACCTTCCAGTTTGTATATCTGCTCCCTGTACCTGTATTGTGACAAGCAAGCCTTAGCCTTCTTTCTGTATCATCTATAACGTGTCTACGTGCCCTTGTTTTCCTCCGCGACCTCTACCATCCAACCACAACAGCCCCCAAGACGCTGCCTGACTGTCTATGCGTGCTATCCCACTTGCAGCTGCCCACGTCGACTTTCCCCGTGCTTCCGACGCGGCCCTGGCGTTTTTTTTTTTCGTCACGGTCCCGATCCAGCCCAACAACTCTTCGTTGTCATCCACCCCTGTCTAGACGACATCACGTCCTCCCCAGTCGGCCTTCCTCGAGGGCCAATCCTTGGGTTTGCCTCGTCGGCGCCTAACCCACCCCTCTGACCTGTCCCGCGTCCTCGAATCGCTTCTCACCCGGGACGGGCCTCGCTTCTCGCGTCGGGATATATAACCTCGCCATTCCTCTGCCCGTCACCATCCCGCTTCTTTCGGCAGTCGGTCCTCAGCAACAAGCAGCCATCCTGCCTTCCCCAACCCCCCTAAACCACCCTCACACACCTCACAACCGCCGACACCATGCCCTCATTAACAAGGGTTCCCAGCTCTACCAAGAGCACCAAGAGCTCTACCAAGAGCTCCAAGAGCTCCAAGAGCACCTCGACCCGGGACTCCCATGGCACCAGGAGTACCGAGTCTTATGAGAGCAGCAGCAGCAATGCCACCACCATCGCCAACTCGGTTCATGGCTCTCATGTCAGGACCGCAAAACCAAGCGGCCCTACCACCAAGCCCGTAGTTCATCAGCAGCAGCCTCGCCGGGAGCCTCAGCACATCACGGATGAGTACCGGGAGGATTGGTGTGATTCCTCTTATGAGGATCTCTCCCCTGGCACCTGCGTGCACCCCCGCGACTCTGTCGACACGTACGCATCGACCAGCCCGTCCCAGGCCAACCTGGTGGATGAGGAGGACGATGATGCCCACTCGCAGCGGTCCAGCGGCCACGATGAGATCCCGCCCCTGCCCCTGTACCGCCACGAGGTTGTGGAGCCCAACGTCAGACCCACGACTCCCAACGAGTTTGCCAAACTCTTCCCCAGCCTGAACCGGCTCTCGATCCGCCACGACGAGTTCACGTCTGATGGCAACATGAACCTGCGTGTCGACACCCCCGTCCGCTCTAGCCGCCGCAGGGGTGCAGCCCAGCTCTTCCACCTGCGCATGTACGATCTCGCCCGCCGCGAGTTCTCTCTGCGCCGCTACTGCCGCGACTCGGGCCGCGAGGTCTGCAACTCTAAGCGCAAGTTCGCCTCGCCCGCCACTCCCGCCTCCTCCAAGAAGGACGGCCGGGAAGCCGCGGCCTCGGACTCGAGCTGCTCCACCTCCTCTTCGGCTGCGATGCCCGCCGAGAAGCGCCAGGAGGCTGCGCGCCCGTCGCTCCCCCGCGCCGTGAGCAGCGCCTTCAAGAACTTCTCGTCCCGCCCCCAGTCCAAGCGTGTGCAGTCCAGCCCCGCCACCGCCACCATGGCCGGCAGCAAACGGCCCGGCTCAAGCGGGAGCTCCTCGTCTTCGGACCACGAGCCCCCCTTCTGGGGTGCCGCGGCCAAGAAGACGGCAACCCCAGCCCTTCCCACCAACATCATCAAGCTCGAGTTCAGCAACTACGCCCGCATCGAGATTGAGCGTCGCGGCAAGTCGAGCTCCGACTCGAAGCGCTACGACTTTGAGTGGTGGGGCCAAAAGTACTCGTGGAGGCGCACGACGGACAAGCACACCGGCGCCGTGTCCTTCCACCTAGTGCGCGATGGCGGCGCCGCCAAGAAGGGCGACTCCACGGTTGTCGCCCATATCGTGCCCGAGACTCGCTCCCCCATCCAGGTGGCCGATGACGAGGAGGCCGGCGGCTGGGTTCCGCCCTGCCACATGTGGATCAACGACGAGAGTGTGCTTGACGCCATGACTGACGTTGCTGAGTAAGTATCCTGTCTCTCTTCTCTGTTGCTACGCAAACATGGATTATTCTAACGCAAATCCCTCCTGCCAGCGTCATCGTGGCCACGGGTCTCATCGCTCTCGTCGACGACTGCATCAAGGAGCGGTGGCAGACGCCCAAGATGCACCGCATCCCGCTGACGTCGCGGACCGTGAACCTCGACTCGGTCGGGCCCAAGGCCTTCATCCGCCAGGTCTTTGGCCGGAGGAACTCGGCAGGATCCACGTCGCCCTCCAAGCCGGCTCCTCACGGAGAAAAGTACGGCAAACACGAAGACGGATATGGCTACTCCGGCTACGAGCACGACTACCAGCGGCACAGACACGCCGTCCCCGTCCCAGCCTACTGATCGGGTGCACTCCCGAACATTTTTACTCATCTGACGACACCAACATTCACCAACTGTACCAAATTGTCTAATCTTGCATTTCCTTTATCGGCTACACGGCGTTTCCTGGCTTCGCCTCGCACATTTCTTTTTTCTGTTTTCCTCCAGATACTCTCCACGCTTTGCTGCGTATTTCTTTCAGCGTCGAGGGGGGAGTATCCGGAGTGGAAACTCTTTGGACACCCCTCCTGGTGTGAGCGAAGCGGAAACGCAGATTGACACCAAAGTCGCCTTACAACAGCGGGCAAAAACAGCGGCAACAGCAGCAGCTATCCAACAGTTCTCACAGGGAGCTCGGCGGTGAAAGGCGGGCCATCCCACCGTTTTCTTTTCTTTTTCTTTTTCCTCTCTTTGACGGTTACCAAAAAGCGAACGTGGGCGCTCGGGTCTGGCTTTTTTCCTTGTGCTTTCTCTCTTTTTCTCACTCATCTCTGTCAACCCCGCACTAATGCTTGTTTCTTGTTTTCATGTAACAACGGCCTTAATGACTCATTTCTACTTTGTACCGGATTTCTTTGCCGTCTTGGGGGCTTACACTGGACCATGGGAGTTTTTTTTATTTTTCAGGAGGATAATCTGGCATACTTGGCCCGGGAGGATACTGGTTTGACTGATGGGCACGCAGGCGTCTGGGAAGGTCTCATTCTTGCTCAGGCACGACACGACAGGGGTGATCGTACACCATCACCACCATTTCTTTTGTTTTCAGTTTCTTTTTCTCGTCAACTACCTACCACATACTCTACTCGTCCTCTCTGCGGAGGGGCTCAGCAAACTACAAGCAAACACACAAAAAAATACGAGAATTTGATCCATTCAAGCTACGCACAGCCTGACGCCTCATGTCCCGATGCCTTGAACCGAGACACACTACCTACTACGCTAACTTGTTGCATATGACCAGCTACCACCCTGAGGCTCTGCATGAGCTAGGCAGTCAGGTCAGCACCCCTCCTTATCTGAGATTTACACCCAACATAGGTAGGTCACCAACAGTCCACAGCCCTGCCTGCGGCACAGCCGCCACACTCGCGCCGCGACCCCACACGGCATCAGATGCGGGCGTTTCTCGGCGGGAAGAAGCAAAAAAAAAAATGAAGCGGGGGAGGGGGAAAAGAAAGAAAGGCCGCCATTTTCCTGACGACGGATGACCATACATATCAAGCGAACCAACAACGGCGCCGCCGCCACAGCTGGTGGAAGCTGAATGCTACATGAGCGCTACATGCACAGTCATGCTGCCGAGATCCACCCACCCGTGGGTTTGTTGGTCGGCAGCTTAGAAGAGCCAGCTACCTAGCTAGCTAGGCGAGCGGTCCGCACCGGGTGGGTGGCGCGGAGCCGCCGCGACGGTCTGACACATGGGCAGGCACACAAGGAGGATCATGTATGTGTAGATGTACCTTCCTTTTTTTTTTTCCTTCCGCTTCTTTTTGATCGTTGGACGGCCGGGCGCATGGCAGGGCGCACCAACCAGGGCGAGCCAGCTCCTCTCGCCGCCCCTCTCCCTTTGTCGCCCTCCCTCGAATGCCCGAGCACGCGGTGCTTGTAACAGAAATTGAGGCCATTTCTTTTTCGTTCACGGTCGCGAAGGAGATGTTTAAAAGTATTAGGGGATAAGGCTACCAAAGGCCGTGCCGTGCCCGTCCGCTCACAGGTCATTTTCGTATCTTGACCTCCCGGCGCAGCCCGGCGTTTGTTTCTGCTTGAAAGACAACCCCCCGTGTTCTCGCAGACAGGGCGAGGTTGCGGCGGCTCACTGCGCGCGTCCTAAGATCGCCCGGCGCCCCGGCGACGTGGTGCTGGCCCCTCGGTCACATGCCAGTTCTGGCCGCGGCAGCGAGCTGGGGGGGGCGCGGCATTGCCTCCTATGGACTGTTGGACTGCGGGCACACGGCTCGCCGGTCGACTCCATGTGGTGCTCTGAGCATGGCTTGCGCGCGCGCCTTCACGAGGGCGGCATGCTCGCCGTATCGCGGCTCCTCGCAGAAGAGCGCCCCGGCATCTGGGGAGGGGGCTGCTAGTTGGCTACCTAGACTTACTATCGATGTCAAGAGGATCTCCGACAACGGAGGCCGACGGGGCGTAACAAGTATCACGGGCCTGCAAGTCGCCGACGGCATTCTCAACTCCCACTACGAGCTGACCCTAGACCAAGTTTTGCGATTTTTGCAGGGATGGAGCTCACGAGGAGCAGCTTTATTGCCGTTCCCGTGTGCCCCGAACCCGGAATCTACAGTGTTATTATACAAAGTATCATGTATCAATCAATGGAAGCTCGGTCGAGGGGTGACATGACGACTTGGTACGTGGCATAAAATACCTTTCGCAACCTCCTTCCTTGTCACTTTTTACCCCTTCTATACCCGGTGATTCTCTAATCGGCAGATTAATCTCCTGGAAAGTGCCAGGCAGTGGTGGCGGTGCTCGGCTCGCGTGGCCTAGTGAATGACATGGACATTTCCCCATCTGTCTCCGCCGCCGCCTTGTCCCGTCGCCCTACGGCGATGTTGGTGTGTACCACGGGAGTGAGGAAGGGAGGGGGTGTAGGGAAAGCAAGTTCTCGACTTGCAATCTAAAAATAAAAAATAAAAATAAAAATTGAAGGGGAGGAGGAGGCAACAGAAGAGGCAACGGGCTTCTTTAGCTTCCACTCTGTGCAGGGGCAGAATAAACGGCCAGAGGGACTCGGAGAATTATCGTTTTGCCACCACGCACATGTGACGGCTAATAATCCCAGCACATAAAGAGGGCGGCACCGCGGGCAACGACAAGTGATTAGCTGGCCGCCCTCGCCCCAGATCAGGCCGCTCTGTTCATGCAACCGCCCGGGGCTTTTGTGCGCGTAGCATCCATCAGCCATCGCCACACCGGCCCTGCAGGTCCGGGCCGGTCAGGTCGGTCAGTCTGCAGCTCGAGTCGCTGTTACACTGGAGGCCCTCGACTCGGCCATGGGAAGGAGGGGGAGAGCCAAGCCAGCCCTAGAAATGGGCGGGCAGCTGCCTAAAATTTGCGGCTCAACAGCCTCCCGCCCCTCGTTTGGTCTGGCGTCTGGTCCGGCGTCTGGAGGCCGGCCAGACAGCAGCGCGGGTCGTCAGAGAGAAAGAATCAAGCCCCCCGTTTGTTATTGCGACGCAATCCCAGCGTTGCAACGAACTGACTGCATGTACAGAGCCACGCTGCACTACGACATGAACCCGCATAGTGGCCATTGCCCGCAGCTAACAAATATGCAGGTTGGTTTGGGGTAAACATGATGTGAGTGGGAACACGAAATGGCAGTTATGATGCTATGACCCGAACAGAACAAGGAACAACATAGTGGCTGTGAATCACAAGAAACAAGCAAGACGTCAAGGCCCGCCTTCGTTTCCACCAACGCGCCGACAATGGCACTCGAGCCCGTCAGACAACCCCCTTCCATACGCACAAGAACAGACTGAGCGAGCTTCACATTGTCAGCAGGCGCCTCGCCGTAGCCCATGCTCCTGCCCGCCGCAGTATGCATCGATACGACGGCGGATTTGTCTCCGTTGTCGCCAAGTTTGTAAAACAATAAGCCCTCCTTTGACAATCCCCGGTCACGGCTGTTGTAGCCCCCGAATCGGCCTCCCGCATGCGCAGCGCGTCCACAACGGACCCCAGGCCGTGCCCGATCCTTGGGCTATTCTGCCTTCTCCGCCTCTGAGCCGCGGCGCATGGCGGGTTTCATGGACCGCAAGATGAGCAGTCTCGGGCGGACGCGTCGCCGTCCACGCCAAGGGGCGAGCATATGGCACAACGGCGGGACGGGTGCCCTAGTTTTGCCCCTCCCAACCGACCCAGCTGCGCGGCATGACGCGCCAGATTTTGACTTCGCCACTGCGCAGGTCGTCGAGCTTGAAGCTCTCGAGCTTCACCTTCTTGCTCTCACGCCCCTGCTCCCACGCCCGCACTTTGCGCTTGGTCCCGTCCCACTCGGCCACCACCGCCACATGGTCCGGCTTGCCAATTTCGACACTATACTTAGCGTGCATGGCTCCGTGCTTGCCTTGGAACTTGGCGTTGCGCACCGACATGATGTCGCCCGGCCGGATTTCGTCGTTGAGCGTCGTGCTGGCGTTGGCTAGGTTGGAGTACACGAGCGCGCCGTAGGCACGGGTACCTACTGGGAGCAGGGCATCGCCCAGGGGCCTCAGCAGCTCGTAGACAAGACCCTGCGGCGTCCCGTCGCCAACCACCGAGTCTTTCTTGCTTGTGACGGCCGTCGATATCAGCCGACCAAATCGCTCGTACGACTCCTCTAGTTGATCCTGGCGCAGCGCCCGGGGCGGAGGCTCGTGCCGCTGGCCGAGGTGTGCATTAGACGTGTCTTGGGGATCGAAAGTGACCGTGATGACGGTCTGTGAATAGTCCTGGTACAAGATGTACATGTCACGAGTTACCATTGTCGTTCCTTGGTCCGCTGACTGCGATTCCTCCGACTCGAAGAAGATGTCCTTGCGGCCTTGTAGCTGTGGCGGGAGACCCTTGGGCTGCAGCCACCAACCCGACTGGGGCGCCAGGTCAACGTCGTTTGCAACAAAGCCCGACTCCATTGACGGCCGTGAAAAGTCAATTGACCTCCGGACATTTGTTACCGAGCGCTGTACTTCCAGAGATGGCCGAGGTGGGGCGCGATTACTAGGTGGCGCAGGAGGCGGGGCTCGTGTCTGGAGTGGCGGAGGCTGGAAGTTAGGCATGGCGGGTGGCATGGCAGGTGGTAGCGTTGATGGCATCGCAGGTGGTGACATGGCGTGCGGTTCCGGCGGGGAAAATGCGGGCTCGGGCGATTTTGACGGTGGCGGAGGGTGGCTGGGAGCGGCCGGAGCTACCCGAGCTGCGGTATAGTTGAAGGGGTCGTAGTCAGCGTCTTGCTTGGGAGCTTCCTGGCCGGGTGGCGGCGGCGGCGGCGGCGGCGGCGCGGCACGAGGCATATCCGTCGATGGCTTGTTGTCCGGCGGTGGAGGCGGCATGCTTGGAACTGGCGGAGGAGCACGAGGGGCGTTCGAAGACGGGACTGGCGGAGGCAGCGAGGGGGGCAGGGCAGGGGGCGCCGGCGCCGGCGGCGATGTCGTCGAAGCAGCCTCCTCAAAGCTCGAGTCACGCCCGTGCGACTTGAGAGCATCCTTGTGTGGCACCGACGACGCGATGTCTGTGTCGTAATCGCCCTCGTATTCTGTAATCTCGTCGTCACCGTTTGACTCCTCCTTGCGGAAAGCAGTAGTGGGCGAGAGGGGGCGATTGTTGTCTGCGGTATTCTGCCGACTGATACCTCCAGGAGGCGGCGGCGGAGGGGGCCGTGTTGACGCGGGCGGCGGCGTCGGGCTGAAGGTGGGGATGGGCGGGGGAACCCGGCTCGCGCGCTTGCTCGAGGGGGAGGTCGGTGAGGTCGGAGACATGCCCTCGCCTGAAAGAGTCCGTTGCCTAGAAACAGGAGAGCGGGGCGACCCGGGATCGATAGACGACGGCGCTGCCACGGGCGGTGGCGGAGGCGGTGCCCTGGTGGCCGGCGGAGCTTCGCTGCGTGGGGTCGAGAGGTTGTCCTGGGCCTTCTCCGACAGTTCGTCGTCCGACTCGGAACCCGCGCTCGGGGATTTCAGTCCGGACATTGGAGGCGCTGGGGGTGACCGAGCTTCGAAGTGTCAGTCTAGCCGTCACCACCAAAGCTTCTGCAGGGGCGGGCCGAGCTTCTCCAAAGCCCAAGTCAAATACCTTCAGATGGGACAGGCGGCGGCGCTGGCCGAACGCTTGGAACAGGAGGGGCGCCGCCCGTAGGCGCGCGGGCGAGCGCTATGGACAGCATCGTGTTAGTATATAAACAAGCTCGGGTCGTCAGGTCTAGTAGGCCGTGTCTTACAGCCAGGGGCAGGCGTGAGGGCCTGCATCGGTGTGCTTCCATCCTCATCGTCGTTATTTTCTGCCACCGGGTCTTCAGATTGCCCCTCGGGAATTGGCGCGCTCTCCTCCGGACGCTTAGCAGCAGACAGCCCTGGGAGTGCCATCATCATGGCAGGCACTGGGGGAGCCTGGAATGCCGGCGATGGCACGGCCTCGGGAGCTTCGCTCGACCGCCTCTCGGTGGGCGCCGAGGCCTTCTTCTTTTTCGGAGCCGACGATGAGGGCATTGGCATTCCGAACATGCCGGCCATCCCCATGCCTCCACTCATCTTGGCCATCCTTGCGCGGAGCTCTTCCTTTCGCCGGACTTCGGGGTCGACATCTTCATCCTCTTCCTCTTCCTCCTCCTCCTCTTCGCCTCCTTCGGCCTCGGGCGTCTCAGCAGCAGGGGCAGGGACAGGGGCGGCCACCCGAACGGGGAGGGCCGGTTTGTCGTCGCTATCCTCGCGTTCAGTAACATCCTCTTGGCCCTCGGTTGTGTCGCCTGCTCCCGAGAGATCCGCCTCATTACCGTCGTTCGGCTCGCCCAGACCCTTGGTGGACGACTTTCTCCGGTTGGCGCGCCCGACAGGCGGCTCATCAACAGATGGCCGACCTGCCGTATCTTCGCTATCCTGGCGTTCAAGAGGAGGTGGTGCGGACTGCGATTCGCCCTCGTCAGCCCCGTCGTTGCTTTCGATACGCTTCTTGACTGGTCTCTTGGGCTTCTCCCTCTTTGCTGCAGCCTCGGCGTGGCGATGAGCCTGCTCTTGCTGTTGCTTCTGGAGCAGGGCCATGCGCTCCTTGAGACTCAAAGGCTTTGGCTCCTCCTCGCCCTCGGCGCTTTGGGAGCTGCCGGCGACCAGGCCGGCCTTCTCGGCGCTCTGGAGGTTTTCCTGTTCCCTCTCCTTGATTTCAGGGTCTTCGTCCCGGCGATAGACCTTTGTCGTGGGAGCCTCTCTCGGGGGAGGCACGTAAGCATTTCTGCTCGGCGGCGGCGCGACAAATGGCTTCTTGATGAAGCCAGTGGCGCCAGTCAGCCCACTGGGCTTGAAAGGGGTTGGAGGCGGCGCAGCAGTCTTGTTGAAAGCAGCTATGCGATCCTTGAAGGCATTTCCAGAGGGTTTTGCGGCCGGGGGCGGGGGTGCGTTCTTGGAGGGCCCAGGCGAGGGCCTGGCCGAGATGGGTGGCGACGTGGCCTGAGGCTCGGCAGCCTTGGGTAGGGGTGGGGGAGTAGACGACACTGGAGGGACCGGAGGAGCCGGGGCGGGGGCGGCCTCGGGCGGGGGCGCTGTCGGGAGACTGGGCGGCGCGGGAGCGGCGTGGGCGACAGGCTCCGGCTCTTCGTCCTCAGTCGCGGGCTTGGAAGACGGCGCCGGGGCATCGGCAGGAAGCTCTGCTGGCGGGGGCGCAGGAGGCGGCGCCGCGGGCTCTGACTCCTTCTTGGCGCGGGTCCGGGTCGGGCGAGGGGGAGCGACGGGCTCGTATTTCTCTACAAAGTTGCGAGGGAAAATGCCCTCGTGCTTGGCCCCAGCGTCGTCGACATACTTGCCCGTGTACCAGTCGTCATCCTCCTCCTCGACCACGGTGATGATCTGGCCGGCGGCGAACTGCAGGTCGTCCTCGTGCGGGGATGAATACTCAAAAAGAGCCTTGACCTTGAAGGGGGCAGCCATGGTGGCGTTGGCTGCAAGGCGTGCAGTCGGGAGCAATGGCTAAAAGCTCAAGGCTTGCTGGCTGGCTGGCTGGCTGGCTGGCAGGCTGACAGACTAACTATGAGTGGGCGCGGCGGCAGCTGCAAAATGGAGGGCGGGTGCGGGGGTGGTCAATGTTGGTGAAGGGCTAGGTCAGGTATTCCACGGCTGGGACACGACACGACAAATCTTTCCCCGAGACAGCAGCGCTTCCAGATGCAGGGATAAACGGCCCGCTGGGTCAGAGAGCGGCGAGGCCGTTGCGGCGCTCGACCAAAATGGCAAAATGCAGAACAGGAAGGCGGGCGGGCGGGTGTGTCTGGAGGGGGCCTTTCTTGCAGGCAACAAGATCAGAGGATTGATGAGGCCGGTTCACGGGCGCCGTCAGCAAGCTTCAATGCTTGCCACGCTTTGTTTGGTCGGGCCAGTTCGTTCTAGCCGGGGTGGGCAGTCAGTGTGGGTGTTGTCGCTGATGATGCGGCCTGGGTGGTGGCAGAGCCCATACAGTGCAAGAGCAGCCCAGCCAATGGTCAATGCTGCGGGAATTGGGGATGATGCAAAATGCGTGCCATCAAGCCCGAGCCCGGCTGACACGGGTCTGGCGACGTCAGCGCATGAAGGCAGGAGCTCCTGAAAATGGCTCCACCGTACCGCGCACCGTGGCCGATCTGGGTCCAGTTGCTCCCCCAAGATCAAGCATTGCCCGTTTCGGGCTAGCTGTGGTGCTGTCCAAGGAGGCGGTGGGGAACGATGCTGGCCAGAAAGAGGCCCCGAGAGTACACAATGGCACATTGCCCAGCGCGCCGCCTCCGTCTTTTTTCTGTTTGGATTCAAGCGGATTCGGAAACACTACCCCGAGCCTACTGTAGCCTGATCTTGTTCCTTGCGATGCCCCCCAGGATATGGATGGCAGACAGCAGCCGCCCGCGCGGTGCGCATCGAAATTACGGAGCAAATGGAAACAGCCCATTGTGCGCTAACTCTCCGAGAGACGGCGCGGGGAGGAAAAGATGCTGTGCGCCGAGTATAGAAAAAGGCCCAGATCCAAGTCACGCGCTCGGCACAGACGAGGCCATCCAGGGGGCGTCTCAAACGCAACCAAGGTCCCAGAGATTTGGGGGTTGGGCGCTGAGGCAGATCAGGGTGCTTTCCATGATGCGATGTGTTTGCTGGTGACCCGCCCCAGTGCGACTATGGCAGGGCCAGCACGGACGGGGAGCTCCAGAATGGTGAAGCCTTGGCGCGCACTGAAAAATCCTATATCCAGAATCGCATGGTTTCCAGCTGTGGCGCAGGTCTTACCTCATTGTGGCTGCGTTTTTTTTTTTTGAAAAGCTGCACCCCACCAAAGAAACGGGCTTGCCGCCGGCAAAAGCACAAGCAACAGGTTGCGATGCAAGCGGAAGCTAGATATGGGTTGGAGCCTCGCTGGCAATACACCTCGGGAGTAACCTAATAAATTCTTCCTCGTCAGGCCGCGCGACTACAAGTCCAGAAGACGATGTCGTCGTCTGCGGCAAAGAAGCCCCTCAAGGGCATCCTCAAGCAGCCTAAAACGCCCGCCGCCCAGCCAGAAGAGAACGGCAAGCAGGCGGAGGCGCGGCGGATAGCAGTCCAGCATGCCACCATCATCCAGCAGCAGAAGGACATCCAGGACGAGATATTCCGCTCCCTCCTGCGGCTCCTAGACTTCCCGTTGGTGCGCGACGACAGCGAAAGCAGCAAAAAGGCAGCAGGCGACGACGACAAGGGGACCGCCGACGGCAAGCCTCCACCACCGCCGGCGGCCAAGTACAGCGCATCGAACCCCGCCGCCTCGGACGCGGCCGAGTTCAAGCGCCTCGTCCGCATGTTCCAGCCGACCGACTACGACGACCTGATCGAGGAGCGCAACATCGCGGGGTCCTGCGGCTACGCGCTGTGCCCGCTCCCGCACAAGCGGATCCCCAACGCCGGCACGTGGAAGATGGTGAACAAGGGCCGCGCCGACTTCGACATTGTGCGCACCGCCGAGCTCGAGAAGTGGTGCTCCGACGACTGCGCCCGCCGCGCGCTCTACGTCAAGGTCCAGTTGCACGAAACGGGCGCCTGGGAGCGCATCGGCATGCCCGACGTGCGCATCGACTTGTACGGCGAGGACGGCCCCAAGGCGAAGAAGGGAGACGCCGCCCCGCCCGCCGATGAGAAGCTCGCCGAGGACATCGCGCGGCTCAGGATAGACGCGGAGGGCATAGCGGCTACGGAGGAATCCAAGACCCTGGCTCTCGAACGCGGCGATACAAAGAGAAAGGGCAAGGAGAGTCTGATCGACTTTGACATCCGGGAGAAAAAGACCATCGCAGCACCAAAGCCCCCTAGCAAAGAGCAGGACTCCGATGGAGAGGACGACGTACATATGCTGCTCGAAGGCCACAAGCCCCGCTGAGCTTGCGCGGGGAATCGAGTCCGGCATAAAGTGAGGAATGCAGTCATTAGGTCACGAGGCCACATGATTTACACTCAGTTGGGCTTACACCAACCATGATACCCTGAATACAAAGCAGTTTGCCGCAGAGTATCCGGTAGGGCACCAAGGTGGAGTGGCGGTCGAGCAAGCGGACTTCATCCATAGGCCTGGCAAGTGCATTCGCCTCGTCGTCATCGAGGAATGCAAGCCAGTGACCGGGACGCTGGCTTGCCTCGACCTGTTGGTGGCATCACAGTAGCAGCACCACAGCACAAGATATATGGTGTGTGCATGGGGGTGGAAGAAGTATTGGCAATCAAGCATCGTCCCCAGGGCAAGCCTGGAGAGTCAGCGACACCTTAGTGGGCAAAAGATCCTGTCTTTGAATCTAGTATGCTCTCACTACCTTCCCATGAAGACGCCGAAAAGCAAACCAATCCCTAAATACCATTTGCCATTCCGAGTTGTACCGTTGTAGATGATGAGATGCAACCGCCAAAATTTTGTTCGTAACAGCCTCGACTTAGTCGCGACGAGGGGGCCTGTCGCCGAAGCGGCGTGCGCCGCGCTCGGTGGCCTGGGTCTGGGTAACGGGGATGACGTTGACGGGGATGGTCGAGTCGAACTAGTTGAGGAGAAGAGTACGAATGTTAGCAGGCGATTCTGCCCGACAGTGCTCACGGTACAGCAACCTGGCTCGTGTAGGGCCGCGGGGGAAGGCGGGCGGTGGGCACATACGCCGAGGTGCTTGAGCAGGTCCTTGGTCTCGACATCGACGTCCAGCTGACCATTCTCCGAGTTCTGGGTGAAGTCGAGGGCCGAGACCTCGGGGACGTATTGATCCTTGCGCTCGCGCTCCTCCTCCTGCAGCTTGAAGGAGATACCGCGGACGGGGCCGCGCTGAATGCGCTTCATCAGGTGGGTTGTGTAGCCGGCAATCTGTCGAGCAAGTCGAGTTTCCCAGGCGTCAGAATTCTGTTCCCTCGTGGGCTCCCACAACCTTTTTCCCTTGAGTCTCCTCCGGGGGTCAAAGTCCGCCCGCATACCTTGTTGCGCAGGCGCTTCGAGGCAATAATGGCGATCTCATCGCAGATGCGCTTGTTGGTCTCGAAATCCAGGGTGAGCTTGGGGTAGTACCGCTCAATGATGACCTTGGCGGACTTCTTAACGGTCTTGGTGCGAACGCGACCCATTTTGGCGGTGTTTTGCTGGTGGTGGTGAAGGGATTGGTTGAGGAAGGTATCGCGGGTTGTCGGCCGGGCTGAACTGAGGGTAGACGAGCAAAATGGGGTTCGGTTCGCAGAACTGCAGCGGCGAGAATTTGGTGGTCTGGCGGGATAGTTAGGGCACGCAGGGGAAGGAAGCTGGGAGGCTGTCACGTGCACGAGCGCGCTCCACTTTGAGTCTCACAGTGCGTGTCTAGGCCCACTACTGTTTTGTCAACTGTAAGACCGCAACCCCACCTGAGCTCCAGCCAGCTCAGCTCAAGGAGGCAGCTCGGCTTGTCCCGTCACGATGAACAGCGGCCGCGAACAGATCACACACAGCTTATTGGACGTATATGCGTGCATTGATCTATTGAAAAGACATCTCTCGTGCGCGGCAAGGCCATGGTCTGTATAATACACGGTCCGCGTGACCCCCGCAAGCAGTATCCATGATGGTCAACGTGCCTTCCTTCTCCTCAAGACCAGCGCGGCTTCTCTGGTTCAGTGGACGTTTTGCGACTGGCAAAGTCGGCGCGCGCGCCGTAAAAGCCATAGCTTTGGGCACTTCCGACACTGTCCGCATCTTCCCGTACTCTCACGGGGAGTGCCCTAGTTATCTCCCGGCGTCGCATCAGGTTGTCCTCTTGTTGTATCGGGCCCGACACGTCTTCGCCATCAAGCTGCTTGGCAACAAAGGCGGCCATGGGGGTCCATGTCCCTGTTATGGAGTTGATTTTGACATTGCCCTTGGCGTCGACGACGGCCGAGTGCGGCTCCACGTACATCTTGCGGCCACCGACAATTGTGTGGTCGAACCCGAGTCGATTCTTCTTGCCCGGGGCATCGTACTTGGACTGTGGGCTGTCTGTCACGAAGCCGCCTACACCAATCTTCCCGGATGAGAGGATCTTGGCATTGGCAGCGGTGTTGGCAATGGACAGCATGCGCGCCCTGACATGCCGACGGTACGCCTGTGGGCCGTAGACGGGGTGGTTCTCGACGAAGGCGCTGGTCCTGAGGTATGAGATACCAGCGGATGGGTGTGTCACGGGGGGCCCCTGCTCGGCATAAGGGTTGCCCAGGGACTCGGGGGCCCTGATCTCTTTGCCTTGGGTCAATTCCGCGAATATTACGCCCTTCTGCTGGATCGGAGCGAGATCTAGGAACTCGCCAACAGCCTTGAATAGCTTAGGCCTGTCTTCACGCAGCTTCCGCAGCTCCTCAGTGAGCTCGGCGCTCGAGATGTCCTCGGGCTTCACTCGAGGGACATCAGCACCCGTGTTGCCCGCATCTATCGCCTCGGCCGCCGCCACCTTGTTTTTCTCGGCCGCAATATCCTTCCTCAACCACCAGCGGAACTCGGACCTGCGCGGAGCAACCTTGCGCTTAAGGTAGTTCTCGAACTCGCCCTCCGCCATGCCGGCCAACCATGGCCCCGAGAATCTCCAGCGCTTGTCGCGAAGGAGGCGGGCACGGGTTGCATCCATGACGGTGCTATCGAACTCCTCTTCAAACACCGACGTGGTAGGTAGGCTGATTGTGCTGTTCTGGTGGGCAATGCGCGTGTGCTGTGGTATAAGGACCGGGATGTTCATCTCCTGGAACTTCTGAAGAGTCAAGGTATGATCGGCGGCTGAGGCGAAGTCAGTAACCTGCTCGCTCGAGTCGACCTGCCTCACGCGGATGAGAGGAGTGGAAGACTTGGTGGTCGACTTTAGGGGCAGCGGCCGCTTGAATCCCCAGTCTCCACGGGAGCGCGATGTGGAGGGGGTGGTGACTGTCTGCAGAGTCGGGTACGGCGTAGTCGCCGAGAAGGATAGATTCTGGGTCGCTGTGGTGACATTATTCTTCGGCGGCTTCAGCGGCGCAGGTAGCGAAAACATGCGTGATGACCGGAGCAGAGCCCCTCCGGGGGATATTGACTTCCCCATGGTCGTCCCAGTGGCTTTATGAAGCTCTCGAACCGCGGCGCTTGATATTCCGCTTGGAGTACTGAGGTTGGCAAAATTCGACGCTCCTCAAACTACGCGGCGACGAGGATGGACCGTGCACACCCCCGCCGAAGCACCTGGTGTTTCCTTCATGAAACCCTAACCCTCTCAACCAAGCACGCCTAACCAAAGAGGAGTTTTCCATTTAGACAAGGAGGGGACGTTCGTCAGAAGCAGATAGTGAGATAGTATACGACGTCTGTTGGCTAGACTTCATAGAGCCCATCCCTCCCCCTCCTCAAATAGCCAAACTTGACTTGGAAGGTGCAAAAAAGCGGGTTCACCGATCAACCACTTCGTCCTAGGCTGTTAGCCCAGTCTGGGTAACATGGTTGGGATTTGAGCGGAGCTGCGCGGGCAGCTCCGGGAGTTCGGGGTTCTCGTATGGCAGGAACCGCATAAGCACTTGTTGCCTGGTCTTACAGTGCGATTATTCTGGCGCTGGGGAGCTCCAGTTGCGTGTTCTGTAGCCATTTCGGCTTCTCTTCCTTGATAAAACCTACCGACCCAAGTATAAGTAGCACTCGTAGATCTCCCGTTTGGATGCCTGTGACTGGTGGGCCGGGATGAGCCGAGCCTGTGTTCGTCTTTGGGTGCCTACTTCAGCGCCATCCCAGCAACCACCCAGCCGAACACGGCGGCTGAGCAACGGTGAAGGACGAAACTACTCAGTAACCTTTCGGTCGTTGGGCACAAAAACCGGCTGACATGGAAGCAGCAAGGCTAGCGTGGCTGGATCCGCAGAGGCTAGAATTGCGGGAGTTTATTGGGGAAGGAGCAGGGCAGCTGAAACAAGGTGCAGGCGCCGACAGGGGAGCAACCCGGCGCTTGCAAGGGGTAGTCGCACCAAAAATGATAAGCTGCAGTGGTTGCTTGGTCAACCTCGCGTGCGACAACAATCGACGTAATGGCCCCCCCCATTTTGCATTTCTTTGGGGGATATCCCGTCCAGACATATCGCGGTTGAGACAGCACCCTCTGGAACAGACACATTCCACATCACGCATTCCACAAATCTTCAGTTCCTCTCCCTGCGACTCATTCCAGCAGCCAGCAGCAACTCCCTCGCCGTGCGGCTGAGGGGTTCCAGCAGTCGCCACCATGACGGGCGCCCAACAGCCTTTTCTCTACGACCAGGAGAAGTACAACGATGCCCGCTTCCCTCCAGCCACATTCGATCCCAAGGCCTTCACGCGCGCCAGCTGGGAGGTGAAGCCGCCACCAAAGCTAAAGCCTAATGGCCCGTTGGTCACTTTTAACCAGCACCCGGAGTAAGTCACAGGGCTCTCCAAGACGACAAGATGAAGGAGGCCCGGGCAGCAACTGACAGCTTACTCGCAGCACCCATGAGGTCCCCAGCCCACGGAGGCGGTTCAGGCAGCTGGGACCCAGGACCAAAAACTGGATCAGGCGCATGAGGGTGTTCCAGCTCGGCCTCCGCGTAGTCGAGCTGGTTGCGGCCCTGGGCATACTGGCCCTGATGATCCTGATCACCAACGTCGATATTCTGGTGGCCATGGTTATGCGCATCACTGCCGGGGTCGTTGTAATCCACTGTTCCTATGGCATCTACCACCTGCAGCGGCCTGCTGGTGGCCGCACTCCGGCCTCGTCGGCATCCTACATGCTGTTTGCCTCGCTGTCCGACATCTGCATCATGCCCATCTACACTTATGGCGTCATGTCGGTCACCTCGGGCAGAGATTCCTGGACGACACTTGTCGCCAGCCAGGAGCTGATGAGGTACTTTGTTCCCGCGCTTTACTGGACCCTCGTTGGAGGGGCCAGTCTTCACTTTGTCTCGCTCGCCATCTCGGCTTGGCTGGGCATCAAGTTTCGCCAAATCAGCCTCATGCCGCCCGATATGAACCCGCTCGAGCCGCACCTGACGTCACGCGTCTCGGCTGGGCGCCGCCGTCAGCACAAGCGCAACAAGTCGTCCGTCGCAACCACAGCCTCGTCTTCGTCGCTTGCCGACTCGAATCGCAGGTCAGGCCTGCCGGCTGACGAAGACCTGGCTCGCCCGACCTCCATCCCTTTCTCGCACACGCGCCGCGGCAGCGAAGCCAGCCAGAACTCGCCCAGGGACTCGCGCATCAACCTGCCGAGCCGCCAGTACCAGATCACGCCGGGCAACTCGCCACGCAACTCTGCCAACTCTGCCCAGTTGCGCAATATGATGGCGGGCGGCTCTCAGTCGCCGTCTTCGTCGCGCCCCGCCACCGCTGCAGCCAGCCGCCACAGCTATCACCAGAGCGTGTCGTACCAGCCCGCGCTGCAGTCCCAGTCTCCGGCCTCGACGCCTTCCAAGAAAGAGGACCAGCAGGCTCGCGGCACCTACTCCGAAGTGCCCCTCGACGAGTCCACCGGTGGCAAGCAGGCCCGCAACGCAAAGTTCACGGAAGCCTGGTACACGTCGGACTCGCTCATCAGCCGCACCCAGCAGCGCAACCAAGCCGTCAACAACCTCGTCCGCGCCGCCGCGTCGGGCGGCGTCAACCGCCCATACTCGGCCGTCAACCAGCGCCGCGACCTCGGCCGCGACGACGGCGTCTCCGACGACGACTCGGAGGACGAGGCCAACTACGGCACCGGCACCGGCACCGGCGACGGCAACGGCAACGGACTATACGACGACGCCTCGTGCCGCCACCCGCGATCCCGCGCCGCCCCGTCCCCCATGGCCCCCGAGGACGACGAGAACGACGACCTGGGCGGCCGAGGCCCCGCGCCCCCGCGCCACCAGCACCCGCTCCGCTCTAATCCGGCCACCTCGGTGACCTCGCTGTCGACGCCGGCCACGCCGCCGCGCGCGCCCGGGCACTACAACCGCGGCAACCGCGGCAACACCCCGTCCGACGAGCTCTCGGCCAGCGGCGGCCAGGACATTGGCGACCTCAGGATGTCCAGCCCCCCACCGGCGGCGGCGGGCGACGAGGTGCGCGGCAAGAAGGGCGGCAGCTCGACGCCCGGGCGCAGCATCAGCAAGCGCCTGTCGTGGGGCGCCGGCCGGCTCACGCCGCGCCAGCGCGACAGCTCCATCCAGCCCGAGTCGGCCTTCAGCTACTCCAAGCCCTACGGCGAGCTGAGGCCCGCCACGCCCCCCGTCATGGTGGCCACGGCCAACGTCGGCAGGGTCGCGAGCCCCGGGCCCCCCGCGGCGTCGGCGGCCGCCGGGACGGCGACGCCGCGTCAGATCTCGTCGGGCACCGACTTTTACGACCTCGGCGCTGCTGCCGGCAGGTTCGCCAGCAGGAGGAACGTCAGCGGCAAGGTGGTCGAGGAGGGCAGGTCGAGGTACGCGCTGCGCGACTGAGCGAGGTGGGAATATTCTAGCAGTGGCTTGCTTGTGTTGGGGGTTTGGCCGCAATGGCCTGAGAAGACATCACTGGAGTCTTTGAGCTGTTTTTTTTCTTTCTCATCTTGTTTGGCTTACAAACCGGCGTCAAAACGCGAGTCTTTTGATCCAGAAGGGCTGGACAGGGGTAGGAATCCAGTCAGCAGCCTCGTTTTATGCTGATCCGGCGTGCGGCCAGCAGTCGAGGCGTCAGTTGATAGGGGGTGTTTGGTCATGATCTTGTTTGTTGGCTGTTTTTTTCTGTATTTGGAGAGATGCCCCTGGGACGGATTTCACGCATGGATGATGTTTAATGGGCTTCGGTTTGATGTTGGTTCCTTTTCTGTTTTCAGTCTCTGGGTGTTCGAGGACGCATGTTGTAACAGTAGATATTCCCATCTAGATAGGAAACGGATGTTATTTTCTCATCTCATTCTTTTTCGTTGCCTATGCCCAGAAACGTGCGTAGAATTATCATGCATGTGAGCAGCTCGAAAGAGTTCCAACGTCTGTTTCAACGATTCTACGTGGGTATCCATATTCGACTTCTCCGTCTTATGTCTTGAAATATTCACATCAACTCCATCTTGATATCGCACCGTCAGCCAACAGCCAGCACTACACCCCATCATACACGGACCAGTCCACCGGGATGGGCCCGCCGCCAAAGTCGTCCCCCTCGGACCAAGCCCTCTTATCCCAGGCGGAGGCCAGGCCGCAGAGGTGGCGCATGGTCGGCCGGCCGTGCGGGCAGTTCCACGGCTTCTCCATCTCGCCCATGTGACGGACCACCTTCTCCATCTGCGCGCGGGAGAGGGCGCGGCCGACCATGACGCTGCTGCGGCACGCACGCATGGCAAACATGCTGCGGACGCGCGACGGCCGGGGCACCGTCGTGGCGCCCGACGACGGGTTGTCAGCCAGCAAGCTGACGAGCTCCTCGAGGTCGGCGAGCGAAAAGGTCGTCTCGCGGCTCAGCGGCAGACTAAGCAGCCGGCACCGCGACCCGACCGGCGACCGGCCCGACTGGTCCGCCTCGACGACGAAGCCGTTGGCCTCGAGCGCCGCCTGGTTTTCTATGATGATCTCCTCCTCGAGAGCCGCCAGCTCCAGCTGCTTAGGCCGCACGAGGCGCTGCGACTGCACCACCGTGTTGGCTTGTAGGCGCTCAAAGTTGTACTTCTCATCGGAGGCGTGCTGGTCAATGATGAAGAGCTCGTCATCGCCCACTCTGCCCTCTGCTGATACGGCCGCGGTCTCCTTTTCTGCCGCCTCTCGAACCGCCAATATGAAGCCGAGGTTAAACTGGCCGACGATGCGCATTTTGGCAAAGTCGTCCTTGGTGATCGTCAAGGACAGCTTCGCCTCGGCGGACTCGGCCTCTATGCTCTCGATGCCCCCGCCACCATCGTCCTTGTCGCCCTTCTGCGCTCTCAGGTCCATGACCGCTGCCTCGAGTGAGTCCCGCCACGACTTCATCTGCCGCAGGATCGACTGCTCGTTCAGTTTCAGTTGCTGGACCAGTTCAAGTGTCGAGTCTTTCCGCCGGGAACCACCCTTCAGAAATGCGTTCGACCTCTTCTGCATCTCTTCGCTCGGCTCCTCGGCAGCCTTCTCCACCTCTTTGATCATCTCTATTATCTTTTCCTCTTCTCTCTTTTTCTTCTCATCCTCGTTCACATATTCGTCGTCCCCGTCGCCATCAGAATCAACAAAGAGGCCAGAACTTTCATCCCCTTCGTCTTCATCTGCGCCATGTGTGTTGGTGTCCTGCTCTTTTGATTGATCCTTGTCTAGGTCAGGACCAGGACTTTCGAGTTCGTCGGCGGGCTCGCTGTCTTCTTTCCGGGGCGTCTCTCCCCTCTCCTCCTCCCCCTCCTTCTCTTCCTCCACCGCGTGCTCTTCATCTTCAACGCCATCCGTGGACTCGGAAGCAGAGTCGTCGTCGATTTCTTCGGTAGCGATCCTCAACCCGGCAGCCAGGGAACCCCCCGAAGACCCCGCCGCTCTTGCTGAAGCAGCCGCAAACATTTGCGTGATGCGTCCATTAAAGGAGGGCACAGGAGCCTTGGGTCTTGTGCTGGTCAGTGACTTTGAATTACTTGACGGCGGCTTCAGGCCCGTCTTCTGACGCTTTGAGGGCGACCCAATCATTCTGGTCACGGCATAATCCCCTACGGTGATGGTAGCAACCTCGGGGGACGGTCGTTTAAATGAGCGGGGTAATGACGCAGGGGGACCAGCTCTCTGAACCTGACTCCTGGGTGGTTCGATGGAAGGAATAGGCCTCTCTTCAGAGACGTCCGTGTTAACATCTGCGGATTCCCCCTGGTCCTCGTGGGTTTTGTCGGAGCCATCTTCGATTGTCTTCGGGTTTTCTTGGTTCCGCTGAGTTGTTGGGGTGGACGAATGATTCGGCTCGTCGATATAGTTGTAATCTCCTCTCAGACGCGAGGTCATCAGCTCGATCCGTCGAGAAAAGTCGTCTGCGTTGTTCTCCTTTGGCGGCTCGGATTGAGAATCTGGCGATTGGGGGCGCGGAGGGGCTGGCGGTTCGGGGCGGGAGGCGGATCCCCTCTCAGCCCACCGTCCGATTAAGCTAGTACCCTTTGCTGCTGCATCAGGTCTTTGGTTTAACTCTGGTGCTTCCTCGTCGCTGTCGACGGCATCCGTGTATCCAGGCTTCGAGGCAGGCGCATGCGCCTGGGGTCGCGATGGGGCGCCCAAGCCCTCCGTGTTGGCCGCCTTTGCAAACTGTGGCATATCGGCGGTCATGGGGGCGTTGCTTCGGCGGCTGACCACGGGCGTCTTGAAGGGCGTTGTCAGCTTCTGGGACTGTAGCTGCGAAACAGGGATTGTGACGTCCTGTTTCTCAAAGAGCTCGATGAGGGACTCCCTCATATTGTCCAGCATACGGCCCTGATCGTGGAGGAGGATGGTCCGCTTGTCTGGGCTGACGTTTACGTCGTATAGGTGGGTATCGAGCTGGATATCGGCAAATATAAAGGGTGATTGCGTCGAGTTGTATGCCTTATAGACCTCGTTGAACACTTTTGCAAACTGGGGCAGCGCGCAGGGCCTCCCGTTGACGTAAAACATCTGGCGATCCGGTGTCTGCCTCCCCTCTCCCCTGGCGGGCCGAGAAACATGGCCGCGGACGTGGACCACCGTCGTTTCCGTCTCCTTGGAGCCATCTCCAGCAAGTGCAGCGACCCCGCGGCTGGTAGTGGGCTCTAGCTCGAGCTCAAGGTCCATAGTTATCAGGGCCGACAGAGTCTTGGCGCCGAAGACGTTGACGATGTTTTCCCTCGTGGTGGGGTTACCCTTGGTCGAGAAGAGAACGGTGCGCTTGCCCTTGGTGGGCTGTTGGGAGACGGTGAACTTGATGCCGGTCTGGATGCAGGCATACTGGTTCAGGAGGTTGACAACTTTGCCCCACTCACGCTTGATGTTGCGCTCCAGCTCGCGGCGGCGGACGGGGAGGTTGTAAAAGAGCGTCTCGATCGTGACGATGGTGCCCTTTTGTCCGGCAACAACGCTGGTGCCTTTGAGCTTCCCTGAAGTTTCGAACTCGAGCTTGACGGCCTTGGGCACATCGGACTGCAGGCAGGTCGTGACGGTGAAGTGGGACAGGGCGCACAGAGACGAGAGGGCCTCACCGCGGAAGCCAAAGGTCTGCAGTGAGTCCAGGTCCGTGTATGACGACAGCTTCGACGTGTAGTGCTTGAGCGCCAGGCCCTCGTAGTTGTGCGGGGCTATGCCGTAGCCATTGTCCTGGACTTCGATCGAGTCGAGGCCCTGGTTTTTGAACCGGACCTCTGGTTTGAGACTGCCGGGTCAGCAGTGCTCGGGGCCGTGTGCGCAAGGAGCGCAAGGAGGAGGGGCGGCGCTCACCGACGGCTGTAGCGCCGGCATCGATGCTGTTCTCGACTAGCTCTTTTGCAACAGAGCAGAGGTCAACAATGACCTGGCCGGACTGGATTTGGTGGACCTGCGACGGAGGGGTGTTAGGCTATGTGCAGCAGCGAATGCGCGGGGCACGAGATGCCTTACTGTGCTCGCCTCAATGGCCTTAATGGTGGGGGCTGCTGTCTCGGCTGTCATTATGTGGGACGGAGAGGTAAGGGGAACACAGCCAGCAACAGCATGTCATCGGAAGCTGGGCAAGAACTATACAACTATGGCGAGCTGAATGCACAAAATGCGAAGTTTGGCGACGTCGAGGCGATTCGGAGGTGTCGGCTAGGATCGCATAAGCTCCCAACTCGGGCGCAGACGACGCGACGCGTAGATTGGTTGCCCCGTCGGCCACGGTCATCCCAATCTTGGAACCTGAACCGCCCTGATCATCCATTCGTTGGAACTGAATCCATCCCGCGTGGGGCAGCGCCAGGGCTCCCCAGCTGGGGTCCCTCCACCAATGCAGCGCACGTGGCGCGCACTGTCGAATGCACTCCAGGACCCGCCCGCTTCCTCATCCAAGCTTCGCGACAGGCTCATCCATTCATGTTTTCATCCCGGCTGCTGTCTGAAGTTGAGCCTTCATCCCATGGAAAACGCCCCCGCGTGCGTATGTACCAACATTGACAATGTGCAAGGTGCGATGTATGTACAGGTCCCAGGAATCACAAACCTTAGTACAGTGGATCCTGATGGTACATTAGTTTGACTTGGTTTTCTAATGAAGAAAATGTATCTTGCATCCACCACATTAAGGTTTGGGACCTACCATCTGCGGGGGAAATAAAGATAAAAACCCACCCAGTACAGTAATAAGGGGGTAACAGGGGGGTTAAAACTGGAAATCGCAGGGGTCCTAGTGACTTGGGGGGATGGCACGAGACTTCAAGAATTTCTCGTCCTTCAAAAGCTTTTCTCGATTTCTCTCCTTCTTTCACCAACTTCATGCCAGCACGTGACCCCCCTTTTGCCACCCCTGTGATCTCTAGTTTTAACCCCCCTGTTGGGAGGTGGGTTTTTACTGTTTATTTCCCTTGCAGACGGTAGACAAGGTGCAATTTTGTTGCTCTGGAAATCTTCTTGTGCATGGCGGCCTTGCTTTTGGGTTCCGTTGGCACCTGCGCTGCGTCTAGCTCGCTTCTAGACTGTTGGGCGCTTGCTTTCGTTACCATGTTCACTTCATTGGCTGAAGCTCGAGAAGCTCAAGAAGCTCCAAGCTTCTCACTGGAGCAGATCCATCTGTCAAAGCAAGCAGAGCTCTACCTGAAATCCATATGGGATCCGTTAATTGTGCTTGCATCGGTAAGACGAGCCGAACCTCGACCACGGCCGTAAAACAGGTGGTAGTGAAACTGCTGTGCTGTAACCCCCAACCGGATCGCTCGAGCCGTTTCCCGATCCAGTTATGCGCGCGTTGCTGCACAAGCTGGCGCCAGAACATTGAAGATTCGTCTGTGCAGGTTTCTGGCCGATTCATCGATGCGTGGCCTGACATGTCAGGCCAGGCGGCATAGGGATACCGGATGTGTCTTGCTTTGGTTCCGTTTCTTGTTTCTCCCCGACGTTTGTTTGACTGCAGCCAGGGCAGGCAGCCATGGAGGGCTTGTGTGGGCCATTTCCTGCATCGTGCCCCCCCTCTTTCACATCTCCAAACCTGGAGCGATGGCCACCCACAGAGCAAGGGGTAGGGACCAGCCCGGACAGGCTCCGTAATGAGTGATATTTCTTTTGGGTTGCCCCGTTCGTTCTTAGCAGCCACGCTGCCTTCTGAGCACACATGGATGTAGGTGATAGTGCCGGCGTTAGCACATCCATCGGCTCCTTTGGAGGAGGCGCCGTTTGTGTTGAAACACGAAACACAAAATTGGACGCCAAAAGTGCCACCCCGCCCTAGCCGGGCATCCAAGCACCGCACCTTCCATTCGACGACAGACGCCCATCGTGGCCAGGCCGACTGGCAGCCAAGGCCGACTACCAACGGCCAGGCGCCCACGTACCCACACCCACCACCCAGCGTGCCAGCCCAGGCCTGCAAGCATGGCCGGGTCGGAGAACAGCAAATAAATGGAGCTGAAGCAACACTGCCCCATCAAGCACCAGGACCGGGGGTTGTCCCTCCTCGCCTATCATATTTGGGATTAGGCTGTGCCAGTGGGACTGGCATCTATCGGACGTGGGCGATCAGCCGCACGCTAGATGTAGGCCAGCGAGAACAAGACCGGGTCGGGGGCGTGGCACCCCAGCCCAAAATGAGAGGAGAGGAGGGGGACATGGGAACAAACGCGGTAGCGGGTGGCGTCTGGTTCTTTTCGGATCGAGAAACAGGATACCACCCCCCCCTAGCTCAGGCGGTTATGTACGACAGCCGCGCCCGCCATCAGCCGCCGTCGCCCTCTCTTTTCGCCTTCTTGCTTCTTTTTTTGCGCTCTTTTCGTTTGCCTTCGATAATCTAGAGAGGGCAGGCCTTGGCGGCATAATGGATGAGCTGCTTCTTGCACTTGTGCTCAAGAGTGGCTGAATCGCTACCCCGTCAAACCATTCTCTTCTCCGGCCCCACGCTTGGAGCTGCTGTCTTAGTTGTGTCTGGTTTTCCTGTTGCGTGTCTTGTCTTCTTGCTTGTCGTTTTCTTTCCCCTCCTTGCTTGTCGCCAAAACCCAGTCCGCCGCAATGTCCGCCGGACGCTGCACCACGATACCCAGGGCGTTTTCCTATATTCTCCCCATACAGAGCTTGGTCACGGGAGCAGTTGTCTATGGAATCATCTATATCTTCACCTTCCGAAGCCTCGTCTTTATACTCGGCGTAGTTGCGGTATGTACCTGCCTTCATCAAGTAACAGGGGCCTACTACAAACAACCCTGTGGCCCGAAAATCGCAACACGAACTGACAAATCGCATGGTGCTCGACCATCAACGTTGCGCAGACGGGACTTCAATTCTTCCTGGGCATCTACTGCTGTTTGTTGGGTGCAAAATCCGGCATATATCACAGATTCATCATTCCAACATGGCTCGTCGCACTTGCGGGAATATGGATTGCACCTCTTTATTATCTCACTGCCGAGCTCGACAGTGAACTCAAACTGAAGGAGGCTCTGGGTTCCCTCACTTATGCCAATCGCTTCCCGAACGAAAGCGACGCCCGAATCATCTGGAGGGCTGTGGGAGTAGCAGGTTCGGCCGTGAACTGGTATGGCTTAGTGTTGACCCTTTCGGATCGATCCTGACGTTGGGCCGGGCCACTCTGACAATGCTTCCAACTAGCTTTATCGACCTGATACTTCTCGCCATCTTCATCGTCATCGGGCTGAGGAGCCCTCCTCACCACGGCTTCAACCCAAATCCGGCGACAGCGCCGAACACGGCGCATGTGCACGCACAGCCGTTCGCCCCGGCCGGCTCGTCGACGTTTTACCAATCGCCGCCCTCCACGACGGCCTTCGGTCATGCGCCGAGCACCTCGGGACCTTCGCAGGGCTACCACAGCCAGCCCTCGCCCCTGAGCTCCGCGGAGCCCTCACCGAGCGCCGTCAACACCTACCACCAGCAGCTCCAGCACCTTCAGCAGCAGCAGTTCGCGCAGCAGCCCGACACGAGCTCGAGCCCGGCCCTCAGCAGCACCGACGGCAAACACTCGACCATAATCTCGACGGTGCCGCAGCCACATCAACACGCTCAACACCAGCAACAGCCGTACAGCGCCGGCGGCTACGACCCACAGAACCGAATCGAGATCTTGCGGCGCCTCGTCAGCCTCCAGGCCGCTGACGGCCACTGGGATTGGTCGCAGGACCTGCACGAGGTTCTGAGAATCTGCGGCCGCGACGTTACAGATGCTTCCCCCGTGGGCATGACGTCCATCGCAAACGCGCTGACGGTGGACATTTGCCAATATGTCTGGACCGCACAACGGGAGGGCCGTGAGCACACGGCCCTGACTGCAGCAGAAATGATAACGCTTCAGGGTATGAACTGGGACTTGGGCTGGGCTCAGCGATGCACCGACATGGCGGCGGTTTGGCTTTTAGCATCAAGACGAGTCTCGGGTGGGGCATGAAGTGTACTGTTTTTTTGTTTGGTGACTTCGTCTTCTTTTGCCCTTATTCCTCTGGCTGGATCCATGGTTGCGAGACCGGCCTTTTTGTAGTACCTCGGGAGCTGTTGGTGGCTGCTGGGGGTTTCGTTCTCGCTTTCCTTCATCCCTCGAATTGGCCTCTTGTTGGGCTCGAGGAAACCGATGGTTCTGTGGTTCCTAGTGGCCACTTTGAAAAAAATCCTTGCTGTGGTTGCTTCTCCCGGCTTCGTGAGACGGGTATATTGTAAATTATAATGCCTATCATTTTGTCCAGATGCAAATCCTGGTGCTTCTTCGCTGGCACTCCGGGTACCTCTGGACGGTGGTTATGAGAAGAAGCTTTTCCCCATTAGTAATTCGTAATACGCCTTTTGGTCCATTTCACTCCCGAGTGACGGGTCCAGCTCCAGTGCCGTATCCTCCATGGGCTCCGGATTGGAGGCCATGGCGACAAAATCTTCTACTGTCTCGCCCGGGGCGAAGCCCAGGGACCCAAGTGTCTGGGAGAAGCCATCGGAGCTGGTGACAAGAAGGATTAGTTTTCCAGTTGAAAACCTTGGGGGAAAGTCGGCACATACGATCTTGCGGCGTCCTTTACCACCAAGTCCGAAACCGAAACCGACGGGTGTGAGCGCTCTGGGTTCACAGACCCGAGCGCCGCTTTCGAGCCATCGTTGGACGGGGATGGGGTCAAGATGCTGCTCTGCTCGGCGCGCGAGCCGGTGCTGGAGAGAGGCTGCCCGGTGAGTGAGGTCGATGGGCGCCTGGGTCTGCCCCCCGACGCGGCATCAGCAGCAATGGGGGCAACATGGACGCCGCGGACAGGCTCCCGCCTCGACTCTCCCTCGCTCTCGCCGGCACCGACGGTGGAGGCGGCGGCGTCGTCGCCGAAGAAGGCCCTGAAGGCGACGCTCTGCTGCCACGACTGGATGAGTGAGTCTTGCTGCTGGGGATCCCTAACGGCGGCGGCAAGGCGCTTGCCCTCGTCGGTGCGGGCGACGGCGGCCTCGACGAGCGATGCCAGCTCGGGGACCAACGTCAAGGCGGCACCCCAGGCGGCGGCGCTCTCGCGCATGCTGTGCAGAGCATTGCGGTAGCCCTGGGCGGGACCTCTCTTCTTCTGCGGACGCAGGTAGAGGCACTGCTTGTCGTGCTTCTCGCAGTAACTGCAGCGGGGCTTTGCATTGTCGCAGGGCTGGTGGTTGACGTGGCAGTAGTCGCACCTGTTTGATGAGCATATCAGATATCAGGCAAAGGGTCGGATTTCACGGGACGACTCCGGGAAAACTTACGCCCGCGAGCTCTTCTTCCTCTTGCGGGGATTGGCCGAAGCCGTCTCCTCAGGGGCCGCCTCGCTAGCCGCCACCCCCTCGTGCCACTCGTGCGCACCTGGCTGATCCGCAGCGGCCTTGCCGGCAACGGCGGCGGAGGCGGACGAGGTCATGATCTCATCGGACACTCGCTCGCTGCACGGTCGCCTCTTCCGCCGTCATGTGTGTGAGAGTGTGTGAGAGTGTGTGAGTGCTGGCAGCTGGGCAAGCTTCCAATGGGCCAAGGTGAGAGGCGTGGTGTGCGCGTGTCTGCGGCTGGAAATGACTCGTAGCTCGGGTTCGTGAGAGTCTGTTGAGCCTCTTGGTCAAGCCTTGATTGTGCCTCCAGCCTCCTCCACATGGGTGGGCTCGGGAGGCTGTGAGCTGAAGGGCTCACGATTGATTGATTTGATTGCCTTTTCTAAATCAACGGCAAAAGCAGGCTGTAGCAACTGCCCCAGCCATTACATCCGCTGAACGGCACAACGACGCGCAGTGACAGCAACCATTTTCTCAGCGGCCCCAGTTTTTCTCATCTCAAGGGAAGACGCATACAGGCGGGGGAAGATGGATTGCCCGGGGCCATCTGTCAGCAGCTCGGCTCCGCACCACGACCTCGCATCTGCCGTGCTATGACACTGAAAGGGGGGCCGATAGCACGGGCGCCCATTTATGCCCGGCGCAACGACCCCAGCCATGTCTTTGCCATTGCCAGTCAGTCCTGCTACTAGAACTCCCGTCTATATCATTTGACCAACCCCGACCTTTCTTGGCCGCCACGGTGGCCCGCTGAGGAGGAGAGATGTCGATGGCTGTGGGAGCTCTCAATCCCACCTGACCTGCGACTCTCCTTTGCCTCGCTTTTGCCGACCCTGTGCACCGCGCATTTTGATGGGTGGTGTTTAGACGGCTTGTCATCACCCCCTCGAAACGCGGGATACCCCAGCAACAAAGCAACAAGGAGCCAGCCAAGAAAAGGTCGGCCAAATCAAGGTCGGCATCGCAACTGCCCAAAATGACGGCACTCTCGATGGCTGGCGAGGTGGACGGGCAGGCTCCGGTGGAGGGCACCACTCCCGTGAACCGGCGCCTATACAACCCCGAGGCCTCCATAGTCCTGGTGGGAAGCCGCGGCGCCGGCAAGAGGTCGCTTGGCTTCATCGCCGCCCTGCACCTCCGGCGCCGCCTGGTGGTAGAGGACCACTGCTTCGAGCAGCTCACGGGCGTCTCCCGCGCCACCTTCCTCCGGCAGCACGACAGGGATGCCTTCGCCCGCAAGAATGCCGGCGTCTTCAAGCAAATGCTCGACACCAACCGCAAGGGCTGTGTCATCGTGTGTGGCATGACCAGCCTGTCCGACGAGGCCCAGAGCCTTCTGGACCAGTACACAGCGACAAACCCGGTCGTCTACGTCCATCGCGAAAGGGAGCGGGTGGTCGAGTTCCTCGACAGTGCTGATGCCCATCTCCTACTCGAGGCTGACCAGAGCCACCGGCGATGCTCCAACTTCGAATACTACAACCTGTACGACACCTTCTGCAGCAGATCCGACTCACCTGGGGAGACGACGCCCCGCTGGGATGCACTTTCTGCGAGCTCTTCGACTCTCCTCAGCGCAAAGGAGGATTTCACAACATTCCTGGATCTGCTCCACGGTCAGGGGTGGCGACGCAAGTGGCTTGAGAGCCCCTTTGCCCTCAATGCCCTGCCCCCGGAGTTCAGACAGTACTCATACGCCCTGCGCCTCCGACTTTCGTGGTTACTCCATATGAAGCTCGCCTGGGACGACATGGAAGCGGCCGGGGACTGTGTCGAGTTCATAGTAGACTGCTGGCCTGAGGATATGGCCAACGTTATCGCCAAGCAGGTGGCTCTTATCCGCAGGAGGCTTTCCTGCCCAATCATTTACCATGTTGAGGAGAAGCCCAGGGGTCAGCGGCGGAGGCCCCCAGAGGAGAGAGATATGGTCGACACCGACCTCCTTGAGCTTGGCCTGCGCCTGAACGTCGACTATATCAGCCTAGACCTCCAAAGAAGCCCAGCCTTGATCAATCGCGTGCTCGAGCACAGGGGTCGGACCAGGGTTATTGGAAACTTCTGGTACAACGGCCTGGGCGCACTCGCTTGGGGAGACCCGGCCCAGCTCGATAACTATTTGCGCGCCCAGGGGCTGGGATGTGACATTGTCAGAATGGTGCGCTTCTGCTCCGGCGACAGCACAGTCGAGAAGCTTGCCAGCTTCCGGGAGCTGGTGCGACTCACGGTACCGGACCCGAAGCCGCCGCTGGTCGCCTACGACTATTCCGTTCTTGGGACGCGCACGCCCTACCAGTCCCGCATCCTTAACCCCGTGAAGCCGCCGGGCATGGATAACAGCGATCATCTGGCCACCCTGTGCACCTACCGCAGCACCTTTGGGCAGCTCTTCACCCAGTTCCTACTGGACCCGCTGCAGTTTTATGTACTTGGCCGGAATGTGTCCTACTCCATCTCGCCGGCCATGCACCAAGCAGCGTACGAATTCACTCGGATGCCGCATACTTTCCAGCCCTTCTCGTGCTCAACACTGGAGGAGCTGCACCTGATCAGCCGTGCCCCAGCGTTTGGCGGCGCGTCGCTGGCGGCGCCGTTCAAGGTGGCCATCATGCCGCAGCTAAAATCTAAGAGCCATCATGCGAGCATAATCGGAGCCGTCAACGTGTTGCTGCCCCTGCGTGGCCAAGCCGACAGCATCATCAGCCACCCGACATCGCGGAACAAGGCCGGTCCCGCCACCGACTTCTATGGCGATAACACCGACTGGAGCTCGATCCTGACCTGTCTCAAGCGGGCCATTAGTCCCTGAAACTACGTCCGGCCCTCAAAGACGACAGCGCTGGTGATTGGTGCCGGCGGCATGGCGAGGGCGGCCATCTATGCCTTGATCCAGCTAGGCTGTCGCAATATCTTTGTCTATAACAGAACCCGTGAGAACGCCATCCAGATCGCAGACCATTTCAACCATGCCGTCCAGACCAAGAAGATGTGGTCCAATATAGCCGTGCAAACCCAAGTCTGCCATGTACTCTCGTCCATCTCGCAGGATTGGCCCCAGTCCTACCAGCCCCCTACGATAATTATCTCATGCGTACCGGCAACAAGTGTAGACGGCGGGCCTCCGCCCGATTTCGAAGTTCCCCGGCAGTGGCTGGGCAGCCCCACTGGTGGCGTCGTCGTCGAGGTAAGCCAGGAGCCCCATCGCAAGGCTTGGTGTTTTGGGTCAAAAGTGAGGCTGACATGTTTCTATTCTTCTGGTGCAGCTAGCGTACGAACCACTCATCACTCCCCTTGTGGCCCAGATGCAGGTGTTCAGGCATACCGTCTCCCCGTCGTGGGTGGTTGTCGACGGCCTCGAAGTGGTCAGCGAAATGGCGATCGAGGCATTTGAGCTCATGACGGGCCGCATGGCTCCCAAGAAGCTAATGAGGAGCGTGTGTAGGAGCACGTGGGAGCAACAGAGGAGAGAACTTTCGTCAATCTCATGAGATATGTAGTAGTCGTTCGTCAGATCCGGGACTATTTTTTAGTGAAATTACAATCGTGATGTGTTTTAAAGCACGGGACGTAAACCAAGTCAATCACAGTAGGTCAGTGAGAGCGCACCCGATTCAGGGTAGGTTGTTTGCTGGCAGCAGCAAGGACGCTGGCTCCTTCCTCCTGCCTCGGCGACTAGCTGAAAATTGGGATCGCAGTGCAACCAGAAGGGAAAGAGCTGCCCATCACCGAGACCAGACGTCCAGCCTCTGCGCTTTTGACAGGTCAGGCTCCCTGTTATCTCCGGCCTCCTCCTCTTTACAGAGTACCTATTTTCTCCTTGCAAGTTCCGAAATAGGCACTTCTCCCACCGCCAAACCTCACCTTCGTTTTCAAGCCTGAACCTTCGCACTATCGCGCCGTGATAAAGTGACGGGAATCTCAACTAATACCTCACTCTTGTTCAAATCACAATCCAGCGACCACCTTGGGAGGTCCATTGCGGGCACCACCACTCCAAGCGCACCTCGCTCGATCTCCAGCTCGCGAGTTCAATCCCTAAAATTGACGCCATCAGCAATACCGCGACGGCTACCTCCCTTGCCATCACTTTCCCAAGCTCGCCTGTACCCAACACGCCGAAACACTGTGACAATCCGTCACAACATAAACACCAATCATGCCAGATCTCCTTCAAGCCCTGCGCCGGGTACAGAGCACCTACGTTCTGTCAGGGGAGCCCCTACGCCCCGGTCCCTCTCGCTCCCGGAGCGTAACTAGAATGCTTGGCGCATGGCCTGAGAAGACAGCCCACGGCGACCGGAGAGGCGTCCAGGAGCTCGCGGACAACCATAAGCTTCAGCAATACTGCTTCTCGGACTTTCCAGACTCTCTGAGGAGAAGCACCAGCACCAACTGGAGTAGCAGCAATGACAGCAGTGGCAAAGTTGCTGATACTTGCGGTACCGATAGCTCTCAGGTTGACAGGGGCCGCAGCCGCGGCGACGACAGCGGCGACGATGCAAGTGATGAGGCCTCCTCGTGCTCTAATGACCACATGTCTATTGCAGAGCTTGAATTCGCCCCCGAAAGTGAGTCCATTCCCCAATCCAACCATGATTTTGCTACCACGCAGCCTGGAATGGTGGTTTCTGCAAGATTCCGAGCTGACTGTTTCGGCAAGACCTCGACGACGAGGTGATGGAAGACGCGGAGGGCCCGGGCCCTGCAACAGAGCCCAAGTCGACCTCGGCGACGCCCCCGAGCGCCCCGAAGAAGCCAAAGTATGCGCCGCGCTTTCTTCCCTACACGAAAACCTCGCCGAGGGGCTACAAGGTGCTCCAGAGGCCCGGCGAGGGTAGGGACCTCTGGTCCCCGGGAGACGGATTCACGAGGAAGGAGGCCCGACCGCTGGGCGTCTGCATCGGCTCCAAGCGCAAGCTCTCGGACCTGGCCGCCGCCGTCGGCTTCCTGGACCTGACTCCCCAGTCGGACGCCCACGATCTGGGCTGGCAAGCCCCCTACGAGGCCGCGACCCCAAGGAAGCGGAGGCTCGCACCCGGCTTCGCCGCAGAGCGTGACGCGGATCTGGACGAGTCCCTGCGGCGAGGTCGGTCCCGCCGCCGTCTGGCGCCTAAACCCCGCTCTCCGGGTCGTGCCTCGTCGCCACGGGCTCACAATAAATCTGCCCAGCCAGAAAACGCACTCGATACTGGAGTCAACACTGCCGGCCCTAGCCCTCCCGCTACGCTCTACTGCTCGCACCCTCTTTCTCTTCGGCCGGGCTTGCCGCGGCCTTCTCAGGATGCGGGTTCAACCACTCTTTGAGAAGGGTTTGCGCTGGCATCGCAGGAACCTTGGACGCCGGGGCTTTTCTTCTTTGCTGGCGAAAGCTCAACAGCGCACAGAAACGGTTGCCCATTTTATCCACCTCACTCATCGGAGCATGACAGTTGACTAGGACAAGGATTACGGCCACTCATCACACACCTGTCGTGATTCACATCCATCCCCTCTGCGATATGTTGTTGCTCCCTTCGCCCTCTCCTAAGACGGGTGCGTATAGACTCTTTTTGGCAAGAATCATATTGGCGTTAAGGACCTAATTCTAAAAGTAACCAGTCTTCTGTGTCCTCATCTCTTCTTGCTTGTGGTTAGAGCAATCTCTTCCACATCAGCAATGGTTTTCTAGAATAGGGTCTAGGTTGGGAGAGCAAGTGCAAACGAGCGTGGGGATGCTGGGCTCAATGGAGAAATCAGCCAGGCTACGACTAGCAACGACTTTTGATAGAAACAAGCTCTAATACCGCATCCCTCATTTCAGTAGCGCGACTTTGGCCGCGTGCGCGTTTGATGGTGGTGCCTCTTTCTGCGGGCGTGCTCGTCGTGATTCTCCTAGTAGTCCTTGTCTCGCCATCTCCAGCGAGAGTTCATAAGGCGGAATCCCTACTCTCCGCCTTTGAAGGGCTTGATGGGCTGCGAGTCTGGGACGTAGTCGTATTGACCGCCCATGTTGACGAGCCAGGTCTGCTGGTAGTGGGCCGGGGGCTTGGGGCCCCAGAGGAAGTTGTGCGGGAAGCCCAGGTCAAAGGGGATGGCGCCCTCGATCTCGGCGATGTCCTCGGGGGACAGCTCGAGTAACAGCCCCTCGATGTTTTGCGCCAGGTGCTCCACCGTGCGTCCTCCCTGCGTTTTGCTTAGCTGAATATCCCAGTCATGGTTGGATCCTGTGACGATGAGCTACGAGCGGTGCCAGAAAAAAGAAAACTCACAACAATGGGAAAGACGTAGGGGGCCTTGTGCATGACGTAGGCCAGCGCGACCGAGGTGATTATGGTGTTGTTGCGCTTCGCGACGTCCTCCAGCACCTTGGACACCTTGAAGTCGTCCTCGCTGGCCTGGACCTTGAGCCCGTCCGTGGCCTTCCACTGCTCCTCCGTCTTGAACTTTCCTCCGCCCAGGCTGCCCCAGGGAGCCAGACCCATCTGGGGAATCGGAGCGCGTCAGCTTCTCTTGCTCGGGCATGTCCCGTGGGGATGCGCACAGACCCGGTGGCGGGTTTTGCAACTTACACCCTCGGCGCGGACCATGGGGATGATCTCGCGCTCAAAGTCGCGCGAAGCAGCCGACCATCGTCCCTGGTAGATGCTGAACTGACGGAGGCCGTGGTTCCTCGCGTACTCGTTGGCCTTGCTGACAACCCACGCCGGCGTGTCAGATATGCCCAGGTACAGGACCTTGCCCTCGGCAACCAGATGGTTGAGGGACTGCATCAGCTCTGGGATCGACGTCGAGTAGTCCCACCAGTGCACGTAGAGCTAGATGTTGAAAACACAATGGCACGGTTAGTGATTGGCGCCTGAGAAGAGGTGCATGCATTATTCGTTTTATAGAGACAGGCCACTTACCAGATCGATATAAGAAGTCTGCAGCTTCCTCAAGCTGGCATCAACCGAGGTGCGGAGACTCTTGGTACTATTGCCGGTGGAGTTTGCCATGATCTCAACACCGCCCTGGCCAGCTCGGAAGTTGGACGTGTATTTTGTGGCGATGACTAGGACACGGCATGGCAACATCACTGTCAGCAACCCCCAGACGACAGAAACGCTCAGGGGAGTCCAACCTACCCATCTGTTCCCGGTTGCCGCGCTTCTGCATCCACTCTCCGATCCAGACCTCGGACTGTTCGAACTGGTAATTGTTCGCGGTGTCGATAAAGTTACCTAGCCACAAGGGGGTCCAGTCAGCAATAAGTCCTAGAGATGGCTATGCGTTCGTCGAGCACGGCCAGCATCCATGAGACTAGACTCCAACAAAAAACCGGAGGGCCCGGAACATACCACCCTGCAAAGAGCATGTTAGCAAATGCCAGAGATGCCAGATATGTGTCACATCCTATGCATGGGAAAATGAAAGGAAAACACACCTGGGCATAGAAGAAATCAAGAATCTTCTCCGTCTGGTCCTGGTTGCAAGATCCCATGTAGGCCTTCCACTTGTCGCCAAAGTTCATGGCGCCGAGACACAGCGGGCTGACCCGGACGGCGGCGGTGGGCGAGAGCAGCCTGTAGCGTCCCAGAGGGCTCTTGGCCGGCGGCGCCATGGGCATAGCACTACTAAGCGGCATGGCTGCGGCTGTCCAGCTCGAAGCGGGCGGCGGGATAGTGAGGCGGCGGGCAGCTTGCTGCTAATTGTTGTTGTTGTTGCTGTTGTGGTTGTTGTTGTTGATGGCGGTGGAGGAGTGGTGTCGAGCGGGTCCCTCGAACCTCAAGGGCCTTGGGGATGTGTGGGGATATGGACCGGGGAAGAGTAATGTGATGGGGATCAAGTGTGAAGGACGGGGACGAAGACTATACAGGTCCCTGCTAGATACCATAACCGTGGGATATATACGCGCGCGGGGTACCTAGGCCGAATACCCACTGCCTGGAGTGGTCCAAAGTGGAGAGCAGAGCAGACGTCGTCAAGTATGTGTCGTCTCGTGTATTTTCGACGACGGCCCGGTGCCTTTGCAGGAGGGCAGGTGGAATTACGGGGTCCAGAATCCGCTATCTCCAGGCCTGGATCTTCCGCAGGCGAGGGATGGAGTTGCATCCATTGAGCATGGGCGGTTCTTTTTGGACGAGCCTGGGACGGACTGCTCCCACGCTCCTTCCGGTGCATGGATCATTCGGTTACGCCAGCCCAAAGTTAACTGCATTTTAGTAGGCAACATCATTCCTGTTTCGGCCGCAGCGGGCTAGTGTAGGTACACCTATCTGGAGGTGGCATCCCCTGAACGCACCTTCTCTGCAAGGGAGCCAATGACATTTGGCGAGAAGCTATGGTGGCACCCAAACAGGCAACAAACGTGTGCTTGGCTCGCACCAATCCTATCACTTGTCTAAATCCGATGCTCACTCCTCACTTAAGCCGGCTATTTCTTATTCCCGATCTTCCAAGCTACCTACCGGGTTTACTGACTTTGAGTTGGCGATAAAAAATCACCGCCGGGCGAAACCACCCCTTTATCCAACTCACCAGCGAACGATCAAAGACGTCACCTCACTGCCACCATACTCCGTCATACTGGACAGAACTCTCGCGTCTCATACACTCGCCATGGCTTGCTTATAAGTACAGGTCCGTGAGGTAAATATAACAGGCCATAACGCTGGGCGTGCCAAACGTTAGGCACACAACGACAGCACCCCGCCTGCTCAGGCGAGGGTTCGTTGTGCATAAGGAGCAGGAGTCTTCCGTCCGGGGAGGTCTAGCAGGTCCACACACCAACGATGCCGTCCTTGCGACCCTCCACCAAGTAGCTGTCCTTTATCCTGACGCGCTCAACGATGGCCGGCGGGTTCTTCAGCTCCTCAGCTGCCTTGATGCCCGCGCCGCAGTCCCACTGCCGGCCCTCTGCCTTGTCGTACACTTTGACCACGTCCTCACCGGCCGCGCTGACGATGCGCCTAGTATCGAACATCATGCTGGTGATGCCGTTCTCATAGGCGTAGGCGTCGTAGATGGAGCCGGTGCGCAGATCCCATATCTGTGTCATCAATGCATGATTAGTCATATGCCCTCTCATGTAGTAGTATGAAATGTCGCTCGGCGACGTCATGGGGCCGGTCCTTGGCCAGAAACTCACCCTGATGCTCCTATCCAGCGAGCCAGTCACGAGATGCACATCGTCAAATTGGAGGCACGTCACGGGGCCCGTGTGGCCGACCAGGCTTCGGTGCACCTGGCCGCTCCGCAGGTCCCACAGCCTGACCATGCCGTCTGCCGTACCGCATGCCAGCGCCGCATCAAACACTTGCAGAGAACCCACAAAGTCGGCGGCGTCGGCCTGCGACCGCGTCGTCTGTCGCCATGTGTTGCCCTCGCTGGCTCCGGACGACGCCTGCGCCGCTGCCCACATAACGTCCAGCGTCTGGACGCACCGACCCTTCTCCAGATCCCACTGACGAAGCGTCTTGTCGGCCGATCCGGAAACAAGCGTGTTGCCCTTGAAATGCAGCGCCGTCACCTCGTCCATGTGCGCCGACAGCGTGACGACGGGGCAGTCGGCCATGCTTCCAGCGGGCGGGTCCACAGGCTGATCGTCGGGGTTCTCGAATGCCATGGCCTCATCGTCGTCGTCCTCTTTGCCGCCAAAGTGGCCTCCGTGCGGGTCGTAGTGCGCCCGGCTCAGGTCCCAGAGCCGCACCGTCGCGTCCGCGGAGCCCGTTGCCAGCAAGTTGTCAACCACCTGCAGAGCCCGTACAGACGCGGTGTGGCCATCGATCAAGCCGATGCACCGTCCCGCGTTGAGATCCCAGACCTTGATCGAGTCGTCCATGGCCGCCGTCACCAGCGTGCCGAAGGGCGCATCAAAGTCCACAGCGGTGATGCGGTCGTTGTGCGCCCTCAGCTCGCGGATCCCGGTGCCCGGCTCAAAGTGCTCGTGCAGGACAGCCGCGGACCTTCGGCGGACCACTCTGGGCTTCCTGCCCTTGGATGGGCTGGTGCCCGTCGACGGTATCTTCTCGTAGATGGACTGCGACATGAACCCCATGTCTCCGTCATGGCCTAGCACCAGATCATCGTCCAGATGTCGAGCTACGCTTCCCGCTAATGACTCGGCTTCATCCACGAGTTCCTGTGCATCTTCAACCCGCGTCTCGACCTCCATGACTACGCGGAGAACATGGATATGTTAGCGGGCCTGGCCTTCGCCGCAATGCAGAACAGGTCGAGGAAAGAAGCCAAGAAGAGAAAAGCAAAGAGAAAAACTGGACAAGAAACAGGAGAAGCGCGAAAAGTGAGGGGCCGAGCAGGGGGGAATTTACGGTCGTGCTCTAGTATCGTCTCTTCTTGCTCCAGCACGGCGAGACGATCTAGTATTATTTTTCGCATGCCGTACAGGTTGGAGATTTTGGTGTCGATCTCGCGGATCTCGCAACTGGCCATGCTCTTACGGATCCCGAGCATCTCCAGCTCGTGAGCCATCGCCGCGCGCTCCTTGCGCAGCTTCTGCAGGCCATGTGGACCCTCGGGCGTGCCGGGGGCCTCATCCAGAAGCCTCCTCCCCCGCGACACGCGACGCCGGTGCTTCTTCCCCTCGTCGGTGAGCTCGGGGAAGGTGGCCTGGAAGCCCTGGAAGAGCGAGTAGTCATTGTCATCGTCGGGGATGTTGTCCAGCAGCTCGTCGGGGACGTGGGCAAGCGCGCGGTGCTGGATCTCCTTGGTTGAGAGCTTGGACCGCACCAGATCGGAGGGGGTGGTCCGCGCCATGGAGAACATGCTGCGCTGAAGATCTGGCCGTCGCAGATGCTTCTGGACGACCTCGGTCATGGTACTCTGGTAACTTGAGCTCGTCGTGGGGTCCGAGTTGGAGGGCCTTATGAGGTGGCTCGCAGTGCTCGTCACCTTGCGGCCAAAGGCCTCCAGTCCCCGGGGCTGGCGCAGAGGGGCAGAAAAAAGTTAGGGACTAGCGCAAGCGACAGCAAGGGGCACATCCACGGCGGCGGCTTGAAGCTTTTCTCGTCGCCGCGCAGGCAGTGGCGACCTACCGAGAGGATGGAGCCCTCATCCTCGTGCGCGAGGTCATCGTTGAAGGGTATTTCGTCGTCGGGAGACGCCATGGGGGAGGAGCAGCTGGTGCAGTCAGGGCTCCAGACCGCGCACGGCGCAACAAGGGAGCCGCGGTGCTGAGGGCAATTGGTGGGCTGCCGGGGGTATTAAAATGTTGCGCATGAGGGCCGACTGAAAAAAAAAGGTAAGGCAAGGAGCAGGCTTCTTGCTCGAATATTTCCCACCCCGAGCTCCGCCCTGCGGCTTCTTCCACCTGAATTGACGCAGGCGAGCTGTCTCGGCCAACGTGATTGGCTGCGTGTAGCCGTGGGTGTGGGCTAGAGAGGTGGGGAATGCTGCCCGCCCGCGATTGCGGTGTTCGGTGTCGTGTCGCACTGGAGTCTGGCGCCCCCCCGTCCAAGCTGGGCCGCCGCTCGGAGGCGAATTTAAAGACGTGCTCGATTGCATCAAATTACACCACAACAGAACGATCAGCAGGTAGCTGGATATTGAGTATCATGAGGCTCCCTGGTACAGACTTATTTAGTGTAACAAGGCTGGCAGGATGACAACCGTCGAGCCAGCGAAGAGCAGCGGCTTCCAAACCGCCATGGATACCCAGATGAGAAAAAAGAAGCCGGGAAGCAATCGCGGGCTTACTAGTACATCCTTTCTGTAGTGAGCCCATGATTCGACCAATATCGGCCGGCTCCCACGTAAGGCGGTCTTCTCACCCGCCTTGGACCAGGCCAGCAGAGAAAAAGTCTCACAGTCGCAACCACAAGAAACCCCCAAAGCCCTGACTCGACCGGATAGGCACAAACTCGACAGAGCGGTCAAAGTCACTTGAAGTCGTCCCTATTTAAAGCCTCCAGCCCCCTCCGTTTTCGGGCGCGGGGTCCAGGTTAGTCTGACTCTCAGACTCCATATTGATGATATCTTGGCCCCATATTGCTACCCCCACCCGCTATCAGTCTCCAAACGACCATGTTTAGACATATCCTAACTCCAGTCATATTAGCCCTCTCAACTCTTGCAATGGACTCTTTGATCGACCTGTCAGACGCCACCTCGGCGCTGGATCTAAACCGGATCCGGTTCCAGCTCATGTGAGTAGAGCCGTGTATTTCCAAGACAATGGGAGCCCGACCGCTCACACGTGCTCATCCGCCCTTCTTCGCAGCCGGCTGGAGGACACCATCACCTTCCATCTCATCGAGCGGGTCCAGTTCCCGCTCAACCGGAACATCTACGTGCCCGGGGCCGTCGAGATCCCCAACAGCACCCTGAGCTTCATGGAATGGTACCTCCGCGAGCAGGAGGCGCTGTCATCGCGCATCCGCCGCTACAAGTCGCCCGACGAGTATCCCTTCTTCCCAGACGCCCTCCAGGAGCCGATACTGCCGTCGTTGAACTACCCCAAGATCCTGCATCCCAATGACGTCAACGTCAACCCAAAGATCAAGGAGTTCTACACCGAGAAGTTCCTGCCCGCCGTCTGCTCCGACTTTGGCCACGACGACAGGGGCCCCCAGCAGGAGAACTACGGCTCCACGGCCACTGAGGACATCGCCTGCCTGCAGTCGCTGTCGCGGAGAATCCACTTTGGGAAGTTTGTGGCCGAGTCCAAGTTTCTTAAGGAGCAGGACAGGTTCACGGCCCTCATAAAGGCCTGCGACCGCGACGGCATCGGCCGTGCCATCACCAACGAGGCCGTCGAAAAGCAGGTCCTCGAGCGGCTCAGGCTCAAGGCCGAAACCTACGGCAGGGATCCCAGCACCCCGCAAAGCGATATCCCCAACAAAATCAATGTCGACGCCGTCGTCGCCATGTACAAGGACTTTGTCATTCCTCTGACCAAAGAGGTCGAGGTTGAATACCTCATGCAGAGGCTGGAATGAAACGCTCCGGGCGGCGGCACTAGCTGAGCGACGGCTAGGGGCAAGGGAATTCCAAGCGGGAAGGGTAAAACAAAACAAGAATTAGATCATGCGCTTGTCCCACGCTTATACGCGCGAATTTTCGCCATGGTTTTTTTCTTCATTACACTTATAGCCCACGCTCACAAAGGCGGGCTCAAGTAATCGCTGATGGCCTTGACTGCCCCCTCGAACTTGACCGCCTCAATCAAAATCATGTGTCCCTGCGACTTGACCCCCATCTCCTGGAACGCCCTCTTGCTGTCCGCCACGGCCTCGTCCGCCCGCGAGTATGGGAAGCTCCCGTATACCAGGGCGTGCTTCTGGAGCACCTCGTCTTCGGCGTGGAAGTAGAAGAAGGGTGCCTCCTCCTTGGCCTTCTTCTTCTTGCGCTCCGTCTCGATCTCCAGGTTCGACTCCACCTCGGTGTAGGTCTTGGATATGATGAGATAGTGGGAGAACTCGTACGGCTCCTTGTCCTCCACCGCCGCCTCGATCTCGTCCACCAGCAGCCTGTACATGGGCGGCACGATCTCGGAGGGCATGTTGATCAGGCGGTCCGCCAGGATGAGCCCGACGTGCTTGCCGGAGCTGAGGAGGCCGGGCACCGCCGCGGCCAGGGCCTTGTTGCCGCCGGCCTGCGCCTTCTCGGAGACGTACTTGACGAGCGCCGCCACGGGCGGCTTTTCCCTGTGCTCGTGCAGGTTGACCGCCGTCAGGAAGGCGTACGCGTCCGTCTCCTTGCCGTCGACCTTGACGGTCGAGCCGATGGTGCGCTGGGCCAGGATGAGGTCGGCTAGCGCCGAGAAGTCGAACAGCTGCGAGTCGACGTCGAAGAGCTGGCGCAGCAGCGCCTTGACGCCGTGGAAGTCGATTTCGGGGTCGAAGTTGAACCACTCGAAGTCGACGTTTACGACATCGAAATCCTATGCGACGCGGGGTTTCCAGCGTTAGCGATCCACGGGCCCCCAGGGGTCATCATGCGATTCCCCCTTTTTTTTTTCGAGTTTGCGCGCCGCGTATTTACATCGTCGTCTTCGCTATCCCCGTCCATTTGGTCGGGATTGCACTTTTCGACCGGCTGGCCGTCGGCTTCTCTTGCGCGCTTCTTCGCCATTGTGTCTGTGAACCTGAGAAGTCGGAGGGTTGTCTCTAGGTATCGGCCAGAACGTGTTCGGACTACCAACTCTTGACGCGCAAGAGAGGCCAAACTTTTTTTTCCTCGGCGCAAACTGCAAGCTCCAGAAATGCCCCTCAACGCCAATGAAATCTGCGCGACACCGTTCCACAGCTAGCGCCCCGCCCCGCCCCATCCCCTCGGTAGCGATCCCGACTGACGCACAGCTTTTAAAGCCGGTCCGTTCAGCGTCATCAGCAGCGGAGGGATGTGTGAATCACGGGTTACTCAGCCATGATTCCGTGATCATTAAACAGTGCTTTCGTTTACTAGGAAGCACAGTCTGCCGTTGGCATCAAGCAAGTGTAACTGCCGTCTGTTTGGGCAAGTCGTCCTACGTCGAACGAACTTGGGGATACGTGACCCCCAGATCGTGTCGCGATATTATTGTTTCCCCTTTTTCTAACTGCAATCCGTGAAGTGGTCATAATACTAGCGAACAGGTGTATATGGTATGCAGATGAGGGAAGACGACTGGACGTGATATTGAACCACCTGGAGTCCTGACTCGAACAGCCAGGGCGAACCTCAATGTCGATGTCAATAAATTAACTCTTGAAGTGTCCAGAAACGATGCCTATGTGCGAAGGTTGGAAGCCGGAGCTGAGAAATCCAGAGTCAAGACTAATCAACCCATCGAGGTGGTTCGAGATGAATCTAGCGATGAGTGGGGGATCTAGGGGTCGTTTGTGCTAATATTAGCTGCGACGCTAAGTTCCAGGCGCCACAGTGACGCATCAGCCTTAGATGTGGATGCACCCTTGGAGACTGGTGAGCCGAGACGCCGAGACCGCGCGGAGGAGACCACGACATCCAAATGGCTGCCTGAGTCCTGCGCAACAACCTTCTACCTTCAACAAGGCTCCCGAAACGCCTCCCACGAGACACGAAGACGAACAGCCTAGTTGCCGCCACCCGAAAGAGCACGCGTTGCATTCTCCTAAAAACAAACACAACGCCCCCTCTTATAAAACCTCCCATCGCGCCCGCCCTTGGCCGGGAAACGTCGCCAAGATGGCCAGCTCATCACAGTCCAACACACCCGCCTCGAGTGAAGACACCTCGTACGTCGAAATGGCCCGCAACAGCAAAGGCGGCGGCGGCGGCGGCTCCATGGCCGACGTCGAACTCATCGGCCACCACTGCGAGGCCGAGTACTGCAACCAGCTCGACTTCCTCCCCTTCCTCTGCCAGTCGTGCCGCAAGACCTTCTGCCTCGACCACCGCACCGAGACGGCGCACAAGTGCGCGCAAGAGGGCGCGTGGGCCGAGCGGAGACGCCAGGCCTCGCTCGCGCGCCCGTCGGCGGGCGAGGGCCGCATGCTGCGCGACAGCGTGACGCAGAAGCCGTGCGCCTCGCCCGCGTGCAAGACGGTGGTGGGGACGGGCCTGGTCCCGGGGGTGCACTGCGCCAACTGCAACCGCGACTACTGCCTCAAGCACCGGCTCAAGGAGGACCACAACTGCAAGAACCTGGTGCCGCTCGGCGCCCGCCCGGCCCAGGTGCAGCTCGACGCGGCCGCGTCCAAGGCCAGGTCGGCCCTCAGCCGCCTCCGCGCCTGGGGCGCCGCCAAGAAGGAGCAGGCCGGGCGCGCGCTGCCCAAGCCCAAGCCGTCGAGCGCCGCCCAGCGCGCCGCCGCTGTCAGCAACCTCAAGAAGACGGCAAGGGGCGACGACAAGCTGGCGCCCGAGAAGCGCGTGTACCTCTTCGTCGAGGCCGAGGCCGAGACCACGGTCGCCAAGCTGTCAAAGGGCCAGTTCTTCTACAACAAGGACTGGGTCGTCGGCCGCGTCCTCGACGCCGCCGCCAAGAGCCTGCAGGTCGAGAACATCAACAACAGCTCCTCGGCCGAGGAGGACAAGCTGCGCGTCTTCCATGTCGAGGGCGGCCGCATCCTCGAGTTCAACGAGAAGATTGGCCAGTCGCTTGTCAGCGGCAATACCATCGTCCTCCTCCGAGGGGTCGGCCCGCCGCCAAGCCTGATAGAGATGTAATTGCCTATCTCGACCTCGTCATTTCTCCTTTGTATTTTCCATGCATCATCTTTTTTTGTACATCCAAATACCATCTACACACGTCCACTCTGCCCCTTGTTTTTGAGTATGATACAGTGTATATGGAGGGCATAGCCATTGCATCTATGGGAGTTTTGGCTTGAATCGAATTACAATACCATTGCATGTTTGAGCGTGCGAATCGCGATTAAACAGCCGAGTTACCCTAGGGAAGACAATGCATGCATGGTTGGGGGAGCGGTCCTAAACGTGATAGAAACGGCCAAGACACAGGCGGAGAGATGAAATTGTTCATAGAGTTGTGGGTATCATACATACATACATGGCTCTCGCCATCCTACCGTTTCCTACGTGCATCGACACCCTTTTAGAGCTCCTTCTCCTTGGGAGGTTTGTTGAGTTGACTTTCCCTGCCGGTCGCGGGAGCATCTCCAACGCTCCTATAGTACATACTATGTGTCAGCATACAATCACAGCAGAGCACGAATTGCATATTTCAGGTGTTGATCGTGACCAGACGTACTTGTGACCACCAAAGGTCTCGAATCCCTTGTGAAAGGTCCACTCCACAGCATTCTCGACGGGGTGATCGAAAAGAGATGGAAGGAAGGGCACCACGCTGAGTCCCAGCCCTATGGGTCCCCAAGTCCTTATCGTCTTGTTCTTGAGGTTCTTCATGGCCTTGCCAGAATACCTAACCACGCTGTGTATGGTGAATGCGGGTAGCCCCATGCTCGCAAGGCTCTGGAAGATTGCGCGCTGGGCCATGACGGTACGGTAATCCTCGAGCGGCGTGACCGTCCCCGGCTTCAAGTCGGATGCCTTCGGGGCGGTCGCGTCGGAGCCTAGAATGCGCTGCTGGGTAGCCGTAAGGGTTATTTGCGGGTTGCGCGTGCGCTGATTGTGCCAGTATGACTTGTAGCCTTCGTGTGATACGTCGCCGAGTATGTAGAGCCAGGACACGCCGTAGGCCCCCTTGATCAGGTAGGGGTGTGCCACAGGTCGGAAGGACTCGCCGATGTCTGATGTGTAGGCAACGTATCGGTGAGCCGAGAGCATTATCGTGCGGAGGCGGGCGGCGTATCCGGCGTAGCGGATGTTAGAATCGGTCGAATCCGGAGCACTGCGGGACGGATCCAGCCAAGATGTTAGTCTCATGCCAGAGTGAAGAAGCCGAGTAAAGTCCATGGTATCCGTACTAGCCGTCCACCAGCTGATCGTAGATGGAGTCATCCTTGTCCGCTTTGTCTACAATCTTCTGCAGCGACGGCGAGAGCTTCTGCCTGTCGGGGAGCTTGTCGGCGTCGAACGGGGTTTTGCGGGCGCCATCTTTGGATGTGTCTGCTGCTTTTGATGTTGATGCGGCATCTGACTTGTCAGAGGGTTTGTCGGGACCCTTGGACCAGAACATTGCACAATGTGTGATTTATCGGCGTGTGTAAAGCTAGCCGAAGAGTGGAAGGCTATCGCGATGGCTGACGGCAAGGATTAAGCTGTGATCAAGCTTGAAGCTACTTGATTTGACAACTCCGAGTCGACAGGTCGAGGGTAATTCTGCTGTAGCTTTAGATGGGCGTGTCAAGAGCGCAAAGTCGGATCTTCGGATTGATGATGGCCTCGAAATGGAGTCCGTCCCGCACTACGTCACGCGCGGAAAGCTGATGCGCATTTGCCCGAGTGAGGGGATGGCGTTCATCCCGGCCGCGCGTGGAGCAGAGGTTGTGCTTTTGGTCCGTGCGGCCAACCCGCAGCAAATATACTTCGGCCTGAGGCCAACAAGTCGGGCGTGCCTGTGTGGAGCCGGAGCTCTGGTGCGGCGTAACGTTTTCGTGCCAGCATCTTTCGAACGCAAGATCCCCGGCCAAAATCATCCACCTCGCCAAACGCCGACCAATTCTTCGCCAGCAGCTCCGATCCCCGGTCAGAATTGAAGATGGTCGCCTACTACTCGATCTTCGGCCGCCAGGTCGGCTCCCACCACGTGCGTTCGCCCCCTTGACAGAGCCTGCCGCCCCGTTCCGCAGACCCGAACATGAAAGCCTCCTCGGAACGACGGCGCACGCCGGCGCCGTCAGCAGCGCCTCCACAGGCCATTGAGTGCGCTTGGCTGACTTCTCTGGTTCTCCACAGCTGGCTATTGGTGTCCTGGGTGCCATGTTCGGCGGCTCCTTCCTGGCCCTGAGCGGCGGCAGCAAGAAGGCTGGCGTCCAGACTCCCCCGATAAACGCATCCTCGCCCGACGAGGCTGATTTCATCAAGTGCGTCCCTACTCTCTTGGCCGCCACTAGGCTCTTGGGCCAGTATGGTATGGCATGTATATGCCTGACAGTTTCGTTGACGAAGGGTGCGCAATTTCACAGGAAGTTCCTTGAGAGCGAGGAGAAGGCATCGAAACACTAGAGAAGAGAAAAGAAAAAAGGACAATGGCCGCGAGAGCAATGCTAGAGCAGCGTGGGGCATTATAGCCAGCCTGGCTTGTGTACATTGATAGGTAAAGCGGTTATCTGGTCAAGATGTGCCACTCCTCTTTGCCGTAAATCCACCGAGTTCACTATCATGAGCCCCTATTGACAGAAATGCATACTATCTCCGAATTTGACATCGACAGGTGTAATGGATGTTTCGAGGGGTTTGTTTTTGGCATTGACATGGCCAACGGATGGTACTTGCAGAGCTGGCAGGGGCACCATTTTGCCAGCCCTCTCTCGCGCTTCTTGCCGGCCCGCCAGTTAGACACTGATTATAGCCGGGAGACCCGACGAATCCCCGAAAGGGATTGGATGCTGGGTGAAACAGGGCGATGCAAGGCAACCAAACAGTTTGGCTCATGCAGCAACCATCCATCTGTCACTTGTTCCTTCAGGAAAGGAGAAAAATTAAAGATGTAACCTCGGCGACCAAGTACCGTGCAGCCTGTCGCCCTTCGTTCGCGCGCTATAATCTGATTTGCATCGTCAGCATGGCTGGGGTAACAATGGGAGCAGGGCTGCGACAGCCAAGGGAGGATGTTCTTGTTTGTCGAGGACCTGGGCGGGCGGCAGGTTCCGCGGCTGCTTCACGAGAGCGATCAAGTCGGGAACAATCAGGCACATGCACCATCGCTTGCCCTTCTCTTTACCGTGGGCTTGGAGGACTTCGTGGTTCCCGGTCAGCTCATTGGAGACTGAAAACGAACCAAGATTCCGCTGGTGCCTGGGTTTGCATCTCAGCTATCTACATCCCTTCATTTACCCCGCAACAGCCATCGTTGATGACAGTGAGCATCGCCAATCGAGCTGCGACGCGACGCATCGCCCAAAAACGCGAGCTGCCGACACGAGTGCTTGTGTCGGGTAAGCTCTCACTCGCGCCGGTCCGATGGCCGCATCGTCGCGCTTTGAGGTTACCTTGGAAAGGACGCCGGTTAGGGTATGAGGGACACAGCTACCCGCCTATCAGCCAGCTCCCTAGATGCGACTCCTAGGTGGCGTGCAACAGTCCAGTGCAAACATGTGCTTACACGATCCACGTATTGCAGGTCGCCGACCTCCGTCCCCGAAAGCGAGATGAGGCGCTCAAGTAATTCAACCCAGCGCCGCTCTTAGGAGGACCTGGCTAACTAGATGCGCCGAGCAGATCGCCAGAGCCGCGACCCTCATCCGAGGTGTCCATAGTTCAGCACCATCCTGACTTGTCCGACATTACTGGAACGAATCCCACCCACTCTCTACTACTATCATCCCTAGAAACATCCAGGAACCCGTTCTTCCACGAGGCGGCAGTCTACCTGCCCGCCTTCGAGGAGCTGTACCTGACCTCCAACCTCCTCCAGTCCACGAGCTCATCACAGCTCCCCGTCATCCTCATCTCCAAGGTCCGCCTGCAGCGGGACCCAGACAGCGGCCACGTCACGGGCGTGGAGTGGGCCAAGCTCCGGTCCCCCGCGGCCATGGCCATGCCGGCCGGCGGCGCCCAGTTCGAGTCGGGCATGCTCCTGTGCGCCCAGGGCAGCCTCGCGGCGGACCAGCCCTCGGGCGTCTTCTACATGGCGCGCGGCAAGCCCCCTATCCCGCTGGTGACGTCGTACTACGGCCGCGACTTCAACTCGGTCCACGACGTGGCTGTCGCCCCGGACGGCGGCCTCTGGTTCACCGACCCCTGCCACGGGTTCGAGCAGGACTTCCGCAAGAAGCCGCAGATGCCGTGTCACGTCTACCGCCTCGCCTCGCGCGACTCGGCCGACCTGAGGGTCGTGGCCGACGGGCTTGGGCGGCCGACCTGCCTGGCCTTCAGCCCGGACGGGGGGACTCTGTACATCACCGACACGGATGCCGTGCACGGTGACGGGAACCAGGACGCTACACGGTAAGCACGTTCCGCTGTGTCTCCTTGCCGGATGTGTCTTGCACGGCTGACTGGGTACTGGACGCCCAAAGTGTGGCGACGATTTATGCATACGACGTCCTGGAACGGTCCGGATCGCCCTTCCTGGCCAACAGGCGTGTGTTTGCCTATGCGTTACGCGGCATCCCAATGGGCGTCAAGTGTGACGCCCTCGGCAACGTGTTTGCTGGATGCGCCGACGGCCTCGAGGTCTGGAACTCGGGAGGCAGCCTTCTCGGGGTAATAGAAATTGGAGGTGAGCAAGCACACACATATATACACACACACACACACACACACACACACACACACACACACACACACACACACACACACACGCACACACACACACACACACACACACGCACACACACACATACAC